CAATCTAAAAACAGTTTCATCCTTCTCAGCTTTTAAAGTGGAAATAAAAATACGGTTTCAGGTTTAAAATGTTATACTCTGCCAACATTACTTTTATGCTTCCAGAAAATTTCGGGGGGGGGGGGGGGGGGGCATATAGTCGTCGGGTTGTCCGTCAATCCGTACGTACGTACGTCCCGAATTCGTGTCCGGCCCATAACTTTGTTATTTGAAGTCGGATTTTAAAACTATTTCACAGAAATGATCACCATAATGAGACGACGTGTCACGCGCAAATTTGGGTCGCCTCCTTGAAGGTCAAGGTCACAGTATGACCTTGCAGCAAAATCGTGTCCGACCCATAACTTCGTTATTTGAAGTCGGATTTTAAAACTGTTTCACAGAAATGATCACCATATTGAGACGACGTGTCACGCGCAACATTTGGCTCGCTACCTTGAAGGTCAAGGTCACAGCATGACCTTGCAGCAAAATCGTGTCCGGTCCATAACTTCGTTATTTGAAGTCGGATTTTACAACTATTTCACAGAAATGATCACCATAATGAGACAATGTGTCGCGCGCAACATTTTGGTCGCCACCTTGAAGGTCAAGGTCACGGCATGACCTTGCAGCAAAATCGTGTCCGGCCCATAACTTCGTTACTTGAAGTCGGATTTAACAACTATTTCACAGAGATGATCACCATATTTAATCCACGTGTCGCATGCAACATTTGGGTTGCTACCTTGACAGCATGACCTTGCAGCAAAATCATGTCCGGCCCATAACTTCGTTATTTGAAGTTGGATTTTACAACTATTTCACAGAAATGATCACCATATTGAGACAATGTGTCGTGCACAACATTTGGGTTATTTTTACACTTTGAACTTTGTCTGTGACATAACTCTGACACTACAAGAGGTATACCTTCCTGTGTCCAAAACCTATTCGGGGAGCATCACCCGGTTCAACCGGCTCTTGTTTTAGAAAAATTTCAAATTGAAAGTTGTTGATAAAAACTTCAGAATAACAAACAAACTTTTTGTCAAGATCATCATTAATCGGATATTACTTATTGTTAATATCAATACATTGTTCGCTACCATTATTAACTGATGAAACCTAAACGTAGTGTTGTAATATGATGGAAAAAATCCAACTTACTTGCAACATTAACAGAAATTCTTCAGTCCGCTCCTTTTCTAAATTATATTTCCTCTTCAAATCTTCCCACTGAGATGGTTTAAGAACACCTTCAACAATTAGATTATCCACAATATCTGCCATTCTTATATCTTGTTTTAATGTTTTCCAGTATGTCTGAAGTAGTTGTGTCTCCTTTTCACCTAATCCACCCTTTTTAGAATCCATATTGATGTCTTAAATGTCCTTTCCGTTTCACTTCTTTTACAAAAAAATGGACTACATTCGGTCTTTTGGCTATCCTATATACTTACATTTTACCTGGAGACATGAATGAATTAGCAACCTTCGATTTGTATATTATCAGTCATGAACTCATTAAGAAAGATTGTTACTAGTATTTCAGTCTGATTTTGAAGACTGTTTAATTTTCTATAAATGAACCCGGAACATTGCAATTTTGCACACGCTTCTTACATACGTACCCTTACTTGTCTGATAAATATTTCCCTTACCTATATCGGATTTAAGGGGGATTTCTAATGTTTGCTTTCTGATAAGTTGGATCTGTTTTGACGATAAGATTGTTTGCGTCTATGCTCTATTTTCTCTCAATTTTTAAAAAAAAACAACATTGTTTATAAAATATATAAAAATCGTTCATAAAATATCTGTCGAACGTAACCAATTAATTTGCTCTAAAGTTTACTGGTATATGGCTCACCTACTGTATAACAAAGACGAGTTGAACTTTCATTTTTCCGTCTAAAACATATAGATTTTAAATGCACAACATCTGATGTTTAAAATTCTTTTACCTTTCGACTCTTCTTCCAAGATTTAACCAGCACTTAGTGTCAATCATGACCCAAGTAGAAAAAGAAGGAAAGTGACCAAAGTAGGGAACGCATGATCGTGTATCGTGACCCGAGTAGAGAACGCCTGATCTCTGGACTGAGGGACTGGCACTACTGCACCTTATTCGTCAACGACATGTAATCGGCTAGACCCATCATTTCAACGAGTAGAGTTTTTTTGGAGGTATAATAACCCAAAATAAGTTGAACTAGGTCATATTCCCGTACGCTAACCTATCATTTATTTTTTATGCAATATTTATCTTCAATTGATAACTTAGCCCCAGATATAATGCAATTGTTCATTAAAGCGCTACCGTGTTTTTTTTTCTTTCATCTGAACCATATCATCTATTTCCTTTGGCCCATTCATTACAAGGTTGCCGTCAAAATTTCATTTCAACAAATTGATACAATTTCCTTTTTTAATAAGAACACAACCATGTTTACCATGCCAGAATGTGCCAAAGTATCAAACAAAATATATTCTTTCTTAAAATTATCAAATGCAATCAGTGAACTTATGAGATCAATAATATGCAAAGCATCACTCTACCAACTAATGCCAACAACAACAACAACAATATCATTCATCTCAATCCTTCTTTTTGATATTTCCCTTTCTTTTAATTTTTCTGATTAACTTAAAAAACAACAGTTTCTGAAATGAAAAGCTGTTCATAAATGTTGATCTAATATTTTGTGACTTTGTTACACATTTGTATTTTGTAAATGTATGTACAAAAATGAATATAAAAATTGTCTTATCTCGTATACCTACTACCGATTAGCACTTTGAAATTTGGTATTTATAATACATTACGTACGTACAATTTGTATACATTCAGAATATGTGTTTTAGAGTCATCATTATGCTTAACATTGTCTATTAGTAATTGAACAGTACAAAATTTACTAGGTATTGTTCAAGTCCTTGATCGTCCGTTCCAGCGATTTATATTCCTCTTCCTTCAGTCTGATCTCCATTTTCACTTTTTTAATTTCTTCATGCGCTTGGTTAATTTTTATGATGCTACTGCTCGTGCTGACATTATAATCTGTATCTTTACAAGATATTCTTGCCGGTTGCCGACGATCTGAATTCAAAAGGTCGGCCGATCGACGTATCACTGACAACCTTGCGGTGTGTCTTCCGTCTCTATTCAAATAAGTTATTTGTTCTGATAGGGATGTGTTCTGTCTTTGCAAGTGCTCATTATTAGTTTATTCACGTCGAAGATTGTCCTGTTATTATATTAGAAATACATTTATACATTAACAGGGTAAAATTAATTTATTATGCATTTATTTTTGTATTAATAGTGTAATCCAGTTGATAAACATATTTATATGCCATAATTGTGTTCGTCAAATTCTGTTAACACATTCAAATACGTGATTTTAATTTACTAAATTTCTTAGTTTCATAATCTTGATGTTACTTTTCGTATGGTATATAAGACCTTTTTACAATACGATCCTTCCATAGTAACCGATGTTGCATTTCGCGCATGCGCATTCTGTGTAGGGCAAAAGCGCAGTAAAATTGAGAACAGTGTATGATACTTTAAGGCTTTAATAGTCGTGATTCCATGTTATGTCAACCAGAAAACAGTAATTTTGGGATGACTTAAAGCGGTAAGTACTTAAAACATTAATTGATATTTATAACAGATATAATAAATATGCGGGACTAATAATCCAATGGTCAAAAGGCGCACACAAAAGTCGTCTGTTTAAGGTATCATTAGACGACTTTTTCATCTTTATTTAGATTTAAACAGCAGCGTGTTAAAGATTAAATTTTACTACCCCTGTATTACATAATATTACACAATGTGTACTGTACTCTTCCTTTTGGATTGGCCAGGCGGTAAGTGTCAAACAGATTGACATGCGACGCGGTTGTTTGTTTCATTCAACCGGGACGTTTCAGTACCATGACATAGTTAATCACGTACAATTATGAAAATCGCAATTTAAGTAACTTTTATATATACCGATTTCATCAATAGTTATTGATTTTGAGAAGTGACAATTAGTGTGACTTGCATTAAAAATATTAACAGGTGTTATGAGGAATCGGATAAAATGTGTGTTATTTCACTTTCCTTAAAGATTTTGAAAAAAAAACTAACTATTTAAAATATATTTATGTGACTTAAAAATCATCTGCTTTGCATCACAGTCAAATAAAGGATAAAACCAGGTAAACTGAACACTAAAAATGCATCATCACCGTGTCTGTTCTAACTTTTTTCAGAACGATAATTAACCTCGATTTCATATGTTATAAAAAGTTTTTGTTTTTTTAACAATTTAAACAACAATTTAGTTGACTCCCATTTGATTAATAGATATAATTCCACATTTTCTTAAATACATGTAAATGACAGGTCCGTGACCGTAAGAGGACATTCTTAAACAATTTCCTTTTCCATGCCTTTGTATCGCAATCTTGGCCACAAGGCTATAAAGGAATCTTTTCTATTTTTGTTAAAAGCTAATTTATATAATTTTCTACAGTCGGATTTGTCTATGAACTTCTTCTATATTACTATGTTATGCACTCTTTGCCCTACGCAGATTGCGCACGTGTGGGAAAATACTACTTCCGATCGATTTTTCATAGCAACTTGAAAATAGCCCTTAATTACTGGCGTTAGTAATGCAGTAGAATATGTGCAGTAATAAATACTACAAAATCAAATAAATCGCACATATAACATGTAAATTTTTACTTGAATCTTGAATAATTTTACTTTTTAAAAAAAAAATCTTAATTAGTAGTTTGATATTATTGAAATATTTTGGCTCATCAAAGATCCCCGGTCTCGGGACAGTAAACTTTAATAAAAATAAATATAATTATATTGATATCATAAGAAAGGTATAAATATTAACTACTTCTTTTAAAACACTATCCCAACCTGTGAATGTTACAAGTCAAAATTTGACTGGACTCTATAATAACTTTTAGTGTTCGTCAACCTACTGAGAGGGAACCATCTTGAAAATTAGAAAACCAGCGTAATGAGGAAAAATATCGAAAATTCCGATTAGAGTAAAATGGCAAACACAGAAGATTTTGTATTCCAATCTCAAGTTGAACATCAAAATAAAACACATCATTTGACTTTAACTAGATGGCAGTTAATTTGGGAAGCTACCTCTAAACAAAATGCATCTGGAAGTCAAGCTACGGAACCGTTGCTTTGTATGTATGATATATGTTTGTCTGTTTGTTTATTTATGATAGCAACACAGAAACTGTCAACTGCCAGGACTGGTAAAGCAGGTAAAAAGTTGCCACACAGACAGGAATCACAGGCACTCGGTTCGTGACTTGGATACTTAACATTAGTCCTATAAATATGTTGTCGCTTTGAGATATTTTTTGCTTCTGGGCAAAGCAACGTCATATTGAAATTGCTCAATAACCCATAGCATGTTCCGCCATAGTCCAATATATTAGACATTACAGGCTTGTTATAGTTTATGTCGGTCAAGCCTGACGTCTAATGCCATGACATGATAGCGGAATGCGTCTAATGGCGGAACATGCTATGGGTTTTTGAGCAATTTCGATATGACGTTGCTTTGCCAAAAAGCAAAAAATATCTGAAAGCGACGTCATATTTATAGTCAAACAACAAAAGAAAGTTGTTCATATATAATATTATAAATAAAGACAAGGTAGAAAGGTTCAGTGGCGGAACTGTCACCTGGCTTTATCTGAAGTCCCAGATCTTTTTTAATTTTCAACCAATTTTCACCAAATAAAGTGCAACCTACTCAGGTTAAAGGCAGGTAAATACTATCGCTTACTAGTCCAAATTCAATCCATAATGTCTGTAGGTAGGCACTTTCAGTAGTTATTTGCACTAACTTCTTCAATTTGTTGACATTACATGCATAAAAGTCCTGACCGGGATATACCTTATGGGACGTTTCACATAGTAAAGATTAAATGAAGCTGGATAACAGTGGGAATCCGAGTTTCTAAATTCAAAAACTAGGCATGCGCATTTTGAATATCCGAATCAGGATTTGTAGTTAAGATAGTATTTAGCTTACTGTTGCCTTTTCTGTTTCAACTGCTAAAAATAAATCATCCCTTTTACAGAAAACATTGACCAGTTATTTCTTGTTTAAAAAAATGAAAAGTCAAATAGCAGAAAAGAAAAATAAACACTGTTTTCGTTAAATCTGTATGATGCAAAAAAAATTCATATTACACTTACTAGTGTTATATGATCTAATTACAGAGTTATAGAACAAGTTTCTTGTACATGTCTGTGGTTTTCAGGTACAAGATACATATTATGTGATTTAAGTACTGAGTGAATTAAGCTGAGAAAAATATTTGAATTGCACTGTAATTTCATTTTCAGGCCATGATACATGCATAGACTTAAAAGAGGTCATTGGAGTCAAGCCAATCAAGATCCCACCTAAATCTTCCACAGTAAGTCTGAAAAGAACTCACAAAGTAGATGAAAATGTGCCGTATTGTATTGAGATGCAACCAATAGGACCTGTTGGCTTTTCTGTGTATGTTGTTATTCGAGCAGGGGGCCATAAGTGGCGATGTAAGCAGACTGCATTCCAGTGTAAGGACAGCAACTTGTGTCAGCAGTGGATTACTATGATTAAAGAGGCACTGAAAGCACCAGGTATAAATAATGAATTTAATATTATATCATGGGTTTTGTAAAGTTTGAGATACATATAGAAAATATACATCTGTTGTACATAGTCAGTTTATAGATTTAGTATTGCAACTCATAAAATGTCCCATCTCTCATTGTCATGTTTTCTTTTAGTGTAGTCTGGTAATTAGCTGTTTAGGGGGAGAGCATCAGATAAGTAATCTAGGGGTTGCAGGTGCGGCAAAATTTCTCTGTGACAGTCTTGGATATTGTGTCTCATTAACATTTGTTTCTCACCACTGATTCAGAAATCATGTGGAATTAGTAGTCGGACACTTGCGGATAAATTGATAATGATTTGAGCCGTGTCATGACAAAACCAACATAATGCGTTTGCGACCAGCGTGGATCCAGACAGTCTGATCAGGATCCATGCTGTTCGCTATCAGTTTCTCTACTTGTAAAAGGGTTGGTAAGCGAACAGCATGGATCCTGATCAGACTGCGCGGATGCTGGTTGCAAACGCATTATGTTGGTTTTGTCATGACACGGCTCAAATCATTATCACTGAAGTTGAGTGGGTCCACTGCCAAGATATGACCAAAATTGTGTTCATATTGACTTAGAAAAAAAACAACAAGAAACAAATTATCTCATTGTAGACTAGTGCTTAAAATTATGATAATTCTAGAATTAATTATAAATATGTCAATAAATAGACAGGAATGTTTTCTATAATTTTGTTGTCTGTCACATGTAGATTCTATTTTACTAAATTAAACTATGTTTATATAAATTTACATTTTCATGAGTATAGGTTCTTTCATATTCTATTATGTTTGCTTTTACAAATTTTTATGATTCATTTTGAAAATTTGATTTATTTCAGTATTTAATAGGCCACAAAAGTTGGTTGTGTTTGTAAATCCATTTTCTGGGAAGAAGAAAGCAGTAAGAATTTACAGAGAAAAAGTTCTACCTCTTTTTGAATTGGCGGATATTAAAGTAACTCTTATTGGTAAGAATTCTCCCATTAATAATGCATAATACCTTTATATTAAAAAAAAGAGGATTATTTATAAGTTTATATCAAAGATTATTCCTATATATCCACAAATATTGTTTGTCTCAACCTTGTTTAAAATTGGCTCAAATGTCCCCCACATCAAGATGATGTGCAGAAGGTCAAGGTCAGATGTCAGAAATTTTGTGTCAGCACTACAGATACTCCTTGAAGGACTTTCTACAACTATGCAGTAGCTGAAATATTAACCTTCAAAAGTAAGAATAAATGGGCCAACGTAAAATCCTGTGTCAAAGAAATGGTGGGGGTGATACTCAATTCTGTGACAGCTCTAGTAAACAATTGGATTACACATGAATAATAATTAAGGAACGTCAGTGGTTCTACTCAGGTGCCCGTTCGTGCCTGAAATAATGCACGGAAGGGCACCTGAGGTCTTCCTCCACCAGTAAAGCTGGAACGTCGCGATATGACCTATACTGTGTTGATGTGACGTAAAACCCAAAACAAACAAACAAACAAACATGAATAATAGAAAAAATGTGTATACATGCATAATTCATGAAATATCAATACTATATAATCCTGTATTATAGGAAAACAAAGGCATAAGATGCATTACATGAGTTTATATCTTGTTAATGTGAAACTCAAGGACATGACCTATCAAAACATAAAAAAAAGTGTTTAAATAGAAACGCAAGACTTCTTAAAATGGTCATTAAACACAAATGCATGCCTGTATTATTCACATTCCTTATTGGATAACACAGTAAATATTATAACTGGACCTGTTCATCTTTCGTTCTGGATAAACTTATTGAAAGCTTTTAATTATTTTAAGGGAACATTTCAGAATATGTACTGAATGACCAGATGGCATTGATGTGTCCAGTGTCTTTACTAAAAACTTGAATTGTTGTCAAGTAAATCAGTGCAGCTGTGATTACAAAGTGTATTTAAATTTATTTGTTTTTGTTGTTGTTTGTTTCCAAGAAAATCATCTGCAATAAATGTTCTTTTTTTAATGTTGTAGAAACTGAAAGACAGAATCATGCCAGGGATCTTGTGAAAGACTCGTTAGATCTTAGTGATATAGATGGGTAAGACCTTTTTCTTAATTCAAGCTTAATATAAGTGAGGTTTTATCCTTGAGGGATGACCTTGTTTGTGGTGAACTTGTCTTCTACTTGGCTAAGTCATCACTTATTCGAGCTGTACATGGGTCATTATCAAGTTTCCTCATATGACACCAGTACTTGTGTGTTCAGGAACAGGACATGAGAGTTGTATAAATAAACATAAAGCTAACTTCACAATTACAGTAAAAGTAACTTTGAATTTATAGCACTGATGAACTTAGAGTAAAAGATTTCTACATGACCTTGCAATTTATTATCGTATAAAGTCATTTAGTTTTTGAACCAGTCATTTGAATAACTTATGAATGCAATCTTTCTTTACTTTATTATTAACATAAGTTTTAACATTGTTTATACTTTGATAACATGAGCCAAATTATTTTAAGAGAATTAAATATAAGAAAAATTTAATAAGATTTTAAGAAAAGTAAAAGATTACTTTATTCTGAAACAGACTGTGTCATCTGTGAAGCATAGCCACTAGTTACAACATATACAGCTCTAAAACATGTTTAATGCCCTTGTCAGCCAAAAATAGAGTGACAATTGTCTGCACATTATACAGTTATTATGTAGATAAATTCCAACTGTTTCGAAAGAAACAGGATGGTTTTTCATATACGCTAATCAAAATATTGATTTTGTCTGAGACTAACTCACTAGGGAAAAATGATCATTTTGGTAGCAATTTTCATTAGAATACAGAGCCATTTAGAAAATTGATATAACTGGGTTATACTGCATACTGCATGTTTTTTTAACCAGCTACAGCTATTTGTTAATTGAATGCTGAAGTCAAGTATGTAGTATACATTATACTGTTATTTCATTCAACACAGCAATATAACAGAATCCAATTGATACAAAAAAAAATAAATAAATAAAAAGTTATCAGTTTAAAAAATAAAAATTGCTTTCACTAAATAATTAACAAAAGTGTATGTAGATAAAAATTTGTTAATGAGTGTAAAAGATATTTAGACAGCAGGTACATAGTGATTTTATTTACAGACAGAACTTTGGACTACTTCCTGGTCTTAAGGCAATATTTTATAATCTGCCTCTGGCATGTTATTTAGCTCTCAAAAATTGAAATTCTTCAATTAATTTTATATATTTAACTCTCAAAATTTTTAAACCTTTGAGCAAATTTGAAGTACACAATACAATTAGGTTAATATATAATTATATAAATTATTACCATAACCATGATAGATTATTCATGAATTATATTTTATCATGTTAACTTTTTTAACATTAACTCTCAGATAGTTCTATGTGAAATAAAACAGTTATGCATGAAATTGATCTGTGTTTTTTCGTTTGAATATTAGTTATTATTGTTTATGTTTTTGTTGTGTTTTACCACCTTACCATCTGCTGAACTTGCTTTATAAAAATTATGTCCCTTTGTAAACATGAATACGGTACTCAATTCTTGAAAGTTTGGTCTATTCAACCAGTCAATGTTATCACTTGGAACCTCTCACATTATTGTTTGGCACTGGGAAAGATGTATAGCTTCTAGTAGAGATTTTACTGAATTATTTATTCTTTTAAAATTAAAAACTTACAATGTTTTTACTATCAAGCAATGGTAATACAGAATATCTCTGTGGTGTGTTTCATAAAGAATCTTAGGACTGATTTTAGTCTTATGTTTTAGACTTACGATTCTTTATGAAACGCACCCCTGATCTATATAAGATTATAAACATTTATTGAAATAAAGATGTTCTGATTTCTACAGAATTGCTGGCCGAATAACTCTCAGTCTTACTTAAACGTCTTATATCATAGCTGACCTGGATGGTCAGATTGTCTAAGATCAATGCCATCTACATTTACAAATCTATATATTAAATGTTTCTATATTTTTCTTTTATTACTATTTTTAGGTTGATATGTGTAGGAGGAGATGGCATGTTTTCTGAGATACTAAACGGATTATTGAATAGAACAGAACAAGATAATGATGTGGAAGAGACATGCAGTTTTGATCCAGTACCACCAGATATAAGAATTGGTATAATACCGGCAGGTATGTTCTTGTGTTTTGAAAAAAATGGAACTTGAATATTGATAGTATCATTTACTAAAACCTAAAATCACTAAATTTGAATTTTCTACATAGATCAGCTTGGGTACCTAAAACAAAAAGATATGCAAAACATAATTAAGAAATATATTCAGGTTATATTTAAAATCATATATTTATGCTATTCTTAGCTGAATTGGAGAGGCTTTTCAATTTTGGGTCTTTTTGCACAATATGGAAAAATGGAGTGAGGGAATGATCTGAAATTTTGTACAGAACTTAATGTAGCCTGTTGTAGACAAAATATTCTTCCCATGCCACCAGTGTTGCACAAAGTGCCAGGTGATAATGATCTGCACTAATCACTATTCAATCTGTATCTTATACATTTTTGAAATTGCACCTGATAATGATCAATGGTTTTGTCGAAATTAATTTATATGAATTTGTTTTAATCTGATTGTGTTGGAAGCTATAAGCTTATTTAAAACACTCGGCAGTCTGTTCCTGGAACCAAACAGTACTATGCAGGGGCGTACCTCGGCTTATTTTGAGTGTACGCCGATTGCAGGTCTTTGGCCGAAGGGTCGCCAGAGATATATATAAACTATAGCTAGATGTGCTAAAATAAGAGATTTAGGGGACATCTAAGCTAATTGTACTTCTATTGTCTTTATCTATAGTTATGAAAATAACATCAAGTACATGCATTGAAAGTAAGAGAAATTGCACGAAGTCTAACATTGACAATGTTTTAAAAAGTTCAAAAGTTATTTACTAATAGGAAAACAAAACATAGCCAGGTGTCATTCTATTGTAATAGAAATGTTTAACAAGTTTTTTCTTTGTTATACTTCTTTTGTTTCATCATAACTTAACATGAGATACAATCAAGGAAAATGTGCTTTAAAATGATCTGTATGACTTTAATACAAACACAACAGCTTTAATGTTTTAGTGTAACGAAATGTTATCGTATTTATCAGCTAAGATGTAGTATCGCACGATCATTTAGGTCCCTTAAAATATTTTTAAATGCGTATTATGTCAATGTTGAAGACAGCAAATATTGTCTTTAACAGTTTTTATTCTCAACTCTACTCTTTCAGTTTCCATTCCAAATATTTAAGATATTTCATCAGGAAGTTAAATGCCTCACGCACATAAAAGGATGCTCGCCAACTCGTTATCTAAAGTTGGTGAAAATAAAAGAATTGGGACGTACATGATGTGTCTTATATGGCTATACATTGTTTTCGTTGTATATTTGTCTATGTTTTAAATATGTATAGATGAGACTATGTATAATAAAGAATATATATATGTTATTGTTTGCAGAAGTATGCAACTTATTTCTATACACAATAAAATAATACAGTAGAAACATCTTTCTGTAGTGATATATTTTGTAAATACATGTATTCATTTTTACGGTTAAATCGGTTTGTAACGATAAATGCTGGCAAAGATCTGATTCATAGGGCCCAAACTATTCTACACAATTTGAAATGAATATAAGATGAACGAATGTTACTAAATTAACAAATAATATACTGACTTATAGCTACAAGGTAAATTCCATACAGCTAACCGCAAACTACAAGTTGCAGACAAGATCTTAATTTTGCATATAGATCTAGATGTAAAACATGAAATAAATGTTTAGTTATCACTGATTTTGATTCTTCTGAAAAAATGATTGCAATATATTGGACAATTTTTTATGCCACCGCAGCATCTGCGATGCGGTGGCATATAGCGATTCACCTGTGTGTGTGTGTGTGTGTGTGTTTGTGTGTGTGTTTGTGTGTGTGTTATATAGATTATATAGTGAACTTAAAAAATCTTCTTGTGAAAAACCACTAGTCCAATTTCAACCAAACTTGGCAGGATTGTTCCTTGGGTGAAGGGCTTCCAAAGTTGTTCAAAGAATTTCATTCCATGCAGAAATCTGGTTGCCATGGCAACCAAATGGAATTATAAGAATAAATTTAAAAAATCTTCTTGTAAAGACCCAAAAGGCCTAGAGCTTAGATATTTTGCATAAGGCATTGTCTGGTAGACCTCTAACAAGATTGTTCAAATTATAGCCCTCGGGTTCAAAATTGGCCCCGCCCCGGGGGTCATTGATTTTCACTATGTACATATTGTAAAAACTTAAAATACCTTCTTGTAAAAAACCCAAAAGGCCTAGAGCTTAGATATTTTGCATGAGGCATTCATCTGGTAGACCCTTACCAAAGATTGTTAAAATTATAGCCCTTGGGTCAAAATCGGAACCCGCCCCGGGTCATTGATTTTCGCTATATGTACATATAGTAAAAACTTAAAACACCTTCTTGTAAAGACCCAAAAGGCCTAGAGCTTAGATTATTTTGCATAAGGCATTGTCTTGTAGACCTCTACCCAGATTGTTCAAATTATAGCCCTGGGGTCAAAATCGGCCCCGCCCAGGGGTCATTGGTTTTCCTTATATGTATATAGTAAAAAACTTTAAAAAAATTCTTCTAGCAATTGACAAATGCTAGAGGTTAGATATTTTGCATGAAACATTGTGTTGTAAACCTCTAGCAAGATTGTTCAAATTTATAGCCCTGGGGTCAAAATTGCCCCCGCCCTGGGGGTCATTGATTTCAATATATACATATAGTAAAAAATAAAAAAAATCTTATTGTCTGAAGGTACAAGGCTTAGAGCTTTAATATTTTGTTAAATAACATCATCTAAAGGTACTCTACCAAAGTTGTTCAAATTTTGCCTCTTGTGTCAAAATTAGCCCCGCCCCTGGGAGCCATAGGTTTTATCTTATATGTATATAGTTAAAAACTTAAAAAATCATCTTCTCTAAATTTTACAAAGGATAGAGATAAGATATTTTGGCATGAAACATTGTGTGTAGTGAACCTCTAGCAAGATTGTCCAAATTATAGCCCTGGGGTCAAAATTGATTCAGCCCGGGGGTCATTGATTTTCATTATGTACATATAGTGAAAAAAAATTTTTGTCTGAAGGGTTCAAGGCATAGAGCTTAAATGTTTGATATATAATATCATCTATAGGTCCTCTACCAAAGTTGTTTTAAATGTCAAAAAATTGGCCCTGCCCGGGGGCAGTGATTTCTCATTGTGTACACGTAGTAAAAACCAGAAAATAAAAAAAATTTTTTCTGAATGGGAGAAAGCTATAGCTTTAATATTTGATTTGAAATGTTGTTTGGTGGACCTGTATCAAGATTGTTATTAAACCCTTGGGTGTTCAAAATTATGCCTTGCCCAAGGGGACAGTGACCTACTTTCTTGTCCTTTGATGTACAGCAATGACATTTTGACCATGTGCACAGTTTTAGTTGTTAAATTGAACTTTGACCTAGATTTTGATGATGTGACCTACTTTCTTGTCCTTTGATGTACAGCTATGAAATTTGAACCATGCGGTGGCATAGCATTTTTCTCAAATGCAATCTTGTTATCATTATTTTGATTTTGGCGAGGTTTATTAGCATTATAACATTGATTCTTTAAAGCTTAATTCAATCTGAAAAAAAGAGAAAATTCCAAAGAAATTTTTTATATCATAGTTTTACATTGTGTACGTCACTCCAAGTTTCTGTTGACCAAGTTTCTGTTGAAAGGCCGAATATTTTGTTTTCTGAGTTTCAAAGTCTCATCTTTCGCATAGGGGTGGTATAAACTGAAAATTTTAAAGATAATTCAAACCATTACCCCCTTATAAACACGGATTTCTCGAATGCGAGACTAACACAACAATAGAATAATTCTCTCTAACATGGCTTCCGTTGATATACACAAGCAATTGTTTTATTTTAATTTGCTCATATGTGCTTTCTCCCTTTTCTTATAATTGAGTTCTTGATTGTTAACGCATATTCAAATAAGGTAACATCCTAAGTATACCTATAGAATCAATTAGCAGCTACGAATATGTTGATCAATCTACGCCCAAATTATTGATTTCATTTTTGATATTTTATTTTTTCGAAACTCTTTTCTTTTTATTAGACCGTGCGTATTGGCGTATCGGTAGGTACGCCCCTGCTATGCAATGAGCACTGACAAACAACAGCTTGCCCCTGATGGGGTTTGAAACCACATAGCAGCAATCCTTAAATAACTAGTCTGACACATTAACCAGCCACCACTCAAATTGATAAATGGACAGGTCTATTTAAGATATTTAGTTCAGTAAGGTTTTATACATCAATATGTTGTTGTTTTTATTATTTCAGGTTCTACAAATACAATAGTATATACAACAACAGGTGTTAGTGATGTTGTCACATCTACATTACATATTCTTATAGGTAATTACTTGGTTTTTAATGTGCACAAATCATTCTTATAACATTTTTATACCCCCGCACAACAAAGTTGTAAGGGGGGTATACTGGAATCAGCTTGTCCGTCCGGCTGTCCGTCGGTTTTTTCTTGTCCGCCCAATAACTTAAGAATCCTTTGACCCACAGTCTTCATATTTGGCATGGAGGTTAGTCATGATTAGTAGATGACCCCTATTGATTTTGAGGTCACCAGGTCAAAGGTCAAGGTCACAGGGGCCTTGACTATAAAAAGCTTGTCCGCCCAATAACTTAAGATTCCTGGACCCACAGTCTTCATATTTGGCATGGAGGTTAGTCATGATTAGTAGATGACCCCTATTGATTTTGAGGTCTCCAGGTCAAAGGTGAAGGTCACAGGGGCCTGTACTTCAAAAAAGTTGTGTGCCCAATAACTTAAGATTCCTTTGACCCACAGTCTTCATATTTGGCATGGACGTTAGTCATGATTAGTAGATGATCCCTATTGATTTTAAGGTCACTGGGTCAAAGGTCAAGGTCACAGGGACTTCGACTTCAAAAAACTTGTCTGCCCAATAACTTAAGAAACCTTTGACCCACATTCTTCATTTGTGGCATGGAGGTTAGTCATGATTTTGTAGATGATCCCTATTGATTTTAAGGACACTGGGTCAAAGGTCAAGGTCACAGGGGCCTTGATTAAAAAAGCTTGTCAGCCCAAAAACTTAAGATTCCTTTGACCCACAGTCTTCATATTTGGCATGGAGGTAAGTCATGATTAATAGGTAACTCCTATCGATTTTTAGGACACTTGCTCAAAGGTCAAGGTCACAGGGGCCTTGACTAAAAAAGTTTGTCCGCCCATTAACTTAAGATTCCTTTGACCCACAGTCTTCATATTTGGCATGGAGGTTGATCATGACCATAAGGTGACCCCTATTGATTTTGGGGTCACTGGGTCAAAGGTCAAGGTCACAGGGACCTTGACAAAAAAAAAGCTTTTCCCCTCAATTGCTTTAGAATGCCGAATGCCTGTTTGCAGTGTATTGATTTTGACATTTTCACATTTGAAGCATGTAGAATACATAACTTAGCAATGAACTAGCTTAGTAACCTCAGATTTCGCTGGGAGGATGTCCTTGAGCTCTAAATGGCCACTGTTGATTCTGACAAAGTGGTATGTGGGGGTATTCACGCCATGACAGTGGCAGTTCTAGTTATTTCAACTGAAAAAAAAGGAAATTATGGTTATTTTACACAGAAAATTTTTGAAATTTATCAACAATAAGTATTAAATATAGGGTTGTATTAGGTATTTAAAAAAAAAAAACAGGTTTATTATTTATTTTTATTTTACACAGAAAATTTTTGAAATTTATCAACAATAAGTATTAAATATAGGGTTGTATTAGGTATTTAAAAAAAAACAACAGGTTTATTATTTATTTTTTCGATTGTTTAAATGGCTTTCATTCTTCTGACAGAATAAAGGAGCTTAAACTGAAAATATAATAAAAAATACCATTAAAAATCAATAGTAAAATAGTTTTTATATTCCAAAAACAGGTATACTGGTCTTGATGACAAATACATGCATAAAAATAAGTTACTTCAAGTGAGATCGGAGTACCTAACTTGAAGGCAAGCCGCAACAATAGGGTGAATTCATATTTAGAAGTTTCAATTAAATAAGTCAGTGATCAAAAAAATCCAATTTAAATCTATAAATTGTAATATATTCCAGGTGACAGCATTGGTATAGATGTAAACTCTGTAAATGTAGATGACAAGTTTATACGCTACAGTGTCACTATGTTAGGATATGGTTACATGGGCGATCTACTCAAAGATAGTGACAGTAATAGATGGATGGGACCAAAAAGATATAATTGGTCAGGTAATGTAATTATTTTTGTATTTTTGGATAGATAATATAGATTGTACTATTACTGGCAAAGATTCTTACCTGTAATCTGTTGGAACCAGATGTAATCACCCTTCAATTGCCACCAGTTTAAATACCAGCATGCTTATCTGTGCAGTCAGACAATGCTCTATACTGTCGGCTTACTATCTTAAACTTTTCATCTTGATATCCCCAGAATTGATAATGGACAGTTCTAAAAATGAAGGCTGACAAGTCCATTTAAGAAATTCAGCAGGTAAAGGGCTTAACTATATTTATCCAAACTGAACCAGATAATTTGAATGAAAAAACTAAAATGCACACTGGCACCCTGTTATAACACTTATATTGGGGTCAAAGGTATCAAGTGCGATATAAACCTGATTTCTGATATATAATGCTCATCAGGAGATAGGATTGTTGATAGGTAGAAATTCACCATATTACTCCACCATTGTTCCTGTACATACATTGTTATATTTCAATCAATGAAAATCATTTAATATAACAAACTTGATTCTAAATTGTGTAAATAATTAACAAATACTATTTTGTATAAAATTATTAGGTTATGTATAAAAAAAAATGAAATTAAAATATCTATAACTATTTCTGTGGTGAGGCTTTACTTGCATTTACAAAGTCTTGTTAAAATCAATTAGGTAGTGTGCTTTAACTTGCATTTACTCAATTCTTCAAAATTTGTGCTTCACTGCTTTGAATTTGAGGTTTGATACCTGACTGACAAGTCAAAACAAACAAAAGAGCACATTTAAATATCTTTACTCCTTTTCAATCCCTGTCAAGATTAAAACAAACATAAAAAAGTGTTGTGTTTTTTGTGTTTTTTTTTACATTTTTTGCAATATAATTTTAATGTTCTTTTATTTTAATTTCAACATATTTTTTTCAGGAACAAAGAAATTTCTTGCTAACAATTCATATTATGGGGAAATAAAATTCCGGTTATCACCAAACAATGATAGTTCTCCAATAGATGAAGTCAAATGTGTTTCAGGGTAAGATATGTTGATAGTGGATCAAATATTGATCAAATAATGACTATATATTGGTTTTCATTTTTTGGGGATAATGTTTTCTCAAAAGATAAAAGTAAAGGAAAATAAGTGAACAATACATGTAATTGAATTCAGTCCATAAAATTTCATAAATTTGTGTATAAACCCCTACTAAAGACATTTTGTGTGTGTGGATAAATGCGTTCAGTTAAGAAGTAAGAAAATACATGTCAAACATAATTTGTCCTGTAGCATATTTTATTTTTACCTGTTTTTTGTCTGTTTTTTTTTTTAATGATAAAAGAACAGAACGGAAAAAGAAAGACTCTAAGATACTTTATTACATTAAGTCGTTATATTTCTTAAATTTAGAATGATCATTGATTAATTTTGTTAACTTTTCATGGATAAAAGTTTGTTATTTATCATTGTTCTGAATGTATGATACAAGTATGTGTTAAGTTTATGAATATACATACATATGTTGTTATTGTAGATGTGAGACATGTTATAGAGCTAGAGAGAATGTCAACAGTAGATTATGTGATAACTTTATAGAACATGTAGATTTCTCCGCTGGCGGAGCTGATCTCGATAGTTCAGGTAATCTAAGTACCAAATTGAGCCGCGTCACTACAAAACCAACATAGTGCGTTTGCGACCAGCATGGATCCAGACCAGCCTGCACATCCGCGCAGTCTGATCAGGATCCATGTTGTTCGCTATCAGTTTCTCTACTTAGGGTTTATAGGGTTTTGTAAGCGAACAGCATGGATCCTGATCAGACTGCACGGATGCGCAGGCTGGTCTGGATCCATGCTGGTCGCAAACGCATTACGTTGGTTTTGTCATGACGTGGCTCAAATGTTTTAAATGACCTACACTTTGTTATAATCATTACAGCAGATTTCTATTTTTATCCTATAATACCAATTACTTGTACTTTAACAAACAGTAAAAAATTTTTGCTATAGATTATTAGTGGTGAAGAAAAATATTTATTGTTTTGTATTCACTCGAAAGACTCGTAAGTAACAAGTGTATTAAATAATCACAATAAAAAAAATTGTACTTCCCTTGTATTAAATATTGATTAATTTCTTTACATTGTAGTAGATGGTGAAGGTGAATGGCAGACTGTGATAGGAAAGTTTGTAGCTGTTAATATGGTAACAATGAGCTGTAGCTGTGATCTAAGTCCTGCTGGCATGTCACCATATTGTCACCTTGGTGATGGGTGTATGGATCTCATTTTAGTACAGGACTGTTCACGAATAGATTTTCTCAAATTTCTCATGAGAACTGCTAAAGGAGAAGAGGTAAGTCTGTCATTTATTAATTTTTTCTGAAATTATTCACTGGAGCAGTGTCAGTGGAGTCAGTTTGTCCTTCTTTTCTTCTGTCTGTGTGTGTGTGTGTTACACTTACTTACCATCTTTGATTGCGCCATCAATTATTGACAGATACCATAGATATTTGGTGTTTTGGTATTTTGTTATAAGCCTCTACCCTTTGATGGGGTTCCTGGTCAATTTGTTGAAGGTCACTATGACTAAAAATAGATCGATGTTATCTTTTAGCTTTTGGAGCACCTGTCATGTGTAATCAGTATTCTTGGACTTTGAATGTGTCTTCTAGGGAACTCTATGTTTTGATAACTAAGATTCTTGGACTGTGGGAATTTTGTCTTGAATGTAAAGGTGGTTTTACCTTGATGTCCAACTTGAATGCATGGAGGGGTATTTAATGGTACTTTTCTTCGTGTGAAGCTGGGATGTGTACAAACAACATAAATGGTTCCAATTTAAATTGAAACCTTTTACAACAACAAAAGATTATAATGTATTGATTACTAAAGTATGCCCTATTTATATCTAGAAAAAGGCTTTTACTTACAAGCCGAATAAAAACAGGCGAGATAGCAACCATTGTTGATGCCTTCATGAGAAGTAACAGTAATTTATCTGAAAAAGAAAGATTAAAGTTCCTGGCCCTTTTTAGTTAAATATCATTGCAAAAGGCATTTCAATGTTTTAATATCAATTAAAAAGATTAAATTGATTACTTTGAGATGATAAAATACTTATTTTTTTTGTATCAATATCAAATGAAATATGGGGATGCAATCAGCGTTATATGTCTGAACATAATAAAAGATATTTAAATATTTAATAGTTCATGCCTATTCTGTTCTTATGATTTTGTGACACATGTTAGATTTATTTTCATTCTTTCTTACTTTTTAGCGTCACCAGTTAGATTTTATACAAATGCACCGAGTAAAAGAGTTTACATTCCGTCCTCTAACTGAAGAGTCAGACTTAGACAGTATATCAAATGGTGAAGATATGTCATCAAGTAAAATAGCCAAATTAAAACGACAAACTTCCAAAACTAGTGTATGGAATTGTGACGGTGAAGTTATTCCACATCCAAAAGTTAATGTCAGGTATAAATGCCAAGTTTTATTATCTATTGCTCATCTAGAAATAAATGTCCGGTAGGAAATTTTTACTATATAAGTGAGTCCAAAAGAAAATGTCCGTACTATATTTCCTATTTCACATCCAAAAGTAAACGTTGGACAGGGGTACTATAAGTAATTAACCTTTCAACAACCTCATTATCTGTTAGGAACAAATATGAAAATATTAACTATCCTAATTTAAATGTCACATTTCATTGTCCTTAACTGTTTTAACTGCCCTGCAAAAAAGTAAATGTTGTTAGGAATGTATAAATTTGATAGTAATTCTACATTGAAATGTAAATGAATTGTTTGTATTTATATATGAAGTTTTCAAGATCCTTAACTTTCGAAATTGAAAAAAACCAAAAAAAACCCAATGGGAATAACTTTATTTCCTAAACATGATTGGTTTTAAGGGAAGCAACTTTTTCTTACACCACAATTTTTATGACAATTTAAGTCTAAAGGCGGCAGCTGCTCTCCCCTGTCCATTACAATTCCAAGCCTTACAGCAAATTGTGCATATTCATTTTTGTGTCGCCTTGAAAAAGGCGACATATAGGGGTTACTTTTGTCGGGGGCGTCGTCGTCGTTGTCAGCATCCCCTTAAGCTTTTCCAAAGCATAAGTCAGTCATTATAAGTTGATTGACTTCAAACTTGGTATGCATGCTTCTTATAATGACCTGAAGTGCAGTGCACAAGAACTGGTACTCTGCATTTCTTAATTTTTGAGTAATTGCCCTTTGTTAATTTTTATACTTTATTTTTGTCCACGCCATTTCTCCTAATGTATAAAAGCTATGGACTTGAAACTTCATAGGATGACAGATCATATTAAGAAGAAGTGCAATGCACAAGAACCGGTACTCTGCATTTCATATTTTTTGAGTTATTGCCCTTTGTTAATTTTCATACTTTATTTTTGTCCAGGCCATTTTTAGTAAAAAAGCTATTGACTTGAAACTTGGATGATAGATCTTATTGATAAGAAGTGCAGTGCACAGAAACTGCTGCTCTGCACTTCTTATTTTTTGAGTTATTGCCCTTTGTTAATTTTCATATTTCATTTTTGTCCTGGCCATTTCTCCTAAACTATATTGTTCACAAGGCGACACATCCGACTTGCGGAGTTCTAGTTTGTAAAACATTCTTCTTTATTGATGCAGACGACAAATTTTTAACTTTTGTAATACTGCATATTTGTAATGTCCTTTTTAGCTCGACTATTCGCAGAATAATCAAGCTAATGCAGTCACCCATTTGTCGGTGTCGGCGTCCCTGTGGTTAAGTTTTTGCGTGCAAGCTGGTATCTCCATAACTACTGAAGGGAATGGATTGAAACTTCACACACTTGTTCTCTGTGATTATCTTACATGATTGGCACAAGTCCTATAACTCGGATTGGCTTTTTTGCATAATTATGCCCCTTTTACGACTTAGAAATTCTTGGTAAAGTTTTTGCGTGCAAGCTGGTATCTCCCTAACTACTGAAGGGAATGGATTGAAACTTCACACACTTGTTCTCTGTGATTATCTTACATGATTGGCACAAGTCCCATAACTCTGATTTGCTTTTTTTGCATAATTATGCCCCATTTTTTGACTTAGATATTCTTGGTTAAGTTTTTGCGTGCAAGCTGGAATCTTCATAAATACTGAAGAGAATGGATTGAAACTTCACACACTTGTTCTCTGTGATTATCTTACATGATTGGCACAAGTCCAATAACTCTGATTTGCTTTTTTACATAATTATGCCCCTTTTCGACTTAGAAATTCTTGTGCAAGCTGGTATCTCCATAACTACTGAAGGGAATGGCTTGAAATTTCACACATTTGTTCTCTGTGATTATCTAACATGATTAGCACAAGACCTATAACTCTGATTTGCTTTTTTGCATTATTATGCCCCTTTTTCTACTTAGAAATTCTTGGTTAAGTTTTTACGTGCAAGCTGGTATCTCCATTACTACTGAAGGGAATGGATTGAAACTTCACACACTTGTTCTCTGTGATTATCTAACATGATTGGCACAAGTCCCATAATTCTGATTTTTGCTTTTTAGTATTATTATGCCCCTTTTTGGACTTCATAAATTCTTGGTTAAGTTTTTACATGTAAGCAAATATCTCCAAAACTACTGAAGGGTTTGTGCCTTTTTTATGCATTCATAATAATAAAGCAGTGATTGACTCAATAAAACATCTTAATAACAAGCCTTTATGTATTCATATAGGTAAGCATTATTATACTCAATGAAACACACTTGTGACAACTTTTTGAATAGTCGAGCGTTACTGTCCTCCGACAGTTCTTGTTCATTGAATTATGGTGATGTTAATATAATTTGTATACACAGCTGCATTAGATTTATGAATTAATTTCCGGTTTTTTTTGCTAATAAAATAAGTTTGCAGTATTATAAATTTGTTATAAAGGTTCTTGACAGGTTATATAGCAATATTTTCTTATGGTTATTCACAAAATAACACTCGATTTGCCTATTTGCTTTTGTTATATATACAAACAACCATTCATATAGAACCATATAACCTGTGAAACATCATTATAATTAATAATATATTTGTAGCATTATATTCATAACTACATCATTTACACATATATACATTGTTTTTTAGGGTCCATTGTCAACTAGTTAAGTTGTTCGCTAGAGGTGTAGAGGATCTGAATATGACCGAGGACCAAAAATGTAAGACATGTTGTAATCCAGCATTTGAAAAGTTGTGATATATTTGATATTTCATCGCAGTTCTTTGCAGTATCTCACTGGGCTGATCTTCCAATCATTCAAGAAGGAGGCTAAAAGAAACAAAAGTAATTTTCAGTGTTGTTAATTGTTCAATATTTGAAAATCCTATCGCTATGAAATCCTACATTATAATCTTTGATCATTTACACAACTTGTAAAAATTATTATTAGGCAAGCATTTTCAGGCATAGGCTTGATTGTTAATTTGATAACTGTGAATTATGGCTCTTGTGGGTGAATACCTTGTTTCTTCTTGTGTCTACCTACTTATCACCCTCTGTGATATCTACAGTCATATCAATATGAATGACCTACTTCTGTACTGGTGCTTGGCAGCACACAAATTTTATTCTCCTATAAAGTTGCCCCATTGTAATATTTATTGGTTCTACAATAAAAATTAATCAGCATTAATTTTGTAAAACATTTTAATGTTTCAGAGGCTTATTTTATATACCCCTGTATATATCAGAGAGCAAATGTGATAATTATGCAAATGGCTAGGCCCCCTACTTATTGTGGAATATGGTATATACAGTATTTTTTTCTATAATTGCCATCAATTGTTAGTTAGTCCATTATTCTTGCTTTGCTTTAATTTTTTTTCATGTGAAGAACAAGTCTTTGAAATATTTGTTTCCACTATAGAAACTTAGTAGAGACAGCATTTGTCCACCAGATCCCAGAGTTCACATCCATTAATATAGCATTTTGACTTGGTTTAGAACAATATTTATTATACTATTGGACCCCTTCATTTCTTGATATGATTCTAAACCCCCAACACTTTTCATCATGAAATGTTTTTTTTTTTATAATGTGTACCCGTATAACATTTTTTTATCACAGAAAATAAAGAAAATAATGAGAAGTTCTTAAATATTTTCCTCTTTTTATTCATAACAGAAATCATTAGTCTGTTGTTGCTACTTAAGTTTATATAACATGATTTCAATGGCGTTTTTACTGGATTGCTCATTTAAATAACAAAATTCATGTTTTAATTAAAGAAATTGTTATAGTTAAGTTTTAGAATATTTTTTTTGGTATTATTTATTTTAATGTAAAGTTGTTTTGCTGTATGTTTTATTCCTGTAGAATTGAATTGCCTAATTTTCAATGTTATTTGTATTCAACAAAGATTACAGGCTGTAGAAATTCGCCATTCACGATGAAGAACTTAGCTCTTTTATTAAGATGATCAAAATTTTTGAGTGTAGATTTCTTCTTGTGAGTATTGTTCATTACTTATAAGTCATACATTTTTAGCTCGACTTTTCTATGAAAAGGGGAGCTATCCTACTCGCCCCGGCGTCGGCGTCGGCGTTAGCGTTGGCGTCACACCTTGGTTAAGTTTTTCGTACCACCCCACTTTATTTCAGAAGTATTACAAGTATGGCTTTGAAACTTACCATACTTGTTCACCATCATAACCTCCATCTACAGACAAGAGTACATAACTCTGTCAAGGTTTTTGACAGAATTATGGCCCTTTTTTGACTTAGAAAGTGTATTGAGCTTGGTTAAGTTTTTTGTACCACCTCACTTTATTTCAAAACCATTGGAGGTATTGCTTTGAAACTGACCATACTTGTTTACCATCACGACCTTCATCAACAGACAAGAGGACATAACTCTGTCAAGGTTTTTGACAGAATTATGCCCCTTTTTGACTTAGAAAATACATTGAATATGGGTAAAATCCACTTATTGCCTTAACCCTTTGAGATATTGCTTTGAAACTTTTAATGCTATTTCACATCATTACCCCCATCTGTACGCAAGAGAAGGTAACTCTGTCAAGGATTTGTTTTAAAAATTAAGGCCTTTTATCGACTTAGAATCTTGGTTAAGTTTTTAGTACCAGTCCACTTTTTGACTGAACTGTTTGAGATATTAATTTGAAAGTTGGAATACTTGTTTACAATCATGATTCCCAAACATGTCCAGGAGAAGGTAATTCTGTCAAAGATTTTATTTGAATTATGGCCATTGTTCACTTTAAAAATACAGAGATTCTTGTATTGCCTTTTACTGCAAAAACTTTTTTTATTGGCAAGCAATAAAAAAGTCGAGCGCGCTGTCTTACGGACAGCTCTTGTTATCTATCTACTGAGTAACAGTATATGTATTCTTTTCAAAATATCTATGTCCATTTTTAGCTCGACTTTTCTATGAAAAGGGGAGCTATCCTACTCGCCCCGGCGTCGGCGTTAGCGTCGGCGTTAGCGTCGGCGTTGGCGTCACACCTTGGTTAAGTTTTTCGTACCACCCCACTTTATTTCAGAAGTATTACAAGTATGGCTTTGAAACTTACCATACTTGTTCACCATCATAACCTCCATCTACAGACAAGAGTACATAACTCTGTCAAGGTTTTTGACAGAATTATGGCCCTTTTTTGACTTAGAAAGTGTATTGAGCTTGGTTAAGTTTTTTGTACCACCTCACTTTATTTCAAAACCATTGGAGGTATTGCTTTGAAACTGACCATACTTGTTTACCATCACGACCTTCATCAACAGACAAGAGGACATAACTCTGTCAAGGTTTTTGACAGAATTATGCCCCTTTTTGACTTAGAAAATACATTGAATATGGGTAAAATCCACTTATTGCCTTAACCCTTTGAGATATTGCTTTGAAACTTTTATTTCTATTTCACATCATTACCCCCATCTGTACGCAAGAGAAGGTAACTCTGTCAAGGATTTGTTTTAAAAATTAAGGCCTTTTATCGACTTAGAATCTTGGTTAAGTTTTTAGTACCAGTCCACTTTTTGACTGAACTGTTTGAGATATTAATTTGAAAGTTGGAATACTTGTTTACAATCATGATTCCCAAACATGTCCAGGAGAAGGTAATTCTGTCAAAGATTTTATTTGAATTATGGCCCTTAACTGTCAATGTTTTGTATTATAGGCAAGCACTAAAAAACTTAAAAAATCTAAAAAAATTCATTCCTATCCACTTGTTCACTTTACCATAAATTATGTCATATAAACATTGCTGTAATATTCAAGGGTATCAAACAACTAGTTATTTTTCTCTTTTTGTACTTGAAATTAAAATCAGTAGTATATGCATATTTCACATTTTATCTCGCCTATTTGATTGGTGGACAAGTTACACAATTCAGTAAAATAATTCTTCACTAAATATCTTAATGCTCATGGCCATTGTTCACTTTAAAAATACAGAGATTCTTGTATTGCCTTTTACTGCAAAAACTTTTTTTATTGGCAAGCAATAAAAAAGTCGAGCGCGCTGTCTTACGGACAGCTCTTGTTATCAATTATTCTACCTATTAAGTATTAGTTAGATTTATCATTTTATTTTACAATTTTCAATGCAAAGGGTTAACAAATGTAATTCAAACAGAAAATGCAATTTCATATGTTTTAATTAGATGTAGAAACTTTTAACATGCCATGCTTAATTTGCAAATAGTTGGTTGTTATGAAATTTTGTGTACACAGACATAAAAGATCTAAAGTGTAATTGGTGTTTTAAGAAGTTATGAATGTAAATTATGAAATGAGAAAATTTAAGGTTTACAAATAGTTTACCTTTTATAGACTTAAAAACAATAGTTTTTTCTTCTCGAATTTCAGCGTAAAATTTAATTTTGCATATCTAGTTTTTGTCATTTTTGTTATAATAACCTGATTCTAAAACTACCAGCTAATGCACAAAATCTGCAAGTTGTAAAACAAGTTAACAAGTTTATTTGTTATTATATACAACCATGCTGTAATTTATATGGCTATGATCATGTATAATGTGTATATCTGTAATTTTACTGGGAAGTTATTTTTGTTATTCTTTTTTATTTTGTCATATTTTAAATGACATAAAAATCAATGCACTTATTATTGATTAACAAAACAATGCACTTTTGATTATGTAACTAATTTGTTTTTTCTATGATTAATATATACCTGCAAAAAAATCAATGCATATTCTAATTAATTATAATAGTGTTCATATATAAAAAATAAACATTGTGTTTTGTTCTATAAATCATTTTTACTGTTAATTTGTACTATGTTTTATTTTTATACTAACTTATGTGATTCAGAATTTTGAACAAAGTGAGAATGAAAATATAATATATTTGTATATGGAATATATTTCACTGATGGAAATTTTTATATGCATGAAAAAATATTAGAGCGCTGTAGGATATATGTGAACCATCGGGTATTTTCATTATAACTCTTAGAAGTATAATTCTATTAAGTTCTTCACTTAAAAATGACAATCAAAACGTCTTTTTTCTGTTGCCGTCCACCCAGCGCCAGTACGTTCAAGTGAATGTTTATTTTTGCATGTTGTGAAATCTCAGAGGATCATGCCACTATCTTATAATAACCTTAAGAAAATATAGTCAATACTTAAATTCATAAAACATTTTTATGATATATTTTATACAAGTAAACTATAAATTTTGGGTGAAAAAAATCTTCTTATCAACATGTGATCATATTTTAGTTGTTTATACTACTTGATTCATCATATAATGTGGTTCCAATACTCGTAACAACATTTTATTGATGTTGGGTATTTTGGAACAGGTAAATATCAAATGTTTAGTATGTTATTATATATTATAGAAACGTATCATTAACTCATTTTGAAGTTGTGTTTGTACATCAGATATGTTTTTGTAAAAATACATCTTATATAAAATCTAGAGAAAGGGCAGGGAAAATATGGATAAAACAAATTGACTCAGACTTAAAGCGTAAAAAACTGAAAAGCAAAAGGGAACCTGACTTCTTAGATTCCGACATATCAGTTTATTTTGGTGACGATGGTCTTGCAGATATGAATACTGGCATTACACTTACATGCTAATCCTGTGACATTCCTTATGTTAATAAAAGCACTATATTTATTCCAGCACGTTGAAAGCATAGCACAATCTATTGTATCATAGTACAAAACAAAGACAAGGAAAGGAGGAATTGCCGATTTGACAATATATTTATCCAAGAATAGCGCTAGTTATTGCACCTTTTTTCGATAGTGCATTAACATCTGCAGTCGCCCTCAGACTTTTTAAATCCCTCACTGGGCAGGCTCAGGCTTAAAAGTGCCCTCATGCTTCTGAAGATATTAATGCATACAAAAAGGTGCATTAACCCTCTAATAGTAATCGAAATGAACAGATAAATTGAATCACATTTAGACCATTTTACCTCACATACTCTAAAGAAAGCATCATAATATAGTATATTTAATTAAGACTTGTTTAAGAATTTTTAAATCAAATTGGACTATGCAAAATAATATTTTGTGTTCTATGTTTTGTTACAAAACTATTTTATACTAATATTAACGTTTCTCAAAATGCCCTTCTTTCTGTCCATAAATACCAGAGGCGTTCCAAAACTGCCTCCTCATGTTGTTCTTTTTAACAAGGTATATCACATTTGTTTTGCATATGCTTATGATAGTGGCCCATTATAGATGATAGTCTTAAAGAGTTTATCTTAAGTTTTCAATACCAATACTGAAACAAGCATATTTAAAATCACAGTAACAAATATGCCTTAGATGTCCCAATATACCCGACAATGCTCTATAAAGAATATTAAGGGCCTATTTCTATACAGAATGTCCCTTTGTTGTCCACAGTTAACAGAATAGGATTTGCGTTAGACCTGCAGATGTAGGATATGCAGGTGTACATTCACTCTAGGTTGCTCTGTATTATGTTGTTTCCTGACACTTAAGTTGAAGATAAAATAAGTTTTTCTTTCAAAGTACACTCATGAGAAAGTACAACCATGAGATTGTACATTTAAGAGAAAATACAATCATGAAAAAGTACACTTGAGAAAATATAGTCATGAGAAACAGAATAAATGCAATTATGATAATATAATGTATTATCCAATGGTTTTGTGAGTTTTGTGAAACTTAAGTTAATTATTGTGATATCATGTTTTGCTTTTAGTTGTGTTTTCATTTTGATGTTGTCAACCGATGTAAAAAAAATAGCTAGAGGTGTGTTAAGATGTTGTATGCTCATATTTTCTAGATTAATGTTAATTAAATTGTTATCATGGATACAGGAAAAATATGTTATTTTGAGAAATATGATGTTGTATGCAAAAATATATGAAACATATTTCAATTTTACTAAATATACATTATATATGTAGCATTTTATAGTGAAAGATTTTATCCAAAGTAGCTCATATTAAACTATTGAAAATAATGATATTTTAATAAACTTATGTTCTTATTAAAGTTAATCATGCAAATATTTATTGAACTCTATATATTTCTCAAGATATTTTTTTCTATTTCAAAGCATTCCAATTCTGTCGTGCCATGTGTTTAATACTAACTACATATCTTTAACTTGTTGCCACAATGACCGTCACAAAATTATTTGGAATTTTGTAACTTTTTTATGGTAATTTTTTTCTAAATGTATTATTGAAATGTATTTGTATTTATAGGCAAGACAATTTTAGATATAACAAATGTCCTCTTATAAATATTTGAGGTAAGATTTTATATTTGACTGTAGTATATGCATAGAGTAATTTTTTTCTCTGTTTATTTCATACTTTTTAATGGGATTAAATCAATTTTACCGACTTGATGCAAAATATCATGCATTCACTTTTACGATGTCATCAAATTAGGACATCACAGTGTTTTTGTTAAAAAAAAACAATTCTGTAAAATTTCACAAATTTTAATAGGTGCAGATTATATGCTTCCAATAATCATTTGCATTTTGATAATAATAGAGCACTTATCCAATGAACTTTCCTTTCATTTATAAAATATTCTTACCATCTGCATTCAAATATAGTTTTGACAACTGTGAAATAATATTTTAAAAATTTCACATTGAAATTATCAAAATAAAATTTTGTTTTCAGCTAAAAAGCATGTGATAAGTAGTGTTTTGACAGATTTTCAGTAATTTTTTAAAAATTTTATAGCTTCACAAACTTGTCACAAATGAAAATTTTCAGATATTTGAAAAAAGTCTTTCTGTTAACATTTAAAAATATACGAGTACTTGTAGTTGATATGCAATTTTGAATGTATCCAAAACAGTTCTTTAAAAATATGGGGAAGTACTTATTTCCCTTTATTCCTATGACATATCTCCCTTTATCTATCTATCTATCTGTCTGCCATTATATTAATGCCAAACAACTTGCAGGGACCTAGACATGTCTGCATGTCAAAATTGCAAGAAAGTTAAAAAGATTTGTTTCAAAAACAGGATGAAAAAGAATTAATATTAAAAATGTTAAAAACGGGTCTGGAAAACTAGGGTGAGACATGTTCAATGCAAGCTATAGCTGCATTGAAATGCTCTTGGGTAGGGAGTAGGGCAACTGCAGGGGGTAGGTGATTCCCATGGTATACCATCCTTGGAAGTTGCTGCGAATGACCTATAACACAGGCGATGGCCCTGGTGTGATGTTTGGGAGAGGGGTGTCACATATTCTTCTATACTAACAGAGGCATCGGTCAACCATGGCACCATGGTTAAGTTATTATTTTTTTTTATATTTTGCCCTTTTTTTTCACGAAAACCATTGAGTTCTTGCTTTCTTTGATACTTGAACTTTTTATTTAAAGCCATCATCTATATCTATATGCAAAATTACTTAATTTTATTAATTATTTTTCTGTTAAGAGAAGTTAAATCTGTCAAAGATTTTGCGACAATTATGCCCCATTTTCAACGATACTGTCTTGTAGACAACTTTACTTTAATATTTAGTATTATGTATGGGTATAAGATATGAAATTTAATTTTACAATGTTAAAAAGATTTACTCAATTTTTGAGTGTCTCCAGCTGATTTTATAGGACAGTTAGAAGTGTGAACCGAAACTTGTGTATAATTATGTTCTATATATATTATTCAGATATGTATCTTTAACTTTTAAAAGATGGTTACTTAGACATTTATTATAAATATTTCCATTGCGTAAGATTTGATTGTTTAATTAATTTTGTTTTTATTTATTTATATTTCCTTTGTTTTTATATGCTTATAAGAATTTTGTGGATAATGTTATATCCACCAGGTCTTTTGTGACTTGTTATCATACAAAAATTTTATTATAATGGAGATGTTTCACAAAAATTACATGTATCAGTCTCTTCCCTTACTGAACTATTATTTTTTTTATTACAATAACAAAGTTATATTCAAGTGTATATTGTCCCACCTTTGTGGTGCTCTTGTTTATATTGTAGAACTGTTTTTCATTGTGTATATTATAATTTAATTATTAATGGCATAGTATGTCAATTTCTTCAGAAATTTGTATACTGTAACTGAGAAGAAACTTTCGTTTTAATTAGATTGGGTAATTAATAGATGGGGAAATTTCTTTTTTATAAGGTATCCATTCTACACATATGTATTGAGATTTTTACATGTTAGGGGTTCCCCTGGAACAGCTGGGCTGTCAATTTTTCCACTGCTTATAAATGAGCTGCGTCATGGCAAAACCAACATAGTGTGTTTGCGACCAGCATGGATCCAGATCAGCCTGCGCATCAGCGCAGTCTGATCAGGATCCATGCTGTTTTGTTATCAGTTTCTCTACTTGTTATAGAGTTGGTAAGCGAACAGCATGGATCCTGATCAAACTGCGGGGATGCGCAGGCTGGTCTGGATCCATGCTGGTCGCAAACCCATTATGTTGGTTTTGTCGTGACGCGGCTCAAATACTTATAAAAATTGTTTTTACATAGAGAATTCATTAAAAAATTAAAGTTTATGCATTGTGAAATGAAATTTTCATCATATATCATGTTTAATAGGGAAAAAAGTTTTCTTTCCTACAAATGTTTTTATCTACCTGTTGGTCAGGCATTGTACTTACTCTAAAAAAAGAAGATACATGTATAATTTAAAATTTTAATTAAAGCAATAGGCCTCTAGCTTCATACTAATCTCACCCCACCCCTGCCTTTTGAAATATTAAAAGTTTCCTTAGTAGTATAATTATTATACATTTGTACAAATAAAGTTATTTAAACTATTAAAGTCAGAAACTATCAAACTGTCAAATTATCTATGGGTGTAGAAATATGCAAAAAGTTGACTATCATTGTAATAGGTGGAATTATATACGGTAATTGAAATAAGGACATTAACCATATTTTCTATGAGTCATGAATACATTGTATTGAATTCTTACACACTTCTTCAATTCTAAATGTATTTTTTTTATTATTTGTATTGTTTAACTTTAAGCATGGAGGAGACATCTGAATATACCCATGCAACCAGTGGAGACCAAGATCAGCTGGCCATAGTCATGCTGTCTGATTATGGTCTGCACTTTTTGCTATTTAGTCAGTGTATATTGTGAAATTTTCCCCTCAAAATGGTGAATGGTTTTGTCCAGATTGAAAGTTAAGCAAGTCCATTTTAGATATTAAGTGAATGTAAGGGTATATTATCTTGAGTTTTAGGTCCATTTTAAATTTCAACATCTGCATATATGTACCAAGGTTTATTGGGTCTCAAACATACTTTATGTATATGTTTTGAGTTTAGAAGTATATACGGTATTAGATGCAATAAATTCACTTTTTGGTTATTTTTTCATATCAGTTTACTGTATAAGATAAAAATCCAATGTTTTGTTATTTTTCTCTGGCAAATAAAAGCTCTATATTGTGTACATGATTTATACTTTATCTGATCCTTCAAGGTGTTAATATTGTAGCATTATGTATACCCTGTTTACTGCTGGTTCATGTATGAACTTCCATAATAAAAGTAGTACTACAACTTTCAGGAAAATGTAAAGATGTATCTGCTCATCTGTCTTTCCTGTACGAGGATGAAGATAGTTGGCGTGTTTAGCCATTAAAAAGTGTTAAATAGTGGAATAAAAGAAGACCTAAACAAAATATATCCATTGTGTAGAGGGTTTGTTAAAGGTAAAAGTAAACGAAGTCATCATATTGAACTGGTTAAGTTTAGGCAAGACACAATGTAAGGGTGGGGGGAGGCTTTAACTTTGTAGAATTTAGGCCTGTCTGAGCTGGGGATAATTTATAGCTCTGCAGTCTGCATCTGAGCATGTCAGGAGGGGTGAGATAGCTTTCTGTAGGGATGGCAACTTGACGATTGCCGAGTTTATACATCATTGAGAGCCTACAGTCATTATTATACCCCCAAAAACAAAGTTTGGGGGGGTATATAGGAGTCACCCGGTGGTCGGTTGGTCGGTCGGGCGGTCGGTCGGTCGGTCCAGACGTCCGTTGCATTTTCCTTGTCCGGACCATAACTTGAAGACTAATGGTTGGAATTCAATATAACTACATACAATGGTCAAGCACATTGAGAGGAAGTGCAGTGCACAAGAACCATAACTCTATCTTGACTAATTACAGAGTTATTGCCCTTTGTTACTTTTCCTTGTCCGGGGCATAACTTGAAAACTACTGGTTGGAATTCAAACAACTTCATACAATTGTCAAACACAATAAGGGGAAGTGCAGTGCACAAGAACCATAACTCTATCTAAAGTAATTTCAGAGTTATTGCCCTTTGTTACTTTTCCATTGCTTTCTTTTGTCCGGACCATAACTTGAAGACTAATGGTTGGAATTCATATAACTACATACAATGGTCAAGCACATTGAGAGGAAGTGCAGTGCACAAGAACCATAACTCTATCTTGACTAGTTACAGAGTTATTGCCCTTTGTTACTTTTCCTTGTCCGGGGCATAACTTGAAAACTACTGGTTGGAATTCAAAACAACTTCATACAATTGTCAAACACAATAAGGGGAAGTGCAGTGCACAAGAACCATAACTCTATCTAAAGTAATTACAGAGTTATTGCCCTTTGTTACTTTTCCATTGCTTTCTTTTGTCCGGACCATAACTTGAAGACTAATGGTTGGAATTCAATATAACTACATACAATGGTCAAGCACATTGAGAGGAAGTGCAGTGCACAAGAACCATAAATCTGTCTTGACTAATTACAGAGTTATTGCCCTTTGTTACTTTTCCTTGTCTGGGGCATAACTTGTAAATTACTGGTTGGAATTCAAAACAACTTCATGAAATTGTCAAACACAGTAAGGGGAAGTGCAGTGCATAAGAACCATTACTCTATCTAAAGTAATTACAGAGTTATTGCCCTTTGTTACTTCTCCATTTCTTTCTTTTGTTTGGAGTATAACTTAAAGACTAATTGTTGGAATTCATTATAACTTCATACAATGGTCAAGCACATTGAGAGGAAGTGCAGTGCACAAGAACCATAACTCCATCTTGACTAATTAAAGAGTTACTGCCCTTTGTTACTTTTCCATTGTTTTTTTTTGTCCGGAGCATAACTTGAAGACTAATGATTGGAATTCAATATAACTTCATACAATGGTCAAGCACATTGAGAGGAAGTGCATTGCACAAGAACCATAACTCCATCTTGACAAATTACAGAGTTATTGCCCTTTGTTACTTTTCCTTGTCCAGAGCATAACTTGAAAACTACTGTTTGGAATTCAATACAACTTCATACAGTTGTCAAGGACATTAAAAGGAAGTGCAGTGCATAAGAGCCATAACTCCATTTTGACAAATTACAGAGTTACTGCCCTTTGATACTTTTCCTTGTCTGGAGCATAACTTAAAACGTACTGGTTGAAATTCAAAACAACTTCATACACTGGTCAAGCACAAAAAGAGGGAGGAAGTGCAGTGCACAAGAACTATAACTCCATCTTCAGTATTTATAGAGTTATTGCCCTTTGTTCCTTTTCTTTGTATTTCTAGACTTATTACAGAGTTATTCAATAAAACTTCTTCAATGGTGAACCACATTGAAAGGAAATGCAATATACAAGAACCACAACTATCTTTAATTGCCCACCACCATAACTCTTTATTTCAATTCTTTTACAAGGTATTCTGTTACTAGTAACATCCTCATTTCCGAAGCAGTCTTGTGGGGGTATTAATCACATTTAGTGATAGTTCTAGTTAATCATGAGACGATGTGTAAAGTAACCACTTTGTCGTACTTTCACTGCGGGCGAAAACAAGAAAATATTTTGTCGTATTTTCGTGTTTTTGTATTGCGCCCCTTGGAGCGAAAATACGACATGGCACAAATCAGCCACCATAGGTACATGACTCTTTGTCATTAATGGGGGGGATTTTAAGATAATTACCACACATGTTTGGCATATTTGCCGATGAGTCTTAACGAAAAACCAAGGTTTGTTGCCCAAAGGTCAAAATAACTCGAAAGATAAAAAGAAAATAACTAGAACATGTCACTGCTTCTTTCATATAATATTATTATTATATAACAGGATATAGTATATAAATTTTACATTCTTCTAGAAATTAACATAGAAAAAAAGTTTTCATCAAAGGTCGTTGTTTTTATTTTCTGTCGTTTTTTTTGGTCACATATTCAGTTAGAATCAAGTTTGTTTCTGATGAGCCAGCATGTTCCCAGGTAACTGACGATCATGCAAATAAATACAGCAACTCCACCTGAAAAACAAAAAATCTATTGTATATATGTAGCTAACTAATCAAGAATTGCCAATTTCCCCGCAAGTGACTGGGCCTTTATTACAATATCAAAGCATTTCAGGTAATGGAGAGTAAAAAGAAATTTATACTTGGGGCATATATTAATAAGTGGCAACAACTCAATTTAACCATGATTTGCGTGTGAAAATACATGTATAATATACGGTTGGAAAGATTATTGATTTTTTTAACCAATATTCTATTTTCGCACTTTTTGCACGTGCACTTAAATTTTAGTAGGTCATTTGTATTTGATTTGAGAGAGGACCAAAGAGTTATTGCAAAAACCATGGGTTAATAAATGCGCGTCAGAAATAAAAACGGATCTAGATTTAGTTTATGGAGAAAGTGCCCTAATATATCGTACAAATGCCAGGTGGATGTCAATGTGTTAGGAAGATAAAACAAATGTTAAGGATGATCCCGCCCTGGGCGGCCAATTTTCGCTACATCTGAAAAAAGACATCAGCATTGTCAAAGCCATAGCAGATGAAGATGTAACCGTGGAGAAGATAAGTGAGATACCGGGCTTTAGTGCGTCACATGTGTTAAAGTTAAGGGAAATGTGCGCCCGTGGGATTCCACATTTGCTAACTTCTGACCAAAAAAGGGAGCGGATTGAAAAAGCCTTGGCCTTATTAACTAGGTTTAAAGATCGTGACCCTAGACGTGAGATATTGTCACAGAGGATGAAACGTGGCTTTATTTTTTGAGCCCAACAATAAACTGAGTAACAAAATGTGGGTAGATGAAAACAGCGATCGCCCAGTTGTTGTTCGACGTAGCAGGAGCGTTAAAAGAGTTATGTACGCTCTATTTTTTGACAGTGATGGAATAGTGGCCCGTGTCGCTGTGCCTCAGAGGGGTAGTGTCGCTTGAACGTTTTACCATGACCATGTTCTCACTTCTGCAGTTAATCACTACATTACAAAGTACCCCAGGTCAGGGTCAGCCTTGGTTCAAGCTTATTTAGAGGAGCAGAGAATTGAGGTTTTGCTACCTCCCGCTTATAGTTCTTTCTGACCTCTCTCCTTGTCACTTTTGGTTAATCCAGACATCAAATCTTGCCTTCACGGTCGCCGGTTCGAAATCCATAGAGAGGTTGGAAGCGCTCTTTTCAGGTGTATAAACAATATACCCAAAGGCCAGTTCAAAAATGCATTTTTGGGAATGGATTCTGAGGCTGGAAAAGTATGTAAAGGTCTATGGTGAATATTTTGAAGAACTCTACTAATCATATTTCGCAGGTTTGACTTATTTATAAAAACGCGCTGCCGTTGCAACTAACTGAAATAATTTCATATTATGCCCCTTGTACTACATGTACAGTTAAGGAATTCGTATTGAATTTGCGTTGCAAGTTACTTAGAACCTCAGTATTTCAACAAATGTAGTTTATTTAATTTTTCAAAGATCAATTATGAAGCAAGTTTTTACAATTTAATATCAGTCAATCCCTGGACTAACCGGTACTGGTGTCATCATTATAATTATTATTTTTTTATTTTATTTTCATTGGGAAGAAATATACAATGGCCGCAATTTGTGCTGGAAGACATAACCCCTGATTAAAATACGGGTTATTTTCTCGCTTACCACTGCTGACGAGGAAAAAAACGCTCTATATATATCGAGTAAATCAGCTGCTTTGTTAGAGATGTTAGCGTATCATGATTACAAAGTTCATTTAAGTCTTCAGATTATGCTTGAATTCATTTTATATCGAAATTGCCCATATTGCCATTCCCGAGTTTAAAGTATCCAAGTTATTTGACATAAATAACTCATAGGTACCTGAAAAGTGAACTTTTAGCCCGAAACTTAACAAAGACCCTAACTCTTTTTTTGTCAACTTAACGTGTGTCTTGAAATTTAATCTTTTTTCGATATAAATCTAAATAAGTTATGTGAAATGAGCTGTGTTGTACAATAAAAATATATACCATGACTGGTGGTTGCACTGTCACAATCGTCTGCTAAATTGGCTTGCACTTCCGGTATCACTGGAATCATAATAAAAATCACGTGTAAACATTTAACTGACCATGTATTAGGTAATTTTCATAACGTGTGAGACAATCAGAAGAAAAAAAAAAACTAAATTCGGGAGTGTTAAATAATAAATTCTTCTTTTTCTAATCATCTTTAAGTAAAAAATTCCCTATCAGAAATTATTTATAAGATTTTCCATATTCATTAATATTTTAGCCTATAAAAATTATGTCTATGAATTTGAGATTCTCAAAAATGCATCACTATGCCACGGTTACAATTGACTTGAAAAAATGATTTCATAAGTAAATGAATATTAATTTTTTAAATGTACCATTTAAATTTTACAGAAGAAAGATAATGGTATGTCTTTTTCTCTATTTCTATCGCTTTTTCTATGTAAAAACTATGGGAATAGGTCAGTTTAATAACATTTAATTGTGTCCGTCTATATAAACATACACTATAGGTACAAACAAGAAAATCATATATTATAAGAATCTTACACCGGCTGCCGGTACAGACCGGAATATCTAGCTCGAGGGTAACTCTTTACAGTGGTAACGAGGCTCTGCCGAGTTTCCGCTAAACAGTTACCCGAGAGCTAGATATTCCCGTCTGTACCAACAGCTGGTGTTTGATTCTTTTTCTTGCATATTACATGTCAATTATTTTCGGAACTGAAATCATGAAAACTGATATCCTCATTACGCACGTTTTTCTTATATAGTAGCGTATGAACATACAACTTCATTTATAACGGAAAAATGACGTCATCCTAAGAACGCGATTCATTCATAAAAGGCGTGCGTCAATGACGTCATTTAAAGCACCCGACTTGTCTTACATGGGGGTGCAAGACAGAGGTGTAAACGGTAGATAATCCTGTCTGATATGCAAGAATAGAGCAGGAGTCATAACATTTGCAAACGGCGCGTTCCATAAGAAGTCTTAATTAACAGAAATTGAATGTAAACAGAAAAGTAAATAAAATGCCAGCATATATATCTAGGAAAGAGTATACTTTCTAGTTTGAAGCACACAATATATCGTTGATAATTTAGAATGTAAATTAATATATAAAAGATGGAATTGCTTGATTGGAGAAAAGGGAAAAAAGTCTAGTTTAATTGTTCGTCTGTCAGTACCTGATCTACGCAGAATAGAAAAATAAGTCATTATTTCGATTTAGTAATTTTTATATCTTGAAACGGAAAGTGTTTTTAATAGTTCAGTGGGTAGATCTCAATAAACATTTTACTATAATTTCTTTTTAAGTTTTAGTTATCAAAACCATTTTCGTTCTTTGTTTCTAATAGAAAAAATATTAATGAAATTAATAATATCGATATCGCTCGCAGGGGATATTGGACCGATTAAATAGAAAATCAACAACACTTGGTGCACACGATCAAATAAGAAAATTTAGATTTTTTTAAATCTATACCCCCACGCGCTCGCCAATTAAAGAAAAGTATAAAATAAAAAATAATAGTTAAAAATGGAAAAATATAAGGTAACACTATAAAATATGGTAAAAAAAGTATAATACCTGATCCGGCAAAAGTCAGAAACAAACTTAATAAGATGTACATCTCTTTTATTATATTCTAGATTAAGCAACGTAATATAGACAACTTCCAAGATAGAACTGAAATAACTCGTATATCTTTAAAAACAACGTAGTTCTAAAGCTTTCTCAAACGTGTATCTGAAAAAGAATACACCCATTTTAGATCCAGGTACTGAATGGTATAACATGTCAAAATGAAATTAGTGTAAGATTTTATCTTAACAATTCATCTATATAAAGGCAGTAAATCATGAAATTGAAACAGTTTTTCTTTTTTAAATTTTATAAATGCACCCACGTGCGCGTTCCTATACGCCGTGGATTTGGTAATATTAAAGTAACAATGCGTAAATGGGAGTATAATCAATTAAACCATGATTTACAGCTGAAATAAGTGTTATACAAATTTCAGTTATATACACAACTTACACAAGACGGGCCAGAAACGCTCAACTAATAATAAACTCGATATTAAAGTGTATCACAGACATTTGGAATCATATTAATCTATCTTTTTCCGCACGTGGATACATAATGGTTTAGATCTGAGTTCTGTTTTTGTTTTCTTCTTTCGGCTAATATTATAGGCCCAATATGCCTCAGACATGGTTTTATTTCTATTATGCCTTTCAGTTTTGGTGTTCTGTTATTGTTACTAAAAAGTTACTCCAATTTCCTGAACCATCTATTGCTTCCGTTGCTTTCCGGCAATAGTAAAATTAAAGTAATTTTATAATTTGTATGGAAGTCAAAATACTTCTTTGTTTACATTTTGCTACTATTATGATGAATAAGTTCGCCACTTTCTTAAGGTAATAAGTTACTTACATGTCCTAAAACCATTATTTTAATTTGATTAAACTCATGTTTGTTGTTTCTAAAGAAGAACAAATATATTCATTTTTTAAGCCTATAGTGTACAGCTAAAATCATTAAGCCAATTGTCTCGAAAATAAATTCTGTTTAATTTTGATAATCTCGTTAAATTAAGCGTTCGTAAAATAAAATTCAATTAAATCTGTTTAATCAGTTTGTGGTCAGATACTATATTTGAAAACATCCGATTCAGCTTTTATATTCGGTGGTGGATAAGATTAAGTCACATTGCAAGTGTGTGTCTGAGGTCTGTATAGGAAAGAAATGCAGGCATATGTTCAGCTAATGAAAGTTATAACGTGACCCTCTTCCGCTAGGTACCATACAAACCCTCTTCCGCCACCATACACATTTCGTGCAGCCATTATTGCCCATTTAATCTGGTTACGTGGTCATTTACCAAAACTCCTCATTGTGATTTGATAGGTCCATATCCGCAGATGGAATTAAGAATCTCTCGTGCTGATTATTAATACATTTTAATATGTTTTTTTCCGAGATGTGACGGAGAGGGCTGCCTCTTCATGAGATTGAATAATTTAAAGTAATTCACGTTGTTTGTAAACATGTTTTCTTCAATAGCTGATTTATTCATATAATTATTCATGTAGTACTCTCCCATTGTTAATCACTGTTAATCATTTAGCATGTCAAACTATTCGTTTAGTCCTCCACCGCAAGGAAAAATAGTTCTTATAATTTTTTGGTCCTCCCTAGTTTGGTTATCAAAATTATTATCATGTCATATTGATGTAGGTCCTAGTTATTTAGAAATAAACATGTCTTCTCGTGCGTTTAAATATCTATTCAAAGATTTCAAATCGTCCAAATCTTACATACTTTTGACATTTAAATAGTGTGAAAACATGGAGTAAAATTATCTCGTGATTTACGACTTATGCGAACAATTTAAAGAAAGGTGTGTTTAAAGAATAATAACTTAAATATGACAGTTTCAATAAACGATTTTACAATAAAGAAAACTTTGGCTTTAATTGAATAATTGAACGTCATGCCAGTACAGTGGAATATAAGAGCTCGACTAGTCGACAGTGAAATATAGTAAATTCATTTACTATATTGTAGTTTAATGTGGGGGTATTCCCGGTGTATTTCGGGTCAAGAAACTAGTTTCAGCCGTTTGAGAAAAAGATAGATGGGTTCAAACGCTCGGGGAAACATCTCTGGTTCAAACGCTTTGGAGAGCATTTCTGATTCAAACGCTGTGTCATCTCCGATTTTAACTCTCTGTGGTTATCTTTGGTTTAAGCGCTCTGGATGGACTTTTTTAGGCTCTCAATGGGGGAAACAGATTTTAATATTAACCTTAATATTAAGGAAATTTCGTTTTAACTTGTTTTTATGCATAAAATAAAAAGAAAATTTGTTTGTTTGTTGTGTAAGATGTAATTTTATTTCATCTCGTCAACTTTAAAAACAGTATTCTCACCAGTGGCTACGCCACTCGTGAGAATACTGTTTTTAAAGCCCGCTCGATGAAATAAAATTTCATATTACACACAAACAAACAAATATCCTCTATATAACGATTTGTGTATCTAAATAAACTTCTATCACGATTTGTGTATCTAAATAAACTTCTATAACGATTTGTGTATCTAAATAAACTTCTATAACGATTTGTGTATCTAAATAAACTTCTATCACGATTTGTGTATCTAAATAAACTTCTATAACGATTTGTGTATCTAAATAAACTTCTATAACGATTTGTGTATCTAAATAAACTTCTATCACGATTTGTGTATCTAAATAAACTTCTATAACGATTTGTGTATCTAAATAAACTTCTATAACGATTTATGTATCTAAATAAACTTCTATAACGATTTGTGTGACCATTTAAGCAGCACCCATCAGGATTCATGCTAATTTTCATTAAAAGTTTTAAAATGTTTCAAAGAGTAAAATACTGTCAAATGAACAAAGAAAGTAATTTACCCATTGCAAACGGCCCTTAAATTTCATAAAATTACAAAAATAGGTCAGAGTACGCAAAAATAGTCTAAATGCGTTAGCTATGCAGTGAAATTACGGTTATAAATACATAAATAACGCTACCTCACATCCCTCAGACCTTCATCTCAGTAATGTGAAAATTCAGTTCCTTCCCAAGAACACAACATCTGTCCTCCAACCACTAGACCAAGGAATCTTACAGAATATGAAAGTTCACTATAGGAAACGGCTTCTAAGATCTGTGTTGTCTAAAATTGATGCTGACAGCTCTGTTAATGCTGAAGTGATTTCTAAGAGTGTAAATGTGTTGGATGCTGTGCGTTACGTTAGTGCTGCTGTGAAGGACATAACACAGGAAACTGTTTACAAGTGTTTTTTGAAAGCAGGAATCAACCCTGATTCAGCAACAGAGGAGTTCGAGGATGATGATGTGCCTCTTGCAGAGCTAGTGGAACTCATGAGAACTGCAAATGGTAGGATTGCTACTGTAGAGAGTATGTCGCTTGAAGAGTATGTTAGTGCTGACCGTGATATTCCAGTTCATGAGGAACTCTCACCAGAATGGGAAAGTGAACTGTTGAACTCTGTGTGTAATAAATCTAAGGAATGTACAATTGCTGAGAGTGAAAACCTGAATGATGAGGAAGTTGATGATGAAAGTGATGAAATTGAAAGTGAACTTGTTCTGAAAACTCATAGGGAAGCAATTCAATCCATTGAAAACATTAGAATGTACTGTTTAAGTAAAGGACTTACAGATGTTGTTGAGTTGTTCAATTCCGCACAGGATAGACTCGAAAAAGATTCAGTGAAAGCTTTAGGGTGCTCTAAACAAACAACAATTGACAGATTTTTTAAGTAAGGTGATGTGTCTATGACTCATATGAAATGTATAGTGATATGTAAAGAACTGATATGAGATAAAAAAAAAGAGACTTTTGACTTTCACATGTATAAAATGTATATTTACCATTTTCAATAATGTTATGTTGTTTTAATGGTGTTTATGTAAAATTAAAAGAGACTTCTGACTTTCACATGTACTGTATATGATGTATATTTATCATTTTAAATAATGTTATGTTGTTTTAATGGTGTTTATGTAAAATTAAAAGAGACTTCTGACTTTCACATGTACTGTATATGATGTATATTTATCATTTTAAATAATGTTATGTTGTTTTAATAGTGTTTATGTAAAATTAAAAGAGACTTCTGACTTCTGACTTTCACATGTATAAAATGTATATTTACCATTTTAAATAATGTTATGTTGTTTTAATGGTGTTTATGTAAAATTAAAATACATCAAATACTTTAATTTGTTGTTTATACAATGTGTCATTCATCTGCCAGTAAAACAGTTTAAAACAGTGACAAACATGTCTGCCTATCATTCCTATGTATTAACCACTGATATTGAAGGTATATGTGCCTTACTGGTGTGCTATAATCTAGGGTCTCAATAAAGAGACCGACTCGATAATAAGACCACTTTTTGCAAGACCCACAAGTGGTCTTAATAGCGGAACTTTACTGTACTGCAAAATAAGTTATTAATTTCATAGAACAAGTAATTTTTTTTTGAAGTGTCTATATTTTTACTTTTCTTAGAAAGTTAGAAAACTATTTTTTATAAAGGTTGATTTTCTTGCAAGTTTGTTAGGGACGCTGTGTACATACACGTTTGTGACGGACGGACAGACGACGGAGAAGTGATCCCTATGTCACCGCTACACTTTAGGAGGCGACAGATAAATAGCTCAACAAGCGCGAATTTATCAAGATAAACGTGCCACTGTACGTGATATTTCAATTTTCTGATGAAAACCATGTCTTGATATAATACGTGGTAATTGCAGCAACCATGAAGAATTAACTCTCAATATATAATATTTAGTGGGTATCAGTCTTTTAACCAGAATACATGTTTAAATTTGTCTTTTCAAAGCTTTTGTTCTATTACAACGTTGAATTAAAGGTCACCTGGATCGGAAAGCAAATCAATACGCCGCTATTTTCTATTATTGCTCATCTTGGATAATGATGTTAGTCTTTCATATATTATTCTTTCATAACAAGATTTATGTTCACAGTATCTGGTCGGTATTTGAAGTGTTTTCAATGTATACTATTTGTTGATGATTGCTATATTTCATCTGTTTGAATATGACATAGATATCTATGAACACCATCGTTGGTAGAACCTACACCATCGTTGGTAGAACCTATCAATGTAAAACAGAGATATCGTGTCTCTGAAGATGAGAGGTGTAGTTTAATTTTGCGCCCAGTTTTCAAGTATTACTAGTGTAAAGACAAACAAACGTCAAAGAAAATTTTATTCAGAAACAAAAAAAACCCAAAAAACAATTAATAGAAAATTAACAGAAACAGTAAAGAAATATACATAAACATATCATATTGTAAAAAAAGAATCAAAGACAATAGTTTAAACAGTAAGGTAACTGAAAGTCTTTCTAAGCATATATTCAATATAAAAAAACAGTTTATTATATATTATCACAGGATTCTATCACAGTTTAAAGAATTCTATCACAGTTTAATATATGTATATGTACAGTAAACTTAGCACTTCTTGGTAATGTCCTTTTTTTCACAGTGAATAATGTTAAATAGATCATATATTGTTCAAATATCTCACAAAACATGCTCCATTCAGTTTGTCTTTATGCCGTATCCAGATCATTAACAACACTGTCCGGTCTATCTGGTAGAACACCAACAGATGGTTTTCTCACGTTCTGTGGGACTCGAGGAATTGGAGCTGGTTTTTGCCATTTTTTAGCGTTACTGCCACCTAGGGATGTTGGTGCATCCGCTCCAAAGGCTGGTTTTGGAGTTCCCGCATCCGCATGAGACCCAAACATTGGCTGTGGTGATTGTCCAAACATGCCTGTTGGTGCGTTTTGATTTTGTGACGGCATTGGAGTGGAATTTTCACTTCCCGGAATACCAGAGAATTGTGGCGACGTTGCTCCAGACCCAAGGGCTCTCTCTAACAATTTACTCCAGTTTGCTACTGGCGCAGGACTTGTTGGGCTTGAAAGACCGCTCAAAGTTACCGGTTCAGGACTTGTTGAAATATATCGTTTAGCTGGCTCCCCACCTTTTTTGCTTGGTGCCTTTGTCTCTGGGTTTGGTGCAGGATGCGGGGAAACTGGACCATTTTCTGTTGCTTTCTGTACAAGTTTTGACCAGTTGTTTACTGCTATTTTCTTCTGTTCCGTCAACGGTGCTACTGTCATTGGCGAAACAGTTCCTTTCTTAAAAAATGACCCTGAAGTTGAAGGAGTAGGACTGCTAGCTTCCTCTCCGAACATTATTGGTGAATTGACAGACACCACAGAGTTTCTTCCACCATCGTCCCAAGCGGACTGGCGCCGGGAATCCAACGACACAAAAGACGTTTCAGTTGTATTTCTTCTTAATGCAGTTGTATTAAATTTAGTATTTGATACCAAAGATAAGCTTGGATCGTCTTCTGCCGCAGCAGCAGCACGCTCCTTGTCCTTCTTTTTCTTTTTAATACAGCAGATAAGTAAAATCAGTCCAATAAGCATTAATAGTCCACCAGCTGCTGCTGCAATGATAATAATTGGGAAAGCCGCTGATTCTTCTTCAAGTTCTTCACAGAAGTAGAAATAGCCAATAAATTTACATTCATCAGCACCCATTGCTGTAGCACAGTAGTATATTAGAGTAGATTTAAGGAGCATTTGAGCTTGCTGTTCACCAATTCTTTCGTAATCTCGAATACACGCTTCAAGAAAATGATCAATAGTACTACTTGACATAACGCCGCTACATGTGTCTGTAAAGTTCGTATTTTTAATAACGTCAAGGCAAGCTATAGCTGCTGCGGTGTAATTAGTACCTTGATTACTTCCTGTACTTCTTGCATAAGCCGTCAAAGTTTTAGCAGTTGGAATGTCCGGTACAGGAACAGAAGACGGCGTCCATGGTATTGACGCAGCTGAAAGTCCTGCAATTATTCAAATTACAAAATAAAATATTTAATATCTAAAAATGAAATATACACTCAAAAACTGTTTTATGTAAAGCTACATAATTCAATTTCATAAAAACTAGTATGCAAAATATTGAATGCTTAAAATATTATGCAGATTTTTGAGTAGGAGTTGAAATTCCAGTCTATTTTTTAATAATAGTATTTCTTTCTTTAAAAGAAATGTAAACGAAGAGAAGTTAATAAGTGAACGTGTATAACTACATAGTTCTTACCTGTTATAGTTCCAGAGACAGTGCCTGTCACTGATCCAGAATTGGTTCCATCATTTGTACTGAATGTTGTTAATGACGATGTTGTTCCGTTTCCTTCGTCAAAGGTTAATGACATCATCATACTTGTTCCAGACGAGCTTGAATCATCACAGTAATTATCCATATCGGCGATACATTCACTCAAAGTCTTTGTTTTAGTCCAGGATCGTAGACAATCAAATGAAACCTTTGCAGAGTTTGTTGTCGTCATTGTAATTTCAGTGACGTCTACCTGTCCTCCTGTATTCATATCAGAAATAGAGTAGTCCTGCACGTTATTATCCGAAATGAGATATACCACTGCTGACCCATCGTCATTCCACGAGAACGCCACATAGTACCAGATATCAATGTCAAGGGTCAAAGTAGTAGTATATGTCTTGTCCCATTCTATCACTAGATAATTGTTGTCGACACTAAAAACTATGTCGTTGCTGCCAGCATCAATTGTAAGCAATGGATGTGTTAAAATAGCCCTCTTCTTTGAAGCCTTTGAAGACTTGACCCAGAAACTAGTCGCGAATTTTGTAAGTCCTTGTTCAACAGTAAATCCATTGACAGTAAAACCTTCTCCACCGACGAGAGATAGAGCATAGCCACCAGATGAGAGGAAATCTTCAGAGTCAGTATGATTAATAAAGATCTGACTTGAACCTGTAGCATAAAGTTTTCGTAAACAATTCCCCACATAGTCACTTGATATGTCATCAGTTGTTAATACCGAGGTATCATCGGCACACTGGAAATTTTTCGTCCACTCATCATCATTTGGCTTTCCGAGCATCCCTGTATTGTCATTAGCATCACCTGATGAAATCTTTGCTGTAATAACTAAACCCATATCAGAGTCAAAAACAATAAATGACGAACTTCCGACTGTTACCTTAATATAAGGATATGCTGTCATTTCTACTCCAACATCACCGTCTGTTGAAATGTTCGGGAAAACAAGTTCTAGACCATCTACGATAACTGTCACATTTTCCCCATTATCTGAAGCATGTTGTATCATTAAACTGGAGTCATCATATCTCACAGCAAACTCTCTCATATATCTGCATCTATTGTCTCCTAGACAAGGAACAAATAGAGCCTGTACTTCTACTGAGGAAGTTTTCAGGACAGAATAAACGCCCGGTGATGCATGAGTGTAAGACACTCCGTCGAAATTAGTGACGTAAGATCCGTAGACTATGCCATAATAATTAGATGACGATTTTGGACTTGCTTTTGAATATTCACATTCTTTGCCATACCAGTTTTCTGAACAAGAATCACATGCGTAATCTGATGTCATGTTCATACTCGAGGATATTAAATACGTTTGCCAGTAGTCACTTACTGATTTTGATCCAACATAGTGTCTTGGATGGCAATTACAAGTTCCGGTTGTTTTCTCACATACTCCAAATGTATTACAAGCACCTAGTTGACCTACAGGACAAATGGCGTCGCATGTCTGTCCCCAATGTGTATCATAACAGATGCATGTAAAATTATAGACGGTACCAAACACACATTCTGTACAGCTGTCTCCGCTTGCACCTATGTATGTAGAAATTGAACTCATGACATTACACAAACTTGACAGAGGATTTGTTGAAGAATTTGTTAAACTAACATACAAGTCAGCAGCACTGGCTAGGACAGCGTCTGCTTGAGATGGGTCCCCAGATGATGTAACCTCTTGAACGCAAAGCGCTTCATAGACATCAGTTAATACATCCATAGTTGAACCAACTATTGACAAGGAGAAGTTACTTATCAAATTGTCGCACATTTGCTGTGCAGCAAGAAGAGCCGCAGCTGACAACTCATCTTCATTTGTTAACCTCGGTGCGTCTAAATCTTTGTCTTCTGATAGATCAAGACTTGATTTTGCCCATACTGGCGGAGTAAGTATGTTAACTGGTACTATGTTATCACCTTGCCGATCTTCATATGCAGTTAATCCGATTCCTTCATTGAATGTCCAACTATGAAAGACATTACTAGTGTCATCAGTAATCATTTTTCTGAAATTATTTGTGATAACTGTCGGATTGTGAGGTCTGTTCCAAATGCGCACTTCATCAATATATCCTGTATAATCACCCATGCTTATGGACACTCCTAAATCTGGAGTAAGCTGACCAAGTGTTAATGTTCCTCCACTGCCAAACACATCACTTGTAATTGGTATAGCTTTTACGGTGGAAACACCTGAAGATGTAACAACAATCACAATTAAAGCAATAACATGAATAACTATACAAACCATTAATGATTATTTTTCAATAATTTAAATAATGTTCTTATTCAATTAAAAGAAAAATACATTTACCTTTATTCTAACTTAAAAAAATAATGAGATGTTGAATACAAGTATAAACCTGCTACCAACCTGTATCATTTGCCAAGTAGATTTCGAGTATATTGGCGTCATCTCTCCATGCAAGACTTATTTGATTCCAAACATTTAGTTCCAGAGGCAGATTTGTCATATGATAAACACCAGGTAGAGCGACAATCAAACCATCTTTGTGATTGATCAAAGTAATATAATTGCCATTTCCATCGTCGTGGGTCATAATGATACCGCCATGCTCTGTTGGCATTGCGTGCATCTCGATAGTAAGATCAGTATCTGGTAAAGAAAGATCCTTCACAGTTACCCCATTGCCTTCATATTTAAAGCAGTTCGACTCCATAGCAGATAGATATTTTTGTTCAATCATATCCATAAAACCGGTGTCATTATATGCCGAATTATTCAGAAAGTGACTGAATGTTTCAGTGGTTTGATCCAATTTACAGTTGGCTGGAATTGTTTGTGTGGGATCTCCGCACAACGATACACGACTCACACTGCAGTTTGCAGCAGTTATTGCCTTTTCTGTATTACAGGAGGTAAGAACTCCATTTATTTCAGATTGATGCGAAATCCACTCTGTCATTGGAATAACCATTGTTGATAATAGGCGGTCACTAATGGATGACATTTTAACACTTATATCTGAACCTTTCATAGTCATTTTCAATGTCGTGGGCGAGTCAAGTTTTAATGTCATATCGCCGAGTTCCACTTCATCGAAGATTGTTATATTATTTGACGTGGATGACATGATTTCAACACTCGTACCTGTGAATCTTTCATAGCTGACATAGTAGCTTTCACTTTTGTGTTCTAATACGAAGCCAATCAAACAAACATGGAAAATGTCTTCTGAATTACAGACTCCAAACCTTCCTTGCAAAGAAATGTCTAATGCGTTCAGTGTCATTAGATTGAAATATCCTCTCTGAGGCATATCTAAAATGGTTCCATCAAATGTTGAAAGCTGCCCTATCATGTTTACCTGCGCAACAAGAGTTGTAGCATTAGTTCCAAGAGGATCAAATGTAGATGTAAACACTGAACAGTCGTTACCAGACCAACCTGAGTCACATGTGTTGCAAGTTGTACCGATCCAGCGACCTCTACATTGACAATTTCCTCCTTTGTCACATTCACCGTTACCATTACATGGATTTGATGCTCCCCCTGGGCACACACCACTACAACTTGCTCCGTAATATCCGTAGTAACAAACACATTCCGTATCTGTTTTAAAACCAAAGTCACAAGCCGAACATTTTCGCTTCAGCCACAATGGCATTTCAATAGTCAATGCACATAAGATATTATATATATTATCAGTATTTCCTCCAGTTACTCCGCATACAGAAGTATAGTCAGCCATAGCCATTGTAGTATCAGATATATTTCCGGTGTTTGTTGCAGTGATCATACATGTTTGCTTGAACCACCATCTAATAAAGGTGGACACACCCCCGCAGTTTGAAGATACAGTTCCTGAGTCAAAGAAATCTCCGCATGCTGTTTCAACAGCTGGATCAATGATTGTTGTAGAGTACGCTTCGCTTACTGTAGTTCTTAGAGGTTGCAGGCCAAGGTCAGAGACAATCCATTTTGGAGATTGCCATGGTGCACCTGGTAACACCATATTGTTACCATTTATTTCTTCGTAAGCTATGGATCCTACTCCTTCCGAGAAAGAAATTAATGTTGCTAGCTCAGATGAAAATCCAGATATTTTTGTGCTTAGGAGATGAGCTTGGTATACAAGGGAATTAGGAATAGGGTTGCTCCAGAGAGAAAACTCGTCAATCATCCCCGTAAAGTACTGTGTCCCAAATGTATATGGACTGCTTCCAACAGATGGTATATATTCACCAAGCATAACAGTACCATCACTTTCAAATATATTACCACATTCAAAGTTTAAAACTTCTTTGGTTAATTTTGAATCAGTTCCGAAATGGAAGAGATCTACTGTCCGTTGACTTCGTCTAAAAGTAAAAACAAGCTGATTCCATACGCCTAATTCAGGAGATACTGTACTTCTAACAAATCTAGTATCACATTGCAAAGTAATGGGATCTAAATTTAAGATAGCAAACGTTGTGTTTTTCCCATAGGACATAATATAACCGCCTAGAGCCAATGGTTTGAAATAGAGTGACAGGCTAAAATCAATGTCAGAAATGTTTAGACCAAATTTATACGACAGTGGCACTGATATACCTGCCGTTTTGTCAAATTTTAGCGCATATCCTGTAATATTTGAGCCATCGCCTACTGGAGCATTCAATGCATCAAGAATAATGCTATTTGACAACCTGAAATTTGTTACTATGTACTCATTTATTTCACTACTGGTCATTGCTGAATAGTCTTTGCCATTACCATTACATTTATCAAAAATTCCTGTTCCAGCTTGGCAAATTGTAGACGACGAAATCACCGATACCTGCAAGAACTGTTCTTGAACAAGGACATTTACTTTTATGCTTCCAATACCAGTGATTGTTACACTTATATCAGTTAAGGATTCCTGTCTAACAGTAATTGATGCACTAAAAACGTTGTTAATGTCATCGAGAATTATTTTCTGTCCATTCCTAAATATGTCCGGGGATATACCTTGACCAGGTGGTGCAATAACAATCTCGTCTGTTGAAGATGTAAGTGAAACTGCTGCAATACAAGACCCGTAATGACAGCTTACTTGATAAACATGGATATCCACACCCATTAAAGAAGAACTGAATAGCATAAAAGCTCCAGTTTCACCAATGAATGAAATTTGCTGACCATCAAATGTCATATAGTATCCATTACTTGATACAGATGCTACCTTTAGAGATGCCGAAGATAAAGATGAAGTACTGAGAATTGTACACTCCGGCCCCAGCATATCACCAGCAGCATCTGTTGTGCAAGTTGAACAATCTGCACTTCCATCCCAGTTCCACCAACAGTCACATGTTCCATCTGATAAACATTTGCCATGGAAACTGCATGGTGAATCAGAACTTCCTGGACATATGCCGTCACAATTTGTGCCATGATAGCCTTCAAAACACGAGCATGTTCCGTTTGAAAATTCGATGCCAAACTTGCATGTTGTAGAGCAAGACGTACCATTTCTGTCTGCATCTGACATTCCTAAACAAAGTGTACTGATCTCAGAAGATGCTGTTCCATGTTGTGAAACACCCAACATCAAAGCATCTAATACTGCATTATATCCCGCAGTTCTTGATTTTGTAACAGCCATATTCTGAAGACAGCTTAGGTAAAAGAAATTTCTTGTGCTGTTACTCAAGCTGATTCCATCTGTGTTTGCCATTAATGATAAACAGAATGCATTTGTTTCCATTTCCCATGTGTCATTGTTAAAGAATGTCAGTGCAAAATCTGGAATATAGCTACTTGAATAGTCTAAATCCGAGATGATCCATTCTGGTGCCTTCCATGGGTATGCAGGGAAAGATAGGTCTAAATTCCCTATATTGTCTTTTGTGGACAATCCATCCCCTTCGTCAAATTGAAGTGCGAATAAAAGACTGCCTGATGCAAGTGCTGGGTCCATCTGCCAGAGTTCACTTACTTGACTTTCTTCAATTGTAAGGTTCCATATCATAAAATTTTCTAAGCTACCATCAAATCCTTTAGGCAAATCATACTGTTTACTATCGAATGGCATATTCCAATGTCCAATTGTAAGAGTCCCTGAAGATTCAAACATTGACGAGTTCATTCCAAAATCGCCTGTAGTTGACACCGTAGCATCTTTGTCAATAACATAAACACAGCTTGTGCCATCAATATTACTATATACAAACACAACTTTATTCCACGCATCTTCGTCTAATGCAATTGCTGTATCATATACGGTTTCATTAGTACCTACATATGTGTAGACCTCAAGGGAGGATGATCCACTAACAAGGAGCAGTGATGAACCTGAACTGCTTATATATGAGAACAACACACCACTATTGTTTGCTGCATTCTGCTTGACAAGTAACTCTATAGTCATGGTTTCAGTTGACATTATGTCTAAATATAATTCCTGTTCAAGACTTGACTTACTAAAGTTTAATCCATATCCTCCCTGGGTTTGATATTTCAGCAAGTCATTGGCAAAGTATATAATGCTGTCACATTCATGAACTACAAAATTAGAAATATCGATATCTGTTTCATTTCCATATGTCTGAGTATAAGATGTTAGACTTATGATATTAGAACTTTGGGAACCCAGTACAGACTGAATGGAAGAAGTGTCATTACATATGGCAAAGACTGGATTTTCAGCGCTGTATAAGTGGTCAAGGCGGTCAGTTACATTTGTAAACAGTCCTCCGCTGAGTAGACCTGAAGTTTGTGTAACGTATGTGTTATCTAATTCCATCTTCATATGTAAATATTGACCTTCATTCCTGATAGAAAATGTAACAAGATCCTTAACTTCAAAAGTCACTTCAAAGAAATTTGACCTGGATACTTTGAAACCTTTGAAAAATGCTGGCGTATCCAAAGAATCACTTATTCCATTGATATTTATAATTGGCTTTGAATCATATTTTCGTTCCGATTGAACGGTCACTGTTGCATATCCGTTCACTGAATCTCCAACTCTTGCAGCTATAAATGGGACGCACGAATAATTCTGATAGCAGGTAACAAATTTTCCTTGTATGATTATGTTTTCTGATATTGCCATCAATATAAGCTCACCTTGTGTTTTCACTGGATAGCTCAAACCATCAAGGTTGTGTATTATACCCAATTGTCCAAGCATAGCAAAGGAAGTACTATCACTGGTATTTATGTTATTGACAGCAATGTCACATTTTGAACCATACCATCCCTCTGAACACACGCTACAATCGTCAGCCGGTAACCTGTTTAGAGGACAATTACATTCACCCGTGACAGAATCACACGTACCGTAACCACTACAAGGATTTGTTGCTCCACCAGGACAGAAAGCAGTGCATGTTGCGTTCCAAAACCCATCATCACATATGCAGTCAGACGTGGACGATTCTCGTAAACCAAATGGACACTGTGGCCAACAATCGGTTCCCATATAAGGATATAAATTAAAATCATTTTCAAACTCGAGGCAAGTTCGCTCAGCAGGCCAATATGATAGACCAAGTGTTTGCTGACATTCGTCTGCAAATGATGATATGGCATATGCCATGTCTTCTTCGTCACCATCAGCGTCAATGCAGTCCCACATTGCCACACTCATCTTTGGTAGTAGAGCAGACGTACTACAATTTCTAAAAAGGAAAAAAATGTCACAATCAGCATAACAGTTCTAACAGATGGTTTAACATGTGTTGTTAAAATGCTATAAAAAGAATGTTAAACCACAATATATTACATGTACATTTTTACGATCATAACGAAATTATTCTGTTAATGTTTCAAAACACGCTAAGATACCTACGTTGAAAGTGAGGAAGACAGACTCTGGAATATGTTCTGACAGAATGTGTCGAATGCATATGTGATTGATCTCTTCGGCCTAGTTTCGATATATCGCTTTGGTCTACCAAATGTAGTTTGAGAAAGGAAATTTTCTACCAAATCATAGTCATCATCAATGGATCTTCGACGTCTTGACTTTTTGCCTGATGAAGTAGGATCATACTGTGGACTGTCAGAAGGTCTTTGAGAACAAGATCTCAAAGGAGAGTTATCAAACTGAATTTGTGTGCGTGCTTTACTTCCAAATGTAATCATACGTTCCTCTAGACCCAAGTCAATATCCAAGTATCCGTTTGCTGTTGAAAAGAAATGTTCATTTTAAATACTCATACTCATCTATTGCATAAGATCACTTGACGAGATCTGCTTTATCAAAGATTTACTATATCAAAATAAAATTACTTGTCTTCATGTGATATCTTACAGAACACCTATCTAACGGTTATGTTGTCTGTCTCTCAACACCTTGCTGGGGTGAAGACAATGATTCCTTATATAACACCACTACAGGTTACTCCTTAAGAGTGGTTATAATAAGCTTCAAACTTTCTTTGTATTAGTAATTAGGCTAACATAATTATATCTAATGTAAAACTACTAATTTTAATAATTGTAAGAATGTATTCTCTCTGCTACAATTAAAATCTGATGTATGACCTGTACTGAATATCATAACTTGATTATAAAAGTTTGTATGAATATTCATTTTATTCTACATGTAAATATGGTTAGAAAGTAAAGACAAATATGACGTTTAAAAGGCTAAACATTTATTTTTAATTTCAAATATATTTTGGCACACATTATCGCGAGGTTTATTACGTTTTATTAAATGAAGAATTTTTGCTTTTTTAAGCTCATGATAAGATTAAAAAAACCAACAATTTAAAATATCTTAATTTTCAGCAATTACTACTCAATAAAATAAACTAGATCCAAGAGCAATGTTTCGTTTTGATAAGCTCTTTATTTCGTTAATACTTGTTCAATTTCAACAATCATTTCTTAACCAAAAATTTGATACACGAGGTTTTGGAAAAGCATTAAATATCCTTTAAAGGACCGCCCGTGACCTGTCATGTTAATCAAGTGTTATAGTTATTAGTTATATATGGATATCTAATTATTTTTCGTAGTTTTGAAATCATTTTACATTACATGCAATTCTAACAAAAATTGTTAATCATAAAATATATATACTCCAAAAGTATAGCTTTCAGAATGACACCTTACAACTGCTTTGTCATGATAATCAAGTGTTACGTGTTGACACCTTTTTTAATGTTTGAACAAAGTACAACATTATAATGTTTTCGCACGACGTCAACGACGACGCAGCAATCATGATAACGCGACTTTCATTCAAAACAGACAGGCTATAACGTATTATTGTTGTAAAAGTCAACGTAAATGGTTGTTATACTTACTATATGTTGTATCTTCATCGAAATCGTAGTAGTAAAATTGTATACCGCTTGTTGATAGATACGTTTTAACGTCTTCTATTGGCTTCGAATAAAGACTGGATATTGTTATAGCGTCAAGAGCTCTGTAATAAAAATAATTCAGAAAATGATATTTAAATAATATAAAAACAAGCAAATTCGTTGAATTTATATCCCCCGCCGAGTACTGGTTATTATTTACACAACAACTGAAGACATAAGGCTTTATTTATATATTAATCATGGCATAAACAGTAATATTCTTTGAACTTGATAAATATTCAGGACAATAACAGAGCCATAACTTTGTATTAAATAGTAATATCTGGAAATGCCAATGAGATGTATGCATACTACATAACTAATCAAGGGCCATAAATCTGAGTTATAAGTATTTGACCGGAACAAGGCGACTATATGCACATCTCCTCTTAGTATCCCATAAAGTTTCATTGAATTCCAGCCTGAAGTTACAGAGAAGTAGCACGGAAACGATTATTGCTCTGGTTGTATACTGCCTAAGTTATCAAGGGTCATAACTCTAAGTTAAAATGTCTGACCCGAACAAGGCTACAATATGCGCATCTCCTCTTGGTATTGAAGGTTCCAATAAAGTTTCATTGAATTCCAGCCAGTATTTGCAGAGAAGTAGCCAGGAAACAAATATTTTTCTATATGGATACTGCATAACTAATCAAGGGCCATAACTCTGAGGTAAAGTGTCTGACCCCAACAAGGCAATGATATGCGCATCTTCTCTTGGTATTGAAGGTTCCAATAAAGTTTCATTGAATTCCAGCCAGTAGTTGCAGAGAAGTTAGCGCGGTAAAGAATTTTGCTCTATATGCATACTGCATAACTAATCAAGGGCCATAACTCTGAGTTTAATTGTCTGACCGGAACAAGGCGACAATATGCGCATCTTCTCTTGGTATTGAAGGTTCCCATAAAGTTTCGTTGAATTCCAGCTATTAGTTGCAGAGAAGTAGCGTGGAAACAATATTTTCTTCATATGCATACTGCATAACTAATCATTGGCCATAACTCTGACTTAAAGTGTCTGACCGGAACAAGGCAACGATATGCGCATCTCCTCTTGGTATTGAAGGTTCCCATAAAGTTTCGTTGAATTCCAGCTAGTAGTTGCAGAGAAGTAGTGCGGAAACGTTTTTTACTCTATATGCATACTACATAACTAATCAAGGGCCATAACTCTGAGTTAAAGGGTCTGACCGGAACAAGCTGACGATATGCGCATCTCCTCTTGATATTGATGATTCCCATAAAGTTCCGTTGAATTCCAGCCAGTAGTTGCAGAGAACTACTCCGGAAACGAAATTCGGACGGACGGATGGACGGACGGAAAACGCCAAAACTATATCCCCCTCCCGATTCCATCGGCGGGGGATAATTAAATGATCTACATGATCGATATAATTCTGCAAATTTAAGAAGATTTAATTATTTGTTTCTGTTGAATATCTCCGGGAATTTATAAAACAAGATCGCCATGAAGACCAGTGCTAGAAACTTAATTAATACCTTTTATTTTCAAAGGCCTTAACTCGGCTAAAATCATTCAAGCAAAAGCACTTTTAACATGCGCAAGGACTTTAGCTACTGATCAACCACTTAAAGTTTCATTGAAATTTCATTAATGGTATAAGAGAAGTAGTTCGGACAAATTTTAAATCATAAAAAATGCACAACCGGACTTGGTACTGATCATTCCCGTAAAGTTTGGATGAAATTGCACCATTAGTTTCTGAGGTGTGATCGAGAAAAGTTTTTGTGACGGACGGACAGACAGACAAACATACAGACTACGGAGAAGTGATCCCTATATGTCGCTAACTTGGTAAACGGTACATAAATATTGTTTAAGTTTTACTATATGTGTTGGCATAAAAACTTACTGCGTGGCAAAGCCAAGTGAATCGAAGCAACCGACAAATGCGTCTATTTTCTTCCATTTTGGTACGACTTGGCTGATCTGGAATTTTCCTAGAGACAGTGATCCTCCATTCAAGAATGGTTTATTCTTAAAATTTTCTATCGTGTATATCTGTGGTTTATTTCCGGTGTTTTCATTAAACACATATAACACCATTCTTCTAAGTGATTTGGACCAAGTCAATACAATTTGATGCCATTCGTTATCTTTTAATTCAATATCAGAGTCCCATTTGGAGTTCTTTCCATACCAGATTACAATTGTTCCGTCATTATAGTCTAAACTAAATGGTATCTTCTTTTTGTAAGAAAATATTACACCATGGCAACCCGTGCATGTCTTCAAATAAAACATTATTGTTACATCAGAAGGCTTGTCAGAAAACAGTTGAAAGTTTTTGTAACTACCGCTAGCCGAATTGCAACACAAAGCATTACCAGATACTTTGTTTGTAGTGTTTGTGGTATCAAAGTAATTGATATCGCTGAAGTCCATATCAGAAGTACACTAGAAAAGAGAAACATTTTGTTTAAATAAAAAACAACAACAAAAACCCGAGTTAAACAGATAGCTAATCAGATAAGATAAAACACTTCAATTATTTTAGAGCATTCAATTAAATTAAAGTAGTTCAATTCAAGCATGATAACTTGCTCGACGATAAAGTACACTTTTAATAGAAACATAAAAACAGAAATAAAAGTGCTTACAATTTTTATAGTAAAATGTTCAGTAACCAGTTCTTGCATGTGTTTATATTTAAATTGTGCAACTTTTTTTAAAAAGCGAATGTCATTGAACATTTTCTACCCGTATACTGAATTAATTAAAGTGACATTATGCTCATATTTTCATCGTCAAGCTGAGCTAAATTAACTTTATATTTCAAAAGACTGACTGTCAAAATGGTGTTTGACCAACAGTTGATATTGGAAAATGTTATGGGTAAAATTATAAATCTGTCTAAAATTTAAAAAGACTGCCCCACTCTTTTTTATAAACTAAGCGTTATAGGTAAATTCTTATGGATATTTACAGAAATTTCGTGTGGATCTGTGAGTTATTCAATGTTTATGCGAACTTAATAATTTAATTAAAAGGAATTATGGCAAAATGAAAACATCTTTTGTCTTTCACCCATTCACTCACTATACACCCTTGGATGGGCATAATGTCACTTTAAACAATAAAACATAATTACTGTTGTTCCTGTGTATCCAGGAATAGGAGTGATACTTGTAAACTTTTCATAATCATGTGTATAAAGATCCTTTATCTTGGACGGTACCCATTTACACAGGCCTTTGGTGTTCCAACGGTTTGACATTAGTTTGATTTTAACGCCAAAGAAACCACTTTTCCTGGTAATATCAATGTAAAGATTAAGTGGCTCGATAGTGATGGTAATCGTAGAAGTGTCTTTGGTAGTTAACCACATGTCTCCGATTGTTTTATCTATTTTGGTTTTCTTTTTCCATACAGTTCCATCGACAATGACCTTCGACTTTGCCTTTTTACTCTTCTTTGTGATTAATTTAGAAAATTCAAAATTGACAAATGAACTCTTGTAAGTTACAAACACTTTATCAATATTTATAGTCTTCTTCTTCTTTTTCTTCTTTATTGCTTGGCGAATCTAAAAAAAGTAAAATAATAATGTAAACATTATCTAACAATATCAATTCAAACAATTTTAATGCCTGATATCAATGTAATCTACTTCTAATACATACACAAAGCTAAAAATTTGTTTTCATAATGAAAATACTTAATATTCCAATGATAACATTTCCAGTTATTAAACACTTTCTTAAACAAGTTTAGGTATTTACTTACAGTTATTCTTAGCTGGTGGAATTCTAAAAGCACCCCCTTGTCAAATGCTTTGTTCAATGTCTTTTGTTTGGTATTAAACATTGTTATTTTGCCTTTTTTGCCTTTAGCTGTGCAATATATAGGTGTATCAACTCCTGGTGTAGTAGTTCCTGCTGTCGAACTGGCGGTTGTTCCTCCACTGTTAGGACCAGAGCCTGTTCCAGTTGTTCCCGATCCTGATCCAGTTCCGTTTGTTCCCGATCCTGTTCCATTCGTTCCTGATCCTGTTCCATTCGTTCCCGTTCCTGTTCCGTTTGTTCCAGTACCAGTTCCGTTTGTTCCAGTACCCGTTCCACTTGTTCCTGTACCTGTTCCATTTGTTCCTGTACCTGTTCCATTTGTACCTGTTCCCGTTCCATTTGTACCTGTTCCTGTTCCATTTATTCCTGATCCCGTTCCGTTTGTTCCTGACCCAGAGCCAGCAAAAGATGTGGTAGTTGGAGGAACAGGAGTTGTACTTAAAATATTTGGGGTTGTTATTGTACCAACACTAGGATCTGTGTTAAATAAGTCACATTCTGATCCAGAGAAATAATCTGAACACGAACTGCACTCTGGGTCTCCGCCCCAGTTTTGCTCACAGAAACATTCACCTGTAGCAAGATCACAGGTTCCGTGATTATTGCAGGGATTTAGGTGTCCACCAGGACATTCACTGTCACATTCACTATTCCAATACCCGTGGTTACATATACATTCATTCGACTTAAAAGAACCAAAGTAACATATTTGAGTACAATTTTCACCTCCGACAACTGGATACACACTGTCACCAAATGCATTACAAATTTGATCAATTGGTAAATTTGGTAAATTGTCCTGGATCTGACACTCTTTAGCATAAGCAGTAGCAGAATACAATGTTTTATCAACATTATCTGAATTAATGGCATCATTTAAACAACTCATGTACATAAAACTCACAAGTGAATCAAGATTTGTACATGATGAATCCATTACTTCTTTTACTTTGCTACAGGTTTCATTTACCGTCGTATTAGCAGTGGTGTCTGGTATTATGTCTAGACTACTCTGATCGTTTACACCTTTAGTTGTAATACGAGGATCACTTGGGGGCCAACTGTATTCTCCTTCAAAACCAACAACGGCATCCCTTCCACTAATGAAATCTTTAGCAGTGTTGCCACCACCTTCATCAAAATTCAAACCCATAGTTGGTGTATTCTTGGTAATAAAACTTGTAGAGTTGGTTGTTGAGTTTGTTGAAAAACTTCCTGAACCTGCTGACTGTGATGAATGATTTGCGCTTGTTTCGGATGTATCACTCGGAAACGTTGTTGTATTATCTATGTTTCGTTCATAATGGTCTGTGAAATCATTTAATGTCAAATGTTTGTCGAATACTAAAAATCTGTCGAAAGCAATAACAGGTGTCACTGAATCCCCAGGTCCAGATGAGGGTTCATTTGTAGTTAGATTTTGCCATTTTCCAAGCATCGCTGTGCTCCCATCAGAAATAGGAGGTCCAAATTTGGTAATTTCTGTGGACATATTAATAAATTTGTACTTATATCCTGTCTCGTGGATTTCATGGAACAAAATTTCCCCAGATGTGTCGTTTATTGCAATTCCAATATTTGACCATTCACCCAAAGTTACAGGAGTGTTAGTTGCATATGTTTGATTGCCATACTGCAAGAAGTATTTCTCATTTTTAATAACTATTCCAAATGTTGTATTGTCATTAGCGACACTAAAGATTGTACCATCGTCTGCCGTATCTAGTTTAACTCGTAATTCTACTGATTTTTCTGTAGAGTCTGAACTGATAACACTGTCATCAAAGGGAGGTAAAGCTATGTATCCCCCATCTGCAATTTCTACTCCAGTACCAGATGTAACTTCTGTTTCTCCTGTAGCAGCGAAAATTGTATCATCATACGATTTAACTGTGTCAATAAAGTAATTATTAACATCTTTCGAACTTGCTCCATATACACTACACGCCTCCGCAATTCCAACCTCACGGATGATACAATTCATATCATTTTGGCTACATTGACTTGCATCACCCGACGAACATTTTCCAAGAACACCCGTAGATGACTGACAACTTGATTTTGGGACAGTTAAACTCACCCCCATGCCATCATCTACTAGTGGTATTGTCATTTTAAAGTTATCTGGACCATTTACGCTTATTTCAGTTAAACTTTTCTTTGTTACTTTGTAACCTGATGGTAAGTCAATGCTCCCAAGAGAAACAAAAGTGCCGTTATGCAACACGGTTCCTGAATCTTGTGGATGTATTGTAATATTTTGACCACCAACAGAGACAGCTACTGCTTTAAAAGAACTCGGGTAAATGTCAGTTGGTCCTTTTTGTGCTTCAATCAAAATTGTACCATCATTATAGACTTCAAATGGCTGATCCTTGTTATTCAATTGAACATATGCTCCATCAAGAGTTTTCATATAACTATTACCACTTATAAATGTACTATATTCATTCGAAGAGAATGTTGTAGCCTGAACAGCAACTTGGCAGTCTGTTCCTGTATATCCATCAGCACAAACAGAACAAGTATCTCCTTTGTAATTCACACTACAAGAACAGGTACCTACATCAGGTTTACACAGCCCATGTCCACTACAAGGGTTGCTTGCACCACCTGGACATTCTTCATCACAAGCAGAGCCCCAGTATCCGAATGCACATACACATGACAGCTTATCACTTAAAGGATCTGGATGTACACATCTGATATCACAATTAATTCCAACAAAACCAGCTCTAACTACGTCATCAATACATAAGTACCTATTTGGATCCATGTACGGGGAATTCGTAGAGTTGTCATTCACATTCTGTATAAGTTGATTGTAACATAAAGTTGTATAAGACTGCAAAGCATCAATACCACTACTAAGGTCGTTTGTCCTAGCTATTTGGTCCATACAATTTGCCTTGTAGACTGACTTGAGTGCAGATGTAAAGCCTGAGCAATCCAAATTAATATTAGTATTATCAAATAATTTTGTACATGTTTCAATTGCTTTGTTGTAGGAATCTAGATCTTTGAATCCTGTAGTCGTATCTGTTTCAATTTCTGGCGCAGGTTTTGTCGAAACATCGAAAGATGTTGTTCCCAAGCCGTATGGGTCATATATGGTAAGATTGTGCCCACCTAATGATTTGTCTACTATAACTGTGCCACCACCGTCATCAAACTGTAAATCAAGGACAGGATCATCATTATCACCTGAATATATTTTCACGTCCTCAATTTCACCTGTAAAAGAACCGTCAGTCGGAACACCTAATGTATCATCCATTGACAGTATTGGCTTACCGATAACGACACGTCCATTATCAGAGAAACATACACTAGGAGCTGTAAAAATGCTTGTAAGTGTTGTTGTGTCTGTTCCAGAAGCACCTCCAGGCGTACCAGAACTTATGTCAGGGCTTGTAACTTTAAGAGTCATTGTTTCCGTTACTGGATCGGTATACATTTCGAGGTCATTCCAAAGATCTGGAAGTACATTAATATTAGTGTCAATTATTTCCGAATCTGCTTGTACTTTGAGTGTACCATTATCAAGGAATATCACAAAAGTAGAGTCGCCAACATACTGGAAAACACCACCGCTACTTCCATTGTCTGGTTTGATACTCAATTTGATTGCTGTTTTTTCTGTTGCGTCCAGTGTATCTCTTAAAACTGGTGTAGATATTATTGTTGTGCTATCCCCAGTTGATGAACATACAATAGGTTTGTCATACCCAAGACCACTTCCACTCCCTGAACTTCCTGTCACAGAAGAACCTCCACTGCTTCCTGTTCCAGAAGTTCCCCCACTGCTTCCTGTTCCAGAAGTTCCTCCACTGCCTGCTCCGCCGCCACTTGAACCATATCCATTTCCAGAACCAAATGTTAAGGAATAATAGGCTGTTGTGTTTGGCTCTATGACTGTGTCATCAAGTGATTTATTCTGCGGCGGGACCAATTTGTCATCAAATGATGATGGGTCAGTGGGATCATATGTTTGAATAAAATTCGATTCTGGTTTGCAGATAGTATTATTTGAGCAGCCAACACAGTTGGTTTTTAACAGAGCATTGATATAACCTTTCTCATCAAAGCTTATTTCTATTCTAGTGTATTTTGCAATTTTTCCGTGAACACTTACTAATGAAATGGTATTATCAGACTTCACTGAAAAGGTAAAATACGTTAGTCCCTGAAGATCAAGCCCTCCATTCAACATAACACGATTGGTTTTGCTTGACGTTCCGTCTACAACTATAATTTCAGTTTTGTACGTAATCTGCATTGATTTTAAACATATACTTGTTCCACATCTGATACTTTGCACCTTTATTTCAGGTATGTCATGACCTAATGGAGACAAAAGATACCATTCGTTTGTTGTAGCAATCGAAAATAATTCGTCTGTAAAAGACTTGACTCGCAGCATTCCAAACAACTGACAAGTTGCAAATTCAACACCTAATCCAGATCCTCCACTTCCACTTGACCCACCCCCACCACCTGGATTTGCTGTGGTTGCATTTCCCCCGCCACTGCTTCCCCCGCCACCTGGATTAACTGTTGTTCCATTTCCTCCTCCACTACTTCCTCCAGAACCTGGATTTGCAGTAGTTCCATTTCCCCCACCACTGCCTCCTGGATTCGTAGTTGCGTTGCCTCCTCCACCACCAGGACTAATTGTTGTTCCATTTCCTCCTCCACCACCAGAGACAGTTGTAGGAGCTACTGTGGTTGTAGCCGATGGTGGTGTTGGTAGTGTAAGATTAGCTTCATCACAATTATCACCAGTAAATGGTGCCAAGCAAGTTTCGCAGTTAACACTTGGGTCAAACCCTGGATAACAGATACATTCTCCAGTATCTGTATCGCACGATCCTTGTTTAAAGCATGGTAGATTGTCTGGACCAGTTCTATCCGGACATTCCTGAGCACAATTCCATGACCAGAATCCAACATTACAAACGCAGCCTTGTGAGGTCGGAGTACCTTGCATACAAAAATGTCCACAGAAACTGTCATAATGATCAGCTTTATGGTCATCACAAAGGTCGTCTATTGGATCAACAGTTGGGTTAATGATTGTTTCACATTCAGTTATGTAAGAAACCAATGCGGGCACATAACTGTCATCACTTTTACAAGCATCAATATAGAATGTAGAAAAGTCTGTACCGAGGCCACTGCATGCAGCAGTGACAGATGTAGTCTTGAACATGTCTTCGCATTCAGTAGCCCTGGTAATATCGTTGTTATTAGAACATGCGAAATTATCAATCGTCTGACCGGGTTTGTCAGAAATTATCCAAGAGGTATCACCTGATCCTGCAATAGTCATTCCAATGTTTTGATTTGAATCATATGTAACAAAACCATAGCCTTCTGGAAACCGATAATGCATTACCAAGCCAACAACACCAGATATATCTGGATTCGAATTTAATTGATAAATCTTTTGACTATCCAGGAATATATTCCAAATTCTAACTTCACCAATTAGCCCATGAAATATTCCAAAATCTAGCGGTGGGTCTACTTCCCAATCGCCAAGTAAGAAGTTTCCTGATGGCGGGAATGTCACGTTAATGTTACTGTATTGTTCCGATACAACAACTGCACCATTTGCATAAACAAATGCATTCATAAGGTTGTTCGTTATGTCAAATGCTAATATTATATGATACCACTCATTCATAGTTAAGGTTGTACCTGTATCGTACACATTATTATATAGATGTATATGAAGTTTGCTATTGTTCAAGTAAAGACTGAACTCATTGTCAGAGTCAGCTTTGTAGTAACCAAGAACAAGACCACCATCGGCTAAGAATTTAATTTTGACTTCAATGGACACATTGAAAGGCATGTGTTCATAGAAAGCATCAGTTGGTACCCTTCCTGTCATAGCTCCTGTCCCGTTGAATAACAGACTGTAGCCCTGGGTCATGCTCTGAGGTTCACTAATATTTAATCCTGGGTAACTGTATATGAACGCTCTACTTAGTGATGTGTCTCTTGCATAGAACTGCGTAAATTCATCATCAATTATAGAATTACTTATATCTGCATATGCAACTGTATTACCAGTACTGTCTACAAAGTCATCATCTAGATTTTGGTTACAATTTCCAAGCAATCCAGTTTGATCACCGCCTGAACAAGATGTTTCAACATTGACAGACAGATATGCTGAATTTTCAAGGTAAGAAATGTCAATCGTAACTGGGCCTTGAACAAATTGCAATGTTACCTTATCGATCCAGCTAATTGTGGCAGCTCCGTTTATTGTAAATGTTGATAGACTTAATATTGTGACAGGTGAATTATTGTGTTCTAAAATAATAGGACTGTTCTCATTCAACGGCACTTTAACCGTGAAGTCATCCGAATTCATCTGAAACCAAACTTGTTGAACACATGCCTTACAACTTGCACAAGGTCTGACTCTTATAAAAACAGAAAGACTTTCAGATGGTTTTCCAAATAAGAGATATTCTCCTGATTTCTTCAAGTTGAACGCTTGTCCATCAAACATGTTAAAATGACCTTGACCAAAACACATTGCCGAGTATTTAGACAAAGAGCTTGGTATAACTGCAGCAACAGATGAGCAATCAGTCCCAATCCATCCACTTGCACATGTCTTGCATCCTGTTGCAGGGTCAAATTTCTCAGAGGTACATGTACATTCGCCAGTATCAGTGTCACACTGACCACCTCCACATGGTTCACCACGTGCATATGGGCACTGATTAGCACAGCCGTATCCGTAAAATCCGTAATTGCAGTAACACTTGTCATCATTTATGTCATAAACACCAGACCCTTGCACACAATAAACATTACAGAACTTACCATACCAATTTGACTGATCTGGATAGTCATTGCAAAGATCTTTTGTCGGATAATCTGGATCTGTACGATTTGGTTCTATTGTGTCGGTTATTGGAGTAACAATATCGTCTCCTGAATCTGTGTCATTTGTTATTGCTAAGTTAAGAAGACATTCATCATAGTACAAGTATTTCGCTGCGTCTCCAAGATTATTAAGGTAAGAAATTGAATCTGTAATATTTTTACATTTTTCTTTGTCATCTGGTGGAGGGTCTGAGATTAAAATGTCTTTAATGTCTGTATCAGGGTATGTCATTTTGTAGGCACAAACTGACCAGTGGATGTTTGCCCAATTGCCACTCTCCCAGCTTAAGATAACTGCATTTGTGGTTGAATCTTCAGTTTCATATCCATTACCTTCATTAAATCTCCAAAGGTAGGAAAGCTCATTTTGGCTATTAACATCTGTATATTCAAATGCTCGTGCAACTATTTCATTCAGGGTAAATGATGATTTCCACACAGTGAAGTCATCTACATAACCATCAAACGGATGAACAAGGTAGTCATGAGTCATGCCTAGCATGAAGGTTCCACCTGGCGTAAATGCCTCCAGAACATTACTGGCTGTGGCAAAAGCGTTTATAAAAGAAAGGTTATCTTCAATCAGGTAGAAGTAAAGTGTTTCGTCTGAGCTTGTCCAAACAACTGACAGTTTATACCACGTAGCAAGTTGAGCAGGTAATGTGTTCACCATTGTTCTCTCTTCACTTGGGTTAAATGTAGAAAACGCTATGTATCCATCGCAAACAAGGGCAGAAAATACCTTACCAGCTAGATTTTTGTATGACCACAAGGTCGCACAATCGCCAGTCATAGATTCTAGATAAAAGATAATATCAACTGTTAATTCTGACTTTGTAAAATAAGTTACTTTAACACTTTCCATTGGACTGTTTATAATATGAAGACAAGTTTCACCAGCTCCATTATCATAGTCCGGAATCAAATTTGTAAAAATGGAATCATCACTCTTCCAAGATGGAACAAATACGTCTGCAATATTTGCAACTGTCAGTGGGTAAGTTGGATCTCCTTCAAGAAGGGTGTTTCCACCAGATGTAACAAAATCGTTCTTTGGATCAGAATCACATGATCCTAGCAATCCAACTCCTGTGCCACAAACTGAAGACTTACTGCTTATATAGGTGTCTATAAAGCCATCTCTTATATCAATAGTGATAAAGAAATCAGTAGATGCAGTCAGAACATATTGAGATGGAGTGGTTTGTACAATTTTCACCTCAGTTGCAAGCTGCAATTCATTTCCAACTGTTGTAGGTTGGTCATTTAGAAATTGCCTGCCGCCTGAATTGACACCATCTGTTTGAATCACAAGCGTATTTCCACCAATAGACAAGCCAATTGCATTTGTTGTGACCACAGGGACCTTGTTATTACCAGTTACCTAAAATCAAATAATTTAAATCTGAACGCATTTCCAATCATTACAATCATTTTCAAATTATTTATTACATGTATCAAATTGCATAAGCAAGTTATGTTCATGAAAGTATAATTTCTCCAAAAAGTTTGGATCAGTCCCTGTCTAAAGCCATTAATCTTAGAGGAACAATTATGATTATTAAAAAGTTGTATATTACATACATAAAGCAATTCAGTATGCCAAGATCATCAAAAGAAAGTGATGAACTATAAATATTCATATTTTTTAAATCCAATCAGAAAACTTAAAACAAAAACTGCATTAAAACAAAAACTTCATTAAGTGTTGTTTTGTAAAGGTTATGTATTGTTACATAGTGTCCTGCTATTTCATGAGCCAGTTTCGATTCTTTCAACAAAGAATTCTTACGCAGATTGTGCAACTTACCCTTAGAGCATGAATATTCAATGTTTGGCCAGTAGCAATTGTAACCCTAGAAACCAAGTATTGCCCAACTTCGTTTGTGTCATATTTTGAACCGTCAAATGTCTGGCAGTGACCATAGCCATACACCATTCCAGTGTACCAATCTGAGGTCGAATCTAAAATAATATACTAGTACTTTACAATAATGGTAAATATTAACATGATAGAAAAAGAAGAATACAAATGACACCACACATCCGTTTTTTGTGTTGTGAATACTTAAATGCTTCATTAAAAATACAATTATAAAGCTTCACACTAGCTAGAAATTTCATGTTTATAGATTTTATGAGATATGTGACATATTGGAATAACACAATAAGAGCCACCGCCGGGCAAGGGCAACGCTCGACTTTTTTACTTTTTCTAGAAGCAACAAAAAACAAGAGCGATCAGTAATCACATGTGTCGCCTCATGATGGCCAATTTCATGGTACTGATCATTCCTGTAAAGTTTGGATAAAATAACCAGTAGTTAATGAGGAGTAGTCCTGACAAGCTTTTGCGTATCTGGCAACACACAGAAAAAAAACACCTTTTAATCAAAGGGCCATAACTCGGCCAAAAATCATTCAACCAGAAAACCAGTGCAATATGCACAAGGACTTGAGCTACAGATCAAACCTGTAAAGTTTTATTGAAATTGCATTAGTGGTATAAGAGAAGTAGTCCGGACAAACTTTAAAAATAAAATTTATTAAAGGGCCATAACTCTGACAAAAATCATTTACCCGGAAAATGCTGACAATATGCACAACTAGACTTGGTACTGATCATTCCTGTAAAGTTTGGATAAAATTGCACCAGTAGTTTATGAGGAGTAGTCCGGACAAGCTTTTGTGTATCTGGCAACACACAGAAAAAAACACCTTTTTATCAAAGGGCCATAACTCGGCCAAAAATCATTCAACCGGAAAACCTGTGCAATATGCGCAAGGACTTGAGCTACAGATCAATCCTGTAAAGTTTCATTGAAATTGCATAAGTGGTATAAGAGAAGTAGTCCGGACAAACTTTAAAATTAAAAATTATTAAAGGGCCATAACTCTGACAAAAATCATTGAACCGGAAAATGCTGACAATATGCACAACTAGACTTGGTACTGATCATTCCTGTAAAGTTTGGATGAAATTGCACCAGTGGTTTATGAGGAGTAGTCCGGACAAGTTTTGTGACGGACGGACGGACAGACAGACGACGGAGAAGTGATCCCTATATGTCGCCACTACTCCGTAGAGGCGAAACAAAAACGGTTTAAACAAATCGTCAAAAAGAAAATTAAAGAAAATACAGGTTTTTCCTTTTTTTAAATTTTATTATGTCTGTCTAGTCACACTTGATGTTTTGTCCAAGTATCAATCCTTTCCATATATAAATATTAAAGTTAAGAAAATATAATTCTAATTCAAAATTCGATCAATTGACGGTCATTTAATTAAAGGTCAAGGTCATATCTAAATTATTCCTAATGTCTGTTTGGTCACACAAGTGTTCTTTCGTCCAGATATGAATCAAATCTGTTCAGTCCACATATGAATCAAACCTGTACATAAATAACAAAATTATGACAACTTCACAAATCAAAGCACAGAAGGCGCTGGATTTGTTTGGGTCACAGAATGTCAAAAAGGTGAAGGTTGTGAGATTATAAACCAATTTGATGTATAGTGTCACCAATGCTGTTTCCAGTGTTATAACTATAGTAGGACTCCAGTCCTCGCGCTTAAAAAGCCAGCCTATAAACCCCTCGACAACGGGGAGCTATAAGATAACAGCCTGAAGAATACCATATTATTCTAAATTAGAGTTTGTAACCCTTATTAATTTCGATATATTTTGTTCACGGTAAACCTGTTGTTTAACACTGAAGCAAATAATCATAAAGCTGAATACCAGCATGTATATCTATTAGAATAACACAATATTAGAAATCTTCAACCAATCGGGAACTATTTTTTCTTTACGAAAATTAATGCGCCTGTCATTTGACAATCTTTACGCAGTGATCTCCCCTGAATTTTTCGGCGTTAATGTACATATGAAGGGAAGTAACCGCTTCAAGGAGTTTGGACTACTTTCGGCATTTGCAAATAAGAACATCAGGCTCTGAAATTTCGCTACCATTATTTGTTTGGTCTGACGACCCAAACAAATAAAAATTCAATACTTTGACCTTGATGGTCAAGGTCATTTAAATGTCAAGGTCAGCTAAACCTTTAAGGAATTCCTTGTCCAAGTATGAACTAATCCATTGATTAATTACAAAGGTACAGCCAATTATAGAGATAATCAGTGAAAATAAATTAATATGACCTTCAAGGTCAAGGTCAGACCTTTTAGAAGATCTTGTTCAAAATGTTTTTTTTGTCAAAGTATGAAGATAATCCATTTAATTATTACCAAGTAACAGTCAATTACAGCAAAAATTAGTGAAAATTTAATAATCTAAAAATCAATCTTTAATGTCAAGGTCCAAAAAGATCCAAGGTCAATTTGAGTTTGATGTACTTTGAGGTCTAATCCTAAAGAATGTTTTGTTATCATATGAAAAGTCAATCCATTCAATAATAGCACAGTTATAGCCAGTTACAGCACAAAAAAAAATAATTAAAAAATGAAAATCTCATAAATTTTAAATTTAAGGTCGAGGTCAATTAATAAGTGAAGATCATAGTATGTCTGGTTAACTTGAAGGTCTATCCTAAAAGATTATCATGTTCAAGTTTGAAGAAAATCCATTAAAAAATAACAAGGCAGTCTGAAGGACAGATAAATCCCCTTCCACAGTGGACATGAATGTGTACTTCTTGACCTTTAACCAATCACGACCTTGATGTTGTGCCATGCATATCATATGCAAATTTGCTCATCTCAGAGGGCACAAAATTGCTGACATTGAACATTTGACTTCTTAAGTATGACCTACACCTTGAGGACAGCGACCTAAATATTGCGTACACACATCATGTCATTATGGTGACCATTTGTGCAGTCATTATAAAAACTTTTCATTAGTTTAAAAGTTAAGGAGCGGACAGGAAAATGTGGACTTTATCATTTGACCTTTAAGTGTGACATTGACCTTGGGGGTAGCAATCTGGATGTACCTTGCGGGTAGCAACCTATATATTGCGCTCTGCAGATTGTGTCATGGACTGGGGATTATTTGTGCCAAGCAAGTTTAAAATCTTTGAATTGTCAATAAGTTATAGAGCGCACATGAAAAATAGATGTTTAAATATTGGACCTTTGAGTGTGACCTTGAAGGTAGTGACTTTATTGTTGTGTGTTGTGCTCTGCACATTGTCTTATAATAGTGATCATTTCTGCCAAGTTATTTTAAAATCATTGTTATGGAGCGGACAATAAATGTAGACTTTTAAACACTTGACCTTTAAGTGTGACATTGACCTTTGGGTTAGCAACCCAATTACTGCGCTCTGCACATCGCCTCATAATTGTGATCAATTGTGCCAAGTTATTTAAAAAGAATGTCAGCGGTTTAAAAGTTATGAAGAAGATACAAAAGTGTTACGGACAGATGGACTGACAAACAGAGGTCATTCCTTAACAAAGTTATAGCCATTATAGCAGAAATCAGCAAAAACCAAGAAAAATTTAGACATATGACATTGAAAGTCAAGGTCATTTATGAATAAAGGTCAATGTTAGTCTGGTCTTCTTGAAGATCTTGTCCCAGGGGTTGCTGTGGCCAAGTATGAAGACAATACACCAAGAACTTATAAAGATATGATCAATGTCAAGTTTTCAAACAGCATCATCAACGCTGACATGACTGTAACAATACCTCTACTTCAAAAAATAAAATAAAAATAACAAGTTGAGTTAAAAACAGTTTGAAACCAATTTTTTTTAATTTGTTATGCTTTTATATGAATAAACATTTTAAGTAGCTTACTTTGTATATTAGTTCCAGCAAATTTACAGTCATCACCAAACCAACCAGGAATACAGGTTTCACAATTTGTATTTGTGTCAGCACCCTCTATACATGTACATGTTCCCGTGGCAGTGTCACATTTTCCCTTGCCAAAACATGGATTAGAACCCCCACCAGGACATTCATCCCAGCAGGCTGGACCATAATATCCATGGTGACAACTACACATACCTTGAACCACTGGCAATGTTGTCTATCGATAAATGAAAATCATTTTGATATGATTATAAAACATTGATTATTTGTACAAAAAATCTGGGAAGGAAAATATAACCTTTTTAACATATACAATAATGAATACATGTTGATAAATAAGAATAAAAAAATGCATTCAGTTATCTAACATTAGGCAATGGGAAATATCTATCTAGCACATTTTTAAGCAATCTTGAGCAGTTATAAATCAAATTTTAGTATCACCGTGAGCTGTCATCCTGTAATGAAATTTGAATTTTATATATGAAGGAAAGCTTTGTAACTAGTAAATTGTGTCTAATTATTTCACTTAAGCTGGGAAGTAATGATTTTTTCAAACAGTTTCCAAAAAGACTGAATACACACAATCAATCATATACAAATACATTGTAGTATCAACATTGATTCATAACAAGTGCAACATTTTCAAATTGGCATGTTAGACAACCTTTAATGTTTTCGTTTTGATCATTCATATTATTATGAAATACTTTGCGGTTTTATGTATTGAAGATATTATTGAATTGTTATTGAATACAAACCAGTTGTGGTGGACTGGAGCACAATACTGAGCCATCGATCTCTGCAGTCTTTTCTGTAGCCAATGACAATGTAACTACTGTCCAATAATACTGTGTGATTGTAGTCATGTTGGCAGGGCTGCAAACAATAAAATTGTATCATTTATACTATTTTAATAGTAATAAACAAACTGTAAATGATATAAATGGTTTTTAAATTCTTAATTAAACAAAGTGTTTATGTTTAAAAGACCCAGTATTGGGAGACGAGGTAGATTGCACTTTCTTTTTTGTCAATTAACAGGCTGTATCAAAGTGTGTTTGAAATAATTTAAATTTTGCTGTTTTGTCATTCTTTCAAATTTCCATAATTAAATATTTTAAAACAGTCAGTACCAAAATGTAAAGTCTTGAAAGATTTAAATATTTACTAGGATATATTTTATGCAATTAAAAGTTTTTTTTCAAATTTAAAGATAGTGCAAGAATTTACTTAGACACAAATATGATTGACATTACCTTGACTTTTATTACACGTTAACTCAAACTTTTACTAAGAGGAAGATACACAGAAATTGAGTGATGTGTGTGACAAACAACAATCAATATTCATGTGATAGAAATAGGATGCGAGGACAGAAAAATAATTATACTAATTTATTACATGCTTTTCGGTGGTTTATAGAAATATATCAGTGATATAAAACTGGTAATTTCACTGTTTGAAACAGTGAAATTACCACTTTGATAATTTCACTGTTTTGAATTTAAGCCCCTTACGTTGTTTCAGTGAAATACCAGGTCGTAAATGACGTCACGTTGTATTATTATTTGGCGCGCTTTTCATTCAGTATTAGGTTTAATTCTTTTTAAAACGTTTCTTTGCATATAATAAAAAGAAAATTTGTTTAGTTTAGTGTAAGATCGAAATATATTTCACCTTGTGAACACCAAAAGTTCATATTTCACTAGTGGCTTCGCCACTCGTGAAATATACCTTTTGGTGCTTACTCGGTGAAATATATTCCGATCTTACACTGAACTAAACAAATATCCTCTATATTTTCATCTAAAATGTATTGTTCTTTTACTAAATCAGATTTTATCTTAGTATTGCTTTTTAAACAGAAACATCCCCATGAAGAAATTGAGACAAAAAATCTGCACTTATTCACACTTACCCAATAGAGACAGCATACTCAACATCTCCAATGATAAACTTAGTGGGTGGGCTGTATGTAGCAGAGACTGTACCATTAATGTGTATGGCATTTTCACTGGTTGCAGTGATGTAAACATTATTTGGATTTGGATTGCTGTAACCGAACCATGCCTGGTAGGAATCTGCTCCCACTTGTTCCAGACACTTGAATATGGGATTAATTGGTGAGGAAATGTTAGTTCCATCATCAACATCAACAAAGTATCCTTGAAAGTCTTTGCAACTGATGTCACAGTCTGGGCCAACATAATCTGCAAAGAACACATTATGCAGTGTTGATTTAATGTACATGTATATCAAAAACAGATAAAATCATTGATAAATTTTAAATATTTGTCATGTATAGATAAGGCCTCTTTTCTGTTTCTATTTCTCAATTTATCAATGTAGGACTGAGTGGCAAGCATATACAGTAAGAAATATACACATTGTTATTTTTACTTTGTTTCGACTTAATTACTGCAATGTAACAAAATGTTTGAAAAGGGACAAAATTTCACTTAATTTTAAAATTCATTGTAATATTTTGAGGTGTCATTATCAATAGCCAAAATTATAAAATGTGGTCAAACAGCACACATGGCACTGAACTGCAGACTGTTCTGGCTCTATACTTGTGGCATTGTGTCCTAGGCCTGACAATGTGGCCTTTTCACTTCAGAGTTAAGAACAAACTACGAAAATAAAAAGAGAGAAATAATTAAATTATCATACTTGCTGCACATTCTGTACAGTGGGGCTTATTCCATCCAAGAAGACAGTCCACACAGCCGGTGTGCGGATTTATCCAATGACCGTTAGTATCATCATCATAACATTCACAAACATCACCTCCTATAAACAATACAAAACAATTGTAAACAGAATAATATTACAGTTTTAAAAGGACATATTTCTTAAGATGATAGAATCATTAACTTTTCCGCAAAGCTTGCTGGGAATTTGACGTATTACAAAAATGATAATAAACATAAAGTTGTGAAAAAACCTCAATACTCCTAAAGGATTCAAATTAGAATTAGTCTATTATGAAATCAATGTGCCAGTGTTTATAATGAAACACACTGCTTTGCATTGTTACATTATCATGAGCACATCATTTTAAAACTATTTTTCTTAATAAAAACTTATTTAGAAGTAACCTCTATCAATTTATTATAACAATTGCTAGAATTTAGACGCTAGAAACATTTTCCTTACATATTCATCATAACATACTTGATATATTTTTATTCTAACTACTTAAATGAAACAAACAAACAAACAAACAAATTCTAACTACTTGTAAAGTTAAATCAATTTCTTTAGCTATCAGTATGTCGTTCGAATGAAAGATAAAACTTGTCTATTGCTAAAAACTATTTTCTTCTTTCTTTTTTACTACAAAGCATACATACTTTCTTATTTTTTTAGTTTAAACTGAAAAAAAAATATTAACCTGTATTTACATTACCGGATTATTTAGTGCTAACATTTCGCATTTGCTTATCAAAACTGTTAATAAATACCAACAAATTTATCATGATATAATAGAGAGACTTATACCTAATACTGTAGCATAACCGTTGGCGCAGAAAGTGTCACATGTTGTGTTGTACCCAATGTAGTCATCACGGCACCTCTCACAATTTGTTCCAACAAAGTTGATGACACAGGAATCACACGCGAGGCCATTGAAACCATGGTAACATACACACTGTGGAGCAGGATATCCCGTCAATAGCAGACAATCACCTACAAATTACAATTATAACATATCATGTCCTTATTTTATTTCATGTTGTCGTCCTGTAAGACAAGCCTCTTCATAATATTCAATATTTAGTTCAAATTAAAACTTGTACATACTTAAAAATATTGCAAGGTTATTAAAAAACGAAATAACTTTTCAAGGCAGTTATCTGCAATTAGCAATAAAAAGCTGAAACAATTGAAAACAAGGACTTAAATTCACCAATGTCTTAACATTAGCTGTCTTACCAATTAATTTGTATACCATACTCGAATCTGAGTCCTAGACTACTTAGTAACCGTACCAGTGTTATAATTATGAACAGACATGTCCAGACCAAAGAAGGGCTTGAAGCTACGATCCACGACTTAAGAAGAAGATATCTAAAATTCATTTTCACCTCAGTTTGTGTGTGGTAACACATAATTTTAATGGGGGATACAGGATTAGTTTGTGATAATTTCGTTTGACATTTAACTTTAGCAGTAATATAATGCAAAATAAATTTACCGTTTCCATTGCAAGTATCATTAACAGCTCCTGGGCATACAAACTCGGAACAATCTGCTCCAGTAAAACCAGCGTCACATACGCAGATTGATGAGTTGGTAGCTGTATCTCTTATACATTGACCATATGTACTACAGTCAGGGTTACCTTGTAATAAATAAATAATAACCATTATATTGGATATGTTATCTTCATATTTATATCTTGAAAAACATGTAAATAACATTAGAATATTTTAATAGTTTACCTTTATGAATGTCACGAATTATCTAAAAGTGACATAATGCCCATCCAAGTGTAAATGGTGAGTGCACAGATAAAATCAAAGTAACTCGATGCTTTGCCACAATTGTATTACTATGCCCAACAAAAATCAATTATCCACGTGACCCATGGACTTCTCAAAATGTATCAGTAACATTCAATTTTTTAATAGGGTGGGCAGACTTTCTATAACTTAGATAGTTTTTTGTTTTACCCTTAGCATTTTTCATTATCAATTTTTGGTGAAAAACAATAGAACTGTCAATTTCTTGAAATATATTACTAATTTAACTTAATTTGACAGCGAAAAAACAATGAAGATTATGTCACTTTAATCTAACCTAAATCTCTATGTGTCTAATCATTTTAACAAGTAATTTAATTTAATGCTTTAATTAACAGTACATCCAATTAACAATACCCAGTACATGTAATATATCTTTTTTCCTCAATAGCATTTTTCATATAAATGCTCAATATTATGTCATGTGGAACTCCCTTATCTTGAATCTTATAATGATACGACAAATATTTTTATCAACAACAATTTGACCATGATTTGAAAGCTATACATGTATATTATTTATTATCCAACCTTCTAGTAATGCTGTAAAATGGTAGATAAAACAAAAGGGCTTTTTATGTAGAATTTTTATTTGGTGGGGTGTTACATCGCACAAACACAGTATAGGTCATATGACGACTTTTCAGCTTTATTGGTGGACCCCAGTAGAACCACCAATGTTTCATAAGCTAGTTGTATAGCTTTCTCAAATGAAAGAATTCCAAGTTTCTGTCGGCATTCAAACCCACAGCAGTGAGGGGCAAGGGAGTCAACAAGAAAAAACAACAGCATTTGTTTCTGTAAGCAACTGACAAACTTTTTAAAATGTTACAATAACACCACTTTGTACAAATATTTCAGTTACTCAAACTTTTCCATGGCAAGTTTTTGCCAAACAATGTGCAGGAATAAAAATGATTGTATGTGAATAAAATTTGTAAGACATACCTGGGCAGTCTAATTCCTCACAAAAGTCACCTTTGTAGCCTGGCTCACAATCACATGACTGGGAAAACAAGCAAATTATCTCACATTACAAAAACATAATTTTGTATGTATGTTAAATGCACTTACATTCTAATACAATGTACAGTGTAATTATTTCACATTTAGAAGTACATGTATTATGATGAGTAATTTTAAATACAGTTCAATACATTGTAAAAGAATAAACAGTAATGCTTAAGAATTGATACAAAAAAGATCACTACGTTTTAACTCCCTTTTTCAAAATAGATACAATGAGCTAAAGAACAGATGCTGAAAGTATTTATGTATCAACTCCATCACAAGTTGTTTAAAAATCAAGGTTTATATATTTTTCATTTCAATCAGCAAGTAACTTGCTTTGACTCTCATATCAAATCGATTGCTTTTTCTACATGTGTAAGAATATTAGTAGTAATTAGATATGTTAGTCTGAAATATATATTTTTTTCTTATGTTAATGTCCTTTTTTTAAAACAAAAGAAAAAATTATTTAATGATATTTTTTTATCATGTATGTATTTTTAAATATTTGCTACATGTACATGTCCCTGAGAAAATAAACTTACATTTGTGGCATTAACAGAGACACATGATCCTACATTGTTACACTCTACATTACAAGCAAAATCATCATAGCAAGGATCACAAACGCAGATACTGGAGAATTGTGGGTACTCGTTGCCATGGACACAATCATACTGACATTCTGAGCCCATTGAATCTGTGCAGTTAACACATTTTGGTGGCCAGTAATTTGCACCATCACATGTACCTATGATAAATAAAATAATATATAAATAGAGCACAGCTATGAAATGTGGCAAAAATATTTGCTTGCTATTGTTTATAATTTTCTCACATTCTTATTATTAATCTGCTTAAGTTTGCATCTATTAGTGGGATGAATCATTTTGTAACATACTATAAACTAGAATAAAAATGAATAATAAACAATTATGATAAAAGCATGAGTAGATCAACAATAGGCTTACCCTTTCCATTACAGTCCGGTGTTCCAGGGCAGTCCCAGGTATCACATCCAACACCTGTCCACCCTATGTTACAGGTACAAGTCTGGGAAGCAACAGTACAGATACCATTCCCAGAACAACTAGATCCATCACCAGGGCAACCTCGTACATCACATTCAGTACCTGATTTATATACATGTATATTACACTTTTCACATATTTCTAACAATCTCTGGAACTTCAATTTTATTAAATTAAAATTACAAAGCTCATAAGCATGTCAGTTAAACTGATCCTAAATATTCACTTAATGCACTGTTGTAATTCAAACCTTGGGAAATCATATAACTTATAAGTTCATTTAGAAAATTATGAAAATTACAATAAATATTTGTTAGGAATGGACTGTCTAACATTGATATTTTACAGCAAGTTTGTTAAGTAAAACATACCCCAATATCCACTGTCACAGTCACATGTATCATTTACACATGTGCCAAGACCGTTACAGATTTCGTCACAGGCAGCTCCCGTGTAACATGGATCACACAAGCATGTTTGATCTGACTGAGCAACACCATTTATACATGGGTATTGACACTCGTTACCCATATATCCCTGGTAGCATGAGCAGGTTGGTACCACCCCGGAAGTATCACAAGCACCATTTCCATTACAGTCAGGTGTACCAGGACAATCTGGCACATGGCACGAGGTGGCATTAATTGTCCAGCCAGGATCACACTTACAGCTACCCTGAATACATTGTCCATGACCACTGCATGATTCATCAATACCAGGACATCCCTTAGTTTCACACAGTGTGCCCCAGTAACCTGTTGGGTTGTAACCGGTACCGTCGTGGCATACACAGCTGTCAGTAGCACTGTCACATGTACCATAACCACTGCATGTTTCCAGACAGTTATCTGCTTGACTCTGGCAGTTGCTTGTACATACACAGATTCCTATATGACAAATAATTTAGTCAAGTCTACATCAATAAATCTTATTTCTAAAGTTTTTAACTTCATTTTGAATTAGTTTTAAAATTCCAGACAAAAGGCATCTGTTGACAAAATAAAAATAGTTTCTGTTTAGCTTATTATGAATAATAAGCATCTTATTTTTCAAAGTTCCCAATCAAAGTCTTTCTTTACAAGATTACAACGTCTTTTATTTAGATATTGATTTACAATTTAAATTGGTTACATTTTACTTAGTTAAAATTTGTCTTCATGTAAAACATACCACTGTCCATAGGCTGTTGAATGCCGTAACAAGGCTCGCTGCAGTCAGGGCCCATCCAGCCTTGGTCACACTGGGTACAAAACGGAACGGCCACAGTGTCATTACATATTCCATGTCCAGTACAATTGTTCAAACATTCTGCAGTCCAGCACCCGTCTCCTGTCCAGTATGTGTTACATGTACATGTACCTAAAGATGAAAAGTAAAAATTCAACCTCCATTACCCAAAAAAGTTGGTTTTGAGGGAAAAGGTAAAAGAATTACACCTAAACTGAACTTACTATTGCATATTCCGTTACTAAAATGAACTATTTTTATTATGGCAAAATAAGAATAGCCCCAAACAAACCTGATGTAGAAGAATCTTCAAAACAGAAGTTCTGTTTTTAATATCATCAAATGAGAAAAAAATAGTTTATTACTGTTTGTATCGGATAGAGCATATATTAAGAGTTCTTCATTATTAAGAATGTCCAAAAGAAGGCTTTTACCACAGAAGTATTTTCAACCTATTAAACTTGGATTTTATCATTTTGTTTTCAAAAAAGGGAAAGATAAGCAGTAAAATAATAAATTTACCTATAGTATTAGCCAAACCGGTGATACAGCTTCCATGACCGGAACAATCGGTACCATATAAACCAGGACATCCTGTCTTCTCACAATTGTCTCCTCTCCAGCCAGCAGTGCCACAGTCACAAGTGCCATTGTTACATGAACCGTGACTGGAGCATTCCGTATCACATTCAAAGCCTGTATAACAGGAATGGCATTCACAATACTGGCTTGACAAATCGTTCGGATCCGGTGTAATGATATCACCATGGTAGCAGAAACTTCCGCAATCAGAGCCAAAATACCCTACTGAGCAATTACACTTCGGTACAGCAATTTCTAAACATGTGCCAGCATTACTACAATCATTGTCACATTTAACCACATGACAGCCTATACCGGTCCATCCCGTAGAACAACTGCATACTCCGGTTGCTGGATTACATTGTCCATGTCCAGTACAGGATATATCATAACCGGGGCATTCTTTGGTCTGACAGAATTCGCCACGGTAACCATCAAATCCACAATCACATGTGCCATTAGTTGTGCAGTTGCCTTCGTTGTTACATAGAGAGTCACACTCGGCACCACTGTAGCAGGGGTCACAGATACACTCAAATGTGGTTGTATTCTCAACACCATGTACACACCTTTAACCAAAACATAGAAATCATTAAAAGTGCACAATTTCTATCTTTCTATTGTTTTATATCTTACTTATTAAACACCAATCATTGATTTTATAAATTTAAAAGTAAGATCACGGCACCTAAATTCGAAACTGGTTTGACAAAATACCAAAATAATTTGAAATCAAAAAGTAATGAAATGATATCATGTAAAAGTGAATAAATATTGAAATAAATAAACAAATTAAATAATTTGTTGAAATTCTGTAGCCACCTGACACAATTTAAATATAGATTTAAAGCAGCTGTGATGACTTATATTACCTGTATTGACATTGGTCACCAATATAGGGAGAGTCACAGTCATAACATCTTGGCTTCAAATCACCGGCTCTCTGTTCACATGTGGCATTGATTCCATTACAATCACAGTCGGGGATGTGGCAGGCATTACCCTTCCATCCCTGGTCACATGTACACTCTCCGCTAGCAGCATTACATGTACCATGATTCATACAGTTATCAGGCCAACCTGGGCAGCCATCTATATTGCACTGATCACCTGAATATGGCGATGAATATTAAAAACATCAATCATTTGTTCATTTTCTTTCAAAATAAAGTAAGTTCATCATTTCATATCACTTTTATGAAAATGGAATATGATAAATTGTTCAATTATTGAAAATAGTGAAAATTGAAAGTTAACACAAATCATACACAATTGTGAATATCTTACCTTTAAATCCCATATCAAAATCACAGATACAACTTCCATTGGCATCACATTTACCATGACTTTCACACGTTAAATGGCATGACAAACCTGTAATGAAGATTCAAATTTCATTTTTCCATTATTATGTTATTATTTCATTTTTTATCAATCTTTTATCAACAAAAGATTAAATGTCAATGTTCCTGTAATGAATGGAAAGCATGCAGAGGAAATATATCAGATATCAGAATAAATCTAAATGGCGCACTATCAGTGTTAAATCAATTTTAAGGTCATACATCATATACCAGATAAGTTAACAACTAGGTCAATGTACACAATAAAATTAATATTTTGTCAATACCAGTATCACAAGGACGGTAGCACGTGCAGACACCGTCTCCATTGTTTGTTCCATTGATACATGGGATACTGCAGTCATCACCAATCCAGTCGGAATAGCAGTGGCATACACCAGACAGTAACTGGGGATCATACTCGCAATCTCCAACACCTACATTATAAATTAAACCATTGTTAACATACTTTTAGGTAGGCATTTTTATGTAACAACCAAATTCTATAACTCTTACAATTATGTGCCAAGAACTTGCGCATTTTTCCTCAATGAGATATTAAATCATATACATGTATAATGAATGTAATTGTTTTTCCTTCATATAATGTAAAATGTTGTTGAAGTTGTTCTTGAATTATCATCTGCAATAATTGACAGTGTTGTGTCAACTTGTTTCAAAACATCTGCCAAATATATAGATAATACTATCCAATCAAAGTAGCAATGAATAAAATTAAAACCATTACTTAATTATTGTTTAAGTAACATAATTGTTAAGTCATATACAATCTAAACCTACCTAAATAAATCTTAGCCTTACTAAAAGTAGAAAAATTACATAAAGAACTTATGCATTAAAGACAATTTGTTTTTCAGATATTGAATATGCACATATATTTCAGGCTTAACACTTACCATTACAGTCATTGGGGCATTCTGGGATGCTACAATTGTAACCTTGCCAACCAGGATAACAAATACATTCCATATTGATACATGTTCCACGTCCATCACATTTGCCGTCTGCTCCAGGACAACCCTCTGTCTCACACAGATCTCCGACCCATGCATTTTCTTGAAAGATAAATAAGAGAGTAAATGATTTCAAATTCTTACAGCAATGCCTAAACCAAACCATAGAATAAAATGAAAAATAAGGAGTTTAAAATAACCCAACCACAAATTTTATCAAAAAATTGATCTCTAAATGCCTACCTTAATCTAGAAAGTACATAAGTTTTAGCCATTTTCAATGCTATATTATTGTAACTGGTATGCATTTGTTTTAAGAAAGGAAGAAAAATGTATTAAACAGTACGTAACCAATCTCATCTTAGACTATTTATGTAATGTGTTTATAGATATACATACTAGGTTGTCTAAAGCAGTCACAGGTTCCGTTGTTACATATTCCATTATCAGAACACTCTAGTTGACATCTATCACCGTTGTAACAATCAAAACATACGCATTCTCCACCAAGATTGTTCATGACAACTGTTCCATTCTCACACTTCTTGTCACAATCTAGTCCAAACCAACCCTACAAAATACAATATTTGTGTGTTAATCACAGAAACATTAAACCTTTACAATGCCTATTTTTTATGAATTTCTTTCCAGTTTTGAACTAAGAATTGTTTGTAGCTTAAAGCAGTATGCCTCAACATTCATGCTAAATTTCATGGAAATTTTGATAATGTATTTAAATCTAAAATATTGTAAAGTGAAGAAAATATATATATCTTACACATTTCAAACGTCACTTACAGTCCACGTAAATTACCAAAAATAGGTCAAACTATGCTAAAATAGCCCTTACTTCATTAGTCACGCAGTAGAAATAGGGAGATAAATACTGCAAAATCAGTCATTAATCACAAATAACATGTACATTATTACTTGAACTTTTTACTTGAGTCTGTTAAGTCTGTACAACTATACAGTCTGGCCTGACTTTATGCTGTGAAAAGGCCTGTCAATTTAACAAGAGTAAGAGCAGTACTGGGTTCATGACCATGTTTTGTCAGATGAAACCAGAACTGTTAAGTTTCAAGAATGGCTCAAATAACTTACAAGCTTTCTTGACAATTTAGCTTAAATAAATTATGGTTAAAATCACTGGAACTGAAATGTTGAAAACTTACATCAGCTGTATTACAAATGCATTCTGGTACACCAGATGAACCGTCACACAATCCACGGCTCTCATTCACGTAGCATGCACCATAACCACAGTCAGGTGTGTTGCAATCATCATCGGTCCAACCTAAGGTATGCAATTATATTACAAGAACAGTCAAATATCAACAAGTAATCACTAATGAATTTGTGCTTAAGTTTCATTTTTTTATTTGGGTTTGGAATAATGTTACCCCAACAATTATAACTCTTTATATTATATTCTTTGTAAATCATTCCTGGATACCTCGGATATACATTCCAGAATTATTTCTAACATGAACAGGTTATTGAATAGAATCATAGACATTTTACAATAAAGCTGGATAAGTTCCTGGTGACATTCATGTATTTTAGTCGACTATGAGTATTATCATAACACACATCAAGATTTAACACAGATGTAAAGGGATGTTACCTGGTAAATAAAAATCTGGAAAAAGAGTAATCACAACAAAATTACATGAAAATTGCAGACTCAGTTTGAGTATGTACATGAGGGATCATGTAAAATTTCAACATTGCTCATGCATGAAAGCACTGGCTTGAGCAGTACTCCATTTTCAACACTTACAAGTGCTTAAATCCATGATCCGGAAGGACAAGACAAATATAACAACACTGAAGTGAAGTACATGGCAATTATTTACAGCTGCCACACAGCACTTGACACCTGTGTTTTTTAAGTATATAAATCTGAACATAGTGTGAGCTTATCAAACTAAGGTCATGATATATCCTTGTCACTGAAATAAATTAAATTAATGACTTAAACTCTATTGTCAATATGTTATAAATCATCAAAATTCGTGGGGAATTTATCTATTATTGCATTATGCTTTAACAATATCAAGTTTAGTCATAGTGTAATTTTGACATTACATACTTAAACTTTGCTTTATAAATGAGGTAAAAATATACTATTTTACCTGGTAAGCAAGTACACATGTGCAAGGCCGAATTACATACACCATGATTGGTGCAGTCTGTACCATTACCAGGGCAACCTGGTACTTCACATTTTGATCCACGCCAGCCTACCATGCATTCACATGTTCCATTAATGCACTGACCATGATCATCACATTCAATGTCACATCCCTTGCCAGTGTAACAGGAGTCACACTCACAGAACCCGCTGTTCATTGGGCTTTGTACTCCATGGGTTGCATCACAAACATCTTCACATGCCTCGCCCATCCAGCCAGGGTTGCAATTCTTACATTTTGGTGTGGTCAGGGTACTGTCACATTCACCTTCACCGTTACAGTCTGGTGTACCGGGACAGTCAGGGACGTCACAACCATTTGTTAGTGGATCAACATACCCAGCACCGTTAGCCTGACCTGTCCATCCACTGTAGCATGTACATTCATGAGTAGCTGCATTACAGTCACCATTTCCGGTACAATCTGTCATGTTTCCGGGGCAACTTGGGATATCACAGACACGTCCACGCCAGCCGATATCACATTCACATTTAGCATTGACAATGGAACCATGGTTTGAGCACTCTGAATCACAATTTATGCCAACCCAGCCAGGATCACACTCACAGTTCTGGCTTCCAACCGGATTCATCTGTCCGTTAACACAAGGCTCCTCACATGCTTCACCAAACCAGCGGTCATGACATCTGAATTTTGAATACATGTAACTTGATAATATCCATTCAAACACATGCTTTAATCAAAAATAGTAATAAAAAGTTTAGGATTAATGCACCTGCTTAAAATATCATGATAACTAAATTAAATAAACAAGAGCTGTCCGTAAGACAGCGCGCTCGACTTTTTTATTGCTTGCCAATAAAAAAAGTTTTTGCAGTAAAAGGCAATACAAGAATCTCTGTATTTTTAAAGTGAACAATGGCCATGAGCATTAAGATATTTAGTGAAGAATTATTTTACTGAATTGTGTGATACCCTTGAACACTGCAGCAAAGTTTGAAATGTTTAAGTCAAAACATTGACAGTTAAGGGCCATAATTCAAATAAAATCTTTGACAGAATTACCTTCTACTGGACATGTTTGGGAATCATGATTGTAAACAAGTATTCCAACTTTCAAATTAATATCTCAAACAGTTCAGTCAAAAAGTGGACTGGTACTAAAAACTTAACCAAGATTCTAAGTCGATAAAAGGCCTTAATTTTTAAAACAAATCCTTGACAGAGTTACCTTCTCTTGCGTACAGATGGGGGTAATGATGTGAAATAGCATTAAAAGTTTCAAAGCAATATCTCAAAGGGTTAAGGCAATAAGTGGATTTTACCCATATTCAATGTATTTTCTAAGTCAAAAAGGGGCATAATTCTGTCAAAAACCTTGACAGAGTTATGTCCTCTTGTCTGTTGATGAAGGTCGTGATGGTAAACAAGTATGGTCAGTTTCAAAGCAATACCTCCAATGGTTTTGAAATAAAGTGAGGTGGTACAAAAAACTTAACCAAGCTCAATACACTTTCTAAGTCAAAAAAGGGCCATAATTCTGTCAAAAACCTTGACAGAGTTATGTACTCTTGTCTGTAGATGGAGGTTATGATGGTGAACAAGTATGGTAAGTTTCAAAGCCATACTTGTAATACTTCTGAAATAAAGTGGGGTGGTACGAAAAACTTAACCAAGGTGTGACGCCGACGCCGACGCCGACGCCGGGGCGAGTAGGATAGCTCCCCTTTTCATAGAAAAGTCGAGCTAAAAAGTGAGCAGTTATAGAGTAAATCACTTTGCACATTACATTTGAGTAGTCAAAATCAAAATTTGAAGGAAGGCAACACTTTCAACAAGTTGGTTTTGAACATTTGTGTATTGTTAATACACAATACTTACAAGCAAGTTGGTGGATCATTTGAGTCTATACAAGTTCCATTGTTGTTACAGTCAGGGTCACCAGGGCAGTCAGCATACTCACAACCTATACCCTGCCAGCCCTTGTTACATGTGCAAGTTGCTGTTGTACTGTCACAACCACCTAAAATACAAAATAACCAATTATAATAACAACAAACAATGAACTTGTGCTTATTTATATTTGTGTTTAGTCAAAAATTATGGTAAAATAATATTAATATGACACTTTACTGTTTAAAAATTATACAAACAAGTTGGCTAAAATATAATAACATTTAAAAATTTAGTAAGACATAATTATTTCAATAAATCAATCAATAAATTTGGTCCAGACAATGTTTGAACAAAGACATTTCTAACCTCGTCCACTGCAGTCTATTCCATTTAAGCCAGGACATCCAGGTATATCACAGACTCTTCCTTTCCATCCAAGTTCGTATGTACATTTACACATTCCAGTAGTTGTGCTTATGTTACCATGTTCTGAACATTCTGAGTTACAACCTACACCAGCCCAACCTTCTTCACACAGACATACACCACTATCCATCGGTGTTTGGGTTCCATGTAGACAAGGGTCGTTACAAGCTGGGCCCATCCAGTCAGCATCGCAGGACAAACATAATGGAGGATTGGTTGATTCGTCGCAAGTTCCACGGTTGTAACAGTTGGGGTCTCCGGGACAGTCAGCAATATGACAGGCTTCACCTTCCCAACCTGCATCGCACATGCACATCTTTGTTGCTGAGTCACAGTTACCACGGTTACTACATTCAACATCTGTAACTGGATGTCTTGGACAACCTGAAATATTTTTTTTAAATATTTAAATTGTAGGCCTTCTCATTTAATGCTAGAGTATGTGCAGACGAAAAAAAATGAACATTTCATTTTAACATATGAAAGTGTAATATATCTTTGGTAACTCTTAAGAGATTTTTCATTAACTGATTTACGTGCAATTTATAAAAAATCTTATCTAACAAGAGGATAAAAATGTTGACATAAAAACATATCTTTAAACTTAATATTGTGCAGACTATTAGCATTGTTTATCAAGATACCTGGAATTTCGCAATAGGTTCCACTCCATCCCACTAGTGGATCACAATAACAAAGTCCAGATCCATTTGAGTGACAAACACCATTGCCTGAACATTCTATATCACAGCCTTTTCCATGGTGACATATTTGGTCACAGTTACATATAGTATGGTTGGAGTTTGGTGTTCCATGCAGACACACATCATCACAAGCAGGACCCATCCACCCTCGATTACAGTCAGTACAGATTGGCGGGTCATAAAGCTCGTTACAAACACCTTGGTTATTACAGTTTGGTTCTCCAGGACAGTCGGCCTCGCCACAGTCAGCACCTGATATAAGATAATTAGATCATAAATGATAAGATCTTATTTCAAGAACAAATAAAAAAACATAACTCGCCTAGCTGAAGTAGAAAGAATTGAAGCAGCACCTCCACTCATTTGCATTTACAGAAGTGTCAACAACCTGTAGAATAGTATACTTGTTAGAAACAGAGAAAATTCAGAACAAATAATTCAATAATAAATGGTGACAAAAGTATGCAAATAAGGGCCTGAAATAAATAAAAATTATTTTAAATTATCACGAAAATAATTAAATAAAACAACAAGATTAATAAGTTTATTATATACCTTTCCATCCAATGTTGCAGAAGCATTCACTTGTACCAGAGTTACAGATACCATGTCCATTACAATTCAGGTCGGCTCCTGGGCAACCTTTTCTGGTACATTTCTCATCGCCCCAGTTTGCATCACATGTACAGTTGCCGTTAACTGCATCACAAGTACCGTGAGAATTACATTCTGACTGACAGAAGACTCCAAGATGGCAGTCATCACACACACACTGGTCAGCAACACATGAGCCAAATCCTCCGCACTCGACAGAACAATCTGGTCCTGAGAAGCATGGATCACATACGCAGGCACCACATATTGAGCAATCGCCATGACTATTGCAGTCAGTGTCTCTATGACATTGACTCTCACAGTGGGTTCCTACATAGCCTGTGTTACAGTCGCATGTACCTCTATCATTGCATACGCCATTGCCACCACAGGTCAAATCATCATCACAGTAAAATTGACAATCTGCACCAGTGTAAGATTTGTAACACTGACAAGTCTGGGAAACAGAATCCCACACTCCATGACCACTACAAGCGTTACCGTGGGTTTCTTGTAGAGAACCTGTACTACCACTGTTGTAGGAACCTGAACCTCCAGCAACTGATCGCCTATGCTTGATAACTTTGCTGATGTATTCTGTTGAATATGACCTAATTCTACCACCTCCACCACCACCTCCTCTATGCCCATTACAGCATGGATTGTAACAACCACCATCAGATCCAGCTGTTCCACCAGCAGCATTTAAGTAACCCCATCCAGAAATGACATCACTATCGAGCCAAATTGAGCCACCAGCCCCGCCTCCACCACCTCCAGTACTTGCTTCACCATTCATTGTTACTTGACCGTCAATCACAGTAAATTTGTGTACGAGTCTCACAGCTGAACCTCCCGCACCACCGCCTCCATGAGAGCAAACACCTCCGCCACTACCAGCTAGGGATGGTAGAACTGCACTGTCATATGCCGCACCACCATTGCAGCTTCCACAACCATAACAGTTTCCACCCCTTCCACCATGACCACCACCTGATCCACAACTACTTGTGCAACCGGCACCAGGTCCAGCATTGGTAAGGTATCCTTCTGCTGCACCATCCAAAATTGACTGCTTCTCAATCTCAAATAATCTGCCCATGATGTTACTAGACTTAAATATAAAACCATGAGACAAACCTTCCATGTGGAAGGTGTCAGTGAAAACAGAAAGACTAGCATTTGAATCATATCCAGGATCTTCAAATTCAAATGTACCGTCAGTTAAAGCAGTGAAAGTGGACAAATAATATTTTCCAGCATGACTTGCACCTACAGAACATTTTGATTGTCCTGTTGACATTAATTTTGTATGTCCTCTTGTGTACCAATGCTCTACGCCAACCATTGTTCCTTCAACCGTCACAGTCTGCTCAACATAGGTAGTTGTAGGGAAGTTGACTACTCCAAAGATGTAGAGAGAAGATTGAATGTGTGTCTGCTCATGATGTTGAGCTATCTCCATGGAAATGCCAGAATCAATTCTAATTTCACCAGTTCCGTCTCCACCAACATATTCAACTGTGGAATCCTGAAAATGAAGTGGATAATGCAATTTGCATAAGTTCATAGAAAAAAAAAGAACATTAGGAACTTTCATTCATCAATTTACTTCCCAATAACATGCTTGAGGGAATTAACCATTCAATGCATTAAAAAATGTAGCTATGTAGTGACTATTATACTTAACTTTATTTGAAAGAAAAACATCTTTGTTTAGAAAAGAATCAAATTCTTCAAGTACCATATATATCAAGTTCAAGTGCAACTCACCATACTCCCCTTTACCAGTCAAACATTTGGAAACCTTAACATAAGGAATATTTCAATGCCTAATAGAATTTTTGTTGATAACAAAGAAAATAATAGCAATTCCTTACAGCTGATGGATGTACACAGGCTGTTCTCATGGTATGGAAATTATTTATATCTGTAACGTCAACATAAACAGGGTAGCTTGTGCAGCCTGATCCTCGTGATGCATGATCGACCCATAAATGTGTTACAACATCTGAGCCTACAGTGGAATTCACCCAAACAGTTCCAGGTGATCCATGGGATGCGCTGCTACTTCCACCAAGAGCAGTGAGTTCTCCGAGGAAGCGATGTTGTTCAGAGATGTAGACACAAATCCTACCACCAGAACCACCTCCATTGCCTTTAATATCAAGAATAAATAACTTATTTACTCATTTATTACAATACATATAAATAAATTGAATGAATAGCATACATTAGGAATACATATGCCATTATATAATTTTGTCAACTTGTTGCTTTTCAAATACATATTTAATTTAGATACATGTACATAACAATACCAGGCCAATAAATAATAACTACCTTCTGTTAGAACTGGTATGCATAGATAAAATATACATGCAAACTAAATAATAATCTATAACATGGTTTATTTATAATAAATTCTTCTCTATTTTTTTTCTTTAAATAAAACATGCAGAGAGTTTAATCATTATTTGCAATGATTTATACATTGTCTTAGATAGGTATAATACGTTTAATGTGTATTGAATTATCATTCATTATGCATTTGTTCAATTTTTCACCTGTATTTACATTAACAATACTTAACTGCAAATTCCTAATCACACAAATATTATCAATTTTCCATACATTAATCTAAGACACTTGAGAATGTCGCATAGGTATACTTTCATACATAATCTATAAAAAAACAAAGAACCAAATTTTCAAGCCAAAAACAACAATGTATCTTAAAAGCTTAACTTAAAATATAAATTTTAGTAGATAAATTTTAACTAAGATTAACAAATATGATAGTTCTTTCCTAACAACTCTTACCTATAGTTGTTGAGCTGTAGGTTCCATAGACACCAACACCACCATGACTGGTAATCTTTCCTCTACCAACCAGTGATGACGTTGTCAGTTTAACAGTGCCGCCACTACCGCCACCACTTTTGTACCCACCCATACCAGACTCTCCATCTACAGCAATTATTCCATATACAGTGGTTTTCTGTGAATAAAAAACATGCTAAAAGTAAAACATGTCGAAAGGGATCCGTACATAACAATTCTGAAATATTATGATCCAATTGTTTATAGTAAATGTTCAGTTTTACATCATAGAAATTTTATTGAAAACTCAAGATTTAAATTTAGAGTATTATATTGTTCAATTCAAGTTAGAATTTCAAAGAACATTAGTACTATATAGAACCACAGAATTCCTGCTTTAATTATAAATTAGGTTTTAATGTTTTAATTGGTAAAAAGCTGCACAAACAAAACTGCATTACTATTACAACTGCTATCATTTTGCTTAATAAGTGGATATAATTTGCCGATCTCAAAAAATGTTTGCCTTTTTTAAGATCATTCGTGGGAATGACAACCTGACTACTGTTTAAAGGTGATTTTTGTGTATTACATAATAATTAATATATTATATTAAGATGTATAATAAATCATTTAGACATCTGCCAAACTATAAGTGTTATATTAACCCTTTACCTAATATAGACATGTTAAATTTGACGGCTTTTCACCCCCCCCCCCCCTTCTGGAGGCCTCAAACAGTGAAAAATGCCCTATCTATGTTTTTCGATTGAGAAATGTTGATTTAAAAAAGTGATCACTTTTTCGGTGCATTTTTCATAGCAGTTTGAACTTGTAACAGGAGGCTTTTCAATGAAAATGGCCATTTTTTCACAATATGCTCATGAAGTAAAGGGTTCAAAGGAAGCAGACAAAATAAGATAAAGTTATTATTTTTATGAGATAAAAATGCGATGCTTTGACGCATCATTTACAAATTCGGCGTTACATCCTGAATATGGTCTGATTCAAATATTGATTTAATTGTAGTATGACTGGAGTAGTTTAGCAATTGTCTCAGATACACCAACTTTCAAAAGCCATAATGTAATAATTGGTACTGTATTTAAAGATATTGCAAATCACAAAAGTCACATCAAACAAGCTAGCCAAGTTGTCTATCCAACAAATGATCTTTCATGGAAATAAATTTAATGACCTTTAAAAAATAATGTCTCAGCAGCCGTATGTGCTAGGTATGCCAATGAAATTACACATTTCTGAGTTACTTTTGCACAATTCCTGTCTGCGTTATTTGCACATATCTGTGTTACTGAATATACACGGTGTATATTCATACCACCCACAAGAGAATACATATATACCTTATTATGTAGAACCAAAAAATCACCAACATTTCTAAACTATATGTAATTGATAAACAATAACTTACTGTGCCGACATCAAGTTGCAGGTAACTTCCTCCTGCTCCACCATAGTCACCACCTCCACCGCTTCCGTATTGTATATCTGAGCAGCCAGTGGAACCATAGGCCGCACCGCTCACAGCTCCATGATGACTCCTACCACCTGCAAGACAATAGAATACATTTTACATATATCTGTGTCAAATAACAAAATCAAATATATCATTTACTATAGCAACGTAACAAAATATATTTTTTATTGATGGGTTATATATAACATGTCCCTACATTCTGCTGTATTGTAACAAAAAATATATAATTACTGGTGCATAACAACAGAGTTAGCAATTATACTCTTGTATATAAGCCAAAGGTATATGGTCTATGTATGATGGTGTGACACATACCCTTCGAGTCTGTTTCCTGGCCTAATCAGTATTGATAAATTATGTTAAAACAATTCTGACAATAGCTGTGACTCAAGTAGGCCTCAACGCATATCCCTGGGCTGATTGGTAGACTTATTACTAGTATCTGTTGACCACCCAACTTCTAATACATTTTTTTTTAAAGTAATCATTTAAATCCAAAAAATATTTAATTTAAGAATATTATAGCAAATCTATATCTTAAACCACATTTAAAATAATAGACAAATACCTTTGCTTGCTAATGAACCACCACTAGCATCATAAGATGACGCAGTTCCTGCACCTGGACCAGTACCCTTTTCATGACCTTGACCTGTGCCATCAATTAAACCACCATATTCTACAAAAAGATTTGCCGATTCGATTGTAGTTTGTTTGGTATCAGCAGCAAATTTTCCACCGTTTAGTACTGTCAACTGAACAGCTTTGATTATTGGATGGACAGGATTCATGTCTGTTGTGAACAAACCAAGATTATTGATAGAGATAGTTGGAACATCAAATACTCCAGGATTTGGTGTTTGCATGGTACCCATATTGATTCTTGTGACTGCAAGAGTACTTGCATCCTTGTCAATAACAAATTCAGCATCACGTTCAATAATCAATTCTTCCACACCTATCATCAATCCACCAAGAATGGTTTTCTCAGTTCGCATGACAACAGTTGATGGTAAGATGATTTCTCCATTTGGATCAACATGGAATCCACATGGTGAGTCAAGGTATGTATGACTGGCCTCTACAAAGTGAATCATAAGTTGTTGGTCACTTTGCACTCGTATCATTCCTTGTTTGTTACCTGTTAACTCATGAACAATAACTTGGACAACACTCACAGTGCTTGGGTGATAGAAATGAACATAACTGTAACCTTCAATTTGAATCTCTTCAAATTCATAATAAAAACTGTCAGCTTCCATTACAACTGCTGGGTTAGTTGTTCCTCTGTCACCATTTTCGATTGTCAATTTTCTATGTTCTGGTTCAATCATAGTTTTGTTCAATCTTGGATTATACTTCAGCTCTCTGTATGATGGACTTCTGTTGGACTCAAATTTGTAAATGGTTCCAGGTCCACCAGCATTCTGAGCAACATTACCAAGCCCACCATGTGAAAGGTACTGTCCTGCATACAAGTTAAAACTTTCTATATGAGCAGCAATTCTTCCGCCACTACCACCACTTGCAGAGCCACTACCATCACCACCAGAGGCATCTAAAGTTCCAAGCCCAGACATATTATAAGCCTTGATGAAAATGGTTCCCCCACTACCACCACCAGCACTTCCGGAAGCTCCCATTCCATAGGTATCAACAATTCCATCAATATGGAGGTTCTTACCAATTGTCAAATTCACGAAGCCACCACCTGCCCCACCAGTGCTTCCTCCACCACCACTACCAAGATGGAAGGGATCAAACACTGAGCCATATGCATCAGAATCAACTGCTCCACCACCAACACCACCATAACTACCACCAATAGTTCCAGTTCCATTTCCTGGTCCAGTTTGAGCTTCATATCCACGGCCTTCAAGACTTAATCGTCCAGTTGATTCAATATCTAAATCACCAGCTTCAATATAACCGTGGTTCATTAATACCAACCCTCCATATTTCAATTCAAAGAATGCTGCATTGATAGTGAAATCATTAGATATTTTTCTGAACTCCATTATTCCATCTTGCCTGATATTTATTGTAGGTAGTTCAAAGTTGCCTTTGTCTGAAATCTCTACCTTTTGCTCATTTACAAGTTGTGCAGTTTGGGCTGTGCTGGACACACTCAATGTGCAACCATCTTCAACATACAGGTGATGAACACCTGTTATCATACCATCTTGAGTTGTGTTGATTCCTTGCAAGTGAACTTCAGTAGGGAAAACAATTTCTGCTCCATCATCAATGATATAACTAACAGGTGCTTCAGTTACATTAGATTCTGATTCAACATATTCAACATAAACGGTTTGGTTCGACCTTACATGAACTTGTCCTGTTCGATCTCCAATGAATCTATGAATAACAACTTCTACTTGGGAACCTGTTGGATGGTAAAACAAAACTCTTGTGTATCCATCCACCTGTGTTTCATTAAATTCATACAATTTTGTTTCATTCTCCATAATCATTGTAGCAACAGGAGATGCTACTCCATTATTATTCATGTGTATGTATCTGTGATCTACTTCAAAGTAAGCCACACTTGATCCAGGCATATACTTCAGAATTCTGTATTCTAGTGGTCTGTTGTTGTTCTTTACAAAAGTAGTACCAGCTGCAGCAGCATGACTTATATATGTTGCATTTGCCTCACTGACACCACCTTGATTCACAAAGGAACCACCAAATGAGTACCTCAATTCACAGTGTATAGCTGCTCTACCACCGGCTCCGCCTCCACCAGTTCCTGTTCCATTGCCACCTGCTGTATCAATGACACCATGTCCAGTAAAATTCATAGATTCTATAAGTAATGAACCACCACTTCCACCACCAGCATCTGTTCCTTCGCCATTGGTTCCTTGTATAGCAAGAAGGCCATGTAACTCAAAATAGTGACTTGTAACCCAGTGTAAAACTCCACCGCCACTTCCTCCTACACCGCCTCCATTACCACCGCCACTACCTGGTTCTTCAGGAGAAAATATACTACCATAAGGCTCGGGTGATGAAGATGGATCAGATCCACCACCATAACCACCATGGGCAGCACCATAACCAACTCCACTACTGTTAGTATGACCTGCACCAGGTCCAGACTCTGCCTCATAACCATGACCATTGAGATGGAAAACACCTTCACTTTCAATCCATGAGTAGGTACTATTTATCTTTGCTTTGTTCATGTACAGGTTACCTTGGTATTTAACTTTAATTTCACTTGTTTCAATAAAAAGATAATTTGTAACATCAAGGAATCCTGCTGTTCCACCCTTTTTCATATGAAGCTGATCCCATATAAAATGACCAGGAATTGTTTCTCTGAAATATTGACCATTTTCAAGCAGGGAAGTATTACCTGTACTTTTAAAATCAGCCCATGCTTTGTCTTCAATATACAAGTTGTGAACTCCAGTTATTAAGCCTGCAAAAGTACTATTTGTTCCATGAATGTGTACTTCAGATGGAAATACGATTTCAGCACCATCATCAATTATATAACTGACTGGTGCTTCAGTTTTGTTTGACACAGATTCAATGTATTCTACCCAGACTCTCTGCTTTTCTCTTATATGCAACTGGCCAGTTTTGTCACCAATAAACTTATGAGCAATAAGTTGAACAAGATTAACTCCCGCTGGGTGGTATATCCAAGTATATGTAGAGCCTGTTATTTCCATTTCATCAAATTCATAAAGCTCTCTTGGAGGATCTTGAATTAATGTTGGAGCTGGACTATACTTCAGTCTATTATCTGAGTGAATCATGTTATGGTCTACGTCTAGGAAGGTTACATTATGAACTGGGTCATACTTTGTCATTCTGTATTCAATTGGTCTCAAGTTTTCTTCCTTGAATGTGGTACCAGAAGCTCCAGCATGCATGCCAATATTAGCGCCAGTTCCATCTCCACCATAGTTATGATATTCTCCACCATATGAATATCTAAATCTACAGTTTACTGACACTCTTCCACCAGAACCACCACCTCCTGTTCCAACCCCATTTCCTCCATTTACAGCCATTATTCCATGTCCAGTGATATTAGTTGTGTGCATGAGAATACTACCACCACTTCCTCCTCCACCATTTCCACCAGCACCATTAGAACCAGCTAGGGTAAGGAATCCGTTAATTTCTATAAGATCGCCAACATTCCATTCCAAATATCCGCCACCACTGCCACCAACTCCACCACCATTTCCACCTCCACTTCCTGCTTTCAGGGGTTCGTATATAGAATTATAGGGAATACCTCCATAATTTGGTCCTGGTCCTCCACCATACCCTCCATGACCGGCTCCAACACCAGTGGTTCCGTTCATTGTAAATCCAGCACCAGGGCCATCTTCTGGTCCATAACCAACACCATCCATATTAAGTTCTCCTTGACTTTCGATGTGAGCATAAGCTGAATCAATCTGTACAAAGTTCATTAGAAGGAGAGCTTGATATTTGACATACATTTCTGCAACAGTTATAATACATTCACCAGTTATATCTCTAAATTCTGCTTGAGCCCCAGCCATTATACGGAGAATAGCAAATGAGAAATTCCCTGGTGTAGTCATAACAGTGTATTGTCTGTTTTCAATCAGTGCTGTTTGAGCAGTAGACATAAATATACTTGAGCCTCCCCGAACCATCATTTCCTCAACACCAGTTATTATACCAGCTAACACAGTTCTTGCACCTCTAAGATTTGTCGTCGTTGGCATGAAAACCTCAGCTCCATCATCAATTCTAAAACTGCAAGGAGCTATGGTCTCATTTGAAACTGATTCAACTACCTCTACATATAGTCTCTGTCTGTCCCTCAGTCTTACCACACCAGTCATATCACCATGGAACAGATGAATCTTCACTTCAACTGCCCAACCTGATCCACCTATGGTGCCAGTAGGGTATTCAATGAGAAGGTTCGAGTGTCCTTCTAGCATTGCCTCATCAAATTCATATTCTGTGTCAGCCTCCTCAAATAAGACCGTGTAGAGCCAAGGTTCTTTGTGACCAACATACAAATGACTGTCAATGTCATCGTTATTTATTTCAATTCTTCTATTTTGAGCTATTGATACATTTTGACCAGTTACATTATCATATTTGATTTCAGCAAATTGTGGACCTCTAGCATTTTCTTGAATATAAACAGTACCAGCAGCACCAGAAGGTGTACTACCAGTACCAAGACCTCCAATAACATTAAGTCGACCAATGTAGCGGTTTGAGAAATTGATGTGCACAGCTATCCTTCCACCAGAACCACCTCCACCGTTTCCTTTTCCTGCGCCACCATGACAATCAATATGACCAAAGCCTGTGAAGTTCATAGTTTCTATATAAAGACCACCTCCACTGCCGCCACCAGCATTGCCACTCTGACCAGCCTCTCCTTCTAAGGTAACTTCACCATCAACCCAGAGAGTCTCTCCTACCTCCCAGTGCAGATAACCGCCTCCTCTCCCAGCAACACCATCACCATTTCCTCCACCACTACCTGGATGTGTGGGTTTGTAGACAGAGTCGTGAGGAGTTCCCCCAACATTTGGTTCTGGTGCACCACCATGACCACCATGAGCCCCACCATACCCAATAGTGCCATTGGTTTGACCTGCTCCAGGACCAGTTTGTGCATCATGACCCATATAATCTATATTCAAAGTACCAAGGCTTTCAACTACAGCATTTCCTGAAAATATTGAACCTTTGTTCATCCACATTAGAGCTTCATATTTGATACTTAATTTTGTAAGATCTAATACAAGACTTGAACCAACTTTCTCTGTAAATGTTGCTTCTGATCCTCTCTGTATTGTCAGATGACTCAGACTTATGTTGCCTGGTTGGGTAAGATGGACATAGGTTCCAGCTTCAATAAGAGCTGTTTGGGCTGTTGAAGAAAAAACAACATTTGCGCCATCAGCAACTGTCATGTTCTGAACCATTGTCAAAAGTCCATTCATATCTGACCTGGTTCCAAGAAGTATTGTGGTAGACGGAAGAATGATCTCTGCACCATCGTCAATCTTGTAACTTACAGGAGCTACTGTATAGCCACTTGTGGACTCAATATACTCAGCATAAACCTTCTGAGTGCCTGTAAGATGCATCATTCCAGTCCTATCACCATCAAACTTATGAACAGTGAGTTCAGAGTCGGATCCTTCAATCCACAAAACTGCGTGGTTGTTTGCCTCAACTTCATCAAATTCAAATTTAAGAGGAGCAGTTCCATTATCATTCATTACCATTGTTCCAAGGATACGGTTTCTGTCATCATTGTCCAAAAGCAGTTTGGTATACCCGTCAACATATGTCTTTGTGCCATTTACAATGATTACTTCCTTCTTATCAAGACCAATTGAGTTGGAGTCTGTGGTATATATGGTACCTCCAGCTCCATTTCTTGTATCATCAGAAGATGGCACATTTGATCCAGCGTAGCCACCATATGCTTTAGTATCTCCAGTGTATTCCTTGAACCATTTTACGTGAATGGCAATACGTCCACCAGCACCACCATAGCCGTATCCGAAACCATCACCTCCAGTGGCTTCAATTAAACCGTGACCGGAGAAGTTCTGTGTGTTAATGTAAACACTTCCTGCACTGCCACCACCGCTGTTTGTGCTGTTGGCATTGCCACCAAGTGTCTCAATGTTACCATCAAGATGAAGTGCGCGGGATACTTCCACGTCAACTCTTCCACCTCCCATGCCTGGATCATTTCCACCGCCTTTACTTCCAGTATGATGGGGTTTTATGTAAGAGCCATATGGACTACCTGAAATATAAACATTAATCACTCAATAAATAATTGTTAACAATAAACATATAGGATTTAAAGCTGCATGCCTCCAGATGACCCAAAATATTTCAAGAAAATTAAACTTGGAAAAACCATACTAAAACTTTGAGAAAAGTAAACAAATTAAAGATTCAAGTGATAATTTATATCTTATGTGCAATAAATGACTGTATTTTGTAGTATTTATCACCATATTTCTACTGCGTTACTAACGCAGTAAGGGCTATTTATGCATATTTTGACCTCTTTTTGGTAATTTACGTGGATTTTAAGTGCCGATTGTAATGTGTCAAGTACTTTCTTTGTTCATTTCACAATGTTTTACCTTTAAATACATTTTCAAAATTTTCATGAAAATTAGGATGAATCTGGAGGCGTGCTGCTTTAAACACAATAATTTTCATTATCAATTGCATTGTTAGAAATAACTAAAAGTGTGTTCATAGCGCACTTGTGTCCCCACTTGTGCCAGTCACAGAGGCATATTTACATACTTATGCATACTTCATTAAGGTACAGTATCTTATTAATGTTAGTTTTCTTGCACGGATTTTAGCACATTTTGGTCATATTCAGCGGTCAGTCTACCTAACAAGCTTTACAATGTATATATTATAGTTTCATATTTATATGTAATAAACTTAACCTGTGACTGAGGAAAGTCATTTTATTAAAGGCACATTATACCTCAGATACGAATAAATATTTTCTTCTTGGAAAGGACAGAAATTAATTTTAAAACCTTTAAACAATGGAATTAGAGCATGTTACATGCTTATCCCCTGAAGAAAGTAGTGCTAATGTGAAATAATATGTCATAAAAGTAGCAACATGTAAACAAAGTAGTATTTTGACTTCCATACAAAATACTAAATCACTATAACTATACTGATTGCTAAAAAGCAACAGAGGCAAAAGTTGGTTCAGATAATTGCCCATTGAGTAACTTTTTGGAAGTTATAACAGGCCACCAAAAATAACACGCTTTGGAGAAATAAATTAAAATCATTTCTGGGGCATAATGAGCCTTTAAATAGACAATAGGTCTTGAAAAGACAAAGTTTGTTATATCACATGTCACTGTGATTTTATTACAAGTCTAGCTTATTTTTTCTTGTTATTTTTATTGGACAAGGACTTTAGACTTTATACAGAGGTATTGACCCATGACCTAGAAATTGACAAGTATCACCGTCTGGCCATGGAAAATGTTCCTACAAAGTTTCACAAACTAAGGCTTATTACTTCTTAAGAAACTGATATAAGTTTACCAAGACTTAAGCCAATTCCTTCTCAAGTTATCAATTGAACAAGTTTTTTACAGTGTCACGATTACAGACCTTTGACCTAATTACATAAACAATTATATACTAGTGGTTATCTACTGGCCATATGGTTTCTAAGTTTATGCTTATTGTTTCTCAAGTTCTTGATTGAACAAGGATTATATATATATTACATTTTGTATTATAGATTTTTTACCTAATGACCTCAAAATAAATAGAAGCCATCTACAGGCTATGTAAAATGTCTCTAAATTACTAAATTAAATTAACCATGGCTTATATTTTCAAAAACTGATTGGACAAAGTTTACAGGACATCGGTACATACTGAGTTGGGACATAAAAACTACTGACCAGCAGAAAGATGACACGACATACAAACAAGGACTTATTTATGTAGAAAAAGTTATAATGAAAGTTTGTGAATTTGCTTTGTATATTGTGTGATTGTAAAAAAGCTAATCAAATTAGCGAGTTGATTGACTTATGTCCAAAATGAGTGAATTTTACGTTGTTTATAAATATTCGAACACAGTTTTAATTCATTATTACGTAACTTTAAATGTAAATGGTCTAAAATGTTATTCCTTTTTCAAAATTTAAACATTCATAGCGTAATCAATAAGTAAAATAATGGAGTTTACCGGAGTTGTAGCTATCCCTATCAGCAGCACCTCCGTAGCCACCATGTCCTCCACCTGTACCTACAGTGATGTTAGCAGCCCCTGTATCTACTGTCACTGTTGAACCTAAACCCTCAATCTTACTTCCAACACCACCACGATCTGTACATAATTATATAAGTTATAAAATTGTAAGATATCATGACAGGCTTCTAAACAAAGGTGTCACATTTACATTATTTGTTTTATCATATATCATGTTAACTTTGAAATCAAAGAAAGGTATGGCAAGAAACACTACTATACATGGGTAGTCAGTACAATAGACTTTAATGAGTAACAAGATCAATCATTTATTTTTCTTGATCTTGACTACTATGCTTAAAATTTTTCAAAATCAATTAACGTGATCTTATATCAAGGTTAATTATTTAACTAACTGCCTAGATGTTGTGGGCAATAGACAGTATCAATATAAATATAAAAATACCTGTGACATCAAATGAAGCTTCTCCTTCCAGGTGTATATCTCCACTGATTATTGTTATTTGATTGGCTGTGATTTTGGAGTTATATCTCATATGAATATCAGACGCTTCAAAGTTGAAGTGTGTGTCATGATCAATGACAGATTCAGCCTGCATTGCTAGCCGCCCAATACCTAGGGTGCCTGTAACACAATAAATGTCAACTTGAAAATAACTTAGCTTTACTCTATACAAATAGACCTAAAACCAGCATTCTTCTGGACATTAACTTCAAATCAAAATTTTATCTTCAAGTGAATAATTTCAGCAAGTATTTGAGTAATAGATTTTAAAAGAATGCACATGTATTCTATATATTCTAACAAAATAGGCAAAGATGGTTCAACAATTAAACATAAAAATAACCTCTGCAAAGCGTTGCACCGTATTCAACTTAAGACTTACATAAAAATCTTCAACTCAATTACAGTATATTAGTTTTAACATGTGTATGGAATAAATTAGTTAAATGATTATAAATTACCTGAAGGATAAGTCTGTATAACACTGTTAACAATCCTACTGTTGGTAGCTGTCTGTGAGATAAATACTTCCCTACCTTCCTCTAGTGTAAGGTTCATTACTCCAATCAGCTGACCATCCAACTGATGAAACAAAATGCCATTAAGTTAATACTCTAAGTTTGCTTATGTTGAGTTTGTAAATTAAAGTTGTACAGTAGTAAAACTTGCCTATAAAAACAAAGCAGTTTTACATGTTAAATGCCATAAGTGGTTTTCATCGATTGCTTAATATGTATATGTATTGATAAATACATGTACATAAAACAACTAAAATTGAACTTATTTTGGTGTTAAAGGCAGATATCATTTGTAAAAAGGGCCATCACTATTAGTTTAAGTTTATTTCCAAACAGCTTTCATTAGAACAACAAGAAACATGGCAATGCCACGAAACCAGGTTTTCAATTATCACCATAGTAGATAAATATGTTGTATTTGAAATACAAATACAAGCAACAAACAATGTAACTATGTGCAATGTATAACATGAATAATGTAGGAGGAATTGCCACAGAAGAAGTGTTCACTATACATGTATATTCTGTATGAGGAAAAAAATCAAAGGGCCATAATTAGGTAAAAAATTATCCAATCACAAAACCCCGACAATATGCACCAGGGCACTTGATGACAAAGCTTCTGTGAAAGTTTAAACAAAATCCGTTGAGAAATGTAGGACGAGTTCAGCACTGAAGAATTTGTTCACTAAATATTGATAATTCTGTATAAGGAAAAAATATAATGGGCCGTAATTAGGTCAAATATTATCCAATCACAAAACCCTGACAATATGCGCCAGGGCACTTGATAACAAAGCTTCTGTGAAAGTTTGGTCAAAATCAGTTGAGAAATGTAGGAGAAGTTGTGCACGGTAGAAATTGTTCCTTATATATTCTGTATAAGGAAAAAAAAACAAAGGGCCATAATTAGGTCAATTATTATCCAGTCACAAAACCCCGATAATATGTGCCAGGGCACTTGATGACAAAGCTTCTGTAAAAGTTTGGTCAAAATCTGTTGAGAAATGTAAGAGGAGTTGCGCACAGAAGAAATTGTTCACTATATATTCTATATAAGGAAAAAAATCAAAGGGCCATAATTAGGTCATTTATTATCCAATCACAAAACCCCGACAATATGCCCTAGGGCACTTGATGACAAAGCTTCTGTGAAAGTTTGGTCAAAATCTGTTGAGAAATGTAGGAGTAATGCACAGAAGAAATTGTTCACTATATATTCTATATAAGGAAAAAAAACAAAGGGCCATAATTAGGTCAAATATCATCCAATCGCAAAACCCCGACAATATGCGCCAGGGCACTTGATGACAAAGCTTCTGTAAAAGTTTGGTCAAAATCCGTTGAGAAATGTAGAAGGAGTTGCGCACAGAAGAAATTGTTTACGCCCGTCCGCCCACCCGCCCGTCCGCCCGCCTGCCCATCCGCCCGCCGACATACCTCAATCTAATAACCAGTTTTTTCCTTCGGAAAACCTGGTTAAAAACCAAATGCTGTTTGTTACTTCTTATTATTTGTTTCAGGGTTATTTACAACATTTCATTTTAAATTTTGATATTGATCAATAGAAGAGAATACATGCAAAGAATATATTGATTTTTTTTTTATATATTTGAATGAAAATAAAAAACAAAAGATAAAATCTGGGCATAAAATACCTGTAATGCTGGACTCTGCAATCCAATAATTTTGAAATCTGCAGATAGCCAGATTTGTGACCCAACATCAATATGGAAGTTAGCAGGAGGTGCGGAGCGGAGGGCTGTGTACTCGGAGTATTCTACATACACAGTCTGTCCAGTCTTCATGTGGATGTATCCAGTCATATCACCCATTACATAGTCCAGGTTAATAGAGCTTATACTACTGTTTCCAGGTCCAACCTCAAGCATTGCCTAAAGAAATAAGTGGCAATTTGAAATTATTTCACACTCAAATTAAAATGTAGTTTAATTTTCCTTTTAACTTACCAAGAAGCAATGAAAATAGCATATCCATATAAATAAATAATTTACAAATATAAATAAAACTGAAATATATCAAGAAATATCACTTACTGGTAATATGATGCCTGATGCTGTATGATGTTTATTAGCATCAATTTGTCAATATATTTAAATTGCTATCAGTCAATAAATAAAGGTGATAAGTGAAAAAGTGTAAAAAAAATCTTTTTTTTATCAATCTAGTAACTTGACTTTCACCCAAGTGACCTGACTTCCACTCTTACCAGACCTGTGTTTATTTTATGATGTTTAAACTTTGTCAAAAATAATTTCATTAAAGAATTATATCTGGAAACCATTTTTTTTCTTGCAAAATTGAAGATAATGAAAAGGGGAAAATTCTATGCAAAGATTTAGTGGTATATACCCAAATTTTAACTTGATCTATATTTGATAATGTTACACATGTGTATTTTTATTCCATTGACTGGTACTATCCTTATTTTTTTGCAAATATAAAGTGGAGAAGGGAACATAACCCTGTAAAATTTAGTGGTCTAAACTCAAAATCAAACTTGACCTTTTTTTAAGATGTTACACCTACATGAAATCCATTGCCTAGTTCAAGTTCATCCTAATATCAAGAATTGGACAGGATAAGGACCGACCGGCAAGCTTATAAGAATCTTATACCGGCTTCCGGTACAGACCGGAATATCAAGCTCGAGGGTAACTGTTTACAGTGGTAACAAGGCTCTGCCGAGTTTCCGCTAAACAGTTACTCGAGAGCTAGATATTCACGTCTGTACCAACAGCCGGTGTTTGATTCATTTTCTTGCATATTACATGTCAATTATTAGGAACAGAAATTATGAAAACTGATATTCTCATTACGCACTTTTTTCTTATAGTAACGTATGGACATACAACTTGATTCATGACGGAAAAATGACATCATCCTAAGAACGCGATTCATTCATAAAAGGCACGCGTCAATGACGTCATTTAATGCACGCGACTTGTCTTACATGGGGGGTGTAAGACAGAGTTTTCTAGCACCGGTGTAAACGGTAGATAGTCCTGTCTGAGATGCAAGAGAACTCCTATCTATCCCTCAAACTTTATTTAAAGGTATAAATTCTTTTTTACTTACATTTCTATTGAGCATAAGATGTTCAAAGTCAAGATCAGCACCATTTGTGTTGACGAGGCCACTAGCAGCATTTGTCACATGTCGTGGATTGAGCTCATAAACCACAACTGGTTTAGGCAGTACAAGGTTATTACCGTCTAGGTAAAGCCTGCAAAATATAGTTTTAATTTATAATAATAGCATGCATGGAAAATAATGATTATAAAGGCCACATTAAAACTTCATGCCTTATTAACAATAAGGCAATAGTAATGATAAAAATCTTTCAGGTTATCTTTTTTTACTCTTTTAATACTATCAACAATGCAGAAATAAACCATTTATTATAATGTACAAGATAATGCATGCAATAAAGCTTGAAGCATTTCTATTTGAATGCTGACTCAGCAATTTTCATAAGCATTCACAAAATATGTATAAATTATTCTATTTATGTTTCAAGACTTTACATATAAATTTCCTTTACTTAAAGGCCCTCCCCTTTTCATAATTTGAAGCATTATATGATTCTTAGAAGACATTCTGCATAAACTATATGTAGCTTATATTTATCAAAATTAATCTTTTTATATCTTAAATATCACTAATATTTAAAGTAAAATCTAGTGAGATTATAACATGTTTGTTACCTAAGTGATAGATTCTTTATTTGAGGAATGATTTACTATAAGAAAGCATCAGGTTAGATTTAATAAACTTGCTACATGTCTGTAAACTTACCTGCTTTGATAAGTAAATGCTCCAACCTTGTCCTCTATAAATACTGTACCAGGTCCAGCAATATCTCCATCTGTGGTGCCACCAGAACCATAGGCAAGAAGACCTCCCTTGTAGTAGTTAGAGTCCCAGGTATGTATGGCAATTCTGCCACCTCCACCACCACCAGCTGACTGGTGACCTTTGCCACCAATAGCAGATATGGTTCCATGACCAGACATTTGACCTGCACAATGTGATTTATAGAAAGAAAAATCAGTATTCCTCCTGAAGCTAAAAGCAACTTCCCCACATACTATACATTCTATTAAATAAGCACATTTTCAAAAATAAGGGCATACTGCCTTACTGTTATTCGATATGGTACATTTGTTTAATAAGTGCATTTCATGTCCTTGCTGTAATTTTGTCAAAGAAATAGGCACAATAGGCACACATCTGACTACAGGTAAAGAATAAATGCAGCAAAAAAGACACAATTAATGGAATAACACTAAATCATCAGCCTGTTTTATGGGTAGCATTAGGCAACTTAAAACAAAGATCAATAATGTCAAACTGACCTGTTTCGATAAAGACTGAACCTCCACTGCCTCCACCACTGCTTAATCCTCCATCTGACCCATCTGCCAGTAGAAAACCGTCAAGTAGGAACTCTGCAGGTACACGGATCTTTAATTTACCACCACCAAGACCAGCATAAGTGCCACCACCAGCACTTCCTGTCTCTACTGGTTTGTAGACAGATCCATAGGCTATTCCACCAACTGTAGGATCTCCACCAACTAGATCAAGTTAAAAAGCTTTTGCTTGAAAAGCTAACAAAATTGACATCCTGGACTGTTGTTTTAACTTGAAAAACTAATTTTTATTTAATTCAGATGATCTTAATAGTAACTGACCAAGCTGCATTTCTTGAATCTTTATCTGCTAAAATTAATATAAAAACTGAGTGATGCAATCAAGCATTGAATATGGACTTCTTTTAAGTATGAACAAAACACCATTACCAGCTTTGTAACAGATATCTTTAATAAATTCTTATTTTCTTACAACCCTTGGACTGCTTGTGGCGACTTAATCTACCTATGTGACCAGTATAGACAAAAATCAGCTGGCAGATTTATGTCGCCAATTTGTACCACCTGAACATAGTCTGCACTGTTCACTTTTCAGACAGTACATTTTTTTAACTTTTCCATAAAAAGATGAATTGCAAGTTGATTGAAAAATGGACAGATAGAAAGTTGTGTTCAGATTGAAAGATGGACAAGTCCATTTTAGATAATTATCGAGGTAAGGGTTGAGTAAATTGCCCCTGTATCAATCATTTAACACACTAGGTAGGAACATGTACTGTGGTACTTGTATAAGTGGATAAGAGGATCCATGCTGTTTGCTATCAGTTTCTCTACTTGTTATAGGGTCTGTAAGCGAACAGCATGGATCTTGATCAGACTGCACGGATGCGCAGGCTGGTCTGGATCCATGCTGGTCGCAAACCCATTATGTTGGTTTTGTCGTGACGCGGCTCATATGATCATTATAAACTGCACTTATCAAATTGAGAAAATAAAATTTTGGTTTTATTTGCTGTTTAGATAGTATCCTATAATAAAGCAACTCTTACCTCCTCCGCCCATGGCAGCATGGCCGCCACCAGCTCCTGCTGTTGGTGAATCTCCTGGCTGTGGGTCACGCCCCGTACCTACACAAATAAATTGTGCTAGTGGTTCAAAGTAAAAGTCTGTTGCCAGCACCTCCATGGAGTCTGCTCTAAATCGGGAGTCATACTTGATGTCCTTTTAAAAGATAGTAATTATATTGTGAGTTATCAGAATAGCAATAGTAATTATTTCCATAACAACCAGTTTAATTGATATTTTATTATAAATACGCATAATGTATACACTGTACAAACTAATATAGTAATCCAATGCTTATCTTCATCAACATTTTATGAACTTAAGACTTAACCTTGTCTTGCATTATACAGAATCTTAATAAAACTTATAAGAATTATTTGTTGTGACATATTGCACATATATCTGTATTATTTCATTATATTCTATACAATCATATTTATCAACAAGAATACTCATCACCAAATCAATTACTTCAGATTTCAAACATTCAAGTTTACATACCAGATTTCAACAATATTGATTGAATGTTATTACATATATCAAAAAAAAGTTATGCAACCTGTCCAAACAACACTTAACTAAGTATATGTATATTTTTCAAACTAATAGACACATTACTTAAAAAGTAATGAAACCCTTATGTAGTGGAATATCATAACAATAGCAACTTGTTCTTTAATGAGTTTTTTCCCTTGACTTTTCATTGATATATTCTTAAGACTACATTTAACAAAAGAATACAACAGAAATGAAGAAAACAGAAATGACGATCACTAATGCAATGACAATGTAAAATCAGTAAATATTCATAATATGTTTCACAGTAAAAATTTAAAATTCTTTGTTAAGGAAAAAATATTTTGATTAAATACATACCAGTATTCCTACTGTCAAAACAAGTGGCATTGGTGGAGGTAGTTCCATTATTGCTTTAGCTCCCAGTTCCATGGTTGCGAACTGGAAGGCACCTGGAGTTCCTTCAACAAGTACACCATTTTCGACATAACTTGTCATAGCCTCCTTTTTAATATTGATCACTCTACCAGGAACGATTCTTATATGACGTACACCTATCAGTTCTCCGTTCCATTTCAAGGCAATTTCTCCAAGACCAAGGATATATATCAGAGGGGAGAGGTATGCCCTCGATGCATCGTCAATCCACAAGTTGATTGGTAGTTTAGTAAGGGACTGGTACTCTTCTAAATATCCAGTCTGGTTTGCCTATTGAGGGATAAAAGAAAACAATGGATAAAAATTAAGATTCACTTATCTGTAATACTTTTTCAAACTTGCTATGTTTATCAAGAACACATTATATATATAAGCATCTTGAGATATAGACTGATTCTCTTCAGACAGTACGAGGGTTGTCCCAAAATATCGTAGACAAAGCCTGTTACTCAATCAATTATAATACAATTGAGTCCTCCAGCTAGGGAAAAGTCAATACACCTTTTATGTGTGTCTATGCAAAATAAAATCAAAATACCTCCAAAATTGACCAAGTTATCAAAATTTTAAAGAATGCTACCTATACATACCCGGCGCACGTGCCGTCATAAACGTCATGACGTTATAACATTTTTTAAAAAAAAAAATTTTCAAAGTATTCACCCGTTGTTTCGCGATGCACTGACAGTGTGGGGTACCCAATTTTATCATAAACGTTTTCAACACAGTCTTGCTTCAATGTACTCAACACTCGCAGAGTTTGAGTTTCCTGGCGGAGTTCGCTCAAGTTTTCGAACATGTGACCTCGTAATTGTGATTTCAAATAAAGAAACACTGCAAAGTTCTTAGGGCGTACGGAAGTCTCTGAAAACCTATCACATCAAGTTTTATAATCTGTGTCTCCTTAGATCTATCGCAAGGTGCATTATCTTGATAAAATATAATGTTCTCCATGTTGTCAATATTAACGCTGGACGCTTCTTCAACTTAACATAGTAATTCAGTGACCATTGCGTTGCGCCGCATTTTCATCTGACGTTCGCAATTTTTGGCGTTTTCAAAATAGCACTGCTGTTACGTATTTTGCTACAGACTTTTTCAATATTACGTTTAAATAAACGTACCTGTTCTTTGGTGAATATGGACGTAAAAATGAATGAGGTAATTTCCCCATAATGCTATTTCCATAAATTTTATTTAATTGCTGGAAGTTAAAGGCATTATTTTTAAGAAGCATGCTCTCACACTGACTAATATTTATCGTGCTCCGGGTATGTTTGTACTGTTTAAATATAAAACCCTAATAAAAAGCGTTACCTAATATATTGGCTATCGACTTTCAGTAGGTAAATTAACAAATGACCAAGGAAGATATCTGGTAAATTTTAATAAGTTATGACGTCAGGTTGAAGAGAAAATAATGTAGTCTACGACATTTTGGGACAACCCTCGTATAAAGTTAAATTGTTTGATGAGGTACTTAAAAGTCTATGGACCTACATAGCTAATGAGATATTCACCAAAACAAGAAGCAGAGATAAATATCAAATTAACCAGACTTGGATATCTGCATAAAGACTCATACTGTAACTGTTCAATATATTTTAAGAAGTTATAGAATAATCAAACAATATGAAAATGTTGATTTTAAGGATGTAACTCACTTTATTTCAAACTTTAATTGGAAGTTTAATTTAATTCTATCACTCAAACTTAATATGCAAACTAAACAGAAAATAATTTGGAATACATGAACTAGTGGAAATGACTTAAATGCCAATTTAACAGTTTATAACTTCAATTTTTCAAATTGACTTGTTAAGTCATAATTTTAAGGTAAGCATTTTACCTGTAGGTAAATTCTGCCAGACGCATCTCCATAGATTTTATTAATCTCTACGCTTCGTGAAATACCGTCACCTGTCTTTATTTGAAGTGAAGCGTTCCTCGTTAGGTAAAGTTCATCAAAGTAAAACTCAGATTTTACTACACCATTGTCAAGTTCATCTAATACATACTGATGGTCCCAAGATCTCTCTTTGTTGTCAATGTGGAGTTGTTCATAATTTCGTGAACTCCTGAAAAAAACCCAACAATAAGCATCGTTATATGATGAGTAAATATTTATTAACAAAATTTGAATCTTTGTTGACCTTCACAAATTCTTATGAAAACAGATATTAAATTTACAATCAATTATAAATAATCATTGTGTTCTTTGAATGAAAGCTCAACTTGACTGCGAACAAATAAGCATAATGTCACACTTTTAAGGATAATAAGCATAATGTCACTAAATTTTTTTCAGTAAGCATTATCTAATAGCCTTATATAAAAGTTTAAACCATGGTCTGAATTAAAGCCGTGGTTAAACATTGTTTTACCTGACATCTCTTATATAGACAGATCCTGGTCCACCTTCTGTAAGATAATGGCCATCTCCATTGCCCCCAAGTGACTCAAAAGTCCCATGGAAGTAGATTTCCTCATCCAGGTATACTGCAATCCTGCCACCAGCACCACCATTGTATCCGTCACCTCCTAGTGACTGTAGTACACCATGGCCTTCTAAGTTTTGTGAGCTGTTATGGATGAATTTAGACATATGAATTTATGAGCGAAAAAATACAGGAAATTTTTTAGAGTTAATGTATTTGAAATATGAAGCATGTACATGAGAAATACATTTTGATAAATAACCTTTCTTGATCACATAGTCTATAAACAATAGTTTTGATAAACCACCATTCAGAAGATAAAAATTAAACAAAAAGAACAAAACATTAATCATTTAAGAAACTACATTATACTTTTCCAGACCATTTAGGACACTGTTGCTAGGTAATATAGACTACAAGTACAATGCACTACAAAAGTAATTCATTAACATCTAAATTATGCCATTATGCAGTATGATTGTGAGCATACAATAAAAGTTACACTCACACATAGACTATAAAACAATCAAGTATTGGATAACAGGAGAGACAGAATGTGGTATCTTTATTTGTTAACAAGTAGCCCCTTAAAACATAATACTTTGCATGACATGTACTCTCACTGCAATGGGAAAAACTGGGAATAAAATGGCAGTGTCAGATCACTGGTGTTATTTCTTTATCTGCAAACAGGTGATGAAAATTTTTTATATACCGGTATCTATGTCACAATACTGAAATGTTCACTAATAAGGGGATAAATTGTGTAAATTGTTATAGATAACCCACTAGCTACAGAAAATTATTCTGAGGTGTCCGAGTTCAAGTTCTGAACAGCCTGGACACTTATCTCATCGCGTGACATTTTTATTTCAAAGGGAGACCATGAGTGTACAGCTCCTAAGTTGCTGAGAAGTGTTCTTTGTATCCATAAGAAAGTTTGATAATTAATCTATCATAATGATTATGATAGATATATGGCATGTGTGTCACTTATAAAACTGTTCAGTAATAAGGGGATAAAATGTGCAAATGACAAGACAGCTCAGTGGGAAGAGCCAGAAAACAGTATTTCATGCTGAGGGGTCTGTGGTTTGAGTCCCTGACAGGCTGTACATTAGTTATTCCCTGCGACATTTAGTGCTGAATGAAATTCAGTCTTTGACAAAAGTTTAAATGAGATACATTTATGAAGACATACTCAATGTAGATTGTTCCACCACTACCACCACCAGAATCAGAGCCACCATGTGACCCATCCACTGATATAGTACCATCTACCAACAAATCTGTGGCAACCTGTAACAAAATTACAACACTTATAAACATTTATTAATGAGTACAATATTGCTCATAATGTTAATCTATTTTCATGAAAAAAGACCAATTATAACACAGCCTTAATAAATACAAAAATTTATATTTCTGATAAAAATGTCATCTATACACCTGTGTATACGTGTATAATCAATGTAAAAGACCTTAACTCTTTTGCACAGTATGTCCTACAATTTCATATTGTGAATGTTATTCACCATAAACAAAAACATTAGTGTAACAAAAATAGGAGTAATATAAAAGCAACCAAACAGTTCTTACAAATCATGCCATCTTTTCTTTCCTATAAGAATGTCAATTGGGTTCCCAAAATATACATATTTGAGCCTGAAGAGTTTCTAAAGATACCTAAAATCAGATAATTCCATCCATTACACAGGAATTGTTATTAGTTTCAGTTAATAAGCTCATATGTTGCAAGTGAATTAGTTGAGATTAAGAAACTTACCTGTAAATTAATGTAACCACCACCTCTACCACCAGTGGTTGTAGACCCGTTACCACCTCCACTGCCTCTATGTGTTGGCTCATACAAGCTACCATAGTATGATCCTCCAGCTAGCAATAAGTTGTTACTGGAGTCATAGTATCCTGTAAATACATGTAGTCAAAATATTAGGCTGATTAATTGAGACAAAAAAATGTGAAAAGAGTATAAAAAGAAACTATTATGTAACAATGAAACTATAATCTTATTTCTATCAAAAAAAAAATAATAGAGAATTATTTTAACAATTCAGAACATAAACCAGAGAGCAAAAAATTCCAACTTAGTTTGTCAGTTCCTAACCTTACTCTCGTAAGTTTTGTGTACAGACACTAGACATTATTTAATATGGCTACATATGTTTTAGTAAGTACTCTAAAATGAAGAATTGGAGAAAAGATCAAAACTTTTCATTTAGTATGTTAGGATTATACATAAAAGCACAGCATTATCAGCTCCAGAAAAAGAATCTTTTGAGTGAAAAAGACAAACTTTTAGAAGAAAATATATATATTTGCTTCTAATTTCGACAAGCAATAATATATTTCTGCAGATTGTTAATGCATCAGTTAAATCACATTATTTGTGAAAATTGAATCTGCAGGTGTGTGGCTTAAATCCTAACATATCAACATAGAGAATATCTTACCTCCACCATTGGTTGCATAGGCACCACCAGTTCCTATGGAACTGTTTCCAGAGGCTGAGATACCCTCTCCTAATACTTCATCTAGAGTATCATGTGGTCGGTAAATAGCAGACGCACTGAGTTTAGCACCAGCCTCAATATTCAGGATACCAGTCTGAATTGTGATACTCTCTGCTGAGATAACAGATTGGAACCTTGAGTCGATTCTGGCGATTTTCTGTAACACGTTCTGATCAGGTGAGTATTTGATTTCAGAATAACTTCTTAAGTCTACTGTACCAAATGTTACTGTTCCAAAGGGATCTATTGTTCCATAAGTCTGTGTTGTGGCATCAATAGCAGCAGTGTGTGCATGATCACCAAAATAGAGCAAGGTTTCAAAGCCAAGGATCAGATCTGCTATTCCCGCAAGTCGGCCAAATATAGCCATAGATCTTGACTCTGTTTGTCCGTCAAGGAAGACCCCTAAACCATAAACATAAACAATAGATGGGAAATACACTTCAGAATCTGCATCAGTGATAAAGTTAACTCCAGTTAAGAATGCATTTCTTACCGATGGCTTATATTCAACCTTGAGAACTTGTTGTTTATGTAAATGAATTAAGCCTGTACCGTCACCAAACACATTATCTATTTCTAAGACAGTGTTTCTATTATCATCAGCAAGGTGGACAGATGCTTGGTTTACAAGATGGACTTCATCAAAATAGTGATCAGTAAAGCTTTCATCAATAGTTGCATACTTGTCGTGTGGACGATTTTGATTATCTAGTAAAAGACGTTTGTATATTTTTGCTGATCGTGTGTCTTTCAGATACACAGTTCCTCCTCCAGCACTCTGAGTGTCATCTGCTCCACCGCCTCCATACACAACAAAGTTACCCTCAAATTCAATCTGAAGTGTACAGTGTACAGCAACACGACCTGCAGAACCCGCACCATTCTTTAACTTGCCTGTGCCACCGACAGATGAAATATATCCATAGCCTTCAAATTCATATACTTCAATCCAAATACTTCCTCCACTGCCACCACCACCAGTCCCTCCTGCAGGAGTGTCTTCACCATCGGCAGAAATAGTTCCATCATTAATAAGCAAATTACCAATCCGAAAATGTATCCAACCACCACCACGTCCACCAAGTTTCGCTCCTGATGTAGAGTTATATGTGCCTCTACTTCCAGCTGTGGTTGGTTCATACAAAGAATTGTAAGAGCCACCTGTTACAATATTATTTGAATCATCTTTTCCGCCTCCACCAACTCCACCATGACCTGCACCACCATTGTAGCCATCACCTTCAATACCGGAACCTGTAGTTACATCCATGTTGGCTGAATCAGGTCTGTTCGCACTGGAACAACTGAGTTTGCTTTCTAATTCTAAATCAATATTTGATGAAATGACATTAAAGTAATCAGCATACAGCGTTGCAGCAAACTTAAGATTAATGTTTCCTGCTTGAATATTGGCTCCAGTGTCTGCATCATACTCAACAATACTTCCTGGCTCAAGTTGGAATGTTCCAAAGGTGACGTAAGTAATAGCAGCTAGATTTGTAGCCGAGAATGGTACAATCTTAGCATTGGAGCCCATTCTCATTCTTCTGCTTGGTCCAAGATACAAATTGGAAACACCTCTTAACACGCCATCCAAGTCAAGTGCAACCGAACCAAGGCCAAGAATTGTAACAGTTTCTGACATGATAAACTCACCACCATCATGAAGTTCAATGTTCACTCTCATCTTAGAATTAGCCTGTGTGTTTGTGACTGACCTTTCAAGTGTTCCTTTTTGGTTAGTCTGAATTCTCACTAGTCCAGTACTATCTCCATTGACCTTCAAGATATTCAGCTCTCTAGGCTGCCCATCCTTGATCAGTTGTAGTTTAGCAAAGTTATAAATATCAACAACATCAAAATTAAGAACTAAAGGAGTTTCATTCAAGGTTGTATAATAATCTTTTTGGCCATTTTCATTGTCACATGTCAATTTTTCACCATTGGTATCAGAAATCAGATAAATTGAACCTGGACCACCATTGCCATGAGTGGCTAAAGATGTACCTCCACCTGCACTGTAGGTACCCTGGAAATCATCTGATTTCATATCTACTGCAATATGACCTCCACTACCAGCCCCACCTTCTGGGTCTGTTGAAGATCCGCCTTTGGTTTCCATTGTCCCAAGCCCTTTCAATGAATAACTGCATACAACATAGATACTACCGCCAGCACCTCCGCCTCCAGTATCAGAGTCATCACCATTGGATTGTAAAATTCCATCCAGAATGAGATCATCTGTTGTGATCTTTATAAAACCACCACCTTGACCTCCCTGACCTCCTGACGCTCCAGGTGTAAGAGGTTGGTATATGGTACCATATGGTTCAGATGCATCATCAACTGTGTAGTTTCCGCCAACACCACCAGCAGCTGTATGGGCACCGCCATTCTTGCCAATTCCGTGAGCGGAACTTGGTACAAGTGGATCGTTAACACTTGATCTTCCATTTGTGCTCAGTGATGCTGCACGTTCCAAGATAAGATTAATAGCAACAAGTTCAACATATTCTGCTTCTAGAACAACAAATCGTTTCATTTCCAATGTTCCAATTGTCATAATGAATCCTCCTGTTGGCAAAATGAAACTAGAGCCAGCTTTCAACTTAATTGAGCCCAGGGAGTAACTACCTGCATTGCTGGTAGGGGAGTATAAACCATTGGCATAGCTGGATGTAAATGTTGTATTATGTCCTTTAATAGTACCACCATTCTCTACAACTAGGTCATTGAATGTACAGGTACCCTCAATGTCAAGAGTAACGCCGGCAACTGTCAGTGTCTCGGGAACATGCAATGTTGCTTCTTTTCCAATTTTGAAATTTACAGTTGTAATGAAACTACCAACAACACCTTCAATAACAGCAGCTCTGACAACTTGTTGGTCTGTTAAATGAAGTGTACCAGTTGTGTCACCAGCTATATCAGCAAGTCGTAATTCTGTGTCTGCTGCACCAAACTCAGTATTGGCGTAACCTGAATTGATAACATATAGGAAATTGAAAAATCTGCGTATTAAAAAACAGAATGATTCTGAAGCAAATTTAAGAATGAAATTTTGTTTTAGAACAAGAGACTGTTCCAGCATTAGTAACAACAAAGTATAGTATTTTACATACATTATTGTCAGTTTGGAGGCAAACAGATTTTACTGTAAGACAAAAAAACAGAATATAGTCTACATTACATTTTTTTATACTGTATAGTAAACTATCATATGATATATTACCTGAGAGAGATAGGAGGTTATATTTAAACTCTCCAGTATTGCCACTGATATATGTGTAAGTCTGCTCTTGTATTGGACTGTCAGCATCGCCAATTATCACAAGTGAGAAAACTTCCTTTGGTGATTTACCTTCCAACAGGTAAATTGTACCTGGACCAGCTTTTACAGTCATTACATTATGATCATTACCAGCACCATATGCTTTCATGGTACCAGTAAAGTCGTTCCTGTAACAGATGAATGCAGAATCAAAACAATCATTGTCTATACAAAACAATCATTGTCTATACACTTTAATATAGGTTCATGTTTTTGTTATGACACTGAATATCAGTGCATTGCTTAAAAATATATATTGTTCTATGCTACTTGACCTATTTCTGAAAATGAGCATATCTGAAAAATTTACATAAGATGGTATTTATAGACTTTGCACATCCTAATTCTATGCACAACACATTTACTTTATTGACGTTTGCATTTGGAGTATCAATTAATGAAACTAGATAAAAATAATATTGACTTATTGTACACATTTGTCAAATGTATATCAATGATATGCCTTGACTGCATCAATATCAGTATCATATTTTCATTAAAGTAGCAGATTGTGATTAAAGGTAAAACATGTATAAACTTACGTGTTCGTTATTTTAAGGACCATTCTGCCACCAGCACCACCGCCACCAAATTCATCTCCTTTCCCGCCATTACTGCGGATCTCACCATTACCTTCAAGTACTGGCGTGGTTATATCAATAGTACCTCCACTACCTCCGCCTGCATTCGTACCATTTGCAGCTTCACCATCAACTTGGATTACACCTGTAATTGTAATGACGCTGTTATGTTAAAATTATAATTCAAACACGCTTCACAATAGTCCCTTATCAAATAGATAGGCCAATCAAGAGCATTATTACACAATATATGCACAGCATGAAAAAGGAATGCTAACAGTACACCTCATATGACATCAGATATGATAATAAACCAAATGACATCTGAAAAATTTCTTCTACGCTCCATGTTGTTCAACCTTTTTTATCAATTCTCTTTTTTATAAGCAAATTAGAATGGACATAGATATTAACTCTATATTCTTATACAATAATGCACAGTTCATTTTTCATTCAAATGCTTTGTAATGAATCACTCAGGCCTTTCGTGATTATATTCCTACGCATTTAAACTGAACTGTGCATTATTCTACAACAAAAATAAGAAAATGTAACTGTAAAGAGCTGTTTTATAATATCAAGTGTATATCATTATCCATGCAAATATTGTATTACAATTTACTCCTAATTGGATTTTTTTCTCCAAGCACATGAATAAAGACCTAGTATATTTTTTTATTTTATAAACCTTGAAAAAAAATCGACCTACCATCAACAGTAAGAGTGCCGTACAGATATAACTTAAGATAGCCACCACCAGCACCACCTGTTCCATTAGCCGAGTTACCACCACCACTACCAGCCAGTGTTGGAAGTCTTGTGTTGTCATAAACGACACCACCACTCACATCAGTTGAGTTTGATCCTCCAGGAGCTCCATGTCCTGCACCAGTGCCAACACCACTAACCTGTACAAAAACATAACATATCATATTATCATTAGAAAAATAAAATACAGTCAAACCTCTTTATAAAGACCAGTCTACTGATCACTTAATTGGTCATTATGATTGTGTACTCTCACAACATAAGTCACCTTAAATAAACAATATTATTTAATAGATTATGGATCAAATTGTAAAAAAATAAAATATAGTCAAACCTTTATGTAAAGACCAGTCTTAAGACATTTTGGCTTAATAGAAGGTATTTTAATATGCATTATCATATTTGTAATTATCCATATAAGAAAAACTAACAAGTAGTGCTTGGTGTTCCATATGTGGTCTTTATGCAAAGGTGATCTTAAAAGTACAAGATTGGCTGTATAAAAATACAGTATATTTAATTTCTGTTAGTTTTGCATTACGAAAGTTTGCTTTCATTTTATTAATTTTTCATCACTGAATCTATAAATGACTTATTTTTTTTTCTTTTAATGCTTTACATTGTTGGTATAATGTGTGCATCTGTGCAATTTGAAACTATACGTTCAATATAAACTAAGCCCTTACATTGACACACTTTTGTTTTGATCCTTCTTAAAGTCTGGAACTGTCCAACTGCAGAAAACAGCAGTGTACATGTATAAAAATAAACCCACTTACCAGGGAACCAGCTCCAGGGCCAAGCTCAGGACCAAAACCTCCTCCCTCCAACTTGAGTGTGGAACCAGGATGTAGTGTAATCTCATTAGCTGTGATATCAAGGCTTTCACCAATCAGGATTGCCCCGTAATGTAATTCGAGTATGGCAAACTGAATTCCTTTAAGTGTGACAGGGTCCTTCTCAAATATAACTTCAGCATAGCTCTCCAGTGTGAACTTTGAGAAGCTGTACTCTCCTTTGTTAGAGAGTGATGTATGCTGACCATTGCTGTCACAACATACACCTGTACGTGCCTTAGCTGATAGTGTCACCTTTTGGTAGGAGGATATAATCAAGTTCTGGATGTTGGACAAAATTCCTGGAAATGAAATGAAAATCTCATTTAAATTGAGGTTTAATCAAAAAATAGATCAACAAAGAATTTTTAATCTTTCAATTACTTTCATTTTTGTTTTGAAAAGAAAATCAGATATGTACATTGTAATATGAATTCAATGTGTCTAAGATAGACAGTTTAGAATCAAATGTATAAATCTACAATGTATGTCTTTATCATTATTCTAATAAAATATTTCCAAAATTCCTTTACCTTCTAAGGTACTGGACTCCCCTTTCAACTCTACAGAGTTTGGCAGTCTAAGTTCTCCATCTTGCTTCAGGTCAAAACTGCATGTTATAGCACTGTATGACAGGTCAACATCTGCACTAAATACAACATCATTGTCTACACGTATTGTACTACCAGAGCCACAGGTCAAAGTCTTCGCTTTGAAGTGAAGACCCGCTGTGTTGAGCCAGACTTTAGTGTTATCACCGATGTTTAAGTTAGCTAACTCGTACAATGGAATGTTAGGAAGATGTATAACTGTTACACCATCAGTTGCACCTGATGCACATGAGTTGTCTAGGTAACCGTAATTCACATATCCTGGAGTTCCTGTTTGTTGGAATGTGGCAAAAGCAGTTCCAGATCCACCCGCTTGTCCAGTTGCGGAGGTTCCACCACAGAGTTTATAGTCTCCAAGGTAGTCGAAACTTCCGTCAACTTTTATGTGGATTCTTCCACCACCGCCACCACCACCGGAACCTGAAGCACCACCTTTAACAGATACGCTACCAGACCCATCAATGTCCCCTGAGACAATAATGTACACAGCACCCCCGCTACCACCGCCACCATTAATTGTATCATTACCTTTACCATCAGCACTTACAAGTCCGTGAAGAGTTAATTTATTGGCAATGGTGAGTTTAAGATAACCACCACCTCTTAAACCACTGTCTGTACTGCCATTACCACCGGCTGAACCAAACTCAGTTGCGGCATTCAGAAGTCCAGTGTAATTTGCAGAAGGTAGGACGTCATCAGCAGATGCCCCGCCAGCGCCGCCATGACTACCACCAGCACCAGTTGTACCCGAGTCACCAGCACCATTTCCAGCATCTAGATTACCACCATTAACATTCAGAACTCCTCCATAGGCAATTTCTGCAGCTGGGGATTCAATAAAAAGGTTTCTTCCAGTAACTGTTCCACCAAACTTGACATTGAATTCTTTAATCATTTCAAGAGTGTATGGATCCATACTGTCCAAGCTGAGTTCAAGTAAACCATCAGTGGTTACATCAATTTTACTCAGAGACAATGTTCCAATCGGCTTCAAGTTAGTTGAAGAAAGTCCTGACCTACTCTGCGAATGTATCAGGACCTGTCCACCAGATGAAACAGTCATTTCTCTTACACCTAGAACAGTTCCATAGATCTCTAGATTGTACCAGTCTAAACCAGTTGCATCATCATCTGTAAGTAGAATCTTTGCTGGAATAGTAGCTTCTCCATTTTCCTTGATGATAAGTTTACACTTCAAAGCATATGGGGTTAGTGTACCATATGATGTGGCAATTTCATAGACCTGATTTTCTAAAATTGTTAAAGTTCCTGTGTAGTCACCAGTGACTGTGCCGACCTCAAATGATGATGTGCCATCAAACTGCACTTGTCCATAACCATTTATCTCTAATTCAGTCAATGTTACTACTCCACTGATATGGGAGAAGGCTTCAGTGACATGATCATTGTTAGCAATAGTGACCTTCTTAATTTGTGATCCTCCTGATTGTTCATATTCCTTGTAAATAGTTCCTGCAGCACCGTAGTTAGTCGAACCGGAACTACCATATGCCGTAACATCTCCAAGGAAGTCGGACTGAAGAGGTGCTTTTAGAGCAATTCTTCCTCCACCACCACCACCACCAGAAGAGCTGTCTCCACCATTGACAGACAATTTACCATGGCCTTGAAGGGTGGCAGCCTCAATATAGATAGTACCTCCACTAGCGCCACCTGTTGTTGTTGAGTTAGCTCCAACAGCCAGCAGGGATCCATCAATCTCAGCAGTTGCGCTCACAATCAGATTCAATATACCACCACCTCTTGCAGATGATGAGCCACTGCCATAGTCTACAGGTTGAACTGATGAACCATATGTTGATCCCGTACTGTCTCCACCCTCCCCACCATAGCTGGCTCCTTCAGTGCCAGATGTAGATCCGGATCCAGAATCTAGGTCGCCTCCTTCTGACACGCTTATCTCAGCTCCATCTTGTAGTGTGAAGTCAGTGGTAGTGATACTGATCTTCTTCTTGTCACCTTCAACCAGCAACTTAGATAGAGAGTCCATCTTGAATGAAGTTGTTTCAATATTCAGTTCACTATGAGCAAAAGTGATATTTGCTTCATATCCCATTTCAAAGTCATCCATGGCAATTTTGCTGGAACTGCTGCCAAATACTGCTGACAAGGCAACTGTAGTTTCTGACCAAGCCGACAATTTCAGTGAGCTAATAATAACCTGTCCTGTAGATTCAACAGCAAATTGACCATGATTGTCAATGGTGAGTGTGTTTGCTGTAAGTGTTCCAAGCACATTCAATACTGGACTGTCACCTGATATAAGAAGATCTCCAGATACAGTCAGTGATCCGGTGTTTTCTACCAGTACTTCACACCCAAAACCTCTGTGTGTGTCACCTACAAAATATTTATGATTACCATTGATTATTCTGTTTATTATCTGACAAATTATTAATGATATTTTAACTTCTAAATAAAGAAGACAAGGCACACCATCATTTTGTATGGCAAATCTGAAATACTGCAATAGAAATACATACATTTTTTGTACAAAAAAAACAACTATCATTTATACCCACACTTCATTTGCTATCACAGTAGCACATTGACATGCTTGTGTTCAATTAATAAGTAATATATCTATACATAAGAATAGTATCATAATTTAAAGATATACTATGCTCGAATTTGATATCAGAAAATATTGATAATTGCTACACAGTCTCTTTTTAAATATGAAATAAACGTGTTTTTACTTCACATAAAGTTGATATGTCAAGTTATAATCTCTACACTATAGGTTGTCACAATATGAATATATAGTGTTGATAAAAAAAGTGGCAGTTTTTAAGAAAAGACCAGCTTTACTTGTCCTATAATAAAAAACGTGACTTCAAATGCATAGTTTATTCCTTTTTTTATTCAAATTAGACATATTCAGTAAGAATTTCATAGGTTTTAATAAATTTCTTCGATTAAAATATTTTACTAAAAAATGAGCATAGTACACATGTATATCTTTAAGAGTTTAATAAACCTATTACTAGGGAAACTGTTGTTATTGATAAGACATGGATTTCATGTTTCATTTTGACCTTGATCTAATGACCTTAAAGACTGACAATGTTCTTATCATGTTTCACTAACTTAGGCTTATTACTGAGGCTTATTATCTTACTTAAAACTGTAAGCCAAAATATTCCTGTAGTTATTTGTCAGACAAGCATTCAATAGTCAACATCACAGAGACCTTGAACTTTGACCTACTGGCCTAAAAATCATCAGAAGTCATCTTTTAGTCATGGCTAACCTTAAATTTAAATCTTAGGACTTTAGATCACAGTGTCCACAAGTTATTCACAAACTTTCAACAAAGGTTCACAAATTTAGGCTTATTACTTCTCAAGTTAATGATCAGGCAAGGATAACATGATGTTCACAGTATGTACACCACATTTTAAGTGAGGGGAATAAATAAAGAAATGCTAAAAAAAGTTTAAACAGAAGAAGATATGTACAGTACTTGAATCAGCTTAAGAAATGATAACATAATATAAATGTTTGTAATATTTTTCTTTAACTTTAAACCTGCTAATTAATATCAAGTGTGTTTTAAATACGAGTATATAATACAAACCCATGGACGTTGCTGTAAGAGAATTTCCAGCAAGGACGGTCAGTTTACATGTAGAATCTGGCGACTCATCGAGAAGTTGCCCAACTGTGACACTACCTTCTACAGTAACAGTGGCACCTTCCTCGATACTGAGAGTGCCAATGTTGGATGTGAGTGGGTAAGTTTCTGTACTACTTCCAGAGACTATCGTTTTACTGGTTCCTGGATACTGCACATACACAGTTCCTGTAATATACAATAGTACACATGACATTCTAATAGGTAAGTAAGAGAAAATAAATTTCGGAATGTCAGAAGAAAGAAATTATGTCCAATAAAGAGTGGTTAGACATTTCATCTACACAGTTATTTTTCATGTTCATTTTTTGTTTTCTTGTTTATTCTCCCTTCTTCATAATTGTAAGACCTCAAACAATATCATAGATGTATAAGTAGCTGCTAGTATGTACCTTCTTAATCATTAAACAAATTTAATACAAAGCTTATGAGGTTTTCTAAAATTGAAGGTAGAAAAAAAACCTATACAGGTAAGCATTAATTAACAACAAATCAATTTTCACAAAGACATTCTGCAGGTCAATATTTAGACATATTGTCACCTTAGTTCAATAACAGGTTAACTCCTATTAAATTTAGGACTTAACCCGATACTTCACTAAGGTGACCATATATAAACACTGGAAGGTGTTTTAGATGTTAAAAAGAAACTGTGCATTACCTGGAGACCCCTTATTTCCTCCTGTCTCTCCACCAAGAGCAGACAGAGTTCCAGTATAAGAGTAGGTTGATGAAGCAATGGCTGCTATTCTCCCTCCACCACCACCGGAACTACCCTCAGCTTTCATATAACCATCTCCTTCAATAGTTTTAGCTGTGACAAATAACGATCCACCACTTCCACCATTTCCAGAGTCAGCACTCATGTCAATTGTTCCTTCAACAGTTAAGGTGTTGGATACAACTAATTTAAGTTGCCCACCTCCCCTTCCGGAAGAACTTGTTGCACCATTTCCATTACTGCCGTAAGTCATTGGACTCTGAATACTACCGTACGTAGCTTTGGTATTACCTACACCTCGTCCACCATGTGTTGCTCCCTGACCCGACGAGGCGGCACCTGCTCCTCCGGATTCATATCCGGTACCGACACCAGTGATCACACCACCAAATTTGACATTAATGTTGTTAGCATTTATTACAGTTGTATCAGAACCTGTCTTGCTTCCATTGATTTTCAATTCTGCTCCGGTATTGATAGTTATTGATGTATAAGTATTTGAACCAGTTGGCATTGTACATGACTGAGTTCTGTTGAGAATAAGATTAGCAGTTGTTGGGCAACGATCCTGGGATAAGGGTGAAGCAGTTGCCGATACTGTGCCGGTTTTAGAAGCACTTAAAGAGAACCTAGTTGTGTCAAGGCTGAAACCGGATGTTGTATTAAAATATGTCAATTTCAGAGTGACCTTATTCAGGGTAGTATCACAGTAATCAGAGCCTTCTAGTTTACCTTGATAGTCAATAACAAGAGTATTAATCTGAAGATCTGCTGCAGGATGAGATATTTTGAGAGCACCATCTTCTCTGACAGTCATCTCATTGGTATTTGAAGATATTATTCCGCAAACATCAAGACTCCATCCTTTGTCTATAATAACTGTCTTTGGTAAATCAATTTTACCATTGTGCTGAACATGAACATTGGTGTTAATTCTCAGTGTGTCGACAATACCAACACGTGTTCCCCAATATAAATCTACATACTGGTCGATCCTGACTAGTGAATCAGCATTTCCGATTATTTTTCCAACTTGTGCGTTTAGTGCCGGTGTGGTAGATCTGGTAAGGAAGCCGACAGTTGCCGGGCCAATGATCTCAACTATGTCAAGTTGGGTACTTGCAGCAGATGGTAACACAGACATTGTTGACAGGGCATCTGATGCTTCATTGCTCTTGATCAATGTCTGCAAATAAATAACACTGACTTTTATAACCTTTACTTCTTTCAATTTTTAGTCACACATACACATTAAAATACTGCAAATTGATCTCCAACTAATTCTCTCTTCACAAAAAATCTTAATAAATTAATACAAAATTACATCATTATTGGCATATCGTCGAAGAATAATCCAATAAATTAAAGTAAAATAATATCAGTATTGACATATGGTCATAGAACAATCTAAACAGTTTAATATATAAAATATGTCTTGTCATGTTTCTACAAAATGAATCCTACCTTTCTGTTATTATTTTCCTGAAGGTAGATAACTCCAGCAGCACCAGTTTCGCCACTGGACGTCTTACCACCATACGAGGTGATGTAACGATCATCAACATATCCGTTATCGAAATAAATGGCGATGAAACCACCACCACCTCCTCCTGCACTTGCACCCTTTCCACCATTGGTATGGATAAGGCCTGAAATTTGTGATGAAAATTAATATTAACAATTAAATCTTAAAAGTTATTCTACATACATGTAGATAACTATATTAGTAATAAACAATAGTCACTGTAGGCGTGGCAACGCTCAACTATTTTACTTTTCCTAAATACAATTTCAACAGATCTTTTTAAAGTAAATTAAAGAAAAAAATTTGTTCTCAATATATTTGAGTTTAATATACATGAAGGTTTAATCCTAAACAACTCTGTGTCTTAATATGAAATCAATCAATTCATTAATAACAAAGTTAAAGCCAGTTACAGCAAAAAGAAAAAAACAACCCAAAAACAAGAAAATTTCAATAATTTGACCTTCAAGGTCAAGGTTATTTATGAGTAAAGGTCAATGTTTGTCTAATAAACTTGAAGGTCTATTCTAAAAGATTGTTGTGATCAAGTTTGAAGACAATCCAATAAAGACAACAAAGTTATAGTCACTAATAGCAAAACTCAAGCAAAATTTAGACATCTGACCTTAAAAGTCAATGTCATTTCTGAATGAAGGTCAAGTTTAGTCTAGACAATATGAAGGTCTTGTTAAAAGGGTTGTTGTGGTCAAATATGAAGACAATAAACCAACAACTTAAAAGGTTATGATCAAGGTTGAAGTTTGTGGACAGCAACAGCAATAGAAACACGAACATGACTGCAAAATACTACTATTATTTTCTTTAAAAAAAAACCAAGCTAAAAGTTACTTGAAATATCCATACTTAAATTTTTATCAAATTAAGGACAACAAATTATGGTAAGATTTCCAATCAAAAGAAATTGAAGTATTTCTAGCTGATGCATGTTGAATTGCCACAGTAACTAATACAGCTTATGCATGTTGAATTGCCATAATAACTAATGCCATGAATCATGACAATTTAGTTGAATCAAGCTTTAGAATCTTCTCTAAATAAGGTTCTGAACCAATTACATGTATTCCTTTCCAGGCCAAATGTATTTATAAATAATGGTAAAGAAACAGTATTTGATGACACCAGTACAAATTAGACTCACCTCCTATTTTAGCAGTAGAACAAGTGATCCAGATACTGCCTCCCGAAGCTCCACCATGGCTTGTAGCACTACCACCACTGTGTGAAAATCATATCATAATTATATTAATAATGTGTGACTATTTAGAAATTATTGCAATTTATAGACAAATAAATTAAATTTAAATTAAAGGAAAAAACATTATAAAAAATAGAACTTCAATGTATTGCTTATGTCAACCAAGAAGCATTTTTGCCTCTAATGTTATTGAACCTGATTTTTTATTCAAATGCAAAAGTCTTTCAAAGAGGTTGCAAGCAAATTTCTTCCTAACTTCATAAGCTGTAAGGATTTGGTTATACTTTATAACCATGCTAAAAGTATAACTATGCTCTGACCACATTCTACACAGATTGATGCATAACTTAAAGTGTTTTGGTCTGCAATGGGCACATTTTCCATCAGAATTTCAAATTTCGATAAAAACAAAAGAAATGTACCATTTAGATAGACTATTCTTATAAAATATTGCTTGAAAAAAAAAAGTTGATGAACTAAAGTAAAGTGATCTAGTATGAACATTTACATGATGAAAACTTGATCTATAACATTTTATCATCTGCTTTATGAATATATGTAATATCAGAGGATGTATCTCAGGTTAGGCAACAACATCTGTATATAATCATTTCAAGGTTTGTTGATATGTCTGATATATAATAATTTATCAATGCTAGTATTTATTTCATTACAGTCATTCTAATTCAGACCAATTCACTTTTAAGCAATTTGATATTGAAAATCCTTACACAAACAATAGACAATTCAAATTCCAAGTAGGGTATATCCATTTTACAAAGTAGACCTGGATAAAGACTAATAGATAAATGAAACATGCTTACTCAGCATTTATTTCTCCCTGTATCTCCACAGTGCCTGAGGTTTCAAGTTTGAGCACACCACCACCAGTGGCTGTGTCAGAACCTGAACCAGCTTCAGTTGGCTCTTTAAAGTCATCATAAGCCAGACCGCGCATGTAACAAGTGCAGCTAGAGTTGTAATACCCACCACCCTCTCCACTGTGGCCCGATCCATAGTTTGGTAAATAACCTATTATATAGAGAACAAAGAATGAAGTAACTTAAGTATTTCTTGTATCACATAATGCAAATATATTTGATAAAATGATGATCATCCAACATTGCCTATAAATAATCTGCATTAATTAAAATAATTCAATGATAATAGTGTTAACTGCATGGTGCTATAATGTTTACCTAGTTTAGGCAATATTTACGCCTCAGAGAGCAAAAATGACTTTAAATAAACTTAAACACATATCAATGACTTAAATACTCAGAAAGTGCAAAATGATATGAGTCATTCTCTCAAACATTGGTGGTGTTTGTTTTTTTCCTTCAAGAGAAAATCAGCATCTTTTATTATCAATGTGAAATCCTAAATGTCAAACCTGGTCCAGTTTTCAGTGCTGCTCCTCTTTCACTGAGGTTAATGACACCTCCTTCTTCAATGAGGGCATTTGTTGTCTGTATCAGAAGTTCAGCTCCATCAATGATACCAGAGGGCGCCACATAGAGGTCAGTGAGTATAAGGCGATACTGAATGTCCTCCGTCATGTTAAGGACACCTCCTGCCATGACATTCACTGTTGATATTGTGTACTTTCCATCAATGGTGCTTCCCTGAATATATACATATTATAATCATAATAAAAGTATATAAAATACATTTCAAAGGTAAGATGCTAAAATTATTGACTTTACTGGTTAAGTTAACTAAGTTCATGACCCAATAACTTGTATAGAACACAAACTTATAAAACACAGAGAAATGAGACTTTCTTTTTTATGTTAATTACCTAAATATTGCACTTTATTAATGAGGTATTATAAGATATTTTCAATAAATCATTCATACCAGATTTACTTGCATTGTAATATTAAGAAGCCACATTCCCATACTTGCATTGTTTTCATGTTTTTGCTTACTAATTTAATAATGATAAATACTTTAATATATTCATAAAATAGTTTTGTCTATACATGTTTATACATGTATATATTTTCATGATCTGTCACTTTAATCTTTACAAAATACATGGCCTACTTGACCAGTTGTAACTAACTACATTGTATATCAAGTTCTATATCAAAGTATACAATTAAGCAGCTAACAATTATCAGTCCACAAGTTCAGACTACATGACATGCACGCTGACTTGGCTCTAAACTGGTGGCATAAATAAAAGTAAGTCATTAATGACACTTGCAATCAAAAGGTAAAGAATAAAATCTTACCTGAGTTTTACTGGTCTTCTTTAGATCAAGCTTAGATTGTACCAGTGTAAGTTCTGTCACACCACCAATTGTACCATATATCTTACTGTCTGAGTTAAACCATTTAACCTTGGACGGCATTTCTAGCAAGCCATTTTCATATACAATAGCGTGTGCAGGGAAGTAAAGATCTATAGCTCTGTAATAAAGATCAAAAAAATTATATATCCAGACATATACTTTTTTCAAAAACAAGAAAGACATATTGCACTTATCATTTTTTTCAAAAACAAGAAAGACATATTGCACTTATCATTTTTAAATTAAGTGGGAATTGGTTAAGGGCATTTAAATTTAAGATCACTTGCCAGCTTGAACTGCAAGATTATAAGTATTTTGGTCTGAAATTTTCGAGTTATCCAGCTAGCTTTCTGGAAATAATAGATTCCACCCTGGTGACTGCTTGTTACTTAAATAGAGAGTCAACCAGTAAAGGCCAAAATTGTCATCAAACTCAACAGTGTCAGAATAACTCTTTATAATAATTTGTTTTTATCACCTCGAATGCCAATCAATTAGAATAACCGTCACTGTATCACATATATCATTGTCTACAAATAAATTTTAAGCTTAACTGACCTGACTGTAAATGTCTGGCTGGGACCAACATGGATAGTTCCCAGCTTCGAGGCATCATTTACAAAACCATCACCATAGAAACCTTCAGTTGTGAATTTGTGTTGGGCAGTTGCAGGGTTAGTGGCTGGTTCCAGTGCAACATGGGCTCCATTTAATAAATAGACTTGATCTACAGTAAGGGAACCAGATGATGGGAACACAATCCATGTACGACCACTGTCATAATCCTCTACTCCAGATACATCATAACTTTGTATAGAATCCTAAATAACAAAAACATGTAAAAAAGTATAAGTAATTTTTAAGTTTAGTTTGAAACTTTCCTATGACTCATAATATTTTTCAATTTCGATTATCCATACATAATTTTCTAATTCATCTTCTATTACAATGAAATTAAGACATTTGTATACAAATTTCAAAACTATAACTATGAATAAATATGTTGAATATGTTTTTCCTTTTCAAGTTTTAAGTTCTTTTGACACTATTGACAGATACATATATATAATTTTTTGAAAACAAGTACTTACATCTACATTAGATGCTTGTTTATTATCAATGTATAGTTTTGACTTGCTGCCAGCATTAACATAAACTGTTCCAGCACCTCCGGTACTGTGAGCAGAGCGACCACCGTACGCTACATATGAACCGGTAAACTCGGAGTTTGTATAAGTGATCGCCACTCTACCACCAGCTCCACCACCGGTACTTGCCAATCCTGTCAAATATTAAAATGAACCGCATCATGACAAAACTAACATAGTGCGTTTGCGACAAGCATGGATCCAGACCAGCCTGCGCATCCATGCAGTCTGATCAGGATCCATGCTTATTGCTATCTGTTTCTCTACTTGTTGTAGGGTTTGTAAGCACGGGCCTTATTTCGAAGAAATGTTTGATCAAGATTATTCATTTTAATTTCTTTTATCAGAAATAACTTTTTTCTCAAAACATTTCGTTCATAAACAGATCATTATAAATCTATGCAAAATTCAGCAGTATCAATTAATGCTCATAAATGTATGGCAAAATTTTAGATTTTGTGCTTAATGAAAAAACATATTACTCAGAAACTCTCCAACAACTTGAAATTAGTTCTTGAGATCTTTTTTGACAGCAACGTTCATAATTTAAAACATTGAAAATCAGGACCCACTTATATAATCAAACATAAAGAATAACTGTTCTAAATTTCTACAGAAAGTATAAATGCTAAGACTAATTAGTCAGAATTCAATATATGAAAAAGCTTATAATCTTTTATTTGAAGAAATTAAATTACCTTTTCCTCCATTTGCTGTGACTTTTCCTTTGCCATTGAAGGTGACGGTATTGAGTATGATACTACCACCACTGGCACCGCCCGCTAGACTTGTACCATCCTCGCCATTACTGCTTATCACACCTGTAATATAATACTGCATGTTTGCAACGGTGCTTTTCATTGGATTATCATGACATTTATATAATTTCATACACGCAGCTGCTTTCAGTTTATGAACAAATCTCTTTTTTTTCTCTATAAAAGGAAGTTTGCAGTATAATAAATTCGTTATTAAGATTCCTGAAAGTTAATATGGCCATATATAAGTGGCCTAGTGGCTCAGATTATATATGCAAATAACCACTTATATAGGGTCATAAAATCTGTCAAAAATCTTTATATAACATAATTTATTAATGATTTTGTTTCTCTGGTTTTCATTAAAAATAATTCTCAATATTTATAATGGTTTAGTTTATATTATAATGTTTTAATATCATAATCATGTAACTTAATAAATCATAAATATAAAGGGTTTGTTGTACAATACTTGTTTACAATACATTTCTAATGTAATCATTCTAAATCAAAATTTATTTAGCCTTTGACCATATTTCTTTAAAATAGTCAAACCACAAGAAGTTCCCTCAACTCTTCAGTCTATGCAAAAGAAAATACAGAGTAAACATGAGCAATGCTCTTTTTTGATGACTGTCCAGCTTTATTGGTGGCAGAAGGCCTAAGGTGCAACACAATGCATTAGTTCACATACCAGTGGAAACCTAAATAGAACCTTCAACCTTCTGTATACTAGCTCGATAGCTCTTTAATATAAAATATCTAAGGCCTTGATGGGTTTCGTTTTGAACCTACAAAGGTAAAAGGCAAATATTTTGAATTCAACAACAATAAAGACAGGGCCAAAGAGTTTCCATTCATTTTTTTATAGATAAAAGAAGAATTAATGTTTTACCGTCAATATTGGCTGTAGAAGCAATGTCAAACTTCAATATTCCACCACCGATCACTTCCTCATCATTTGTGAAGTCTTTAAAGATACCGTTACTACCGGCAACGGCTGGTGAAACAATATCACCGTAGTACAGACCACCGCCATAGGCTGTACCAGCAGTGTTGGTAGCTTTACCACCCTGGCCACCATGTCCAGCACCTCTACCATCTGTTCCTTTACCTGGACCTCCATCAGTGTGTACTGCCTGTTAACAATTGTTTGATTCAGTTTAACAGATCTGGTACTATCGATCTATAACTTTTTCTTCGCATATGCAGGTAGGTGTACTAATCTAACTATTCAAACCCACATTGCAGTCCAATGTATAATAAAAACTGATTAAAAACAAAAGCCTTAACTTTGAAACAGCTTTGAACAGTCACTGTTTTACGAGTTCTTTGAAAATGGTTTTCATAAAATTTAATGAATATTGTACTTTTATAGTTGTAACAATAGACGAAAGCAAGAAACTTAAGTACATATTACTGCTAAAAAAACTAAAACTAAATCAAAAATAATATCCTAAATTTGCAAATTATGTTACATTTACCAGCAGATCTACTTTTTAAACGTGCATTTATACATAAGCATTTTTACAAAGCAATATTATTCAATTCTTAAAACATTCTTTCAAGTTCATTGTTAAAAGTAGATCTGACTCAAAAATGTTTCAAGCCTGTGTGATGTGTTATTCTTGGAGTCAATTTTATTTTATCTAAGATGCCTTTGTTCTCTAAACTTACAAGTTTGTCAGCCTTTATATAAGCCGAGTCCTCAACAGTGAGTGTATTAGCCTCAACATGGAGATTGTCAGCCTCGACTGTGCCTCCACTCTGTATCGTGAAATCTGTACCAACAAGCTTCATTCCGTTACCTTCAGTCTCAATAACTAGAGTACCACCACCTTGTACAGTGACAGATGTAAATGTGATAACCGGTACACCACCACTGCTATCTGGTCTGAAATATATACATGTACACATTTTGTATGTAGAATATTAAGAAAGAAAATTCAATTTCTTTAAAGGAGTTTTTCATAAAGTAAGAAGCTCAAAGAGATATTTTTTATAATAAAATTATTAATATTTGTGAATGCTAGATCAATTTCTTTAGTATTTAATGCACAGAGGGGCACCTGAGGTCTTCCTCAAGCAGTGAAGCCGGAAAGTTGCCATATGATTTTACAGTATTTGGTGCAACTTAAAACCCAAACAAACACATAAGTATTTTAACAAACATAAATGGCATAATTTGATTTTCATTTTGGCATTACAAAAAGTGCACAAATTATCTTATGATACCTCAAAGTACTTAAAAGTAGGAATCTTAAAACCCCATTCTCCTTAAAACTGTATTACTCTGCATTGTTTTAACTGTATGATATAAAATGATGAAATATTCAAAAATTATAATTACATTTCCTTACATACAAAGTCCAGTCTGTGCAACACTAAACAATAAAGATAAACCCCCAAAAATATTCAATGTATAAAACAGACGGGTACAAAGTTACCTTAGAATAATTTTTCCATTTGGACCGATGACAAGATTTTCTACACCTTTAAGAGAACCCTCATTCTCTATTGTGATACCGGTAACAGTGAGAATTTGCTCCGCCTCCATTATACCATTCTCATATACAAACATTCCAAACTGTAACTCCGGACTGTCATCAGGTAAACTTGCGGCAAACTCCTGGTATGGACCTAGTGAAGTGTGATATAAACTAATTAATGAAAAATGTGATAGATGCTGACATTCAAATGATGATAAAGTGTTTATATCGAAGCAATTATAAGCACGAATGCCAAAGATAAATTTTCACTTTACAATTTATGAAGATTAATTGAGAAAGCTTTATTCTCACTTTTCGCTTTGAAATTTCTAATTTGCATATCATAGGTTTATTGCTGAATAATCAGAAAATAATTTAAATTCATTGAAAATATCTTAGAATATAGTACAAGTAGCTTGAAAATTCATCACTTTAATTCTGCTTAATACTAAAACTTTAAGAAAATGTAAAACATTACAAAAATTAATATGAGGGGAAACCATGACAATGTCAGAACAAGTGTTTCGGGTATGCACTACCCTTTTTTCAAGGTAAATGTAAACAGTATTAACAGTTTATTGAACATATGAGTTACTTACCAACATGCCACATGCCTGACTTGTCACCTACAGTTTTATTTACTGTAATAGACTGTGTAAATGTTTGACCATTCACTCTGTACAGAGCTAACTGGGCCTGACCACTCAGGTGTACCTCCTGAAAGTAAATCAGCATTTCCAGAATTTGTCTGAATATTTAATTTCTTTGATTTTATAAAACTAGCCACTTTATTACAATTAAACATTAAATTCATGTTTCGGCCTCGACAGCTTTTTTTTTTTAAATGCAAGTTCAGATCTTCATTTCTTATTGCAATTTAAATCCCATGTTATATTTAACTTCTAAATGACATGAAAGGTCTATTTAATTTAATCAAAACTCAAATACATCAATACTGTCTAATGCTAATATCTGACTTTTGTAAGGGAAGCAAATTAAATGCTGTTTCTAAAACTGAACAATAAAAGAAATGTATAGTGATGGTTAAATCTATATGAAGAGAAAAAAATATATGTAAACCTATAAAAAATAATGTAATGTAAAGAAACTTTATTGTTCATGATTAACTTGAAAATTATTTCTTACTGATTGCAGCAATGATTTGAAAGTTATCAAGTTTTTACCCCAAAAATTCATGATTACATCTTTTCATTTTGTTTCCATAAAGATAATTTATTCTCTGAACTATTCATGAATTAAAACAACTTTTTTGTCAAAATCTTTCAGTTGAAATGATTGTCTTCAATAAGTAAGAAATACATACAAGAAAAACCTATTCAATATAAGCAATTACACTGACCTCAAATGTGTGTTGATGAGAAGTGGTATCATCAAAGAGCCATGTATAGAAACTGAGTTGTCCTCTATGGGCAGTGGTCAGTTGTGTCCACTCAACACGCGAGTTTAAGGGCGTACATACATTCTCATTATCTACAGTCAGTTTGTTAGTGCTGTTATCAGTGTCGTGTTTCAATATAGTACCTGCGCCACCACACTCGTGACCTGATCCACCGTAAGCTGTGATACGACCGGAGAATGTTTCCTCGTTATAGTGTAGAGCAACACGCCCACCTGCCCCTCCACCACCTTGACAATTGGGGTCCGAAACTATGCTAGGACCTGATGATATATGTAAAAATATTCATTATAACACATTTTGCATAAGACAACAGTGAAACAATATATCAACTGAATAGTCAGTTACACCCTCTTCTACTTCCAAATGTATTTAGTTTCATATTGAATAGTCAAGATTTTACTAAAAACATAAAATACTGACAAGAAAAAAATAAATGTGCAAGCTATTACTTTCATTTCTATAATAAAGACATGAGTACACAGTACCAAGAAACAACTCATATAAAAATTGTCATAAGTTATGCCAAAATATTTCGCTCAAAACTTACTTATATATTAAATCATCTAAGAAGCTTTATGTTCCAACATTATAGGTATTAAAATCCTAATACAATGGTTGAAAAAGTAAAAAAACAGAAAATGGCCATCCCATTTCATTCAATATTTCTTTGGCACAATGACAACTAGGGATATTACCTGAAGAGTTTGATGGGGCTGCTGTTGTTGTTACGCCTGAAGGTGTTGTTGCTAATGTTGTTGTTGTTGTTGGGACTGGTGTTGTTGTTGTGAAGGTACCAGTATCTTCACCAAGGGAACCACCCTGAGCTGATATTGTACCATCACCAGATAGTGTGTTCACCTGGTATAAACATCAAAAATATACATGTACAATGTATATACTATATATATATATAAATTTATTTCTGACTAGATTTCAAAGCCATAATATGTAAAGCCATATGGTGACCTTTTTAAGATTTCATGCAAGTGAAAGACCCTCTGCACTCATCTATGCATCACTCCTGGATGACACTTGAGGAGAAATGTTTGTTTACAAACAAAAATGGAATAAAAGAAAGAATTGAAATCGATGGTATCAAATGAAAGTATAATAGACAGAAGGAAATGATTCATGGTCAGTGTTCCTTTAACACAATCAAGGTAAACTCTTACTAAAAATAGGGTAACCCTTCATTCTCTCTGGTTTCAAGAATATTTTAAAACTTGTTCTAACAAGTAAAAAAGCTGTTAAATGGACAAATACAATGATTATTAATAGCATTAAGTACTTTCCACAAAAGTTACATTTAACTTGTCAAATCATGCAGAAATAGCACCCCTATCTGTTTGTCATAAGGCAAATATAAAATTAGTGATAAAAACTGCAAAGTCAATCATATTTTGCACTCATATATTGAAAGTTTCTCTTGAATTGCTTCATTTTGTAGCACTTTTTTCATTCAATAATGTATACATGAATTTGAATCTTAAGGTATGCCACTTTAAACTACATCATAAAAACTTGTTTCATGACTTCACAAGTGTGAAAAACGCATCAATGAAAATAAGAACCAACCTGAACATAGACACTACCACCAGCGCCACCACCGGCTCTAGGTCCCTTACTCTTACCACCTGTTACCATTAACTCTCCGTCAAGATGTAACGAGTCTGCCGTTAGCTCAATGACACCACCTTGTTACAGGAAAAAAACATTTAATCATATATTTTAATGTTTTCTAGAAGTTGAAGAAAATGAATCAACCTTGTCCAGATAGACTGTATATAGTTATCAGCTCATAAAATAATAAGGAAAAATATCAAAATTAGTTGGTAATATTAATATTGATAATATTATAGTTAATAAATATGAAAATTTATCTCTTTGATTTTCTATAAATTTCTATAAATTTAGAAAATAATCATCAGAAGTCAGCTACCATTAATCACAGGTGACAATTTTTATCAGTTGAAACAACGTTTAACAAAAATCTTAAAACATAATCTCCAAATTTCATCATTCTTTTGAAAAAATATTCCACTACTTACAAAAGATAATTATTTCAACATTAGTCAAGCTTACCTCCTTTACCGCCACCTTGTGTGGTAGAGAATGTGCATCGGAGATCTGATGTAGATCCACCCCCTGTGCCTCCATTTCCACCAAATTCTTTTGGTTCATAGATCGAGCCATAATCTGGTGGTGGGCCCACATAGTCCTGGAATGAGGCTTGACCTCCTGCCGCACCATTACCACCACCAGAACCACCTGTCAAATGTTAGATATTTTATCACAAATGTACTTTGTAAATGAAACATCTGAAGAATTTCATCCCATATTTTGTACAGTTGACTTTTCCACAATTAAAATTTTATGCACATAAAAAATAATTCCTATTGCTAAGCAGTATCTGGAGATAGGTCAAATTTTAAAGACAGGCATGCAAGCTACACTGATACTCTACTACTGGCAAATAAAATTATATTCTTTCCACTGGCATACAAGCATAAGCATAAAAACCCCATCTTTATCATACATCATTGACCTATTACATATGGAGGAAGAAGTCAAAAGATATTGCACTTTATAGAACCTAAAACCCAGTTAAATATACAAAACTTCACAAACTGGACTGTTGATGTGTCTTTTTTCCCCAATCGAACTCCATAGTTTGTTGAAGTTTTCTATTAACTATTCCTATCAATTTACTTTTTTATTATGTGTGGGACAAGGACAATGACTACAATGTAAGGCCTTTGTCAGCCTAATTTTAAGTTATGTTATAATCCCAAAACAAGGTTAGTAAAGCACAATATATCATTACAAGAAACATAATCTAATTATCTGCTTCTTAACAAAAGATATCCAACCAGATGTCATAAAAAGACTCATTTTTTTAGAACAGTTTTTAACAGTATACAGACTCAGGTTTTACAGTAAATGGATAAAACAAGGAAGAAAGTCAACAACATTGTTATACCTCCAGCATCTGTGTTGACACCATTTTGTGGCAAAGAACTTGGAGCCTGAGAGCTTGCATTGATCAAACTAGCTGCATCAATCTGTATCAATCCTCCAGTAGCATCTACCTTTACCCAGGGAGCCTGAAAATAATATCTTGATATCATTAACCTCAGTGCACCCTTAGAACAGTTTAGTGTTTCAACTTGTCAAATTAGCTTTGATAAATAAATTTTGTTATACGATATAGCTTATATTATAACATTTAAGTAAAGGCAATTAATTACCATAATACACATGTGCTATTACATAAACATCACATCAAACTGGAAGTGATAGAACAACATATATTCCTGAGGAAAGTGATGTCCGATGGTTGACATTACTTTGTCAAGGATGATCATTTTATTTTTTCAACCACTTTTGGGAGTGATATTTATCATACCAAACAAAACAAAACTATTCAAAATAGACATCTAACCTAATGACTTAAATCCAGCACCAGATATCTGGTAGCTTGGTAATGTATGTGGGCAGCCATAAAATCCTGAGGGTCATATTGACTACAAGGTCAAATCCCCATGTTCTAACAAAATTTGACCCTCCAGTTTGGAAATTTGAAGGGTCAAAGAGTCATTTCAAGGGTCAAACGGACACCCTGGTTGGTCAAAACAATGATGTTACCATGTGACAATACAAATTGTTACCCTCTGATGTCACATAATGCCATATGTATATAGTCAATAAATCATGAGATGTATAACAAAAAAAATAAAAACCAGATATCTAACCTCAATAGTGGCTCCAGCATGTAGGCGTAGCTCATTTGTTATCTGTATTACAAGTGATGGTGTGAACTCATCAACGTAATCAGAGGACATTTTACCATCCGTATATATCTGAACATTGTCAAATGCAAATGTCAACTTGTTCTGACCAGCACTAAAGCCCTGAAAACATTAAAACAGTTATACTGTTAACAAATTTTAAATTGAGAGAACAAGAAAATGTTAAAGCCATAAGTCAGTTGTATTTTAATGCAATATAACAAATAAAATCACTAAAAATTGAGCAGTTGTGAGTTTTTAATACAAAACAATCCATACTGCTAAATTTTAAAATTCCTCTCTCACATGAATAACTGTTATCCATGAAACAATTCATAAACAAGCCCACCTTAAAATTAAATTATTTTTGAGAGAATATTTTACTTATAGCATAAGATTCTAACTAAGTTAAGCATTTGCTCCAATATGTTCCATACAACTTGCTGATCAATACAATATCAACTGTTATTGAAAGATATAAAAACAAAAAAAATTTTGAATACAAAATAAATGCTTACTTTTTTCACCAAAAACCAAAGTTGACCCCTGTCCGAGACAAAGGGTTCTGTAACACCTTTTAATTTCACCTTTCAACTTTATATGTCAGTTTTATCCCGGGTCTTTGAATATAACTCTGTTTAAAAAAAATTAAACATTATTGTTATACCCATCATCAAAAAAAAACAGGAATTTTTTTCTTGAAAATAAATTTTTTTCTACTAAGATCATTATTAAAATTATAAAACCATTAAGCCAAAAAACTGTTTGAACTTTTTAAACAACCCTAAAAATTACATTTTCAGATTTTCCCTAAAAACTAACAATATAAAAATACAAATTTTTTTTTCCCTTTACCTGGGGGAAAAGGGGATTTTGCGGTTTTAAATGGGACTCGGAAAAACCCGGGAAATGGGGCTATCACTTAAAATTAACGAGATTTTTCCGGGTTTCAACTGATTTTATGGATCATTCCTGATAAATCTCCATGCAACATGTTGATAGTTATGTCTACATTAGATGTGGCAGTCTTTCTGAGTGCCAAATGACTACCCCCGTTAATATAAACGTGATCAAAGGTCATGTCCTCATTGGTGTCGCCCGTGGCAGTAATAATGTACGTCCTGCAGCTGTCCTGAGTCACATCATCAATGTATGTATCTTTAGGAATGGATTTACGGTTGTCGAGGTAGAGAGATGACACTTGGGTTCCGTTGGCATTTTCTGGGGCTTTGACATAAACAGTGCCTGAGCCACCACTCTCTGAGAAACCTTGACCTCCATAAGTCTGATATTCACCACGGAATGTATTCTCCGTGTCAACATATACTGCAACTCTGCCACCACCACCACCACCACCGGCAATCTAAAATATGTATCAAATATAAATCATGAAAAATTATCGTATTTTTTTTCAACCAATAACTTTTTCTGGCATTACAAAAACACTGCATGTATGTACTTGCAACAAAACAAAACTTCAAAAATGTTTTTATAAGTTAAGAAAAATCAGATGTATAGCCATTAACAGGTGTAAGAGTGAATAATTCTCAATTATGGTCCTTATCTCAGTACAATTAACGTTCAAATTTCAAAAGTAGTTTAATGAAGTAAATATATACATATATATTACTTACTGAACTAGAGCCTATACAAATCAGGATTTATAATATGACATATAGCTTACTTCTGCAGTGATTGAGGCACCAACACAGATATAATGATCCCAGGTGTATCCTGACTTACAGCTCAAACATCTTCTGTACGAGTCACAGTTGGCACAGTGTGGCACGCAGGCACCTGCTCCACCACTTGCAGAGATAACACCAGTTCCTAAATTTACAAAAGTCAATACTTTAGTAATTTTATTTCAGATTGGTAAAAGAACTTTCAGAATTTAATGATTTTTTGGGCTAAAATGTTAAAATAATATTAGTTATACATGGATAATGATAATATAGAGTCAACTTCCCTATGTTGGGAAAGGACACTCATAAACTTTCATAGCTTTCTACCCAATCTCAAAATGTATCCTATGAATATCCTTCATGCAAAATGTAAATATATCAAATAAATATGTTTAAACCAAATGATGGGGTAAAAATGGCAGTTTCACTTAACATATCAAATCAGGTACAATTAAAGAATGAATCTGATTTTTTTAATGCTTTCCAACTCTTAATTTATTACTTACTGAATGACGAAAGATTATAAAAGGATTTGCTTGAATAAATCATTATAATATTCTGTTTTGAATGTAACTGTGAACTTAATGTGTTGAATGGAGTATTTACCAGAGAATGTGTCAGAGTTCATCAAGATGGAACCACCTGCTCCCCCACCTACAGCCGTCTCATTGGCATCCTCTCCATCAGCTCTAACCTCACCGTCTACCTCTATATACCCACTAGCTGTCAGCTCCAGTACCCCACCGCCTCGTCCATAACTTGCTGAGGTATCGACACCACCGCCGCTACCATAAGCTTTAGGCTGGTGGACACTGCCATGAGCTAAGCCGGCATAATCGGCATTGCTGCCTTGACCACCGATACCACCGTGTGAGCCACCGGAACTACCAACAGTGTGACCGATACCTGCGCCAACACCACCACCTGGCAGGTAACCACCACTAGAAGCACTGAGCAGACCTTCAGATTCTACTGTGATGTTGACAGCTGTAAAATGTCAATCATACCAAAATTAATTATTTAACGTAACTTATTAAACCTAATTCAAATTCATTAAAATGTTGATATCTTAAATATAAGACAAAACGCAGTATTCAAAATACTATAATTATTACTGGAATTAACTTGTTACCAACCCTATTCTTTTAAACAATCATTATTCTTCGATAACAAAACCAAATAAAATTTAAGCACAGATTAAAATTAAGAAAATAATAATTCTGAAATTGTTAAACTCAATTATATCATTAGTTGATAAATTGTAATATTTTTGTCTGCTGTCGAGATGAAAATATCAATTAATATTTATAATAAATATATAGAGCTGCATTTGATTTCCCATCTTCTAAATATCAATTTATTAGTGGTCATAATAGCTCAAACATCTCTAAAACCATTTTTTTGTGTAAGTACTTATATCAGAATTTATGTAAGAAAATGGCTGTTTATAAAGCACCTGTGTCTGGTGAATGAAAATAATTGTTAACTGTTAATAAGAAGAGGCAAACCTTATAGTATAATATTAAATACTATAAATAGCATACCGTCTAACTTCATTTTGTTGACATGCATCTCACCGCCACCTCTAATCATGAGATCTCCAGCGAGGTTAACCTCCAAAACATCTCCGTCCTCAGCTGTACCATAGTATCTAAACAACCCGCCATCTAGCACGCTGATAGTGTTCAAGTTGTATACGATAGATTTATAGTGAGGGTTAGTGACAGAGGGAGGGTACACTTTGACGGCACCACCACGAGAAATGTTAAAAGTTTCAAGGCCAGTGATTGTACCACCATAGTCATATACTGTAACATCTTTAAGGTAAGTATCTGATGGTAGGTTGACTTGTCCATCCTTGATAAAGGGAGAAAATTAATGATGAATTTCAATACAGAAAAAATTAAAATACTGAGTAAAGAAAAAAACAACACTGTCAAATAATGAATATTTAAGTAACACCATTCATATGTCAGTGTACATGATTTTTAATCTTTTCAATACTAAATATCTTAAAAAGACTTGTGCATCTTTCTATCTGGACAAAACCACACTCCCGTTTTAGGAAATTTTACAAAATACATGTAAATACATGTACTGACTAAATACAGAACAGTGCAGACCATGATTAGATGGCATAAATGGCTGCTGACCTTGGTTTGCACTTGTCACATGGATATTATATGTTGCTAACAGCAATATAACATTTGATACAGCTTAAAAATATTTATTCCTTAAACAATTTTAATGCTAAAAGATAGTTCACAAGTCTCTTCCAAATTCATGCACACTGAATTTGCCATGTGAGAAATAACCTTTATTTTCCCCTTGTACATAATAAAATGTTATATTTTATTTCACATCACATAAAGAAAACATACTGGGTAAACAGCAACACTGAAGGATAACATGGCAGAATCTTTGAAGTCTATGTTCAACCACATGCCTTCTTCAACATGAACAGTAGCTGTGTAATCACCCTCAACAAGCTGGTAGGATAAACATAAAAATATCACAATTATATCACATCAACTTTGCTTAAGTATCATTCTAATCTTAAGCATTTTGTATCTATGTCTACCTATCGTTTTATAATCTACATAAATATGTATCCTCTTTTATTATATAAACATTTCTAATTTAATCAAAGAAAATATTTCTGCTATCTTTATAAGCCTTGTAAATTTCATTTTAAAATGTTTTGATCTTTTTATTCAAATTCACTAACAGTATTATTTCCTGAACAAAAGTTATAACTTATAATAAATAAATCTCTTTTCCTTATGATTCTACATGAATTACCTGAAGATAAAGGTCACGCCTGCCTGTTACCGGGTTACCATCATTATCTGTTGCTAGGAGACCAACCTCAGCATAGTCACCAAGGTCAAGTGTATCAATGTCATGGTCACTGGTCTTACTTTGAGGGATAGAAATTCTTGTCCTACGATTCTGTAATAGACATACAAAAGTCAAATATTACTTACCAATATTAAGAGGATATTTTTTCGTTTGCGTGAAATATGGAATATATTTTCACGAAACATGATAAAATGCCACATATATTCACGAGCCGGTACGGCGAGTGAAAATATGTGGCATTTTTTCATGTTGAGTGAAGATATATACCATATTTCACAAAAAACGAAAAAATAACCTTTTTATTTAATTTCATTATCAAAGAAAATGGTAACGAATCCCCTTGCTTGCTACCAACTGCAATTGTACAGCGCGCAGTAATTTATGCGTAAGCACGCGCTGTTTGGCGCTACATTGTGACGTCATGTAAACAACTCTTTAAACGTCTGTACAGCGTTAATTACTAAATTAAAGATATTGGTGTTCGGATTAATTTTCTTAGTTCGACCATTTTCTATCATGCTAGATAGTTTTCAAAACAATATTCAAGAAAAAGTTGTTTTGTATTTATCAGATTTTTCAAACAAAACGGCGAAAGAAGTCCCTTAAAATAAATATTAGTTTTGACTCCGCCCACTTTCATATTTATATTTCATATTTATTTTAAAAAAATATGAAAGATATTTGACTGATATAGCACCATATTTCATGGGTAAAATTAAATAAATAGTAATATTGTATATATACTTATCAATATGCAACATTTTACACACAAAAAAATCCTAACTTTGGGAAAGCAGTTGACCAATGAAAATTGTGCTTAAACATGGCAAGGTATGATATACTTCACACTGAAATATTAGGTTTACTTTCATTCTTATTTCACACAGTATTCATTTAGGTAATATATCAAAAGCAAATCATGATTATTTTTGTTTGAAAATTATTTTTATGAGACTTAATTAGTGTGCCATACATAAAGCAGAGATAATTTGAAGAACTTACCCCTTCTCCCTTTCTATTATAGATTTTAAGTGTTTTAGTTCCATTGACTCCTGTATCCTTGGTGAACACGGTCCCGGCAGCAGCATTTTCTCCACCATTACCTACACCACCATCAGAAAAGTACTCTCCAATGAAGTTAATAAATCCATAGGCAATACCCAATCTGCCACCAGCCCCACCATTCCTTCCTGATCCACCTTTGACCTAGATAAAGAGAAAAGTTATATATCTTTATTAAGCTTACCTTTAGCTTAACACCATTTCTGTCATATATATGTTTGCCACCAGATATTGACAGTAAAATATTTGGTACAAGAAGAACAAGGAATAAATGAATTTGCTTGTTACCTCAACAGTTCCGGTTCCATCAAACTCTGGTGTTGTCACGTATATACTGCCACCAGCCCCTCCACCAGAATTGGAGGAACCATCCTGGCCATTGGCACTAAGAGTTCCGTCAACTTTGAGCAATGTGTTGGCATTGAGAATCAATATACCACCTCCACAACCACCTACAGAACAAAATATCAGCATTTAATATTTGTTGCTTCCTTTCTTTCATAATTTCAGGATGAAAGATTGTTTGAAAACCAATTTTGTTGACTTTCATAATGTAATAAAGGGAATATAAACAGGGAAAATTGTTAAAGCACAGATTTTTAAATGTTCAAACCAAGCAAAATTCACAATATAAGTTCTATTCTTGTCTTACTAATTTACCATAAAAACAAATATCTAATAATTCCACCACAAACCTTTCTGTGCGCCGGCATCACCACCAGCACTACCGAACCTGTCTGGAGAGATAAAGTTCCCATAAGCCGAAGGAGCCGTCATCGTAGAGTTCTCCGCACCGGCTTCTCCTCCGTGACTTCCTCCGGTACCATAGAAGTTACCAGATCCAGCTTGTACTGAATATCCGGCACCTGGTCCGGCTAGACAAATAAATAGAGGATAAGCATCAGTATAGTTGTGGTAACCTCAATATATAATGGTACATGTATAATGAAAATGCTGAATATGTGAAAATGAGTATGAATAGCAAAGCAAAACAAAATGCTACTTTTATCATATCTCTATACCTATCATAGGTTTTAGTGTTAATTAACATTTGAGATATTTTTACAGTTTGAGAAGTAATTTTACTTTTTTCTAAATGGTTTTAAAAAAATATATATACATATATTGAAAATGGCTTAAAACAGATTTAAATGAGAATGACCTCTATATATATAAATTAACATGGAAGAGCATAACGTTTTTTTTTAAATGAATTGGAGCAATATATATATGTAATACACTTATCATGCATAACAAAATATCACTAACTAAGGGAGGTAAATGTACATAACAAGGCAAAGTGTATTTGTACAACATACCCATGTCACAGTATCCAAGACTGTCAGCATTAAATGTTCCCATTACATCTACTAGTAATGTGTCTACACTAACATACAGATGTTTGGCTTGTAAAGTTCCTCCAGGATAGATCTGCATGATAATATATAAATATTATACACATCTTCAGGTCTTCAAATATTTTTTACAAACATTATTGAAATAGCTTGCAAATATGTACAGAAGCTTCAAAATAATTGATCACTTACTTACTGACCAACTTTAAGATCTGTGGAGGATGAGATTTTTCGATATTCAGTTGAAAATTCAATTTGTAACTAATTTCTACACAAATGATAACAAGAGGGCCATGATGGCCCTGAAGTCGCTCACCTGTATATAGGCCCCCGGAGCGGGGCCAGTTTAAATCCCAGGGCTTTTATTTGAACAAACTTGGTAGACACCCATTAGAAGATGTTTCATGCTAAACATCTAAGGTCTAGCTGGTCAAGTTTTTTCTTTACACATATAGTTAAAAACAATGACACACCTGGGGCAGGGCCAGTTTTGACCCCAGGGCTTTTATTTGAACAATCTTTGTAGACACTTACTAGAAAATGTTTCATGCTTAATATCTAAACTCTAGCTATTCGGGTTTTTTCAAAGAAGATTTTTAAGTTTTTGCTATACACATATAAGGAAAATGAATGTCCCCCGGGGCGGGGCCAATTTTGACCCAAGGGCTTTCATTTGAACAAACTTTGTAGACACTCACTAGAAGATGCTTCATGCTTAATATCTAAACTCTAGCTATTTGAGTTTTTTTAAAGAAGATTTTTTAAGTTTTTGTTATACACATATAAGGAAAATAAATGACCCCCGAGGCGGGACCAATTTTAACCCCAGGGCTTTTATAAGAACAAACTTGGTAGACACTCACTAGAAGATGTTTCATGCTTAGTATCTAAACTCTAGCTATTAGTTTTTTTTACAACGAAGACTTTTTAAGTTTTAGCTATACACATATAAGGAAAATCAATGACCCCCGGGGCGGGGCGAATTTTGACCCCAGGGCTTTTATTTAAACAAACTTGGTAGACATCCATTAGAACATGTTTCATGCTAAATATCTTAGCTCTAGCTCTTTGGGTTCTTTAAAAGAAGATTTTTTTAAGTTTTTACTATATGCATATAGGGAAAATCAATGACCCCCCGGGGCGGGGCCAATTTTGACCCCAGGGCTTTTATTTGAACAAACTTGGTAAACACCCATTAGAGGATGTTTCATGCTAAATATCTTAGCTCTAGCTCTTTGGGTTCTTTAAAAGAAGATTTTATAAGTTTTTACTATATGCATATAGGGAAAATCAATGACCCCCTGGGGCGGGGCCAATTTGGACCCCAGGGCTTTTATTTGAACAAACTTGGTAGACACTCATTAGAACATGTTTCATGCTAAATATCTTAGCTCTAGCTCTTTGGGTTCTTTAAAAGAAGAATTTTTTAAGTTTTTACTATATGCATATAGGGAAAATCAATGACCCCCTGGGGCGGGGCCAATTTTGACCCCAGTGCTTTTATTTGAACAAACTTGGTAGACACTTACTAGAAGATGTTTCATGCCAAATATCTAAGCTCTAGCTCTTAGGGTTTTTTAAAAGAAGATATTTAAAGTTTTTTCTTTCGGTTGCCATGGCAACCAGAGTTCTGCATGGAATTAAATTCTTTGAACAATTTTTAAAGGTGACCACCAAAGGAACATTCCTGTGAAGTTTGGATGAAATTGGCCTAGTGGTTTATGAGGAGATGTCATTTAAAGTAAAAGTTTACGGACGACGGACGGACGACGGACGGATGACGGACGGACGACGGACGGACGCCGGACGAAAAGCGATCACAAAAGCTCACCCTGTCACTTTGTGACAGGTGAGCTAAAAAGGGGTAAGATTCCTCGGAAACAGCGAAAAACTACAAAATTACATGAAAATTGCAGACTTGGTTTTATAGAATCTGTTCATGAGGGATAATGGAAAAGTGCAACATCTCTCATGTCAAATAATGTTTTATTATTATTGGCAAAAGAATGCGCTTGACTTGATCCACTACTCTTTCATAGCTTAGTTTTGTAACCAGCTTACACACGAAACAAGCATTTAAATGATAGCTTACCTGCATGTTTTGTCCAGTCATTCTATGCTGAAACTCGTCATTGTTCATGATGAGGGAACCTCGGTTTCTGATACTGAATGAGGTAAAGGAGATAGCATCTATACGCTGGAAGTCAAGGTCCATCATGTAGTTGATCTTCAGGGTACCTGTATTATTGACAAGATACAGTAAAACCTCATCTATACAGACTAGCTGTGAACCATTTACTGGAAGCCACATCTTTAATATGTAGATTTGGATCTACTAGCAAGTGTACAAAAGATTTCTTGCTTTTATCATAATTATTTCTATAATTATCTGATAATGTTACTTTTCTTATACTAGTTTTTCATACTTAAATACTTAATCTGTTGGTGCAGGGTGATTTTTGAATTTTGAAAGATAACATATAAGTATTTCTTCATTGTAACTCAAAGAACAATTTCTTTAAGGGTAAAATAGGTTCAAATGTGAAGTCATTCAAAGAGACCTCTCCATTCTATACTGTTGGAAGTCTAGCAATGCCAAGGATGTGTGAAGACTCGATAAAAAATATAAAGAAAATAGTATTTTTTTTGTGATGAAACACACAAAAATGTTTAAAGCATTTTTATAACTACAAAAATAATGATTTTCAAAAATTGGTTACTTTGTACTTATTTTTGGAAAATTTGTTCTGACTCAGTGACATAACTGGCATCAGCCTATATCATTGCTTGTATTGGTATTCTTGCTCTTGGGTATTTTAGAAAACAACACTACGAGAAGGCCGTTTATCGCCTTTCAAATATTGAAAAGTAGAACTAAACAAAAGAACATACCACCATCAACAATGGTCATGTTTTCCACATTGTCAACCACACCTTCTATCATGACGGTTACCCCGGCAACACGGAGTTCACCTTGTAATGTTGTAGCACTACCGTGGTAGAGAGATACATCAAGAGGTAGCTGTCCAGTACCTAAAGATTCATTACAAAGTAAATTCAAATATTTTTCTAAACAAATCTATAAAATGGTAAAAAATGGAAAACTTAATGAACGCCAAAAATGCAAAAACTGAAAATGTTTCAGGCACGATTATCATAAGGAATTAGATGTGTCTCAATCTAGAGTATCCCCACAGGCCTTTTTTATTTTTTTAATTTTTAAAGTTCCTTTGCTATGGCATTTTTCTGCTTTAATTTGGAACCTCCAATCTCTATTCAAAGCTATTCTAAAATTAACATACTAAAATAAGGGATAAAGCATTCAATTTGTAATTTGGCCTCATTTTTACTATAAAGACTGGCTTTTCTACAAAACTAAAATTATCATTGAAAAGGCTTATAACTCATGATAAAATTTTGGCTTTATTAACCAAACAATACAACATACCTATAAACAATGTTTGGTTATATCCTATATGTACATGTCCGGTACGGTCACCCTCCGTGTACATGGCATCTAGATCTATTTTCTCTGTATGTACAGGTCTTACCATACCCATTTGTGCTTTCTCATAAACCTGGAAAACAAGAAAAATCATTTTTATTAGGATTATGAAAATATTACATATTTTAGGTAATGATATTTGTTATGTAAATATTAATTATAAATGATTCTGAAAGATCCATTTACAATGGATTTTATCTTTTTACCCATATTATATGTTAGTCATTTTAACATTGTTTTAACTTTGAAATTCTGTAAATATTCATGTGCTATAAACAAAATGAACATCCATCTTTTAATCAAAATTATGAGATACATTTTTAATACATTTTAATTCTGCTTGCCCTGATCATTTCATGCATCTTCTTAAATGTTGTTCCTGTTTTCTATTTTAATTTACATCAAAGAAAATAATTAGATCTGATATAATATTTTGTATGGACCCTTGAAATTGAAATTACAATACAAGTCTGCCTACCTTCAAATAGTCTAAGGTAACATCTTTGATTGTACTGATACCCGGCTGTGCAACTGTAACTGAAGGAGGATAGGAACCAGGCCAGATCCAGGCAACACCACTTGCATTCGGGTAAGATGCATACAAATCAGTCAAGTTCCTGTATGGATCACGAGGCTCATACCCCTTGTTGTTAAGGTATAAAGTTCTGTTGTCACTGAAACTCAATGGAACAGAGCCGTTCGCCAAAAGTTCAGGTAATTTATGCAAGTACACAGTTCCAGGGCCACCTGGCTCAGCATTGCTTCCCCCAGATCCTCCATGATTAATAAAATCACCTGTAGATTAAAATATAACATAAATTCAGCATTGACGGGGAAAAAATGCTTCAATCTATACTCCCACTTATTTTCTACATGTTATGCAAAATAAAAATCATTGTGAATATTTTCAAATTTACAGTAATAAAATTACATTGGTGATTAGTACAAAGAACATAAATGTTTAATCTTAAAATAAAATACGTGTATTACTAAAAGTTTCATATATATAAGTGTATTAAGTATAGGAAATGAAAGTTTAACAATTAAATTATTACTTACCAACATAGAAGTTGTACATATAGTAGAGGGTGACTCTGCCACCTCCACCACCACCACCATGTGGAGCCCAGCCACCATCATAACCAGCTCCACCAGAGGCATCAATATCTCCATTTCCATCAATCGTGTAGGTTTCTATATGTATGGTACCGCCACTACCACCTCCAGCAGCCACTGAACGCCAGTCACCACCGAGCGCAGTCAAGAAAACCGTCCACAGTAAGGGTATGGTTAACTTTAAGATACAACCTTCCACCACCTAAACCTCCGCGGTGGGGGAACAGTGCGTGACCACCATTGTTACCAAACTTGGTCGGATATAGGAATGAGTCATGGGCACCACCAGCAACTGGTTCAGCCTGACCTTGACCTCCATTACCACCATGACCACCACCAGAACTACCTCCAACATTGCCATGTCCTGCACCAACACCTGATAGAAAAAAAGAAAGAGTATTATAGAATTAGAACATTATGGAATCAGTCTTTAAAAAATAACAGTACATACCAAAACAGTATATACCAACTAATTACAGGAATACAATGATTGGGCATATAATGCAAATACAGTACACCCCATCATTTCTGATAAATTTTGTTGTTTTCAGACTATTTTCTTAAGAAAAGACTGTTATTCAAAACGTATATTTTAAAAAAAAAGAGAAAAAAAGAGAAGAATGAAGTGACAGCCTAACCATCAATCCAACCATCACTGTTAAAGTCTTTTTTCTCAGTGTGACTTAAAATTTTAGCACCAGTTATTTGAGAAACAAAGTAACAACATAGAAGATTTTTTTCTTATATATATATAATCATTAAAACTTTTACCAGTATTTTTTTACCATCAATTAGTCTTACACATATATTGTATATATAAAGAAAAGTTACCATCATGCTGGAGTTTATATGGACATCCTTTAGTAACTGTAAGGAGACCATATGGTTCTAGGGTGATATTGTAATAGTCTAACTTCAGGTCATTGGATGTTAGCTGAAAATATTGTTATAAACTATAACCATACAACAATCACATCAAAATGAGCCACGCCATGACAAAACCAACATAATGGGTTTGCGACCAGCATGGATCCAGACCAGCCTGCGCAGTCTGATCAGGATCCATGCTGTTCGCTTAACAACTCTATTTCAAGTAGAGAAACTGATAGCAAACAGCATGGATCCTGATCAGACTGCACGGATGCGCAGGCTGGTCTGGATCCATGCTGGTCGCAAACCCATTATGTTGGTTTTGTCGTGACGCGGCTCAAATAATTTTCTTGTTATAGAATTTCCTTTAAAATGACCTGACAATCTTAAATTATCTTTAACGATTATGCAAACATTTGTTTAACATATGATGATGAGTTTTTAGTCTAAGCACATTACATTATCAACAATTACCATTCATTACTCTGTTACTAATCAATTCATATCCAATTAAGCTGTCAGCTAATGTATTTCTTATCATTTTTATAGATATAGTGTAATCTATGCTCATTCAACAACTAAATTTGTTGTTTTTTTGTCAAGATAAACAACCACAATAAAATTATTGACTGATGAAATCTAAAAATCTTAATTCTTATAATGGAACAACAAATGCAGTTTATCATCATCTTTTTCATAATAAACTCGGACATTGCAAGTCATTAACTATAATTTTTAAAAACAGGAAAATTCTGAAGAAGGAATATCTTTTCAGAGCAACAACATAAATACAAGAATCAAACTTGAAATTGATAATAGTTCCTTCAGATTGGTGTTAAAAAATCAATTCATATTCTCAGATAAATAAGAATCGATACAATTTAGAAAATATAGGTGGCTTACCCTAGCACCACTGCGCACTGTAAGTGTGGAACCAATCAGTGTGGTGAGTGCCTCCTCCTCGGTGAACACGGCTACAGAACCGAATGTTTTAATGTCAAGATTATCTATAGTATTCTCTGTAATTGTGTGGTGATCTATTGTCAAGTTACACAGTGCATTAACTGTAATATTCTCCATTGTACGGAAATGTCCTGAAAAATTCAAATTTTATATTCATTACAGCAGCTTTCAAGGAAGCAAACTTGAAAGATTTAAGATTTTCTTTACAATCAAATTAAAAGTAATTATGTATAATATGCGTAAACTTAATCAGTTGTAACTCACAGCTAAAATTATGAGACCCCCTTTGTCCCATCTTCCCATTCCTCTTTCATTATTATCCATATATAACCATATTATCAGTTATTATGTAATATCAGTATATTACAGTAGTCAGTACTTAATAAATAATTAAATAAAATGTTTCTGATCAACAATGGTGATACAATATATGATTTTGATAAGTTAACAAATTCTCAGTAAAATTTCACATGAAAAATGTACAAGTCATGTTAATTATTCTTTTTTCATGTTCATTTTCAGTTATACCAGAGATCTATGTCTCTGTTTATAAATGCCTTTGATTTTTTTTTTACTGATTTTTTATCACATGTACTAATAATAAAAAATATCATTTTACCTAGTATGAATATGAAACAAATTCTAGAGAATTAAATTAAAAAATTAAATAAACATAATAAAATCTAATATTTAAACTGTAATGCAAATATAAGTCATAAAACTTCTCTCACCTAACCCTTCAATCAGTATAATTAACACAACTAACAAGCTGCATGCCTGATTGCCCCTATACATGTATTATTTTTATGACTTTAGTAGATATAGTAACTTTTACCCTCAGGGTATATTTCTTATTTAGTCAAGGCATGCTTTGGCCCCTAGCCAAAAAATGGGCCAGCTGTTTTCCAAGATAGTCAAAAAGGGGACTTTAAGACTTCAGGAATATCAATACCTGTGATATACCAAATTAAGTCCCTGGTTTTTAATTAATTTATATATAACATCAGAGTTGAGAGTCAGTCTAATACATAATGTTTTCCAAATGAGAGAAATGATTATGCAATTAAAATTAAAGGTTGATACGTTATAGAATGATAGACCAATTTAATTGCGATTTATATCAAGTACAACTTATAACAACTGAATCACTGTGATGATTCTAATTTTTGGCTAATGATCGGGTTTTAATGCCATTGCATTGAATGATTGTTTGAAATTGTTATGCAATGCATTATTATATTTCGGATGATTTTCTATATAAATTCTAGTATATATATTATCATTATAATGGGAATTTAAAATGAAATTAATAAGACTTAAAATCTAAACCAACCTTTGATATACATGTCGATACCCCGGCAGTCCAGCTCTGGTGGGAGATTAACATAAGATTGTCTCTGAGAGAGAACACCGATGTTCTGCAATACTCGACTCTCGGTATTCTCATATGACTGAGAACTTCTCAGAGTTACTCTTCCTGTATCATCGCCCTCAACTTCATGAGCGGTCAGGTTCATGTTTACACCATCTAAATTTAGTGAAGCACCACCCAAAATATCCAGCTGAAATGGTCAATTATCAATTTGTTATACAGTATGCAGCTAAAACTTAACTCTTTACCTTTATGAAATTTGAAAGCCGTAAAAAAGACATTTTTTTTTAAATGATGCCTGTAAAAAAGAAAATACACCTTAGGCTGATTTCTAACATCATAGTAATATAAAAACATTTTGGAAATGTAAAATGGTCAATATTGACCAGTACATGATTACCTACAATGATTCTACATGTATAATCAAATAAGTAAGTAAATATAATTTGCTGCCTTAAATAATATGACTTACTGAGCACTTAATGCTGGGAGAACTAGAACTGCCACTATCATGGCGTGAATACCCCGCATACCACTTTGTCAGAATCAACAGTGGCCATTTAGAGCTCAAGGACAACCTCCCTGCCAAATCTGAGGTTACTAAGCCAGTACATTGCTTAGTTATGTATTCTACATGCTTCAAATGTGAAAATGTCAAAATCAATACATTGCGGACAGGACATTCTTTAGCAATTGAGAAGAAAAGCTTTTTTTTATTGTCAAGGTCCCTGTGACCTTGACCTTTGACCCAGTGACCTCAAAATCAATAGGGGTCACCTTATTGTCATGATCAACATCCATGCCAAATATGAAGACTGTGGGTCAAAGGAATCTTAAGTTAATGGGTGGACAAACTTTTTGAAGTCAAAGTCCCTATGACCTTGACCTTTGATCCAGTGACCTCAAAATCAAAAGGGGTCATCTACTAATCATGATCAACATCCATGCCAAATATGAAGACTGTGGGTCAAAGGAATCTAAAGTTATTGGGCGGACAAGCTTTTTGAAGTCAAGGCCCCTGTGACCTTGACCTTTGACCTAGTGACCTAAAAATCAATAGGGGTCATCTACTAATCATGACTAACCTCCATGCCAAATATGACGACTGTAGGTCGAAGGAATCTTAAGTTATTGGGCGGACAAGCTTTTTGAAGTCAAGGCCCCTGTGACCTTGACCTTTGACCTAGTGACCTCAAAATCAATAGGGGTCATCTACTAATCATGACTAACCTCCATGCCAAATATGAAGACTATGGGTTATAGGAATCTGAAGTTATTGGGCGGACAAGCTTTTTGAAGTCAAGGCCCCTGTGACCTTGACCTTTGACCTAGTGACCTCAAAATCAATAGGGGTCATCTACTAATCATGACTAACCTCCATGCCAAATATGACGAATGTAGGTCAAAGGAATCTTAAGTTATTGGGCGGACAAGCTTTTTGAAGTCAAGGCCCCTGTGACCTTGATCTTTGACTTAGTGACCTCAAAATCAATAGGGGTCATCTACTAATCATGACTAACCTCCATGCCAAATATGAAGACTAAGGGTCAAAGGAATCTTAAGTTATTGGGCGGACAAGAAAAAACCGACGGACAGCCGGACGGACGGCCGGACGGACGGACGGACAAGCTGATTCCAGTATACCCCCCTTACAACTTTGTTGTGCGGGGGTATAAAAATGAATAAGCAACCAAATTATAGCTCAGGTGGTAAAGTGTAAGACTTAATTCAAAGGCATGGCTTCAATCCCCAAAATGACTCACACCATGCAAAATAATAAATGCTGATATATGTACCTTGTCAAACTCAAAGTTTGTATCTGCTCCTTCAGGCAGTATATAGCCTGTACCATTCTCATTTGAGTAAGGGGTTTGAGTGGTGGCTGCAGGATCCTCTCTCACGTAAATCTCTATTTCACTCAAGGCAACATAACTGCCCGTAGCCTGGAGATTTATGATGACCTAGTAATAGAAAAAAAACTATTGTTATAATTGAACATAGACAGCATTTATTCTGTTATTATTTTGACAGACTGGGTGAAGGAGAGGGGTGTTGAATAGTGAATAACACCCGCTTTTACCTTGTCAAACAATATGTTTTCCCAATTCTTTAACAAAAATTTAATTCCCTTTCACAATTTTGAATATGAATGAGCAAGAAAAGAAATGTTGAAATGAGATATTAATGACAGTACCAGATGAAAGTAAACTTTTCACAAAAAATCATTATTTAGAATTAGAATACAAGTCAAATTTAACACAAAGCTGATGATTTCTAAGGTTTATTCGTAACACCTAGATTTGACCCCACAAAAGGGTCAGAGAATTTTCCTTGTAAAGCAATGCAGAGGCATTGGCACCTCTCAAATTTCAAGCTCCCTGAAATATGTTTATCATTCAGATTATTCAGATTATTTTAAAATTATTGATACATGCTTTCCTTATGTATCAATATTAGCATTTAATACATCAATGAGTACCTGATCCACATTATCTCGTATCTCTATGATACCATATTGCTCGGCAACCGTCTGTGTCTGACAATAGTCGGTGGTGACAAATCCTCCGGTCAAGTCTGTCGGGGCACCACCGGCCAGGGAGCTCTCAGCCGAGTAATATGTGACTAGATTTCCATAGTTATTATTACTAAAATAAATAATAAAAAAAATTTTCTTGTTATATTTGTCAGTAGATTACAATGACTTTGAAATGGAATGAAAAAAAAAATTTCAACAACTCATTACAAAAAAATATATGACTAAGAAAAAAGATCACATAAATTTCTAACACTTAACTAAATCTTCAATGTCAGCTGAGGCTGTATTAAAAATGTTTTAAAAGACAACTTCTAGATATCAATATGTAATACTTACTGTTTCACATTAAAACTAATTACAAATTTTGAATACAATCAGACTTTTGAGCCCTAAGAAAGAAGCAATTATGATGTCAAATATTCTAAATTATAAAGAGCATACAACAAAACCCCTTAACATACTTCAAAGCAAAAAAAGATTAAAAATTGGTATAAAATATTTATAGTGATTAAAAGTAAACATACTTGGCGCTATAAGCTGTGTTACAGTATGGGTACACTTTGATATACTCGATGTAAGTCTCGAAAGGTAGGTCAATAGTGAGTCTCGCTGTCGTGTCTGCAGCCATATAGAAATAATTCACGTTTGCTTGACTGTCACTGAACATGTGACTTAGGGCGTACACAGGCGAGTAGTAGTTGTAGTGACCTGACGAGTAATGATGGATAGCATATGGAAGCTTGTCTGTCGTAATGTTGATCCCACTGTGTGTATGGAAAGTCAGTTCTGGTGCGTTTGTTGTGGTGAAGTAATTTCCTGTCAAATTCAAGCGTTCAACTTCATGGATACGGTTGCTAGTGGTATATTTGCCATTATCAGATCGAAGATGGCGATAAGGTGGCGAGACATAATGGGATTCAATGTAAACGGTTCCAGCGCCACCATACTGGTAGGCACCATTCCCACCATGTATAAGATATTCGCCAGTAAAATGGTTCTGATCTGTGTGGTATATGGCAATTCTACCACCACCGCCTCCACCACCATTTGTTCCACCTGAAATCACAAAATATTAATATTTAACACCCACTGAAAATTATGCGTATTAAAAAAAGTGCAACTAGTTATTGGCAGAATAACTAGAGAAAAGATTATACTTTTTGTCTATTAAGATATTAAAATGACTTAATTTGAAATCATTATTGTTCTTCCATAATCTTATCAATTTTACAGCCTTTAAATTGGTGGGGAATGATAAAATTTGGGTCAAAACTGAAAAAAACAACGATTACCAAGACCAAGTAGTAGATGTCCATATTATTCAATTCATTCAAAATTTACATATGTTATATTTAAATGATAACATAAATTTAAGTAACAGAATACTGTTTAGCTGTTCAATGTCTAAATGATAACAGATTTGAGTTTAAAGCAAACAATTAGTCAGAGCCTTACAGATCTGTTCTGAAATCAATTTTCAGTTGACTAAAAATTAGTATGAAGAGTTTTATACATAATACTCTCAACACTGAATGAGAAGACATGAATAAATTACCAGCTCCTCCGGTGGTTTCAATAGATCCGGTACCATCAAGATGATTGACAGATATATAGAGGGAGCCACCAGCCCCGCCTCCACATTTACTGTCACTCCCCTTCTCACCGTTGCTATGTAAACGTCCTTCAACTCTCAATTCATCTTCCACATACAGATAAATTATTCCTTATGGAAAAAAAACAATATTTGTTATTTTGCATTTTTTTAAATTAGATGACAAAGTTTCTTACTTTTGTATTCAAATTTTAGTGATGTATTATATGTAGCAGATATTTCTTACTTTAAGACGAAATTTATGCAAAATATGTCTTTTGAAAATCTTTAATCCATTAGTACTATAATAATTCCCAAATTAGCCGAGACAAAAAATCAACATGTAAAAATACCAGAAAAGAAAAAACAAATTACACGACTGCATTGCCCTCCCAAATGTCATGCAGCAACTTGATTTGAGATATATTATCTCAAATAGGACCTTACCTCCTCCTCTTCCACCAGCCCCAGTCGGAGAGTTACCACCACCACTTCCTTTCTCTGCCGGCATATAGATGGAGTCATAGGCATATGCGGAAAATAATCCAGATTTACACCTGCCACCACGACCTCCATGACCACCACCAGATCCACCACCCTCATGACTGTTGGCATTTCTACCACCACCAGTACCCTCACCTCCAGGGTAACCAGTGAAATCAGCATGGAAGTCACCTGATCAATAAGATAATGGACAAAATTGTTAGTATTTCATCTATTTCCAAGAAATTGTTTCAACTAAACATTTTTTTAAACATCATCAATAAAAATACATGCAGATCTCTTAAAGGAACTCCACTGAGGTCCAAAAGCCTAAAACATAAAAATTGAATTTCTTACATAGATCTGCTAGGTCACTTAAAACAGAATATAAGCAACAGATAATTAAGAAATATACTCTGAATACAAACTGAAAATCATATTTTATGCTATTCTTACCACGATTTGAGCGAAAGTGGAGTCCCTTTAATGAACAATCATTAACAAGCAAGGACATGTATATTATGCTCTACAACAATCTCAATTTTATATATATACATGTATATATATAAAAAAAACCCAAATCATAGTTCTTGTGTGAAAATTAAATTACCAAGATCAAAAGGAATCTATTAAGGACATGTACACAATTTAATTTGGATTTCTGTCTTCTTTTTTAAGTCCTTGTTTTTTTTTCTTCAAAATTTCATATGACTGGCAATTTCAAAACAATCTTTGTACAAGTATTCATGAAATAATTGTCAGGTACATTTTAATTACTTTAAAACTTTAAGTTTCTTCATGCATGTTAAATACATGTATAAATAATAAGAAATCACATCAGAATCAGTGTTTGTTCTAATTTTTACCTGAGAGATCAATAGTTATATTGGTGGCTCCCAGCTTAAGATTATTTGTCCTAAGATATCCATTTCCATTAATAACAAGCCGGGTCACATTCAACTTCATTTGTTTAACTGCTGCAAGAGGCTCAAACTTTCCGCCAGCACGGATGGAGATATTTGTAGCTTTAAGCTGCCCCTCCTCGTAGCCATCGGAGTTGGCGTAAGACCAGATGTAGAGTTCACCCTCGTTTTCTATGGCAATTACGTCCATACCCTCAATGGTACCGTTTATCTCAGACCAAACCTCTCGCAGGGTCATCTTGGCAGGTACTTCTATTCTACTATACCTGTATCATTAGAAATTTGTTCATGCAATAAGTCAGGTTGATGTAAATCTATTGCATATAATAACTCATTGCTAAAAGCAACTTTTGTTATGTTTAAATAGAGATGTGCTTGGAACAATACTGCATGATTTTAGTATTCTTTATTTGAACACTTCGAATGATCTTATTTCAAAAATATGATCTTAAACTACAATCTCTGTCAATTAAAATTCTGACTCAAAGATGATTGATTTCCTCTTAAATTTTAATGATATTAAGGATACCATTCTTGACAAAGACTGGTAATATTGTAAAGGCCTATTCTGCCTCGAAAATGCTATTATTCATATTGTACAAAAAAACTTTTTATATTTGGTGTCCTGTTACACTTTCCAAAAAGTTACTCATTAGCCATATACATGAGACATCTTTTTGCTTCTTTTGTGTTTAGGCAATTAGAACACTTATAATGATTTATTATTTTGTATGGAAGTCATAATACAATTTTGTTTACATTATGTGACTATTGTCCAGATTTTTTTCTCATTAATTGTTATTTTCTTCAGATGATATGTATCTCTCATGTTCTAAATCCATTATAACATTACATTTTAAAACACATGTTTGACCCTTCCACAGAAGGAAAAATCTCTTAATGTGTCATATGAAAATAAATTATGAAACAATTATATACATATTAAATATATCTATGATTTTTTTCTACAGAAACATAAAGTGTAATAACTGATGATAACAAGAGGGCCATGATGGCCCTGAGGTCGCTCACCTGTATATAGAAGATTTTTTAAGTTTTTGCTATACACATATAAGGAAAATCAATGACCCCCGGGGCGGTGCCAATTTTGACCCCAGGGCTTTTATTTGAACAAACTTGGTAGACACCTATTAGAACATGTTTGATGCCAAATATCTTAGCCATAGCTCTTTGAGTTCTTTAAAAGAAGATTTTTTAAGTTTTTACTAATTATGCATATAGGGAAAATCAATGACCCCCCGGGGCGGGGCCAATTTTGACCCCAGGGCTTTTATTTGAACAAACTTGGTAGACACTTATTAGAACATGTTTCATGCTAAATATCTTAGCTCTAGCTCTTTGGGTTCTTTAAAAGAAGATTTTTTAAGTTTTTACTATATGCATATAGGGAAAATCAATGACCCCCCTGGGGCGGGGCCAATTTTGACCCCAGGGCTTTTATTTGAACAAACTTGGTAAACACTTATTAGAACATGTTTCATGCTAAATATCTTAGCTCTAACTCTTTTGGTTCTTTAAAAGAAGATTTTTTAAGTTTTTACTATATGCATATAGGGAAAATCAATGATCCCCTGGGGCGGGGCTAATTTTGACCCCAGGGCTTTTATTTGAACAAACTTGGTAGACACCTATTAGAACATGTTTCATGCTCAATATCTTAGCCATAGCTCTTTGAGTTCTTTAAAAGAAGATTTTTTAAGTTTTTACTATATGCATATAGGGAAAATCAATGACCCCCCGGGGCGGGGCCAATTTTGACCCCAGGGCTTTTATTTGAACAAACTTGGTAGACACCCATTAGAACATGTTTCATGCTAAATATCTTAGCTCTAGCTCTTTGGGTTCTTTAAAAGAAGATTTTTTAAGTTTTTACTATATGCATATAGGGAAAATCAATGACCCCCCGGGGCGGGGCCAATTTTGACCCCAGGGCTTTTATTTGAACAAACTTGGTAGACACTCACTAGAAGATGTTTCATGCCAAATATCTAAGCTATAGCTCTTATGGTTTTTTAAAAGAAGATATTTAAAGTTTTTTCTTTCGGTTGCCATGGCAACCAGAGTTCTGCATGGAATTAAATTCTTTGAACAATTTTTAAAGGTGACCACCAAAGGAACATTCCTGTGAAGTTTGGATGAAATTGGCTTAGTGGTTTATGAGGAGATGTCATTTAAAGTAAAAGTTTATGGACGGACGGACGACGGACGGACGAAAAGCGATCACAAAAGCTCACCCTGTCACTTTGTGACAGGTGAGCTAAAAAGACATTAAAAATGTATATTACCGGTAAGCAGCAAGATTTGCTGGGAGGTAAACATCAACTTCGCTCAGTCCAAATGTTTGATTTTTCCCAGCATGCAATACACCAGACCTGTCTCCCCACAGGAAGTCCACACGTAGATCAATATTTTCATTGTCAGTGTCGCTGAGAATGGCAACATGAGCGTTACCACGTACATCGAGCTCCTTGAACTTGTAAGTGAAACTATCATGAGAGATCCACGTCACACCACCAGAGAAACTAATGTTTGCATACTCTCCATCAAGAAGGTTTCTAAGTTCACCTTGACTGTATAGGGTAGCATGTGGATAGGCATGACCGTTATTGTCAACTGTGAGTTTCTGTACATTTAGTGTACCGTTGCTGTGTGTTGATTCAAGATACATAGTCCCTGCACCTCCTGTCTCACTGTTACTTACACCTGAGTTTAAACAGGAAGATGAAATTTAAAACAACAAAATTAAAACATAACTCAAGAACATATTGTACTAAATGTTTTTTCTTTTGACATTAGTATTAACTTTAATTTGATAAACAATGTTAAATCTAAAGTTTAAAGAGGAGACAGAGGAAAATATATAATAACTTTAAATGACAAATTTTGAAACTAACTAAATATTATTTATAAGGATTTATATCAATTATCTATTTACATACATAACTAATCAAAGAAACACTTATATAAAAATTGTAATGGATTTTTAATAATAACCTCCATAAGCTCGCATGGTGATGTTAAATTTGTTAACATTGTCACATTGGACGGAGATTCTACCACCAGCCCCGCCTCCACCTGCTTGACTGGTAACTCCTCCCCCATTTCCACCATTAGCTGTGATAGTTCCATGTCCAACAACTTCCTCACATACAATCCAGATAGACCCACCAGCTCCACCACCTGGAAATAAGAAATATCAAGAAAAGTTCTGGTAGAATATTATAAGATTAAATTGTTACTGTGTAATTTTTAATCAATACAATTTATATTCAATCTTTTCCACACCAATTTACTGTGATGTTTTTATCATACTTCAATTTTGAAGGAGTTTTAATGACGTTATACAAACTTAAGCAGCCAACACTTTACTGTTGGCAATGGCCTGCCATAATCACCATAATCAATGCTATCAATCATAATGTATTCAACTGGCACCACTTCATGTTTGCATTTTAAGCATAGTACATATTACATATGATTACCTTATACTGTAGAAAAAACCCTCTACAAAGACCATCAACAGGACTGGACCAAAGAGGTCTTAATTGCGGAATGGTCTTAATAACGGGGTGGTCTTAAGTAGGATTTTTACTGTATTTTCAACTTTAATAAAAATGCAACAAAAATATTTCTCATACCAGCTCCTTGGTCAAATCTAGAGTCAGGTGCCAGGCCGTTAGCGGCAATCAGACCATCAATGTCAACATGGCGGCTGTTTACTGTGAGATATCCACCACCAACACCACCTAGTGTTTTATGTGTCAACTGATTTCCGTAGGCTTCATCACCAAAATATAGGTCACCTGAAGTATGTTTGTAAAGAAATTAAATGTGTCTCATTCATAAATGTTTGGTGTATTCTGATAAAAATAGGTATGATAAAAGTTTAAAAAATAAAATGACTGGTAATCAAACTTTAGTAGGTCTTACATTTTACCTCAGGTAAGACCATCAGTTGTTCTAGTTTTTTCAAGAAAAATAAATCAGCATAATATTATTATAAATGGGGAAAAAATATAACAATGAAGTATTTAATGTCATGTGTATTAAACATTCTCATAAAATACGTAAAAAAGACAAAGCATTAAGGAATAGTATCATGATTAATGATAAACAAATCAAAATTATTAGTAAAAATAGACAAACATGCTGCAAATTTCCTTCTAATTTACAGATCTCTTTTTACAGATCATTCTTTTTTATATCATTTATAACTTAGCTTATTATAATAATTCAATACAATAATTTTTTTCTTTTATTTAAGATAGACTTTTAAGTCACACAGATACTTTAAAGGCTATATTGCAATTATCAAGCTTAACTGGTGGAGGAAGACCTCAGGAGCCCCTCCTTGCATAAAGTTTAGGCACAAGTGGGCACCTGAATTGAACCGATCATGCACTACAGCAGTGAAACTGTTGTATCACATACCATAATTGAGACCATATCCACCAGCAGATCCTTCCTGGCCAGGGTTGTACAGAGAGTCATACCCAGTACCTACAGGTCTGAGACTTGAACCACGACCACCGCTGCCGCCATGACCACCACCACTTCCTCCCAAGGTGGAACCTTGAATAGATAATGATTACAAAACATGTAACATAAGTCCTAAATTTAAGATATTAACTTTTCAACAACAAAAAATCATGGTGTCAAGAAATAACTTTACTACATTTTTCAATTCTGAAAATACTGAACTGAAAAATCTTTAAAAAAAATAAAATCATGTTTTCATTTCAAATAAGTATGACTAAAACAAGCTTAAGACTGAAATGGAATTATAAATAATGGTTAGATTTTACCTATTCCAGCTCCAGGGCCTTCTAGTCCAGTGTTAGGTCTGAATCCTGAGCCACTCAAATCCACTTTACCACCAGAGTAAACTGCCAGTAGGTGGTGCACGCTCATATTTAGACCAGTGTTCACCAGGAAATGACCACCTCCATAGATCTATAAGAGACATAAATGATGATATTATTCTTTAATCAATGAAGGCTTCAAATTAGCCATTGTCATAAATATAAACAATTATACCGGTACTCTGTTTTATACAGGAACCCTGTATTATAGTCATACTTAAATGTTCTGCATTAAACTTAAATAGTGAACTCAATAACTTAAATTGTGTGTGAAGGAAACAAATTTGTGGTAAAAACTCCATTTTTTGTTGAATTAGGTCAAAGATGTTTAACTTCAAGTTTGACTGTACATTAGAAAATATCTGGAATATGACTGTCACAGTCAATAACATGGATGCACAGAGTTAGAGTATAAACACAGTTATTTACTTATCTAATCTTTGTGTTAATATACTTATGATAATCTACATAATATGCTTAGTTGTACCCTTGTAACATTTAATTCTATATAAAATTCTGGTTAGATCTATTACCATGGTATTCAAAAAGTATAGTCAAGCTTACCATGACGCCTCATTCCGTGAACTTTTCTCAAATGAAAATCAACAAACTAACTCTTTCTCTAGGTCTGATCAAATGAGACTTGCATCTCAAAATTGCTGCAATTCATCATAAAAGAGACTTTTTTTTTTTGAAATAACAAGCCAGGATCAAGAAAACTTACTGAAATATTTGTAGCATCAATACTGAATGTTTTGAGGGGAGAATCTGACCACAGTTGGAATGTACCAGCCTCTTGCACATGAAGCGACTTCAGTGACACAGTGGCTGCTGTATGTGTAGTTGCTAGGCTACCATTGGAGTCAATAGAAACCAGACCTTCTTTGAACACATAGAGATCTTCTATACCAGACACCTGAAAATATTTCAAAACATTTGTTCAGTTATTCTAAAGATAATTGTTACAGGGCGAGAAAAGTGTGCAGTCTGACCAGGACTTGAACCCAGGACCCATGGAATACTGCTTACACATTTTTTCCTCTAATTAATGAACAGCTCTGAACCGTGACATACAAGTATCTAATACACTGAGCATATTCTGGAAGGTTAGCATATCTTTCCTGGCTGATGTCTTACTAATTTTAAGTTCATGCAAAGGACACAATTCATAAGAAGTTTGGATTCCATGACATCTTGTAAAGTGTCCTTCAAATGCAGATGTAAATAAATATAGAAAACTTTGACACAGACTATATTTTTAGTAACACACCTTTCCAGCAGAGTAGAGTTTTGTCTTGTAGAAGAAATTTCTAGGTGGGTATGTGATATGACCTTTCTCATAAACATGAGTGTTGAACGGAACATCATAATCAGTGTTGTTCACAGTCAAATCCTGGTTATAACCAATATGTAAATACCCTGAAAAACAAAAATATATTATTTTATCCATAGCCTAACACTTCACAGGAAATTAAAATTGTATCCATTATACCCGACGTCTCATTTTCAATAAAATAACCCATTCTTTATTATATATATGTGGAATTTTAATCAAACTTTTTAGAAATTATTGATAAAATTTTACATTAAAGTAAAATAACTGTTTAAAGAAATTCATTTTAAACATGTTAAACAATATGGTAACAGAAAGTTACTCATTTCCATTCCTGTAAAATAACTTTTAAAAGTGATTTATCTATTTAGTACTAGAAGTTATAATCTGAGAAGACATTGTTACATTTGAATTTGATAACTGTATGGAATGTCAAGGGACGTAACAGGTCTCACATTTTAAACAATTCTTTAATAATTGAATCAGGTTATTAAAATATCTGAGAGATAGAAGTTTAACTTACCAGTTTTGTCACCGACAACATTGTTAGCAAAGATTGAGGCGGAGTCCTGGTAGCCACTATTTGGCATGAAGCCAAGATGGGCGTTGCCCAGAATAAAGATGTCACTGAATGTAAACTGCTCATTATTGTCGGCAAAAATCCAGGTTGAAGCTCCACTAAGTTCTATATGCTTGTATCTAGATATATATTTTAAAATTTATATTGGTATTCAAAGAAATATACATTTATCCAAGTACATGTACTAAATTATTTAGTTGTCATACAGTAAATACCAATACAAAATTTATTATCATTCACTTACTTTCATATCAGCAAGCATATTGATATTTGTCATATAAATAATTTATATCTAGATTTAGAAATCCCAAATAAGTCAGTTATAAATAAGTTAATTCTTGCGATGAAATATCTAAATTATCAATCATTTTGCAGGCCTGTTTTAGACAAGTCACAAAAATACCCTAAACTACATTGTATTTGTAACTTTTGAGAAACAACAGAATTTGAACAATAATAATTTCATTTATACGAGGGATGATCAAAAATAAACCGGACTGTGACTGGCAATTGAAGAATTTTCATCCTATCACTTATTGTTATATATCACACTTAATCGGAAAACAATACCTGTAAACTGATACTATATCTAATCTGATAACGCAAATAGCTTGTCCGTAACAGCTATTTCAAAAACCATGGTAACGCACACCCGGCGCAGTGCGTAAATTCGCCTTGACATTAGGCGCTTTATGCTACGTGTATTTTACAATATGGCACATTTAGATTTCAAAATACGCCAAAATGTCATGTAGCATATCTTTGACGTTGTCAGTAAAAATGACTTCATTTAAACCAAATTCATATTTACCATCACAATTCAAACGTCACATGTTAATGAAATACTCACGTTAAAACTATGTCGTCTGAATGTCTCGAAAATCGATCATTAGGAAAAATTTGTCAAATGTAAGACGAGAAACTGTTTAAAACGTAGAAAAAGATGATGGCTATCAAGGGAAAAGTTCCAGAAAGCCACAGCATATTTTTTCATTAGCTTAAAAGATTAAGAATGGATAATAGAGAAATAGAAACAAGTAAGGGAGAGACAGAAAAAAGACATTTGCAAGGACGTTGGTGACGTCAATCGCCAAGACGTTGAAAAATGACAGTCGATTGACTGCGAACATTGTCAACGATGTTTGACAGTAACTACGGGACGGTGCAGTCAACTCTGAGGATCTTAAAATGATAATAGTTAATGCATTAATTACATGTATTGTATTCTTGGTTTACAATTGTATCAATTATTTTCTTATTTTACGCAGTAGTTTTATGGAGAAATTGTGTCAACAATTTAACAGCCACTGTTCAAATTGGTTATGCGTTTTATTTATTTTAAAATAATGATAATTTTGATCATAGTTGTATTATTCTGTTTTTGTTTTCGTATGTATGTTACATTATCATTCAGCAACATTATTTTACATTATTTGTAATACATAATATAGTTAATTGCATTTACGACTTTTTCAACAATCAAGTTACAGAAGGAAATAACGGAAGTTTGCATCATTACAGGAGCTCTTTATCACCATTCAACCTATTACAATACAATATGATACCCACTTGTACAGAAATAAATATAGGCAGTGGATCCGCCGTATCAATATCATGACTGTACCACATATTGGCCTACTCCGTGAATGAGTAAAAATCTGCTCCGTTAAGGACAATACGCTTGTGACGTCGTTAACGTCAATTTTAAAGTTATACCGTGCGCCGCCTTGCTTTACATGTGCATGCCAATAACATCATAACTTTTTTCTTTGTTAATATTTCTTGTTGGTATTTTTTTATCATTTAGGGGATAGATTCCGATTTATTTTCCGTGTATTGTTATGTAAATTCATTTAACAGGTTAAGAATCATTTACAAAGTCCGGTTAATTTTTGATCATCCCTCGTAATAATACTGGTAAAGATAAATCTGTGAAGAGAATAATATATGAAAGTTTTAGATTACCTCAGATGGTCATTTGCCTCCTCAGCAAAGATTTCAATCTCGCTGAGAGCCGGGTACGAGTACTGGGCACCTGTACCACTCAACAGGAACTCAATCTTCACAGCATCCTTACGTACAGGGAGATCTATGTATGCCCCCTGGATACCACTGGAGCTTGGCAGGACATAATTACTGGTCACTTCTATGGGATCATTGGATGACGTGTATGCTGTCACCTGTTTGGAAACAACAGATACAGTCATGCCATGAAGTAAAGCATAATCATAGAGAAATATATTATCATTTTTCTAGTAAAGTTCCACTTACATAAGAAAAATATAACTGTGTTGCGTTAGCTATTTTATCACAAACTACCATGCAGGGACATAATTAATCCATTTAATAAAAATGATAATACATAAGTGTCTTAACATTGCAATGTGACGTCATTTGCATTGTACAAAAATAGTGTAAAAGTGCATTAACATTGGTATTATAGGTGTATCAATGAAAAATGATCATTTGTTTCACTTTAACCATTCTTTTTTGGGTATGCCATAAACAGAAATAGCCATGATTATGTTTTTTACAGTCAAGTCCTATTATAATGTGTTATAATACATTACCATGTAAATGGTGCTTCTCTTCATATTTATGGTTACAAACTCCAGATGTTTATAAATTGTGAACTATCTTACCAAAGTCTCTACAGTAAATAGTTTTGTTTTAATCATTGTAAAACTTAAGTCATAAGTCATTTATAATATACAACTGTATAGGACAATGAAATTATTTACCTTGAATTTAGTGTAGTGGGCAATGGTTGGGTACACTTTGATTTTGTTAATATGCATCTGTTGAGTCAAGGTTATAGTAAGAGTTGCAGTTCCTGATTCCACCATGAAATAATCGGTAGCAGACGTTCGTAAAGTTTGATCAAACAAATGATGTAACCTGTAGTAGGAGGCGGAGTTACCATATGGACATGTACACAAACCATGACTGCAGTCACAGTTATATATGTTCCTATCCACAGAAACCTGAAATAAAAAGTGTATATTTATAATACAGAGAAAAAGAATATTATGCAAGTTATCACCAAAATGGATCGAATAAATCACAGATACAATGACACTTCGAAGTTATACAGACTGTCTTTATATCATAACAAAACGAAACTAACACATTTAACACTTTTTATCATATTGAGAAAAGATTATGTGATCATCAAATGACATGGATAAATGAAACATGCTTCAATTTGGAAATTTTGCACATCAAAGAGTTCTAAAATGAAGCAGAAAACACATAATATACTGTATGAGTCTTAATCAAAAGTGCTGTTAGCCTTCTTACTTTGAAAATCAGGCAAAGAATTATAGGACGATGTTATTAAATGTCCTAAAATATTTTGAAGCACATCTGCTATACTATCAAGGACATGGGAACTTTGCAATGATACTGTTATTGTCACTGGCTTAAAATCACTTGCTCATTTGAATCAATCAAGGGATGTTGTATAATTTCATGTAATGAAGCCATCTAAGCTCAATAAAAGTTTGTAGCCATTACTCAGCTGCCTGTTTATGCCCTAAATAGGGTAAAGTGAAGCTAAGGTTTCCTTACCAGAAAAGCTAAAAACTTGTCATTTTCATTGTTCATGTGTCTTAAAAATCCAGCCATAAAACATCAACAAAAAGATAAAACAGCATAATTTACAAGATGACAGAAACAGCATCTCAACTCTGAAACTCTACAAAGCATGTATCACATTCAGTGGAAAATATCCCCAAGAAACTTCAAACCATGTCATTACTTACAGTATGGCCATCTTTGGTCTGGTATGATGTTGCCTTGCTGTAGGTAGATGTATCGGATGACAGGTCAATACGATAACCCTCATTACCGACAGATGTATCCTCGGCAACATGTGTCTGTCCATTATTGTCTACTTGAATCATGCTATATAAATAAGATGAAAGAAATATAAGAGCTTTTAAACAGCATCTAGAAATGTAAACTAGCTATCAACTTATTGGTATGTTCAGTATTTTTGAACTGGTATTTTATTTTGTCTTTTTTGTTCATGTTTTTCAAGGAGTTGGGAAGTGTGCATGGTCCCTATCAAACATTTTTATTGCTGTTTAGTTTTGAAAAAAAGGTAAAATTAAGTTATCACAGATTAAAAAGATTAAATCTGTTATGTTAATGATTAAATTAACACTGTTGGTGCAAAATATAAACAGAAAAGAGCAGACAACATAGTCGTTGATAAATATAGTTCACAATATTGCAACAGTAGAATTGGAAAGAGTATTCTGATATGTAAAATGTTTGTTTATAAATATCACAGAAAATGAATTGCTAAATGAATTTAAAAACATTTCAAGGGATGATCAGTGTGATTTACTTATATGATCTCTCGTCATCCTGAACATAGACTGTACCAGAGGCGCCAGCTTCAGCACCGGTTCCTGGTTTACCTCCATGCACATCATAATAGCCTCTGTGGTATGGTATAGTTTCATGCCGAGAATGATAGAGAGCAATCCTACCACCGGCACCCCCACCACCTTTGGTAGTGTCTCCTGACCCACCAAGAGCCTGAATGTGTCCTGTATGACTGCCTGTTGATATAAACAAAAATTTAAATTTTAAAAGATGTTTAAAAAAAACATCAAATAATCACATTTACTGTTCAAATGTAAAATTTTCTCTTACTAAATAACAGGTTAAGTTATGCTTCAGTTAAACTATAACAAATCTATTTTTAATTTCCAAAAGTAAAGGTAATAAATTCTAAACAAATACATTTAAATCTATATTTCTTGCATATCAGACAGGATTTTCTAATGCTTACACTGGTGCTAGTAAACCTGTTTTAACTCACTACCCCCCCCCTTTGTTAGACAAGCTGCATGGCATCATTCCTGTATGCCTTTTATGAATGAATTTATATATGTAATATGCATGAAATGAACCAAACACCAGCTGTTGTTACCATCTGAGGAATATCTAGCTCTTAGTTAAGTGTTAAGCAGAGATATGCCAGAGCCTAGGTACCACCATAAACAGTTACCCTCAAGCTAGATATTCCAGTCTGTACAGCTGCCAGTGTAAGATTTCATATCATATTTAATAACAAGCAACATACCAGTAAAGTTAAATGTCTGGATAAGGATGCTGCCACCACTACCACCACTGGCACCATTTGTGCTTGCACTGATTGTGTTTTCACTATTTGCCTTTATATATCCATCAACAGCTAGTGTATGTGCAATTTCCATATGAATTATACCTCCACCTGAAATGTAATCATGTTCATATATGAATTTTTGCATCAGTTTATCACTTGAAGAATACTTCGTTCATATGCTATCCATGTTCTTATGAGTAACATTCATGGCCATTTATATGGATTTTCATCAGGGAGGAGGTATCATTCATCAGGGAGGGGGTATCATTCAGCAGGGAGGGGGTATCATTCAGGGAGGAGGTATCATTTATCAGGGAGGGGGTATCATTCATCAGGGAGGGGGTATCATTCATCGGGGAGGGGGTATCATTCATCAGGGACGGGGTATCATTCATCAGGGAGGGGGTATCATTCATCAGGGGTATCATTCATCAGGGAGGGGGTATCAACACGGCTGTTGATGACAAGTGACCGCTACTCTGAATTTAGACTGCACTGTATTTTCTGTGATTACAAACATGCATTAATTAAAGAAACACCTGCAGCTACTATTTTTAAAACTGTCACATTGAATTGCATTGCATCTGCCAATTTTGTGAAAAATCAATTAATTCCTTTTAAGAAAAATATTCATATTTAAATTCAAGCTATTTCTTTGCAGTCAATTGTAATTATTATTGTTATAATAGCAAAAACCGACATATAAGTCATGTCGTATTTTGGGGGATTACCGCGATACTGTAATAACCTCCCGTGAAATCAGCCACATTCGTGGAAAAATGAATGTGTAATTGGCATTAACTGTCTCAAGTGCTTTCTACTTCTAGACTTCACGCATCAGCCAGGGGTTATACTTTCTTATTGTATTTTCATTAATAAACACTGATAAAGTTATACTGCATTTGAGACATGTACACATGAGCACATCTACATCAAGCATATATGGCAAGTGGCGCGTTTTGAACAAAGGGACGTAACTTTTACAGATTTTTAAAACGTTGCAAACATTCATCCCGAGCTCGATTTAAAACAGGTTGTTAGTCATTTTGTACCAGATTTTGGGAAATGACATTATGTCGTAATGAACCCACACTCGTCTTAATTATTGAATATACTTCGATAAAATCACATTTTACTCTTATTTTTCGTACAGATTTATATTCGAGATAATCGTACTTGAAATCATATTTTCAGTTCTTATTTTCGTACATGTATATACTATTTCATACAGGTATGATTTGGCTACAGATCTTATTTTGTACGGATACTATTTTCATACAGCTTTTATTTTCTTACAGTAGATCATCATCTAGATCTTAATTTCGTACATATTCTTATATATATTTTATTTTCGTGGTCGTTGTTTCTGGTTATTTTCGCACTATATGTATTTCTTGTTTTTGTTTTTAGACTTTTTCGCCACAAACATTTCTTGTCATATATAAGAACATATAATTCTTATACTTCCTTATTTGCAAAATCATTTTAAAAAATTAATACCATTTTAATATAAATAATGAACTGTGTAATTTTGACAAGGATAAGTGTATTGACTATATCGAAACTTGAATTCTTATTCACTGTTTCATTTTTTGGTCAATGTTTTCACAATATCCGCGTCTATTTCAATTTACAATGCATTTATTCCACTCAGATCATGCAAACCTGACAACTGACAAAGGGGAGCGGTGGCCTAGTGGTTATGTTACATGTCTGTCTCTCAACCCAGGGATCAAGGGCTCGAGCCCTGCTCGGTTCACCACCATGTTTCTTCATATGACACCAACTGGTACTACTGCATGGTTGGTTCCAGGAAGCGAACTCGAAAGTGTTTAATATAAGTTGCAAGAACTTCGCAAAATCGAGCTTAAATAAATATGTTTTATTAAACCAAACCTGACAACTACACCTATGGTGTGAGAAATCAGAATTATAAGCATTAAAATCTAAAATGCAGCCGTGACGACAGTAAATATCGCGATCATAAATAAATGAGGTGGAATTATGTCGCCAAAATATGATGAAATATGCTTTATTAATTAGGTAAATACTACATTTGTATATCGTGTAAAACAATTTCACCGACGCAAGATAGCAAATTGCAGCGGTCATAGATCTTGCCGGTATACAAAATTACAAATACTAACCTGTGCCACCATTCGACAGGGCTCCACCGGAGCCGTGTTGGTTAGGAAGATAAAGATCGCCATATGGCATATTGCGTGCGAGTCTGCAAGTGGTGTATCCACCACAGCCACCTCGTCCACCAAGTCCACCATGAGACGCTCCACTTGATCCAAGCATGCTCCATTTACCAGCACCTGTTAAAATTATACAAATTACAACATAAATGGCATTTACGATATATAATGTACATGTAATAGCGTTGATCCTTTTCAGATTGTAGGGGAAAGTAAATGACATGAAAATTTTATCATGTACGTTCTGTCTTTTCGTTCTTTTCTTTAAATTAGAAATTAATATTTTATTGAAAAATATCAAAAAGATCTTATATGTTCCACAACGAAATCCATAATTTTTTTGGCATCATTTTCATTTCTTAATCTTAAAAACTAAATCATATTATTGTATTACTAAATACATTTATACAATGAATAAAGCATGGACAAGACATACCCGATCCTTGGTCCGGTAACTGTCCACCATTACTGACATCGATTATTCCACCATCATCAATGGTGAAATCAGTGGCCATTATATGAAGATGCCCGCCTTTCAGAAGACCACCACCTTCCACAATTATCCAACCAAATGTCAGCTCATAGGAGTCAGAATCAGCGTTTGGATTAGAACAATTTATGTAAGAGTCTGCCTTAACAACAGTAAGACCTTCAATGACGTAATTCAATGGACTTCTGTTATTAGTTGAACCCGTTTTGAAAAGTCTAAGATTGCCTCCTTGAACAAGCGTTAGATTATGTATATGATCAACGGTACCTTCGACATGAACGAACACACTTTCTAAGAATGTATCAGGCGCAAGACCTAGGTAACCGCCATCATAAACGTAGGAGCTGAAGGGTGTATCTAAAAAGGTACGTTTAAGATCCATTATTTGATAGGGCCCCACATGTATAAATCCTGTTCGATCACCGATCATGTGTAGAAAATGAAGATTACAACCGCCTGTATAAGGCTCTGGAAGAAGAGCCAAATGAGCGTTTCCAAATATTTGTAATTCATTAAATCTATAATCGCTGTTGCCACCAGCTAACCAGTGATCACCAGAAACTGGTAATATCCAAGCTTTGAATCTGTCCTGAGAAATATCTGTGTAATCTCGAATGAGATTAACGTCGTCCGTAGTTGTGCGCATGTTGTTATTGATATACAAAGTACTGTGATTCTTTTCAACATTGTAAATGAATACTAGACCGGGACCACCAGATTCGGCACTTCCGGTAGAGTAGCCACCGTGGCACTGGTACTCTCCCCAGTAAGTGACATTCTCCCGGAAATAAATGGCAATGCGTCCGCCTGACCCACCACCACCAATGCCATTAACATAACGTCCCCCGCCATTAGCAGTTATGTTGCCCATGCCTCTAAATTTATATGTGTCTATTAATATCGAGCCGCCGGACCCTCCCCCACCTATGTTTGCTTTAGCATTTCCTCCATTTGTTCTAATCTCGCCATCAACCATCAGACGATTTGACACTTTGATGTAAAGCTTTCCACCACCTTGACCTCCGATGTTAGCCCCTCCGCCACCTGCACTACCAATTTCAAGAGGTTGGAACAGATGCCCATATGGCTGTCCTGTAAGAGAAGTTCCAGCACCTTTGCCACTCGTACCACCGTGACCGGCACCTGAAGAACCGCTTAAACTAGTAGTTCCAAGACCTAAATTAACAACAGATGTCTGAGGATCCTCGGGACGGTAACCGAGTGAATCCGTATGAATCGTTGCACCATAATCCAGCGTTATGTCGGTAGCGATTATCTTCATATTAGTGCCATAGAAATTGGCACCACCTTCCATAGAGATATCATTCGCAACAGTAAAGATCGACTGTGGATCTGATACAGGATCAGTTAGTATACTTATAGTTGCATTATCTTGGATTCTTACCCACAGAAAATCAAAACTATCCGCTGGATTTCCAGTTGTATGTCCACCTGTTTGTAAGGCGAGATGGCCTTGGTGATGCAACGTCATGTTTTCTACATGGTCCATTTCTCCATGTAGCCAAACAGTCACGCCATGTATTATTGTGACAGGGGCAAGACCTAGGAAACCTCCTGCATATACTCTAACGTTAAACGGGAGATCAATCTCAATTCTTTCAAGATCCATTACTTGTTGGTTGTCAATATGCATCGTACCGGTTCTGTCACCAATCATATAAAGGAAGAAAATGTCAACTAATGTACCAACAGGGTCCGGCAATACAGCCATATGAGCAGCTCCGTAAATCTGGAGCTCGTTGAAAGAGAATGAAAATTTGCCGTTTGCAAAAGTATTATATCCGGATTCTGGTAAGATCCATGTCCGACAGGAATCATATGTTAGGTCATTGTAATCATCAATTACGTTGTAGTGATCACGAGGATGTTGACCATCATTATCAAGAATTATTGTGGTATGATTTTCTTGCATGTGATATAAAAATACAGTTCCGGCACCACCTGCCTCAGAATTTGCACCGCCCTTAGCACCGCCATATGCTAGGTATCGAAACTCAGACATTGTTTCATTTACCTGGAAATACACAGCAATTCTTCCCCCAGCACCACCACTGCCTGTATCGGACGTGTAGTTAGATCCTGCTCCACCATGAGCAGTGATATTACCATAACCTTGGATGTAGTTACAGTGCATCCAAATGGAGCCGCCAGATCCACCACCGGAAGCATTAAATGGTGCATCGGCACCATTTGCGCTTACAACACCGTCGATGAAAATCGCATCAGTGACATTAAACCATAAGCGACCACCTCCGGAGCCACCAGCTAGATTATATAAACCTTCTCCACCGGACGAGCCCATTTTCTGGGGTTCATATATATCACCGTATGCAAAACCTGCTCTTGAAGTTGCGCTAATTTCTTTTCCACCAGAACCACCATGGCCAGCACCTGCTCCAATTCCATGTGTTGCGTCTGGCGCACCAGGGTTTACAACTCCATGTACGGAGCTAGATCCGTGTGTGGTCTGATCATGTTCGAACCTGTAACCCAGACCATCAGCAGACAAATGTCCGCCGGCGTCTACGGTGACATTTTCAGCATTGATTGTGAGAAAAGTTCCGTGCATTGTACCACCTCCTTCAATAAGCATTCCTTTAACAAAGAAGGTAATGCCCTCTTCAGCAATAGGATCGGTAGTTGCATTAAGCGTAGAATCATCTTGTACTCTGACGTAATCATATTTGTAACTGCTTTCTATTTCCTCTACAGTATGGCCACCGTGTTTTAACCACAGATAACCACCTAGTCGAAGAGTGATATTATGAACATTGGCCATGATACCAGCAAGATGGATTTCTACGGCGTGCACATATGTCATAGGTGCAAGTCCAAGGTATGAACCTGTGTATGTGTAACAATTGAATGGAAGATCGATCTCTTCTCTTGTCATATTTGTGAGAAGATCCATGACTTGTTTATCTCCAACGTGTACAGCTCCGGTACGGTCACCAATCATATACTTGAAGAATATGATTATATTGTAATCATTAACGTTAACACCACTTCCTAAATTGAATGGAGGGACTGTGCTAGCTGTGTTGGCGACGTTGTTTTGGGTTGGAGGTTTTACTGCTAAATGTGCGTTTCCGTATATTTGCAATTCCTCAAATTCATAAGCATATCCACCGGTTGTACCCTGAGCGAAGGCATGCGTACCAGACTGTGGCAAAATCCATGCCCGTCCTCCGTCTCTTGTGAGATCGGACCAGTTGACATAAAGATCTTTAGGGGAAGGTGCGTTGTCATTGTCAATGACCAATGTTCTGTGATCTTCAACCGTATGATATAGGAAAACTGTTCCCGGTCCGCCGGATTCGCAATCATCACATTCTCTGCCTGGCCAACCACCATTCGAAAGGTAACGGAATTCACTGAAAGTTGTATTTTGCTTGAAATACATTGCAATTCTGCCGCCTGCGCCACCTCCACCGGAAGTTCCCATTGCCTCGTTATTGTAGTCGTAAACTCGTGCACGTGGCGCAGTTGTGGTTGGTGCATGTGTAGTAGTAGTACCACTAGCAGTGGTAGTTGATGGTTTTGCCCACGAGGCAAGTTGCCTTGTCCTGCAACCGTACCCACTTGGACAACATACTTGGTTCCTTACACAAGTTGTACTGCTACATGACTCCGTGTAGTAACAACATGTACGTTTGTACTGCCATCCATAATAACTGTGCCAAACTGGCCCGTTGTCATAGCAGCATTCTTCACCAAACTGCTTTGTGTTGTCTGGATGACAACATATATCCCGATATTGCCAGCTATTGCTTTGCTCATTATAAAACTGATCAACGGAATTGTAACAACATTCTGAGAAATCGTTGTTGCAGCAAACCTCTTTGGTTGCGCATGTGTTTCCCGAGTAATCACACATTGATTCATCATTACAGAGTAAGGAACACTTTCTCTTGGTTACACAAATTCCGGAACTACAGTCCTGTGCATCATAGCACCTGAACTCACTTAACGGGAGCTGGCTGATTGTTGAAGTAGAGCAACCTGAACCAACACTAGTGCAAATGGTTTTCAGACAAGTTTTCTCGTCCGCGCAAACTCCATTTACACATTTTGTGACAGTCTCACATCGCATTGTTTCCAAACCATCTTCTGATATAAGTTCTTCTACTCTTATATCACCACTGGATCCCTTTCCTCCAGCTGTCTGTACTAAACCGAAACCAGTCACTGTGTCTGTGTGTATCCAGATACTGCCACCGCTGCCACCACCACCAAGGCGTCCTGAGACAGTTCTACCATCTTCTCCATTAGCTGTTATCTTGCCATCTACTTGTATGGTGTTCGTGATATTAAGCCATATTCGACCACCTCCTCTACCACCGCCATCTCCGCCACCGGCTGATCCAAATAATGTTGGTTCATAAAGGTCTCCGTACGGAGCCCCACCGACGGTTTCTCCTAAAATATAGAATAATTGATTGTAGATAGACAGTGCGGTAACACATTAACCTTTAGCAAATTTTACTCCAGAATTAAAGTAAAAAGTCATTAACAGTGAGTTAAAGTATAGTTATAACAAAGATATCAACATTTATTCTTTATCTGTAACAGTAAATGTGTGTAAAGTTTAAGAGAAAATATCTTACCTTCACCACGCCCGCCGCTACCACCGTGTCCTGCACCTGAAGCTGAAAAGATACCATTGTTGCCAGACTGTGACAACGATGTTGTGCCTGTATGTCCACGACCTGGGTTTATACTTCCATACAGCCCAGATGTTCCATATGCTGTGTCGTTAAGTCTGTATCCAAGATAATCTGCATTTAAACTTCCACCAGCATCTATTGTAACGTTGGTTGATTTGAAATACAGATGTGTTCCTCTGATTAAGCCTCCACCATCAATATGTGTCGAAATCGTTTCTAAATGGATACCATGTTCCGTTGCAGGATCGGTTATCATATGGAAATAACCGCCAGTTTTCACATGTACATACTGAAATTCGTAATATCCGTCTTGCAGATTTTCAGTTTTTCCTTTTTGGTAAAGCCACAGATTTCCGTCATGATGGAGAGTGAGATTCTCAATGTACGCAAGAGTTCCGTTTAAGAATATCTCAATATCTTGGACATATGTGTCTGGAGCAAGACCCAAGAAGCCCTCCGGATAAACATGTACATTAAAGGGGAGATCAATCTTTTGCCTTTTAAGATCCATTACTTGGTTTTCTCCAACATGAATTGCGCCTGTTCGGTCACCAATCATATTCTCGAAGTAGATTGTAGCAGCTGATCCTACGGGGTCTGTTAATACTGCAAGATGGGCGTTACCATAAATCTGTAGCTCGTCGAAGTAGTACTCATTCGTGCCTTCCAAAAAAGAAATAAAAAAAATGCATGTTGTCTTGCCTAATTATTTGAGAAGCAAACTGTATATCGTGAGGAAAACTGCATTAAAGTTTGAAATAATAAAGTAACAAGAAAACCACTTTTATAAAAATATTCTTTAATAATTTTATTTTTGTGTAGTTACGCTACTTTCGATTGAAACCACGGGCAGAACTGAAGATGGTCGCTGCATGGCAACACAATTTTCAAATCTTTACCAATCTTAATCACGTTTTTATATTTATATATTTTTGTTTGAAGTTTTACATTTTGAAGATTACAAATATACTGTATGTATATAAATTACATTAAATTCCATAGCATTATACATGTACAAAATTACAAACAGCTAATTAGTGTTACCAAAGGCTAAATGAGATACATACTTGTTGGGAATCTGGAGTTTGTGCCATGTTCAGGTAAGAACCAAGTATGTGTAACGTCTTGGGAAAGGTCAGAGTAATCTGCAATCACTCCATTTTGTCCTGGTTTTCCACGCCCAATATTGTTTATCAACAAAGTAGAATGCTTATGAACTGTAAATTGAAAACATTAAGTAAAGATTAAATTTACATTCCATTTATTAACTAAGCTATCATTTTTGTTCTCAATATGGTAATTCTTTAATTAAAGAAATCAATACATTGAGCTACATGACAGTTCAATTGACCATGAAAGTAGAAAATGTGTAACATACAAGGTGTATGATACAAGGGATATGTCGAATGTATGTATAACCATGAGCCGTGGTCGTCTTCAGCACAGATATTAAAAATACAATATGCTTACCATTATGATAAAAGAAGGCCGTGCCAGAGGCGCCGTCACATTCGTTTGTTGGCGTGTCACCACCGTACACATCCCAGGAGCCAGAAAAGGTAAAATTCCTGTCGAAATACATGGCAATACGACCACCGGAACCGCCACAACCCTGGTAGCTTCCAGACGTTGAACCATCTCCGCCTATAACTTGGAACTCGCCATAGCCCTGTTCATGTATGACGGATTTATATATAAAAATAAATGATATCCAATACAAGCTCAACAGAATCGTTTAATTTAGATCAACATTTTTATATCTACATGTTTTGATATAAAATAAAATATCATGCTGTTCTATAATTTAATGTTATATAAAATGCCCACTAACATCTTTATAAATGATCAATACAATTCTATTGTCCGATTTACCTTAATGTTTGCAATGTCCATGAGAATTGAACCTCCACTTCCACCACCTGCTGCACCAGTTCCAGAAGCCCCGTTACAACTGATTTGTCCGTCGTTTTGTAATTCTTCGGTAACCCGGATATATATTTTCCCGCCACCATTACCACCAGTTCCAGAAACAGCAGTGGAAGATCCACCAGCACACCCTCGGTCTACCGGCTCATAGATCTGTCCATATGCCGCTCCAGTGTTTCTGTTGTAAGACGTACCACCACCACGGCCACCGTGACCAGCACCTATATTATATTTCATAGAAAAACCGATATAAGTCGATATTAATGAAAAATATACGAAAATTTTAAAAAAGGATTTTATTAATTTCAATAAAAACCATTTAAGAAATAGGGTATGATTTCAAAAGTAATTGTGCCAGGGAAATTAAAAGCCTAGCTTGCAAAAATCCTACCTGTTCCTACAGTGCCGGAAGTGCCACTGAAACCGGCTGTACAGGATATTGTGTGCAAGTCTCCGATGATTTCACCAAGATCATGCACCACGAGAATTCTAGCTTGGATGTCAATATGAGTAGAATGTATTATGCCGCCTCCTTGGACACGTAAAACATCGGCCTAAAGAGAGACATATAGTAAGTATACAGGATGTTTGTTTATTATAAAAGTAAGTCAATTCTGAACAGACTTCAGATTAAAATATTGTATTCGCTTGATCTCGGTTATATTTGTTTGGATTTTTTAATAGCCCACACATTCGAAGTATTTTGTATCTTTTTAATTATAAAAATTCTATATTTATTTTTATATTTTTTCTCAATATGATGACATGATCGGCAAGACAGTCATTTAATTCAATTTTCAGATCAGTAATCATACATTTTACGTCAATAACCTTTAATAACATCTACAAGAAAAGTTGCACTTTATTTTCTAATGAACATTTTTTTACTTTTATCTTTATTGATTTTATCTGGTCACATTTTAGCAACTCTGGTCAATATCTCATACCTTTATATTTATAGCATCACTGACACCTGTGAGGTCATGGGTAGACGTTATTTCTCCACCTGCCGCGACAGTAAGCTCAACAAAATCAAACTTTCCGGAAGTTGAAGTGAGACCGGTACGTTTAGTTGTTCCTTGGCTGCCAAGATACAAGGAACATCCGTCTCCAACAGTCATGTCGTTCACACCAATTGTACCCCTAAAATATGGAAGAAATGAAAACTATCAAGAGTGAAAATCCGAGAGCCAAGTTAAAGTAACGAGACATCAAACCATTTATCTGATGAAGTTATACGCAAACATATAAATTAAAAGCAAGTAAACGTAGAAATACATACTAGTAAACAAAATAAATATAAGCAATCAATATGACATCTGAGCAGCAGTAAAAAGAAGAATATAGCAAGTTTATTCATTACAAAAATAACGATAAACAGTACAAGAAGCAACATGGCATCTGGGCAGCAGTAAAACTTAGTTTATATGAAGTTTATTCATTACAAAATAAATGCAAAACATTGTGTCAGCAATATTAAGGAATTTCGACTAGAATATTTTTTAATGTAATGTTAATTTATTTTGATCGTTCTTATATAACTGTTAAGTTGAATGTGTGATTCAAAGTATATATTTACTTACCAAACGTGCATTTTGATGTCATGGCAAATAAAATCAGATGGAAGCAATAGAGTGCCGCCCTCATATACATAAACATTGACTAGAAACTCTAGGTCCTCCGGATGCTCGACTACAACCAGCTGATCCGGTCCTACATGTATACTTCCGGTCTTATCTCCTTCAAACATTAAGGAACGAAGCTCGAACGTGTTCCTGAAATTTATAAGAAGTTTTTATAAAGTTTTATATAATCTGGAATAGTCCAAGATATAAAGGATGGCCTGTTGAACTGAAGAGGGTTTTTATTAATGTTTTAAATACTATTTTCAGTCTATTTCCTAGAATACTTTAATTATAAACATTCTCAGAAAACTGCTCACTTGATGAATTACATGCTTGCACTAACGATTAAGCACTGATGAATTACCACCTAAAAATTCGATCATTTATCAATGTTTTGTGAACAAATCATTTCTCGTATCGTTGTAAAAAGAAATGCTTACGCGTCAAGATCGGGGTGTACAGCAATGTGTGCATTGCGGACTACTTTAATAGTGTTCATCTGGGTAAGAGCGGTGTCCCCAATCCATGTACGTCCACCTTCCTTATCATAACCGGCATATGTATGGTCAGTTATCTCCAGATTAGGCAATGCTTGTCCGAAATTATCGATGATCAGTGTTTCATTAGAAGCACCGGCTTTCATATCCTGTGTCCAAAATATAATTTGATTTTGTATTACATGGCACACGTTATATTGTGATCAAGATATCGTGTATTTAAACTAAACTGCAGTAGTTAAATATTTTTTAACCCTATTAGATTATTTACGAAAAATACAATCTGTACATTGTTTGGGACTTTTTGTTTTAGAAAAATAATTGCTAAACGTATATGTAACGTGAAGCGCGACAAAATACATGAATTTACATATCTTTTTTTTATAAAATTGCTTTTGCTATTCCATGTATATATGCAGAATGTAAAATTCTAACCTTTAGGTAAACAGTTCCGGCACCGGCAAGTCCACCGTTGGCAGTGTACCCTCCTCGAGCATCGAGGTCGCCGAACCAAAACTCGTTGGTTGAATAATATATGGCAAGACGTCCGCCACCACCGGAACCAGAATATGAGCCACCATTCCCTCCAGTGACCTGGACACTACCCGAACCTTCAAGGTCACGGGTCGAAATCTTGATATACCCTCCACTGCCTCCGCCAATATTACTGCTGTAGCCATTCTTTCCATTAGCTTCGATTGTTCCCTCGACCCGGAGAATGTGGTAGATATCAAGTTCCAAAATACCACCACCTTTATAGAATAGATAATTAAATTAATTTATAGTTCAGTGTTAATACAAACAAATATCACCTCTTGAATTAGCATGTGTATCGTTTCTTGTAGGTTGTAAGATCATAATTAGTTTTGACCTAATAAATTTTTAGCTCTTACATCAATCGAACATGCCAAAAGTTAGTGCTGATGAAAATTTTACGACCAAACTCATTTCAAGCAAATGGTTATAAACATGAAAAGTCTGTAGTGTCGGCGGAAAAACATATAAACAAATAAGACATAAACATGATAAAAGTCAAACACAAAGCCCTCTTTAAAACACTTGCTGGAAATTGATACGATCCGTATTAATTGTCATAACTGTTAAGGGTAACTATGCCACTCACCTGTTCCGTAGCTGGTTGAGCCTCCAAATCCACCACTGCCAAACATTTTGTCTGTGTTAAAGATGGTTCCGTACGTGTCCCCAATGATTCCACCTAGAAATAATCAATTAAAGATATTAATACAGGAATATTCATAAACACATTCTTCTGCAGTTACTTTAAATCATATTTTTAATAATTCTTGACTCTACAAGACTTGAACTTGATATACATCTTTCCGTACTAAAAAAATGACGGTAACAAAATGAACCACGTTAAAATTTGCTGATTTTAAAATAATTATTAGAAAGATTTGTTCAAGTTGAATATTATCCATCATCTTTTAACTACTGACTCTTAAATTTCTCAGTAAATATAGTTTTTTAATCTAATCATTTTATGTTAAATGTTGAATACCGCTAGGGGGCGTGGACGGTTACTTGAACTTTCCGTTCATGAACAGGCCCATCAAACCGAGCATGCAACATTTTCAGTTTTGTTGTTTTGGGATTCTATTTTTCTCTATTTTTCTAATGATATATATTTATTACAGATATTTACCTTGGTTCCCGCCAGATCCGCGCCCACCAAAACTACCACCAGAATTACTTGCTCCCTGTCCAGTACCATCAGTTAAGCCTTTGTCACTGACAGAAATGGTACCTAGTTTGTCCACTTTAAGTATATCTGTGTCAATTTTCAGATTCCTGGCCGTGATAATGCCTCCAGCTTCAACTGTGATCATACCAGCGTTTGGCGTGCGACGAATCTAAAATAGTGAAGAGACTATGACAACTGGCACGAGACTATTCAATGTAAGGCTATATCCTAAAATAGACCCCGAAGTCTAAACAAAGAGTATATACAATGTATAAAGTTCTTTTCTTTTTCTTTTTGTTACTCTTGAAATATGTATACGGGTCTATTCCATGAGATTGCTCAATGGAATTAAAAATAATTGCGGTATACATTTCCATGTTCGTATTGATTCTGTAAGTAGAAGTCAGAACAGTTTAAGTAATTACACTTTTCTTGCATATGATTGATTTACGCATATGGCATAACTAATGAAACAGGAATTGTTTAATAACTTCAATGAGAGAGATAATTTTTTATTCAAAGAACACGTATCCTACCTCAAGATTCCATACGTCATTCACATCGCCGTATGCGGTCTCGAATTGAAGCGTTCCACCATCTTGGACGGTTAAATTGGCAAATTTGTTGGTACGGATACCTGCTCTTCCAAGAGTTACAGTCGATCCTGCAAAATATATAGTTTACATGAATTTTCAACATTTTAATGTCTGTCGGTAGTTATTAACTAAATACACTGCTTACAGTTCTATTTCTTAGTAAAAAGAAAAAACAAAAACAATTAAATAAAACACAATAGAAACATAAACAAACTTTAAGGTGAAAATCATTACCTGTGGATACAAGCATATGCGTTTTTGTTCCATCTACTTCTCCCCAGAAATGACCGGAAGTTGATCGTAGGTAGGTCGACGAACAGGAAGTGGCTGATGTAGACATTCCGATTCCCTGCTGGTTCAGTGGTTCACGAAACTCTAGAGTGGACTCTGGCATGATCCATTCAGCTCCTTCGTACAGGTAAACCTCGTATGTAACATTTGTCCTTTTGTATGGCGAAACCTAAACAGCCGAACAGTAAAAATATTTTTTAACGCATAGTGTAATGTTTTAACGCAAAGGAGAATATACACAATATTTCTACATAATCATAGTACATATATGTATATAACATTTGTACCTGAAAGCAAACAACCAACATTAATAAACTACGAAATAGCACATTAATAGTGTCTATTTTAACAAAAACTTGGAAAATATTATGTCATTCGTTAAAATCTCTAACAGGTTGGGCTTATGGTTTATTTTTTGCATGAATTACGATGTATGATTGAAATGTTCGTACTTCAACCACAATTACAAAAAATATAGTATATGTTCCAATGAATGATACGGATATATCTCTTGTGAATCTATGATAAAATGACCCTTGCAGTATTTATAACTTGCAATATATAACCGACGTTACCAAATAGTCACAATGAGTAGCTGTATACACAGGTTATACTGTATATCTTTAATGTTTTACCTCTGTTAGTTCGAAACTTTGTCCTGGTCCAATATGAAGATGCCCCGTATCGTCACCATACATGAACTCCACCTGAAGCTTGGTATTATTCCCGCCCAATGCGAGATGAGCGCCGCCATACAGTTCCAAGTGTGTAAATAGGAACGTATAGTCGCTAGAGTTAGGCAATAAATACGCAATTGCACCTAATGTGAAATAAAATGCAATGTATTAAAATTGTGCACTAAGCATTTTTGCATTGGTTAAAGAAAAATATGTATGAAAAGCAATAAAGCTTTATGAATATTTTAACTACACTTTTAGAAAGATAGTCTCGAACTTGATTATGGAACAAGAAATTTGATAGTTTTATATAATCAGCAATTACTAACCTGTTTCAATGTAAGTGTCATACTCAGAAGCTCCTGCAGTACTTCCGGTGGGCTCGGTTACCTATGACATAAACAAAAGATTACTTATAAGCTGACAGTAAGTCTATATCAATTTAACACCTTTTTAAATAAGAAAGAGAATGTTAACTGCATTTTGTTCTTAATCTGTCGGACATAGTTATATTCTACCATGCATTGTTTGGATCTGAATCCGGGACATTTGCCCCTAGTATATTTGCCCCTCCCCCGCAGTCTCGTAATGTATCCTTGGACTTTTGCCTCAAGTTGAAATGAAAAGGTAGACAACCCTAACCTACGAAAGTCCGGTAGGGACATTTCATCTTCATGAATTCTCGATTTTATCTTCATGAATTCACAATTTTAACTTCCTGAATTCCCGTTTTCAACATACGGAATTCACGAATTCACGATTTCAGCTTCATGAATTCCCGATTTCAACTTCATGAATTCACGACTTCAACTTCATGAATTCACGATTTCAACTTTACGAATTCTCGATTTCAACTTCATGAATTCACGATTTCAACTTCACGAATTCAACTTCTTGAATTCACGATTTCAACTTCACGAATTCACCTTCATAAATTCACGATTTCAACTTCACGAATTCACGATTTCAACTTCACGAATTCACGATTTCCATTTCATGAAGTTGAAATCGTGAATTCATGAAGTTGAAGTCGTGAATTCGTGAAGTTGAAATCGTGAATTTGTGAAGCTGAAATAGTGAATTCGTGAAGTTGAAATCGTGAATTCATGAAAATGAATTCGTGAAGTTGAAATCGTGAATTCATGAAGTTGAAATCGTGAATTCATGAAGTTGAAATCGTGAATTCGTGACGTTGAAATAATGAATTCGTGAAGTTGAAATCGGGAATTCATGAAGATGAAATCGGGAATTCATGAAGTTGAAATGTCCCTACTGGGCTTTCGTACTAACCCCTAGTCTTCATAACCTTACTATGTTAACTATGGTGGCTGATTTTTACACGATGCGCGCTGCGTTGTCGATAGCGACAACACAACCTATATCGTTATCGCCTTTTAGTTTTGTTGTCTTTTCGCTAGCGAAACGCGCCAAACACAGAGTTGTCGCACTGTCGTCTTGATGCTAGCGAAGCACACAAAACGGCGCGTTGTCGTGCGGCACGTTGTCGCGATGTCACCCTGTCGTTTGGCTTATATATACAAAAAGTCAATCCTTCGATTCGACAAAAGAGACAATGTGACATCGCGACAACACGCCGCACGACAACGCACCATTTGGCTTTGTCGTGCTGTCGCTATCGACAACACGACGCAAAAGAATGTTCCAAATCAGTTACCATAGTTTACATTAATGCATTAATCGATTGCTGAATTTTCCACATAACATATTTGCATATTTTGACACAGGCATACATAAAGAAATATGCGTTCCCTTTTTTAAATATAATAATCCAATTGAGACCAAAATTTGAGTAGATATATCTACGCATGAGGGATTGAGGTGTAAGGGCAAATGACACAATAAATTAAATTCATTTTTTAAATTAGGCGGCAAATGATTGTATATCGTTGGATCACCAATACGACAACGAGAACTACCATGCGACAATGTAATCGACCATATGGAAATATACACATTTTTTATCCATGCCATATGTAAGAATAGATCTTTACAGAACATATATAGCTTTCACAAAGCTACTAATACTTGAATGGTCATGACCTGAGTAGGGCTCGAACCTATAATCCTGGTTTGAGTGGCAGACGCCTCAACCTCTAGGCCACCGCTCCATCCACATGTTCTTCTACAGACCCGTTTACAGCAATAAGTTTACATGTATGCATTACAAATTTGTATTATTAATCATGAGCTTTCTAGACAAAACGATTTCTTGCAGGTTTATTAAAAGATTTTAAATTGTAAGGGCAAATGACACAATAAATTAAATTCATTTTTAAAATTAGTCGGCAAATGATTTTATATCGTTGGATCACCAATACGACAACGAGAACTACCATGCGACAATGTAATCGACCATATGGAAATATACGCATTTTTTTTTATCTATGCCATATATGAAAGAATAGATCTTTACAGAACATAATTTATATAGCTTTCACAAAGCTACTAATACTTGAATATACTAATATATACCATTGGTTTTTGGCATCCATTGTCTATTCTCAGATTACTTATTGTCAGACCCTGAAAATATGAGACTCCTGGTCCTCCTGATTCACCGGAGCTTGAACTTCCACCTGAAACATCAAAAGTACTTTTGATGATAAAAAACGTTTATTTTTCAATTTAAGTAATCTTAATTACTAAGAGAGATAAATTACAATGTATCAAAATGTTTGATACTGTTACATTTACTATCAAAACATTTGAAAAACTCAAAGCACGCTTAATTTTTTCGCTATTAAAAATTGAATTCTTGAACCTCATCAGGTCAGATATGTACAGATTGAAAAATTTAGAAATGTACCCTTTGCTTGTACAAAGCCAGTGTGGAAGTCGCCATGTTGGAAGAATGCGTGCACTCGACCACCACTTCCGCCGCCACCTTTTCCAGAAGTTGAGCCGCCATTACAATAAAGTTTGCCAGTGAGCGTGAAACTTGCTTCACTGTGCATATAAATGTTACCACCGCTACCAGCACCAGCTGTACTAGACTACAATATAAATATTAGATATATGTTTCAAAATACAAGATTATCCAATAAAAGTCGATCGGAAGAAAAAAAAATCTACACTTTCATCCGGCCAAACAAACGCCGACTATTTGAAAAAAGAATGAATTCTAAAATAATGGTATTCTTAATGCTTAGAAACATGATATTTAACGTTGGAAGTTTTTAAATAAAGATTTTCTAGCGGTAATTCTATTTATTTAAAAGACATTGCCTTACCGACGGGTTCTTCCCATTTGCCGATACACTTCCGCCAATATCTATTCCCATGGTAGCATACATATGCACAAAGCCTCCGCCACGCCCACCAGTGTTCCCATTAATTGTATGACTACCTCCACCGGAACCCCAGGTACTTTCAACAAATATGGTACCATATGGAAGTAGAGCTTGCATGTGACCGTAACCACGCCCGCCGCGACCGCCATGACTGGCACCACTTCCTCCGTTTGATGATACCTGACCCATTCCTGTTAAGACGAGAGAGAAAAAGTCATCATAGAAAATATAATTCTTCAATTTGATAATTAAGATACCATTTTTCATGCCAGATTTGAAATTTTCTATCATTATTTTTCATTCTGCAAGTTGCCAATCTTACAAAAATACTGCGTTGGGATATACAAAATAACTTTAGATAATTTTTCCGGTTAATGAACGATGAATAATAATTTTGTATGTTTATATTACCTGGGCCATTGTCATACAGATATCCACCGCCGCTGACATCTATAGTACCGGAGATATAGATATTTTCGCAGAACTGTACACCGTTTCCAAGATGGCCTATATGAAGAGAGCCTGCTTTCAGCGTACCGGAAATATCAACAGTCTTGAAAAGCAGTTCCGATGCATCGGAACCTTTTGTCAGATCATCTGGGGTGTGCTGGTATGCAATATCCATAGTTCCTCCCGAATTAACGTTGAATCCATGACCTTTGAACTTAGTAGTGCGTGAAAAGTCGACATTTCCTCCGCTTTGTACTGTAAAATAGACAAATTGTGCATCTGACGATGGATAGGAGTACAGAGTTCCAGCAATTATCGCCTCTTCCACTTCCCAAAGAGTATTTCCGGACTGCCAGTAAGACCCACCTTCCATTTGTATTTGTTTTGCTGTCACTGCAGATTCATCTGTCCAGCCTGAGCTTATGAGGGAATCGAATTTGACATATCCCTTTGCGTCAACGTGAACAATAAGATCAGTGTCGACTGACGTCATGTTGATTGATTTGTAAGACTCAAAGCGGCCGTTTGTATATAAATAGTCAATAATAAAAGGACCAGCTGGTTCGAAATAAAAGGTCCCGTTCTTGTAAATATCTAGCTTGTCCCAACCTTCGTCGCCGGCGACAAAGTTTTGCAAAGAACCTGCGTAAAATTTACCGTACATTTGGAAATCGTGCACGCCAACAATCGATGTTCCTGCCCAGTTCTTTGTATTCTGTGAAAGAGAGTCAAGTGTAATTGTTCCGCCGTATTCTATATGAATTTTATGAACTTTGTCAAGGCCAAAGCCCTGTAAAGTTAACGGATACTTAGATGTCATAGTTCCATTTGTATATAGTTCATGTACATGGAATGGAGCACAAGGACCAAAACTCCATGAACCGTATCTCCCTACCGAGATAGCGTCCATTCCAATATCAATATCAATATCGTCTGCCTCAAATGTTTTGTCTACGGTTAAAGATTTTATCTTAAGCGTACTACAATTAACACTTGGCTGGGCTATACCATTTAATTGCGCCGGAAGTGTATCTTTATTTAGCTGTAAAACACCACCGGGGTGGTGAATCGCAAAAGCCTCAATGCGGTTGTCGGCTGCTATACCAGATTCCAGGGTGGCAATGTTGTTGACGTACATTCTGCCAGCGATAGAAGCCGTATTTACAAGAATCGGACCGTCGGCTGTGAACGTAAATGTGCCACTGGAGCCTACAGTAAAATCCGTCGTACCAGTACCGAAGGACACCGTTCCCGGTGTGAACGGACTGTTGATAGTAACAGTTGTACATTCTATTGTAATTATGTCAGTTGTTGTTGGCCAAGTGAGAGAACCTGTTTCCATAAGGAACTGATTACAAGGCTGTACAATTGAGATATGTTTTCCTAATGTGACAGCACCACGAATATCTATTTCAGACCCAATATACATGTCAGACGAATAGGGCTCAAACTCAACTGTCCCTGCCGTTCCAACAGTGAAAGTAGAAATAATATTTTGAATCTTCAAAATGCCAGCTGTGAACGTTCCCTCAACAGCAAGACTTTCGATTGCAAATTTGAATTGGTCGTTTTTGATAATGAATTCTGCGTTTGCTTGAATTTCAATTCCAAAAGCTTCCATAGAGTCCAATGTGGATGAATTAATTGTAAGTGATGCAGGCTCGGCAAGTATTAGAGTTTGGTTTTGTGAAATAAGACTAATGTCACCCTGAACGTAAATGGAACCAACTAGTTGCACATCCGGTTCCAATGCAAAATTCATGTTACATCCGGCATAGATATGCGCATGTGCATTCATTTCTTCTGTGATGATTAATGTAGTGCTGTTTGCAATATGAATCATAGACATTCCATCGCCTAGAACGTTGGTAACATTATTGTCACCCGACATGACAAGATGCGATCCATCGTTTATTAGAATCTGATCAAGATCATCGGATGTGTCTAATACATATGCTGCGGCACCTGAAATAGTAATACATCAATTTCTAAACAATTTCTATCATTTCCCGTCACATGTTCTTTATTATTTTCCAACTAGTTATTTTAAAAGATATATCAAAATAAAAAGAATCGCGGTAAGCCGTAAAGAATTACTCATGCTGTATCATTAAACGTACATTATTAGAATATGTTTTGAATAACTTTGAATTCGAACGGATTTTACAATATATAAACTTGCCTTGTGTAAGAACATCCATTGCCTCGCACGTGGAATCCTTGGTGATATATGTTGTTTTACCGTAATTGTCAATAATAAGAGTGGATGGATTATTGACATTCCATCTGTAAATAGTTCCAGGACCACCCGAACCACCTGAGAATACAATAACAGTCACCTTCTGTAAAAGTCATTTCATAATGATTTACAATGAAATCTTTTTATTTATACTATTTATACAGTCAGTCTCTTTCGTGATGAAGTCATACCGGACACTGTTGACTTTCCAGAAGCTACTGCATGTTTGATCGCATTACTTTCACTATTTCAGACACGAGCTGTGTAAAACCAATGGACATTTGCAAACTAGCTGTCTTTCATGAAAAATAACTTACATGTTTACAGATAATATCAAGAACAGTTGGAAAATCATTTTATAAAAAATTATGCACGAGTTCTGTAAGTATATTTCACTGAATTTCCATATAATGGTTTTGTTGGTTTAAACATATTTATCTAAGGTCGATTGGAAAACAAGTTTTTGCAACTTATATTAATCACTTTCGAGTCCGCTTCCTGGAAGCAACCAGTACAGGTGTCATAAGAAGAAACATGGTCATGACCCGATTATGGCTCAAACCTATGATCCTGGGTTGAGTGGCAGACGCCTTAATCACTAGGCCACCGCTCCATCCACATGTTCTTCTACAGACCCGTTTACATGTATGCATTACAAATTTGTATCATTGATAATGAGCTTACTAGACAAAATGATTTCTTGCAGATTTATTTAAAGCTTTTTATGCCATTACTGTAATGTACATTCATCTTATAGACAAATTTTCGGCGGAACTTACCTTTCGAAGCCGGGGTACATATTCCCGTGGGTGTTAAGGATGACGTTCCTGGAAAAAGAGAGATGAATATTTAAGCATTAAGCTGTAATATATGATTTCATTTTTGTTTTCGCTCCAAATTGACTTATATATTCTATATTTTATACAAATTAAATAAATCGCCTGGAATCACCGGTAGACATTAAAGACATAAGTAACAATGCATCTGGCAAAGTCATTCCCGGAAAACCAATGTTGCTAAAACAAGTCATGAATCACATTTTTTGTATCAGCCAGATATGATAGCCAATGGTTTGAGGGAAGGTCAAATGTCAAGCCACTTTTTATTGAATTTCTTTGTGTGCTGTGATAAAAGAATAGAAGAATTCCAAATTGAAGATTAAAAAAAAACAAGATTTACCTTGCGCATAACCGTATAGACGGAATGAAAGTTCGATTCCGTTTTGGTAGGAGACTGGGTAAAGTCGGATACGACTTGCGTAGAGTGGTTTAGGCATTGCGACCTTGACATTACTGCCTCCATTTGTATTACCATTAAATACATAGACTTGATCTCCTAAGCTGACCTGAAGTTATAAAATCAATTCACAAGTTTGATATAAAAGTGAATATCACCAATGAACATGCTTTAAAGTTAAAGCTACAACTTGCCATTAAATGAACCTGGCTAAAGTGAGGATCAGATATTTTGATATATTGACGATTGAATACTGCATGAGCCGGTGCTAGGGAACCAGAGAGATTTTGCACCCTGAAGTGAACAGACTCAATAACATCAAGTCTACAATTTCAAATTTTTTACTTGTGTTGTCATCTCTCTTAAAGAATCTCTGATAATGATTGTCTGATTATTTATAATGCAAAAATATATTGATATTATGAAAGTGCTTGAAGATCTTGTTGCAGTAAAAGTTTTAAAACAAACAAAAAGTTCAATACGAAATTCAAAAACGTCATTTTGTTTAGTAAATTTATAAGTACGGTTTTAATCAAATAGAGGATATTGAATGAATGTAAGTTCAATACTGAATTTATTGCACGAGTTCAATAAAATTATATTATGCGAGCCTCTGGCGAGCATAATATTATTTTATTCAACGAGTGCAATAAATTCAGTAATGAACTTACACGAATTTAATATTCTATTTATTACATACCCAAAAAGAAAGACCGTTTAAAGTGAAATAAGAGTCATTTTACATTGACGCGCCCTTAGTATAACGCTGACATTTAGCGCGTCTTTACACTATGTTTGTATAACGCTAATGACGTCACGTCAAAATATATGCACGGCCGTGCAATACCATATTTACGGGGTCGCAAAATCGGCACGGGTGTGTGATAAATATCAATATTGTATAATAGTTCTTTATACAGTTAAATGTTGTTTTTTGTTTTTGTTTAAGGTATTTTATTGGTCAATTTTCACGAACAGTTTTTTATGTCTGGTCACAAACTAAGTCAATGTCCATTGCTTAGCCATTAGTTTTTGAAAAGAGGCCGTATATAGCTGTACATAACCGTACAGTAGTGCTTCGACCCGATAAAAATATATATTTTCTTATTTTTTAAATACATTAGGAAGGTCAAGACCTATTTCACTGTGAAAGTCTTTTGTTGTGTTAATGCGAATTAATCTTTTAACCCGATAAGATATTAACACACTTGTTGTATTACACAAATGGAATTTAAGAAAATATTCGGTTAAATTAATAATAAAATCTGATGAAATAATGTTTGATGAGATTCTTATCATTCTTGTCTGTTTTCTTTATTATTTTTGTCTTAATCGTATTAGATAATCTGAGGTGATGTACGACTTTTTCAAATTTTTGAGAAAATAGTTTATGCCTTTGTTGCAATGCCCTGATTTTATTTGAACTTTACAAAAAAGTATTCGGTGACATTGAACTAACCTCAGAAATTGTGAAAATAAACCGACTGGTCTTAATTACTTTGAGTACACTGCAAGTAAAGAAATTCATGAAAAAAAAAAAAGAAAGTTGTTCAAATGAAGAACTAAATTATATAAATGTTAATATTTACATTTGAAATTTTTCTTTTTTTATTTATATTTTTTTCTTAGCTAATAAATATTGCTAATTTACAGGAAATTGGAAAAAACAAAAATTTTATTTGTAACTTAAAATGAATATTTATCAAAAAAGTAAATTAGAAAAAAGAAAAGATTGCAAAATGCATTGTCATTCAAGTTTATCGCCTAATACTTAGATTATTTATTTTCACCCACAAAAAAGTCTTGGTATTGTGCCAATCATTTTATTTGTTAATCTTCCAAAATATAGTGCTTATAAGTTTTAAGTGTCCTAGAATACATACGCAAATAATCTAGTTTAAGGACCTATTATGCACTAGAAATGCTTGTACATGTTTCCAAAAACTTACCAATGGCCAACTACATGAACCATCTTTTGTTGTGGTCTCTTTTTTTGGCAGGGGGGGGGGTGTTTTTTTGGCGTGGGGGGGGACAATCAGTTCTACTTTAGTAATGGAAGCCGAGAAATAATACTTTGTTTACATATTGCTACTTTTATGATTAACAATTTTACATTCAGCGCTTCTTTACTTTCTTCAATCATGCTCTGAAATCGTTAAAAGTTATAAACTCACCCATGCCATTTTTAAAGAATGAAAAAATATTAATTTCTGCGACATAATGTGCCTTTAAGCAATATTAGAACATTTATTCTTACATTATGAGCTTAATTATATTATATCAGTAATTTTCTGTGATTAATGTGTATATTCTTTTTTCAAATAACTGAGTTATCGAAATATTATATATCAGTGTACACCGTGGAGCGAAGTGGCGGCATGAAAATAACGCCCATTTTACCATATTTAAGATATTTTACATAGAATTATAAAAATAGAAAAAATAATGAAACACTTATTTTTAAAGTAAAACTGTAATTGTCGCCTTGTACAGAATATTCTTTTTCAGCCGAGACTCATATGAATAAAAGCAAGTATATCTCAGTGCAGCGCGACTTACATCTAATCAACTATCATTGGGGCGTTATTATTCTATTGTACTCTTTTCTCTCTTGTCATTCAACACTAAATAAGCGCCTATATTACAATCACCCCCCCCCCCCCCCCAAAAAAAAAAAAAAAAAAAAAATAAAAAAATAAATAAATAAACAAATAAATAAATATTAATACAGTAAATAATTTATAATAATATAAGTGAAATAATAATAATAATAATAATAATAAAATAAATATATAAAATTCTTAACTATGGGATACAGATACATAGGTCTTACCCAGGCAGCAGCTGTAGTATTATAGTATCGGACAGTGTATGTCTTAACATAATAGTTGGAGCTCGGGCCTCCTCGTGTCTCTATGGCAGTTATGTAATGATCAGCGCTAAGTCTCATTTCCAGGTAGGAACTAGAGTAAGTGCTTGGACGCCATGACTTTGTGCCCGAGTAACCGAGTTTACCGTAGCTTGCTGGATAAGAAGAATGTTGTGAACTGGAGGCCATACTAGCAGACGACAGGAGTGTCTCGGTAGATCCTTTAATATAAAAAAGTTTATTTTTCATTTTTGACCCTATAACAGTACTAAAGACATGTAAAAACAGATATTTATGTTCCAATTTCATATCCAAATCAAGCAGACGAAAAGTTGCTGCTGTCCTTTTAAGAAATTGCTCTAAGAAATTTGAAAAAGGCAAAAACAAAAGAAACAAAAGGAGACAAACAAAAATACAGTATTCGTGTTTTTGCTTCATTTTGTCTGATTTTATTGAGCAATCACCAGATGAGACCGGGGATACAAATATTCTAATACATCATTAAAATTTCGAACGCCATATATATATATATATATATATATAATAAAGAATAAGAAAATCTTCACGCGTCTTCATAATGATAATTCACGTATCAAGAAATAAAGAAGAATAAAAATTGTTTTGTCGTTACCTCCAAGACCACCGTCGGCGAATATTTGCCCAATAAATTCATCTGTGTCGTGCTCTAGTGTCACTCTTCCGCCTCCACCACCACCTCCGTCACCACCACCATTACCACCACGAGCAGTTATCACACCTGAACCGCGAATTACACTGGCGCTTATGGAAACACTTCCGCCACTACCGCCTCCACCGGAACTTGTCCCATCTACACCGTTTGCTGACAAGATACCGTTCACATCGATAGTATCTGCCATTAAACGAAAACAGCCACCACCATTTCCGCCGTTTGTACTTCCGCCAGGACTGCCGGGAGCGAATGGCTTCACAAATGTGCCGTAGGTTTGGGCATCGCTTGGAGTTAGGAAATTATTGGCTGGACTGCCACCACGGCCTCCATAGCCACCTAGTTAGAAAGAGACACAAGACATGTAGTGAAAATATTTGAAGTCATGGCACTATTTTTGTCTCTATCTTCTGTTTTTAAAGTTAATTACTGGCATAAAAACTGCGCATGCATGTATACATTAAAGGAGGACAAACATGTCTTAACGGAAAGATTCTTGTGACCACGCGCTGTTGTTGCACATTTTTTAAATATGCTTAATGCAATGTTTATTATCAAAACTTAACGAAATGATGTCGCTCTATCACGTGGAAAACATTGAACAAGCAAGGGTTTCTTTGTACAAACTACAAATAACGAAAAGCATGATAACCGCTTTGGACGAATACTTTTATGCAAGAATAGCGCTAATGCACATTTTGTCATGAATTAACATCTACAGAAGCCCTAGGGCTTTTAAGTCCCTCGTCCCGTGGTCTCGCTCGCACTTGTGCTGATGTTAATGCACGAAAAAGTGGTGCACTAACCCATTTCTATATTTAAATGATAAAATGTAAAGAAAGTGCTTTTCACTGAATGAATATCACTGGGTTGTGATGTGAGTGTCTTTTCTATGCTTAAAAAGTTTATGGTAATTGTTTAATTCAGGGTGCACAGTGATTCCATGTGTTTGTAATAGGTATTGGAAGTATTTCAGAAAATGTCAACAAAGGTCACGTTCACAATCATATACATGTATGAGATAATTCTGATAATTGATATAGTGAAATAACTGAGCGCCTTAAGTACATATGTATTTGAACAAAGTACCAAGTTTAAATCTCCCATCAAACTTGTATTCGATTATATAAATGCACTTGAACAGTTTATTTAAGTCTTTGTAAAAATATATGGAACAAAATATTGACACAATTTCCTAATTTATTGTATTCATTAATAAATTATTTGTTGAGCAAATATATTTTAAATTACCCTCAAAACTATCAAAACAAGCTTAAATCCTTTTAGTGTCATGGGCTATTAATTTATTGCTTTAGTGAATAAAACTTATCTGTTATGTTTCAGTTTTAAATCTTGTTCACACAACCCATTGTAACAGGCCTTCTTTAACACTTATATTCACCCAGTTAAGTTTAGGTAAAAGCTCTGGAATGAGCTTTTCTGTATTACCAACGGACCACGCTAAATATCTTAGACAGACTTGCCCATCATTCAATGTGGACAAAATCATTCATCGACATTAGGGAAAATTTCAAAATAAATACTGACTAAATAGCGAGAAGTGCAGATGCCAGCCCGCATAGCTCATAGCTCAATCGGTTAGAGCGTGAGATTTGTAATTTCGACATTGTGAGTTCGATTCCCGGCAAGGCCAACTAATATTACTGATCAGTCTTTCGGATGAGACTTTAAATCGAGGTCCCATATACGGGTGCTCACTTGGTACTCTAAAGAGCCAGGAGAAGTTTCTGGAATTGGGCAGCTTTCCGTATCTGTTTTACGACTAATACTCTTCTGGAGGACTCGCTCATATTGGTGGCAAGTATAAATAAACTCAAACACACAAAAAACAGCGCAGATAGACCGTGATCAGATGGCCGGATGCACGAATAAACCGCATGAACACGTGATACAATTCAACACAACAAGGAGCTATGTCCAAAATGGGCCCTCCCCGCTTTTCATGTTGTTTTCGAGTGTAGGACAAAAGCCCCCCCCGGACGAAAGCCCCCCCCCCCCATCTAAAAATGACAAGGTGGACAAAAGCCCCCCCCATGAATTTTCCACATAGGACAAAAGCCCCCCCCATAAAAAAGTAAAGTTAGGACAAAAGCCCCCCCCCCCCCCCATGGTCCATCACATTTACATTTAGTGTCAATGAATTAATATCTGCCTTTTTTCAATTAATTTGGTTATTTTGTTATATATATTTAATTAACAAATATAAAACATATATTTGTATATGCATGTTTTTTCAATAAAATTGTTTATTTTGTTAATTTGTTCAAATGATACATTGTGACATGGCATACAGAAATTGTGCCATAGTCTTCTCACCCTTGTCAAACTGCTGACAAAGAGCCTTCACTTTGCTCTGGTGGATGATGAAATAACCAAATTAATTGAAAAAAGGCAGATATTAATTCATTGACACTAAATGTAAATGTGATGGACCATGGGGGGGGGGGGGCTTTTGTCTTACCTTTACTTTTTTATGGGGGGGTGGGCTTATGTCCTATGTTGAAAATTCATGGGGGGGGCTTTTGTCCTCCATGCCATTTTTAGATGGGGGGGGGGGGGGCTTTCGTCCGGGGGGGGGGGCTTTTGTCCGTATCCCGTTGTTTTCCAATACTATATATAGTCAAATCAACCACGTTAAAGCAATTTTTTTTTTAAAAATCACTACATTACTCCGTATAATTGCTTTCAAACAACTAGCTAATAATAATTTTTTCTCATCAAAACGACAGGATAATAAGTTTGGATAATTAGTAAGTTTTTTCTCATCCCAACGACTGGCGAATGATTTCATTTTTCTCATCCAACGACTTACGAATAATTTCATTTTTCTTCTCATCCGAGCGAAAGTTGAATAATTTCATTTACTCATTTGGGCGACTGGCGAATAGTATAATTTTTTTTCGTTGAGCGACTGGTGAATAATTTCATTTTTCTCATCCGAGCGACTTGCGAATTATTTCATTTTTCACATCCTAGCGACAGGTGATTAATTTAACTTTCTCATCCGAGCGACAGGTGAATAATTTTATTTCTTTCATCCGAACGACAGGTACATAATTTCATTTTTTTCTCGCCCAAGCGACTGGCGAATAATTTCGTTCTTTCTCATCCGAGCGGCTGGCGAATAATTTCAATTTTTCTCATCCGAACGACTAACGTATAATTTCATTTTCCTCATTCTAGAGACAGGTTAATAATTTCATTTTTTTTCATCTGGGCGACTTGCTAATAATATCATTTTTTTCTCGTTTGAGCGACAGTGAATTATTTAATTTTTCTCATCCTAGTGACAGGTCAATAATTTAATTTTCTCATCCGAGCGACAGGTCAATAATTTTATTTCTTTCATCCAGACGACAGGTACATAATTTCTTTTTTTCTCGCCCGAGCGACTGGCGAATAATTTCGTTTTTTTTTCTCATCCGAGCGACTGGCGAATAATTTCATTTTCCTTACCCTATGGACAATTGAATAATTTCATTTTTCTCATCCGAGCGACTGGCGAATAATTTCGTATTTTTTCTCATTCGAGCGACTGGCGAATAATTTTATTTTTTCTCATCCGAACGACTTGCGAATAATTTCATTTTCCTCATCATAGCGACAGGTAAATAATTTCTTTTTTTTCATCCGAGCGACTGGCGAATAAGTCCGTTTTTTTCTAATCCGCGACTGGCGAATAATTTCATTTTTTTTATCCTAGCGACTGACGAATAATTTCATTTTTTCGCATCCGAGCGGACTTGCGAATAATTTTACTTTTCTCATCCTAACGATTGGCGAATAATTTTAATTTTTTTTTTTTGGCATTTTTTTTTTCTTTCAAACAACTGGCGATTTTTTTCACCCTCATGATTGGCGAATAATTACATTTTTCTAATTCGAACCACTGGCGAAAATTAAACTAGGCCTTCTATTTTTCTCATCCGAACGGAAGATCTATACATTATCAACAGATATCTGGATTTTATTATTTGTTAATATATGAATCTTGTTCTCTATATTTCTATATTTTATAAGCTTTTTACCCAATCATACTTCTCGCAAGTGAACATTTTGTGAACACGCTGTAGCATTTATATTTATACTGATTCTTCATTACTGCAGTAATGTTTTACATAATTAAGAATTATAAAACAAAGTAAAACAAATGATAAAGAAAATGATTGGAAAAATATAGAAAAGTACAACAAAACTACATTTTAATGCTGAATAAGGTTTATCTATTCATTTTGAATAATTGGTGTGAACGCTTTTGGATGATTTCAATGTTAAGTTACAAACTTCAACGTCCTCTCCAAATAAAAATGTGATTAATTGCCATTATTTATTACTCCCGCATTTTCTTATTGACAGTTGCACAAATTTAGCCTATATAGGTCAACCTCCCAGATTGTATATCCCCATCTGTGAATTTCTTTAAGGCACGGGTGGATGTACTTATGTATTGTAACTAAAGTTTAATTATTTCATATGGTAAAGCTGCGGCTCGTTTTTAACACCCATCTCTATAGGCGTATTTTATTTATCAAACGACTACAGAAAATCACTTACATAATTTTTCCCTATTCCTTTGTATTATATACATTATTTTTGAAATTAAAACAAAACTACATTAAATAGAATTGTTTGAATGACGTTATATCAATATAGCTATTTTCATATATACATTTTCCTTTTTATAAAATGTATCTTATTAAAGCGGAGAAAATCGGGCGGACGATGAAGCTTTAAGTGTTTATGTAAGTACGGGAAATTTAGGGTTTTATTAATAAAATTTATATATGCAACAAAGTGACATGCACAAAGACGCCGCGTTGAATTTTAACCTTTTTATCTACACGTAACGTTAGCACTTCGTGTTGAAAATATAAATTCAAGAACAAAATATTCTGAATATATTGAAAATAAAAAAAGAAACCTCCGGATCCAAGGTTGGTTCCTGTTCCCGGCCCACTTGTGCTGGTACCGTCGGCAATTATCTTGCCCCCGACTTGTATGTCGATAGTTGGTGCCTCCATTTGTACCGGGGCCGTAACTTTCACAGTGCCACGGACAATAAAAGTCCCGATTGAAAAATCTGACGAAACTTCACATTCTGTATTGTCAGGAATTGTTAAATCGTTTCCTGCTACAAGGAGCATGCACTCTGCCGCTGAAGCGACATCTACATAAAATCCTAAAAGCCACAGCAGCGTTACAACGCTGGGCGTCATCATTCCGAACCCTGCACGTGAGTCTATATAAGTGTTTATATGTTATTTTATATCAGTTCAAGAAACAATCTTCATTTGGTCTAGAAACAAATTTCGGGCGACTTTCCCCGAAGCAAGTCACCCTACCTTTGATATTTAGTTCAGCTGAAGTAATTTACATAGTGGATTAAAAGTTTAAGAACTATCAATTGATTATACGAATTTGGAATAAAAGCAAGTCAATGGATTTTCGATTCAGTGGTCAATTATGTTGGTCAGTTGGCATACATGTGTATTAAATACGGTTATAAAACCTAAATAAAATTAATCTTTTGATCATATTTGTGCTTTTTAATAATCAGGTGTGATATTTTACAATAAATACAAGATAAACGCTTCTGGCCATATGTGCTCGACTTTGTACTACTAAATATTGAAAGTATTAAAGCAAACGTTGTTTTTTATATCAATTTTTATTTCAGTTGTTTTAAATGTTTTGAGATAGATAACTCGTAAAATAATGACGAATGTCCATAATGTTCTGGCTTAATGCCCGAGTTCTTCAAACCACTTGCTTATGATACTAATAACAAAGTGCAACGTAAGCTTTCAGAAAATGTATTGGTCGTGTAGATGCCATTTTGAAGGTGAATCTGAACTTATTTAGATAACAGAAAGGTCGAACTTGTGACTGAAAAACTTATTTCAATTAAGCACATGGGCATTTTTTCATTTGAATTAATGACAACACAAATAAAATAATCATTTTCGTAGTGCACGTGTATATTTTAAATCTTGAAACCGAATAACACTATCTGACCCAGGAACTACTTTTTAAGCCTCGATTATGTAAATGTATGCAATGAACAACAAGATGAAAATAAATTCATCCTTAAATATCCTTGGTATGCTGAGTCTGTTCATGGACGGTACTGTCAGGTACAAACTACTACAAAAACAAACCATAAAAATAAGAATCAGAAGACAATTAGAGACTTAACCAGCACTTTACTGGTATCCATTAGCATTTGCTTAATTGTTTGACTCTTGGTATATCTATCTTAGAGAACTGTTGTTGAATTACATAAAAATACTTAACATCAAATGCTATAAAGATGTGTGTAAATTTTAGGTTATATGTTCTATGAGACTTAGGTGCACATTCTGGTCCAACCAAAGTTACTCCATTGCAATAATCGAACTTACGATCTTTTTGCTGAAAGGCAGGCAAATTCGGCCGTACTACATATTGCTTTCTATTACAGACATATTGGCACGTTCAAATATAATTTAAAGATGGTTTTCAACTGTATCAAGTAAGGTTTCTTTTAGTATAGTTTGTAAGTTAATTGCATTAGGCAGGATATACTTTTTAATTTGCATTTTTTTTGCATTTATTGGGCGAGTTGGATAGAGCATCAAGAAGTTCTAGTAATGTCCGTGGCTTCAGTTTACTACTGTCTTGACATTGTCATAGAAATATCGCCAAATTTCTCTGTTCTTAAATGCGCAAAATGTTAATTTGTTATGAAATAGCACAACACAGTTTTTCACTTTTAGTCCTTTACATGATAAACTACAGTCTAAATACATTAAGATTAGTTTGAAACATTTCCAATTTAAAGGATTATGAAAGTTCATTTTCAAGTGAAAACAAAGAGGCCTTTTATTCGAACATTTTATTCACAGAAAAAAAAATATTTTGTAAAAATAGTTCGATATATAATGATTTCGTAAATCGTAATAGGCATTTTGTGATCGATCTTTAAATTTCATAACTAGTTTTAATAAGTTCAACTGTCCAGGTATAATGATAGTGGAATGCCCATTTTGCCATTCTGTGTGGTAAAGACACCTAAGTAGTACAACTGACCTTTATATAAGACAGACGAATTAAATAATGCCTTTTACAGCGAACAAAGGAATACTTGAGGGCCGAATTCCTTCGTGTTAAAAACTTTCTATGGTATTTTTATTAAATCTTTTAATCTCATCATTAGTTTTAAGAAATATAACAAATTCTTGGTTTAATGGTAGTGGAATGCTCACATTGCCTTTGGTTGTGGTGTGTTGAGAACAAGCGTACATCCGAGTAGTATAACTATAGCTTTTATATAAGACAGTTTAATTTATTAATATCCCTTACAAGTCCGAATACCAAAGAAGTGCTTGAAAGTTAAATTCTTCAGTGTTGAAACTTCATCCTCACTTTTAAGACATATAACAACTTTCCAAATACAAATGAGCCGCGTCACGACAAAACCAACATATTGCGTTTGCGACAAGCATGGATCCAGACCAGCCTGCACATCCGCGCAGTCTGATCAGGATCCATGCTGTTCGCTTACAAAACCTATAACAAGTAGAGAAACTCATAGCGAACAGCATGGATCCTGATCAGACTGCGCAGATGCGCAGGCTGGTCTGGATCCATGCTGGTCGCAAACCCATTATGTTGGTTTTGTCGTGACGCGGCTCATATATCTTTATTAAGTTGCATATGACAACTGTCCATATATGATGTTAGTGGAATGCCACATATGCCGTTCTATGTGGTATGTTGATAAATAAGGCCCTTTACAGCACTGAGGGATAAAGGGGTGTTTGAAAATCGAATCCCCCGTGTTAAAACTTCCTACGACATTTTTTTATAAGATCTTAAAATCTATTATGACATATGACAGCTTTCCTGTTATATTGGTACATTTAGTTTGTTATTCTGTGTGACATATAAGGGACAAACTGAAATCTGAGTAGAACAACGGACTTTTATACAAGCTAGTTAAATTAAATCACGTTCCTTACACATCGGTTAAGATGTAAATTACATGTCAAAAGGAAATACATGTATGTAAAATGGGAACTCCATATAAAGCTTGAACCTTTTCTGTTTATAGATTTCAATTGCTTATGATTATAAACTGCTATATAGATTATATAAACTGCTGCAGTTAAACGATTTCAAGGCAAACTCTTACGATAAACTTTTTTTTCTTCAAATCTCCACACAAGAGCTGGTCCCTAAGAATAAGTCAGAGAACAATGTTCTCTATGACTGGTTCCGCGATTATGATTCTGTCCAGCAAATTATATGTCTTTTTAGTCTTTCTTTAATCAATACTAGTAAAGATCATCAATATTTAACATACCTTAAAATTTGTTTACTCATATTAATTAGCTTAATTTTATAATTTGTGAGACAATTTTGTCAACATACATCCATAGCAATTATCTAATTACGAGTTCGCTCATTAACTGTTCAAATTATATTTATTTCATACTGATATTATCATATTCTAGATCCAGAACTTAAGACACCTTGCCTTTCTCAATGCTCAGGATATTCATTGGTCAAGGGACATTCTGTGCCTGTTTATGACCAATCAAATACTACCGAAACGTATTTAAGCTCGAGCCGAGAAATGTTTTTATAACATGGTTCCAGAGTCAGAGTCCGTAACATCTATAACACCTTAGTTGCAACTTCATGTACTCGCTAACAGTTAAGAAAGCCATGTATTCATAGCACTGTAGATTAATGTAATGTTGATTTAGAAAGATTTTCTAAGAGATATCTTGCAAATTAAATTTGTTGAATATTTCGCAATGTAATCCATTTCAATGTTTTGTGATTTATCAATTATTCATGTCAATGATTTGTTACATATGATGATCATATGTTAACTTTGTAAATATTGTAATATATCTGTATAACATATGAAACTTTTCAATATTGGAGGAAATAATAAAAACATATTATTATTTTAGGGCAACGTCTGCAAACGTGAATTGTAGCATTGGCAATCATTTATTGATGAGCCATTTGAGATAGTTTAATGAAAGTATTCTTTATCAAAGGGTATACATGTTAGTGAGTCAAAATATATGTTTGCAACAAAACTATATCACGGACATAGTCTGAATGACCTTTATATGTGAACAAAAAATAGAAATTTCTCAGGGAGTTTACTGTACTTATCTATATTTATTTCTAATATAACACTTTACACTAATATATATGAAAACCATCGAAAGCTAAAGAAAAGCGTTGGTTTTCATTGAACTGATTATAATATTATACTAATAGATTAAATACTTATAAAACTAATTTAAGGTGACCAATGACTGAACTTCCCAATGTCTCCAAACTGGTAAACTCTTAGAAATTTGTCATTTATTGATTCTGTTGATATACTGTAAAATCTTATCATTATTTTTCATAAAATCACGCGTAAAAATACAAATTCAAAAATACTGAATTTATATAATTATCTTTTTTTTCTCAAAAACATATTTGTTTTTAAAACACAGTTATTGTCTTTCTATTGCTGCGGCAACAAAATTAGTGTTGGCTGCTGACAACTACACTATGTTTGTCTTAAAGGGTAGCATTTATATATATGATAGTTTTTATAATGTTCAATCCATTACTTAACACTGCATGTTCTATAACCTTAACTGTTTTTCATAATTCATTTTCTGTATATTTTATTTCATAACAAGCTCTGTCATTATAATATTAATAGACTAAAATTGTTGTTGAATTGTCGGATTAAAGATTAACTAAGATTATTGTGAACGTGATCCAGAAACTTGTCTTTAATCCGATTATGATAATTATTTTTTTATTATATAAAATGTCCTACTCAAAGCTCGGTTATGTGAAACTAAACTAGCTCACCTGATCATGACAATATTTCAACTCGTAAAATGTTGTACTGCTAAGGTAAAAGTCAGATGTTTGAGTGTCACGGTTAAGAACTGTTCACTGTTTAGGGGAAATAGTGTGTAAGCGGCCAGATAGCTCAATCGGTATATCTAGAGCCGTGGTATGGTATTCCGAGGGCATGGGTTCGAGTTACGGTCAGGCTGCACATTTTTCTCACCCTGTGACATTTGGCGCTCATAGGGGGACCATGATGATATAAGCTCCGAGACCAATTTCACATTGTTCTCTTTACCCATTAGAAACTCGAGGATGAATTTCAATAAAGCAGGGGAGTATGTCACGATTCAGAACTGTCCACTATTTAGGGGGGATTGTGTGTAAGCGGCCGGATAGCTCAGTCGGTACGGTTTTCCGATGCTCCCGGGTTCGAGCCCCGGTCATGCTGCACATTTGTCTCACTATGTGACATGAGCTCATGTTTTTAATACTTTATCATATTTCCACAATAAACTCGTTAATAGATGGATAAAACACTTAATTTAGATAGGACTTTTGAGAAATACTTCAGACTTATTCCATCTCAAATGAAAATATTAAAAAAACTTTACAATTCATGACAACAAGACAGCGTTCTAATCTTGTATCTATACATTTCGCGGTTTTTGATTCGCTGACATGTCTCGTATAATGACATAGGTGAAAATAAATTGCTTTGTTGAGCTAGGTGGCAGTATGATTCAATAAAAATTGTCATTTTCCGCTATTGTAACAATATAATCATTTCGTTGAAGGATTGGAGACTAAAATTTAGACTGACATTTGCTCACTTTATTTAACCATATCTATAAGATACAAAAAATCTAAGGCATTAGTCAGCGTGAATTAATTGTCCAGAAAACGACGTGAAGAAACCTTTATCAGCCACAACGTGTTTACTGTCTGAGTCAGACATATGACGTACCCATACGTCATCTCCGGCGTTCAGATGGACGTTGACGACGTTACTTCCCATATTCCAGTAGCCATTATCACCTGTCTTTACGCGTGCAATAACCATATTGTCCCTGACAAGTTCCAATCCGATCCACATTGAAGACTGTCCTTGCAAAGCGGAAAACGACAGCATGTATATACCATCAACAGGTGCGCGGAACGAGCCATGACGTACATCGTAAGCCCCACCCACATTGGTTATTACTTTGTCAAATACGACAGGTTGGTGCGTGCCAAAGTTGGTAATGTCACTGGTTATGGTAGCGGCAAATGCAACTACTCCAGCTGCCGAACATTTACACAATGCTGAAACCGAAATTGACCTCATTTTAGTACATTATATAGTACATGCACAATATTAAGAGCAAAATAAAAATACGTATAAATGTATCTTAGGAGATGATCTTGATTAACTTTAAATCAAGGGAGGTCCTTGGTCTTTCAGGACGAGTTAATGTATTTTGAAACATGTTTAATTAATCAACCCACTATCATTGGCCATCCTGATTGGTCTTGCTCACAGAAAGAAATCATAACATGTGAATAAGCTATTCATAGAGCTGTAAATATGAAAATTGTTGACTTTATCCATACTTCTGTTAGTATAGAAAAGAACGCCAAAATTAACGCGACAGATAAAATGTTTGAAACTGACCATATTAAAGCATACCATTATCTAATTTTATTCCCAGACGAACCTTAAAACAGAGATTTATAGCATTTGTAATATTTTCGCCGTTTGAATCGAATAAACCCATATATAAACTTGACAATAATACAATGATGAATATTTATAAACGCTTACATGACTGATGATTAGCTCTCATAGAAGCCACATCACTCTTTAGTTGATTAATCTGCAGTTCGGCGCTGGCTCTCAGCTTCTTCTCTTGGGATATAAGGTTCAGCAGATTCTGCAGGGAATTATCATCTAGAAGAAACCCACGTGACATCGACATGAGACACGCTGTAATAAGACAGATCCTTAACGCCGCCATTTTGTAAATATGTAAAAGTATAAAATTATTCTAAATGTAATCTTATTATGAAAGTGTTAGATTTGAGATAAGGGGGAAACATGTACACTGTTCGTAAACCTTGCAGTAGTGTAAGAATTAGGCTACGCTATTGTTATGTCGTTCCCTAAATTTTGTATTTCATGCCTTGTTATATGCAATATATTAAAATACTCTACCAAAAGAACTCCCGCATATTTCGGCAGTTTTCTTGTCTTTTTCGTCAATATTTTATACATTTTATGGAGCACGTGATACGGTGGTGGTACTGCTCAAGTGTAAATACAGGGACTGTCAGTCCGACATGTACTACATACAATTAAAATTATTAAGAACGTTTTTTTTATATTTTTTTTTAAAATACATTTATACTTTTGTATTATCCTTTCAAAAAATGAATGTTAGAATCATTCTAGAAGGTCATCCATATGGTTTTCCGTTGTAGCGGAAAAGCATCAGAAGTAACAATAATCTTGCTCAGTTAACAACATAAATATAAATTATAGAAAGTGGCGGAAATGACGAAATATTCTGTAACATTTTATGATAAAACTCATAGCTGTATTTCCACTGTTTTGCTCCTTTTCCATTTATTTCCATTTACAGCAAAACTCTCTATTAAGACCACCCATGGGACTGGACCAAACAGGTCTTAATTGCGGGGCGGTCTCAATTGTGGATATTCTTATTATTGCTTAAATATAATATAACATATTAATTTTATGACCATGGTTTATTTTAGTCCTTTTGCATGAGCAAACAATATGTATCTTAAGCTTAAAATACAATGTAAATTATGGAAATAGGCTGAAATGAATAAATATTCACTCGAACATTTCATGATAAAACTTATAACTGTATTTCAACTTTTTCCTTCTTATGCATATATTTCCATTTAAATGTAATTCTTTGAGAAATATACAAAGAAATCCTGCTTAATCAAAGGACTAATGAATATCATGACCAGAATTCTCAATTAATATACATGTAGTCAAAATATATGATTATGTGCTTCAGTTCTATATACTATGTATATTTGACAATGCTTCTGTTTATAACGATCATTTCAACATTATATCTCCGGACAATGAACAAGTTTAATAGTGACAATATATCTGTTGGCCTTAATTAATAAACGAGACTTTTAAGATAAGAAATAGCACCTTTATCTGCACGCTGAATTGTCACATACGTTTTGAGACGGTTAAAATAAAAATTATGAAACTTTATATAATTCTCGGTATATTTGTGTCGTTTATTGTGTTGATTAGTGCGCATGCGTCAAAAAGGGCTACCGTGGCTTCCCAAATACGTTTCCTTTTGGACGAGGAGAAAACACTAAGGCTGAACCTTGAATCGAGAGTTCAAAAGTTACGTGAACGAGCTGCTGCCTTAGACAAGTCGATAGGTAAGATTGTAATATATATTTTACAAAATTTACAAGTTCATTAACGATATATAGAGGATATTGAATGAGTGTAAGTTAAATGCTGAATTTATTGCATGAGTTGAATAATATTATTTTATTCAACGAGTGCAATAAATTCAGTAATGAACTTACACGAATTTAATATTCTATTTAGCACATACCCAAAATAAAGACCGTTTAAAGTGAAATAAGAGTCATTTTTCATTGACGCGCCTATAGTATAACCCTAACATTTAGCGCGTCTTTATAACTCTAATGACGTCACGTCAAAATATATGCACGGCCGTGCAATACCATTTTTACGGAGTCGCAAAATCGGCACGGGTGTGTGATATTATTTTATTCAACGAGTTCAATAAATTCAGTAATAAACTTACACGAATTTAATATTCTTTTTATCACATACCCAAAATAAAGACCGTTTAATTAAAGTGAAAAAGAGTCATTTATATGGACGCACCTATAGTATTACGCTATAATAACATTTAGCGCGTCTTTACACTATGTTTGTATAACGCTAATGACGTCACGTCAAAATATATGCACGGCTGTGCAATACCATTTTTACGGAGTCGCAAAATCGGCACGGGTGTGTGATAAATAGAGGATATTGAATGAGTGTATGTTCAATACTAAATTTATTGCACGAGTTGAATAAAATTATATTGTGCGAGCCTCTGGCGAGCATAATATTATTTTATTCAACGAGTGCAATAAATTCAGTAATGAACTTACACGAATTAAATATTCTATTTATCACATACCCAAAATAAAGACCGTTTAAAGTAAAATAATAGTCGTTTTTCATTGACGCGCCTATAGTTTAACGCTAACATTTAGCGCGTCTTTACACTACGTTTGTATAACGCTAATGACGTCACGTCAAAATATATGCACGGCCGTGCAATACCATTTTTACGGAGTCGCAAAATCGGCACGGGTGTGTGATAAATAGAGGATATTGAATGAGTGTAAGGTAAATGCTGACTTATTGCACGAGTTGAATAAAATTATATTATGCGAGCCTCTGGCGAGCATAATATTATTTTATTCAACGAGTAATGAACTTACACGAATTTAATATTCTATTTATCACATACCCAAAATAAAGACCGTTTAAAGTGAAATAAGAGTCATTTTTCATTGACGCGCCTATAGTTTAACGCTAACATTTAGCGCGTCTTTACACTATGTTTGTATAACGCTAATGACGTCACGTCAAAATATATGCACGGCCGTGCAATACCATATTTACGGAGTCGCAAAATCGGCACGGGTGTGTGATAAATAGAGGATATTGAATGAGTGTAAGTTCAATACTGAATTTATTGCACGAGTTGAATAAAATTATATTATGCGAGCCTCTGGCGAGCATAATATTATTTTATTCAACGAGTAATGAACTTACACGAATTTAATATTCTATTTATCACATACCCAAAATAAAGACCGTTTAAAGTGAAATAAGAGTCATTTTTCATTGACGCGCCTATAGTTTAACGCTAACATTTAGCGCGTCTTTACACTATGTTTGTTTAACGCTAATGACGTCACGTCAAAATATATGCACGGCCGTGCAATACCATATTTACGGAGTCGCAAAATCGACCCGGGTGTGTGATAAAGTGCTATTTTTGACACATAGAGGAAAACAGATCTATTCCACATATTGCTTAATTAAAGTAACTATTCTGAAAAAAACGATGGATTTTGAATGCTTGCTTTTAAACATGGTCAGCATTACTATTTTTTTTTTCAAATGTATGAGGATATCCAATACAAATTGATAAGATGACCAACAACAAATGACTTTGAACTCATTCTTAACTTTATTAGAATATTTAAGTGTTTAATTTCAAAATGTAATTATAAAAATTCTTCCATATCCATTTTTGAAATTGTTTTATAGAATAAATTTTGTATTTTTTTCATTGCTCAAAGCGATTAATCAATACCACATTTTATAAACCACAGAACTAAAATAACCATCCATGTATTTTTTTTCAATTAAATACTTTTCAGTACCATGTACTTGCACAACATCGGCGCCAACTAGTTCATCATCCACACAAGTTGCTTACACAGGAACCACTGGGACAAGTACAATTTCTAGTCTGAACGCTAACCATGTCTTTAATTTCACATACGATCTTGTAAACGTTGGAAATGCGTTTAACCCAGTTGACGGCCATTTTGTCGCACCTGTTGATGGGCTGTATGGATTCTCATTGGCTGTTTATATGGCGGTGCGATATTCCATAAAAATGGAAGTGGTTGCAAATGGCAAACCCATTTTGAAAGTACAGACGGCCCACTATTACTCTAGCAGTTACAATCGACAAGAAAACATGGCGACCAATTTTGCTATAGTGAATATCACGAAAGGAACGGAAGTATGGCCACGGTACATTTCCGGTTCCGGGACTCTGTACGGACAAGGTGTGCCGACATTTTCCGGGTTTCTTCTGCATGAATTTTGATATTTGTGAGAGAATTTCACTGATTAAATGAATCAATACTACCTAATGTCTTACACAGAATAGATTACATTCTTTTGATCTTTTCAGTTCAAGAAATATATATGCATCGGTGCTTTTGATACAAATCATACTATATTAGTTACACTTTGGAAAATTTTATTTGTCTGTAGTATCATTACAACAAAACTTTTCTATGCTTATAAATATTTACAAAAGTCAAAATCGAAAAAAGATTAAAAAAATAGAAGCATAGAAGCAACAGCACCATTATTAGCATGTATATATGAGTATAAAAGAAAAAGCATTTTCACAGTAATCCTCTTTCCTGGACATGGTACACATTTTCATTACTTTTTCATTTTTGTTAATTAACTGTGTTCCTGTATAAAACATTGACAGGGGAGAAAATATATGTAGTATAACGATGAATTTTTAACACGATTGTCTCCCATTAAATAGAGAAACCTATATTAATTTTCTGATGGTACGAGAAAATAATTACTTGTGATACCCCCAACGGCAAACAACTTATTAATAGTCCTATCTTGGTGTATACTATACACATTTAAAACACGTTGCATATATGAACTGCATGTTTTTTGTTTGTTTGTTTTTTGCTATACAACACTAGAAGATCCGTTTTAACGTAAAACTTGTCTAAACTTCCGTTTTGGGCCGGATTTGTAACCATTTAGCAATATTACTGTTTGTCATCACATGCTGCCGATGGTCGAGTAAAAACTGGTTCGGTTTCCATAGTGATTCAAGTCCCATCTCTACACAGCTATCAATCATGTTAAACACAGCAAGGTCAGCAAGGGTTAACTGAAAATAGGACAGGAAAAGGCAAGGGATAAAAAAAACTTTAATGAGAATTTAGCATTGTAACCTCATTATACATGTATTTATATTTTTTAATATGAATATTGGTAAGGAAATATTTACAAAAGCGATCATTTTCAAAACTTGATAACTTGAAAAACATATGTGTCAGTATTTTAGCATCACCGAAATAAAACTCGCTGCTCTTGGATTTGAAGAAAGAGGACTATTCGGCCGCTCTTCTTTTTTCAACAAATCAAATAAAAAATTCAAAGTTGTAACAACAGCAACAGCAGCAGCAACAGCAACAACAACAACAGCAGCAACAACAAAGGCAACATCAATACATGTACTAATAATTGGAACAATGATAATAATAATAATAAAAACAGTAATCATAATGATAATTTGCAATCTTGAATTGTTTAAGTGTCTGATTTTTAATGATAAGACTTAATGTTTTCTATAATTGCACTGATTTGTTGCTTCGTACGAAGATTCTTATTTGAAAATTCTAATTCAGTTCACACATAACGTTTTACAATCTGCGGATTAAATCATTCTACCTTGCACCTTGATATAATACTGCAATGACTTTATTTTTTGTTGCCTTAAATAATTGAACAACGACAACATGGTCCAATGTTATAAAGAAATTCCCTAAGCTCAAGCTGAGATGTCCGGTATTTGATTGGTCAGAATCTGCCACAGAATGTACACTGACCAATGTAAATCCTGAGATTTGAGACGGAACTCAGAAAAAAAGTTTTATAATCCCAGGGCCAGGTGTAAAGTTCCTTAACATTTGAGCCGCGCCATGACAAAACCAGCATAATGGATCCATGCTGTTCGCTTACAAACCCTATAACAAGTAAAGAAACTGATAGCGAACAGCATGGATCCTGATCAGACTGCGCGGATGCGCAGGCTGGTCTGGATCCATGCTGGTCGCAAACCCATTATGTTGGTTTTGTCATGACGCGGCTCATTTGTTATTACCAGTTTACCTACCTTTGATCCAATAATAAATCCACCACTACCAAAATCGTTCATTCTTGATTTACAGAAAGTGGCAAACTTCGGTATTGTTTCTGTAACCAGTTTCTTGTTTACTTCTTTCTATAAAAATACGACAAAGCTTTGTCTTCATAAAATATATTCCCAAGTCAAACTCAAACAGATGGAGGAAGATTAATAGAACATTAATTACCATATCAAAATGTATAGAATCGGAACCTGTAATGAACGATAGTTTATTTTTTACATTATCATATGGCGTGATTTCATTTGCTCAGAAACTTATTTAAAATATCGTATCCTGAACACTCTTACTACTACGCTACTCGGACTTACGTGTTGCTATTATTTGTATTTTTTCACTCGGACAACATCGCTAATTCCGTGTCTAATATTTTTTTCGAATAGCGTTAAGTTGACAAAAGTGTCGTTCCGTGCAATGGCCCCGCTTATTTATACCCGTGTTTATATGTATCAGACGCGGAACCATGCAAAATCTGATGGATTTTCCCAAATTCTATGATTAAAATGTAACCTCGTGAGAATGTATTGAATACGTTGTTAACTTTTGGTTGAAATTTGTATTTGGTGTTTAGATTAACAAACCTTTGCTGTTTCGTCTTTGCACATATGGCTTTGTACAAAGACACTTCTGACGTCACCAACGCTGTCATACATCTCGTCGATAAGTAAATTGTCGTCTGCGCAATCAGTGTATAGGTCTGCAGAATACAAACAACTACAGTATCATCTTAAGAAGTTGTAACGACTCTTTTTTTATGAATTGCTGCATTGGTGACATGTGCACTTTTTTATTTATCACGTGGTCTCAAGATAATTATCACCTTCCTGCGAGATAAATTGAGAAGCGCACATATCACATCTCTGCCAACGTAGTTAAAGCAGTTATGTTTAACTAATATCACACTAGTTTACAGAATTCAAGTTTTGCATTGTATATAAACCATAGATTAGAAATTTACATTTTAACAGAGAACGTTGTCAGACATAAACTTATCAAATGTGTGTATTTTTTTATTATTTCTTACCAAATTTTCTTGCTAGATATTTTGCAATAGCTCCTGATTGGCAGTAGGTAATCGTTTGGTCTCCTTTTATACTTTTCAAACATGGTAAACAATTCATCGGCATATCTGAAAGAAAAATCAAAACTGTTTCTGAAAAGCAGACAAACGAAGTACATGTAATTTCTTTAAATTCAAGGTCAGGATATTCTTCCTGACTAACAAACTGTACTGATAAACCAGTGTTTAAAACCACCTTTGAATAAAAGTCACTTGGTCTAAAAAGAACCTTGTTTTATTCCCAAGTTTAGCAATTACGGTTCAACAAACACTTTTTTTTTGCTAGTGAAAACCTGTCAACAAAGACCGAATATCAGGTTTGTTTCAAGAACTAACGTTTCTATGAGCATTTAATATAAAGCCAGCATCATCAACAACATCAATGATCAGAATCATTATCATCATCATAATACGTGTAATCATCATCATCATTATTATCATCATCATCATCATCATCATCATTGTTGTTATTATCATATACGTTCTTCACACCATGGTTTTCATAGCTGTTTTATCCTATCATTATTTATTATTTTTGCATGTAGCAGTGCTTATACTGCGAAAATATATTGTATACATATGTGTAGATGGTATATATGCAAATTTATGAGCGTACTTATGTATGTTAAATTGCTGTAGCCATATATAGTATGTAAATGTTGGCCACATGGGTCTATGACCTTCTGGTGTTTTGAAAATAAAATCTTGAATTATTTATGGCAGCAAACTTCAAATTGTAGAACTAAAATTAATGACATTTGATAAGATATTTAATTAGCGACATTAAAACGTCAGTTTAACTTTATGCTGTTTAATGAAGTTGATTTTATATGGCGAGATATAATCTATGTTACTCATTATATATCAATCACTGCGATGAAAAATCTACTGTTTACCATCTAATATAGTGAAGATTAAGACACTAGCTATGTTGTACATTATATATAGAAAGCTATGGTGTTTTCTATTTTTAGTCGCGCTACATTCTCATTCGTTCTGTTCTGTTCTACATGAATTTGAAAATTATTACTCCTGTCTATACTCTCTTTAAAGTGAATTAGTTTTAAATGGACACACGTACCATTAGTATTTCAAATATTGATTAACACAATCAAAATGTATCATTTTGATACTCTTAAAAAGTATTTCTTGAATAAAATGTGGATACAGTTGTAGGTGATTTGGTATAAACGTTTATATGATGAATAATAACATTTTGTTCCAGAATATAAAATTATGACCTATACTTTATTAGATATGTAATATCGAGTCATGTATCTCACACTTACCAACAAAATCCACATACAATGACTTCATGCTTTGTTTTCTCATATGATACTAAATAATATAAAACTATTTATTTATGGTATTACAAACCTTTTTTTACAGACCAATCCACTTTAAATAATGTTCTTATCTTTTTTTTTTAACAATTGAACAAAAGTTTAAGCTCACATACATCATTTGCATGTTGTTCACATGAATAATTTGAGTTGAAATTAATATAAATTTATTTTATACATGTATACATGTTCTTATATAAAGAAAGAAAAAAATGTTCCTGTCTCACCTGGTTTGATTTTTAGCCATTCTTCCATACTGAATCTAATATCTTCATATTTAATCCCAGCTGTTACAAATACTAACCGAATAATCTCCCCTCCACCTCTTTTATTAAAATACAAAAGCTGATATTTTTCAAACATATTCAAACAATTTCTGTAATTATGTATAACAAGTTAATAAAACTATTTATTTAACTTCTTCTTAAGTTGATTTGGTAGTGCACGTTACAAAATAACCATTAATTGTCCATTTTTGTGGTTACAGAGGGAGACATTTCACGGATGTTTACAAACGGCTGAACCACTTACGGATTAGTAGACGGACATAGTTGAACAAATATTTCCGTCTGTCAACAACCTTACAATAAACACATTATTCATATAAAATACACTGTCATGATTCGCTGAAGCATATATTTATTATTATATACTCAGATTATGTAACTAATAAAGAATTTTTTAGTGTATACTGGAGTGGTGTTGACCTAGTTGTTAAATTCAATGCAAATTCAATTTGGAATATGTATAATAGTTACATATACATAAGTCTATAATATATACTTTTAATAATGTACCAAAGTCCAATTAAATGTGTAAATGTCTTCAGCTTTGATTCTACAGTAAAGCCAGAACCTCGATGATAAGCACCCCTTCAAAACACACCTCGAAACAGCTCTGTTGAACCTCAATATTCACAAAAACGAATTCGTCACACGTGTAAAAAATTCGCTCGAATTCCCCACAAGTGTGTGACAAGTTCCTACGAAATCGGCACAAAAAAAGTGCTGTGAAATTCTTAAGCCCTATTTTTCAACCACCTCTTAGTACAAACGAAATTTTCACAGAAAATATGTGTCATATCGGTACGTATTTTTCACACATGCAAGTGAAGGTTTTAAGTTAAAGGAGGTTAAAATTTGAATTGTCCGTATTGTAATTCCTTAATATCCTTAGAACGGCCACGGTCATAAAGTGAAAGGAATTCAACTCCCACGCCCCACCCCACCTCACCCCATCCAATTTCTGCGCATATTGCTAAATTTTTTGTATGAATCGACATCTGTAAACCCTGGACTAGAAAGAAAGAAAGAATTTCTTGATGTACACTTCCGGACCATGATTGAGTAGTTTGTGGCCGCTTGCAATTCTGTCGCGCTTTTTTCCCAAATAAAAAAAATACACATTGGAAACATATGGTGTATTAGTGACAAATGAATAATGCTTAAAACTTCATTTTACCCGCTGTGATTCACTAATCGGAATTTTGCAAGTTTTCTCTGCTTAACATGTCCTGTCGTTCTGTATAGAGGTCTTGGCAAACTAAGTAAAACAAGCAAATTTCGTTGAATTGATATCCCCCGCCGCATGATTCTTATCACTTGATTGAAGGTTCTTTGTAGTATGTACCTCAGATATTGATGAAGATAATTTATTATCCTTACTTATGATACAAAACCTCCAACAGAATTGATCAATCTCAAGCAAAAATGCCTTTTGGTGGTTCCTATAAATTTGGTATAATAAAGCGATACATAAACACAAATTTTAGCTCCTTTTTTGAACCCATGGCACATGTGGGTAATCAACAGAAAAAATAGAAGAAACAAACATTATTTCATTTATTTTTAATCTTCATTTAATTTTATCATAAGATACTATATATTAACATCTATATTTCTTCTTTCACGAGGTAGCAATGGAATTCCTCTAGCTCCTTGTAACTATAGTGTGGCATCATTAACACAACAACTGTGCAACGTCTTTTCTTCTTCTGTAATAATAATGATAATAATAATCAGACGAAGAAGAAATGATGCTGCTGATGCAGTAACGCAGTATTTATTTTTATAGCTGATAATTTCAAAAAAGAGAAATGTTAGACTCATAACCACACAGAAAACATGTTTTCGATATCAATCGATCGATCGATCAATCAATCAATCAATCAATAAATCAATAAATAAACCCATCCATCCATCCATCCATCCATCCATCCAACCTTCCTTCCTTCCTCCCTTCCTTCCTTCCTTCCTAAAGAAATTACCTCTCCTCTGGTTTTCTTTTCCACTTTCAGTTTCAGTTTGTACTTTTCTCCATTAACAACCTGTAATGTTACCATGCTCGAAAATAATAGTTTAAATTACCAAATACTATTGTCGAATTGATCAAATGAAGTTATATAGACGTGCTATCATTGAATATTTGAATATGCAAAAATATGGCCTTTAAACCATTAGCGGCGAGGTAGAAAATAATCTAGGTGACAAAGAAAGTAATGTCAGTTATCACATACCCGTGTCGAATTTGCGACTCCGTAATTATGGTTTTGCACGGCCGTGCATATATTTTGACGTGACGTCAATTACGTTATATTAACATAGCTTAAAGACGCGCTAAATACACTGCAGTATAGACGCGTCAATGAAACATTATTCTAATTAGTCTTAATTTTATTCTTGTAGGTTCATTACTGAATTTATTGAACTCGTTGAATTATATTTTTTTTTGCTCGCCAAAGGCTATTCAACTTGTTCAATGAATTCAGTATTGAACTTACACTCATTCAATATCCTTTATTTATTTTATAAAAAAACATACAAACTCTCAAATTGTGGGATGGGAAGTTAATACAAATATTAAACGTTTCATATATCTTGTTGTTTACATTTATTTTTCGAAATTTAAAGTGTGTTACGAAAATATGACAATACTTATGTAAGTCAAGAATTATGCGCTGGTTGATGTAATCTTCAAATAAATCATTTTAAGGTGCAAGTTAAAAGCCCAGTTTTTACTTCATGTAAAGCAGCTATCCAAGAAGCTGCCGGAAATCAAAATAATGAGAAAAAATACACCCAGATGGTCACCCGGGATCTCCTTTCACAACTTAAGTTGGAAAATTGCCTTTTGACTAAAGAACGTCAAAAACAAAACAACATTTAAATTTATTAGAAATCAGCACGTACCTGCTTCTTTCCCGAAACGATTTCTACAAGTTTGTATTTCGACCCTAATTCGCGGACTGCAAATTTTGCGACGGATTCAGTAGCTGCACCCTCAACATCCAAGTTCTGAAATCCTCCAGGCTTTAACGTCGATATAAGGGTTATATTACAAACCAACAAAATTAAAAAAATTCTATTCATCATTTTAAAAACAGTGCTGTCTGAATTTTATAAGTACAAAATGATATTGTATGTCTTGGATAAGTTACAAATGTTTAACAGTTAACTATTTAATTACATTTTTATCACATTATAACATCTATATATTTCAGTTTGAAATAAATAGCAGATATCAATTAGAGATTCAATGAACATTGTAGTATAATAACAAGAGGTGCACTTAAGGACAACCTTACAAGAATATTTTTATTTTGTAATCGCAGGTTAATCTTCTCATAATTGAGCCTGCAAGCTTTACGCATAGTCTACGCTATAAAAACGTCATGAACAATGTACACATGCTGTCACAGACTGCACTTGTATGCGTGCATTTATGTCATGACGCATGATGACATTTGGAAATTTTTTCACTGAAGAAAGTGTTTGCTCGTTCCTTTATGGCAACACGGACCTTCAATTTAAGGGTTTCTACATATAAGAAACATTTTCCTATGCACCATTGAGCCTACAATATTTACGCTTGGTCTATGCTATAATAATGTCATAGAAAAAGAACGCAATTTATACTGTCTCAAGACAAAATGTTCGTGTCGTCAATTGCGTCAGACGTAACTACGGAAAAACACATGCATTTACGTCATGTCAACGTCGGATCCATGACGTGCCTTAACACTCTTGTGGTTTATGACGTCACGCAACTCTATTGTCTATTACGCTCAATGAGTATTTGGTACTTGGTGTAGACTTCCGAAGTTAAGCAACGTCGAGCCCGGTCAGTGCTTGGATGGGTGACCGCTTGGGAATACCGGGTGCAGTAGACATTTTGCATATTTTATTTCCACTGAAGAATGCGTTTTGCTCGTTCCTTTTTGGCAGCACGGGCCTCTAGTTTACGGATTTCGCTTTATTTTTATTCACAATGTTTTCCTACCCTCAATTGAGCTTGCAAGCTTTACATTTTGTCTACGCTATAATAACGTCATGAACAGTGCAGTCACATCAGCCGTAACTAGGCAAACGCGTTTATTTACGTCATTACAACGTTGTGTCCATGACGTGTCATGAAGACGTTGTGTGACGTCACTCTATTGTCATTTTCGTTGGAATTTGGCAGAACAGTACAGTAACGGTATGCACGTACGCCAGTAGAGAGGCGTGATTGCCGAAATAAATGTACGCAGTTTGATCAAATACAAGTAAACAGATGTCACTGATGTCTACGGCCATATAACGTTGAAAACACCAGTTCTCGTCCGATCACCGAAGTTAAGCAACGTCGAGCCCGGTCAGTACTTGGATGGGTGACCGCTTGGGAATACCGGGTGCAGTAGACATTTTGCATATTTTATTTCCACTGAAGAATGCGTTTTGCTCGTTCCTTTTTGGCAGCACGGGCCTCTAGTTTACGGATTTCGCTTTATTTTTATTCACAATATGTTTTCCTACCCTCAATTGAGCCTGCAAGCTTTACATTTTGTCTACGCTACAATAACGTCATGAACAGTGCAGTCGCATCAGCCGTAACTAGGCAAACGCGTGTATTTACGTCATTACAACGTTGTGTCCATGACGTGTCATGACAACGCTGTGTCCTTGACGTGACGTCACTCTATTGTCAATTACGTTGGTATTTGGCAGAACAGTACAGTAACGGTATGCACGTACGCCAGTAGAGCGGCGTGATTGCCGAAATAAATGTACGCAGTTTGATCAAATACAAGTAAACGGATGTCACTGATGTCTACGGCCATATCACGTTGAAAACACCGGTTCTCGTCCGATCACCGAAGTTAAGCAACGTCGAGCCCGGTCAGTACTTGGATGGGTGACCGCTTGGGAATACCGGGTGCAGTAGACATTTTGCATATTTTATTTCCACTGAAGAATGCGTTTTGCTCGTTCCTTTTTGGCAGCACGGGCCTCTAGTTTACGGATTTCGCTTTATTTTTATTCACAATATGTTTTCCTACCCTCAATTGAGCCTGCAAGCTTTACATTTTGTCTACGCTACAATAACGTCATGAACAGTGCAGTCGCATCAGCCGTAACTAGGCAAACGCGTGTATTTACGTCATTACAACGTTGTGTCCATGACGTGTCATGACAACGCTGTGTCCTTGACGTGACGTCACTCTATTGTCAATTACGTTGGTATTTGGCAGAACAGTACAGTAACGGTATGCACGTACGCATATTTCCCGCCATGCTTGCGTATTGCTTTCTTTTCGATATGATGAAAATCTTTTTGTACTTTTTGCTTCTACATGGACTTAACAATACCAAAATGTAACAGGAAATATAACCATATCTCACTTTTGTCAGTAATTGCAGCTTATATTTGCTCTTTACTGAACCTGTAAAGTCTTCTCAATAAGTGATAATATACAGGCCATTGTTATAATCTCACAGCTAAATTTAAGTGGTATAATTTTGACAATCATTTATGTATTGGGTCAATCTGTCAGTGATCTTTTCATCACCTTATTAAAGGTTCTGTTCTGTTCTTATTAAAACACAGGTGTCATCAAATCTGACCTGGGTGACTGCATTTAATTCACCTACACTACCTAAGACAATTAGTAGGCATTGACTCTGGTACTTTTTTTAACCTTTATATGTATGTTTGTTCAGCAATTTCCTTTTAGCTTAACATGTATTGTAATCATACATGTAATCATTGTGATTACTGATTAATTGGTCATGTACAGTCGACTCTCGTTATCTCGAAGTCATTGGGACCGTTCAAAAAATATCGAGATAACGAAATGTCGAGATAAACATATTAGGGTTAGAACAAGGCGAAACTGATTTTTACAAAAGACATGTGCATACCTTATGTCAAATAAACTATAATATCCCCATGTCTCGTTTTCATAGGCCTAGTCAATATTTAACAAAGTAACATAAGCGGATGTTTACCAGCGGAAATACGGGTGTCTGTGATAAAAACACATAGTGAGGTTTACTCAGTAATACACCAATGTAGTGAATCGGATATCGGATATGGTTGATCCGGATATCCTCCCGGGTTATTTATCCGGTCTTTCTCGAGATTGTTCCACCGCTGATTGATTTGGTGGTGATGTTGTGAAACAATATTGCAACGATAGCGTTTCGATACTTTCACTTTTTCATTTACATTTAAAGTCATAATGAATTGATACAGTGTTCGAATATTTAAAAAGAATGTAAAATTCACTCATTGTGGACATAAGTCAATCAACACGCTAAATAGATTAACTTTTATAAAGACAGCTAAACTTGTTACAAACATAATCGTCATTATGACACGCGCTATTAATTGAGCAATTATCGTCTAGATTGTGTTTTCCACACGTCTGAAGGGAACAGACGAAGTCGAGATAAACAAAGGATAATAGTGTGAAAATAACTGTTGGGGCTGAAATTTTACATCGAAATACTGAAAATATCGAAATAGAAATATCGAGATAAACAAATATTTCCAATATAGATAAAGAAGGAAGAAAATCGGGACTTTCAAAATTTCATCGAGATGACGAAATATCGAGAAAAGCGATGTCGAGATAACGATAGTTGACTGTAATTGATTAAATTATGATTAAATTACAGTAAAAAAATTATGATTACTGATTACTGTGATTACTCAAAAAATTGTAATCGATTAAATTTAATTAAATTACCGATTACGATTACCCCATGTCTGACGTACGCCAGTAGAGCGGCGTGATTGCCGAAATAAATGTACGCAGTTTGATCAAATACAAGTAAACGGATGTCACTGATGTCTACGGCCATATCACGTTGAAAACACCGGTTCTCGTCCGATCACCGAAGTTTAGCAACGTCGAGCCCGGTCAGTACTTGGATGGGTGACGGCCCGGGAATACCGGGTGCAGTAGACATTTTGTATATTTTATTTCCACTGAAGAATGCGTTTTGCTCGTTCCTTTTTGGCAGCACGGGCCTCTAGTTTACGGATTTCGCTTTATTTTTATTCACAATGTTTTCCTTCCCTCAATTGAGCCTGCAAGCTTTACATTTTGTCTACGCTACAATAACGTCATGAACAGTGCAGTCGCATCAGCCGTAACTAGGCAAACGCGTGTGGAATTATGTCATTACAACGTTGTGTCCATGACGTGTCATGACAACGCTGTGTCCTTGACGTGACGTCACTCTATTGTCAATTACGTTGGTATTTGGCAGAACAGTACAGTAACGGTATGCACGTACGCCAGTAGAGCGGCGTGATTGCCGAAATAAATGTACGCAGTTTGATCAAATACAAGTAAACGGATGTCACTGATGTCTACGGGCATATCACGTTGAAAACACCGGTTCTCGTCTGATCACCATAGTTAAGCAACGTCGAGCCCGGCCAGTACTTGGATGGGTGACCGCTTGGGAATACCGGGTGCAGTAGACATTTTGCATATTTTATTTCCACTGAAGAATGCGTTTTGCTCGTTCCTTTTTGGCAGCACGGGCCTCTAGTTTACGGATTTCGCTTTATTTTTATTCACAATATGTTTTCCTACCCTCAATTGAGCCTGCAAGCTTTACATTTTGTCTACGCTACAATAACGTCATGAACAGTGCAGTCGCATCAGCCGTAACTAGGCAAACGCGTGTATTTACGTCATTACAACGTTGTGTCCATGACGTGTCATGACAACGCTGTGTCCTTGACGTGACGTCACTCTATTGTCAATTACGTTGGTATTTGGCAGAACAGTACAGTAACGGTATGCACGTACGCCAGTAGAGCGGCGTGATTGCCGAAATAAATGTACGCAGTTTGATCAAATACAAGTAAACGGATGTCACTGATGTCTACGGCCATATCACGTTGAAAACACCGGTTCTCGTCCGATCACCGAAGTTAAGCAACGTCGAGCCCGGTCAGTACTTGGATGGGTGACCGCTTGGGAATACCGGGTGCAGTAGACATTTTGCATATTTTATTTCCACTGAAGAATGCGTTTTGCTCGTTCCTTTTTGGCAGCACGGGCCTCTAGTTTACGGATTTCGCTTTATTTTTATTCACAATATGTTTTCCTACCCTCAATTGAGCCTGCAAGCTTTACATTTTGTCTACGCTACAATAACGTCATG